TGTCTAATATGAATTGAGCCCAAAGCGTAATCGTAGTCTGTAGAAATTGCTTGGAGGTATAACCAACTCTCCCTTGATATTCGTGGTCACCATCCCCTCAATCTTGTGTTTGATGCAGAGTTGATTGAGATCCTCTAACGACAACAAATGAGGGCTATTCTCGTCTAGCTCTAATTGGAGTTGAGACAAGAGGGGCTGATCGCACCAGAGTTAGAACATATATACGATATTATATTATCGCAACATGATACAAACCTCAAGAAACATCCAGAGAGCATCATTGTATTCATTTCGCGTCTTGGTAGCTGCCAAGATGGTTTGAGTCTTGACGTCTCTAATGTTGATGTTACTAGTGAATGTATTCTTTGGTCGCTTTGTCTCATTCTCCTCTTGAGATGAGGAGGTCAATACACGCTTCTTCTCCATTATATATAGTCATGTAATAATATAGTAATGTATGAATGAACAACAAATAATATAATACTCAACACACAATGATCACCACCATCAGAAGGTAGGTCAGGCTAATAATAAATGATTTATGGGACTCTAAAAATGAAATAATTCAAAGTTGCTAAATGCTATGCCTCATTGTATGGTGACAAGAGAAGCTGTCTACCCACGGTATTTCCTTTTTAAGATATTGGTCAACAAGATCTAGTTTATTTGTTCAATCTGCTCAGTCACATACATCATCAGTTATACCTTCAACCAACCAATCAATTATACATGAATACATTCTTTTACATATATTACCAACAAGAGGATGAAGATAAGGTATAATCAGGAGTTGGGAGTGTTGGAGAATGCGTTGGTGGAATGTAAGATTGGTGTGATGTTCCTGTGCAAGGGTGAGACTGAGTTGCCAATGCCAAGGATCGAGATCAAGGATGTCGGTGTGCTCTCATTCCCAGTGCCACAAGTGCAGATACAGAGTATGATTGAACGAGCAACACGTGCACCATTTGGTAGAGGAACAGAGACCATCACAGACCTCAATGTGCGACGTGTCTGGCAGATACAGAACACAGACATCAACATCACTGGCAAGCCATTTCAAACATTCTTCACAAGCATCACCAACAGCATCAAGGAGTCGATGGGTCTCACCAACGATACAGTAACAGCAGAGTTGTACAAGTTGTTGGTCTATGACAAAGGCAGCTTCTTCCTGCCACATCGTGACTCTGAGAAGGCTGACAACATGTTTGGAACACTCGTGTTGTCATTGCCATGTCCACATCGAGGTGGTGACCTGGTGATCAATCATTCAGGTCGTGATGAAGTGGTATCATTGGAGAATGACTCAATGTCAACGATCAAATGGACAGCATTCTTTGCCGATTGTAGACATGAAGTCAAGCCAGTCACTGAAGGCAATCGAGTGTGTCTCGTTTACAACCTGTTGAGATCAGGTGGTCGCAACGTGCAGATCAATGCAGCATCAGAACCAATCACTCAAGCATTCAATCAAGTGTTTGGTCGTGTCAATAACGATGACGCCAACAACAACGACAACAACTATTATCAATCAAACCTCAAGACCACCACTAGTGTTGCATCTACATCCAATGTATTTGATGATGATGATGAATATATCTATGAAGATGAAGATGAAGATGATGCTATCTCAACATCAAACATCCCAGAGAAGTTGGTATATTCACTTGATCACGTCTACTCCAAGTCCAACTTCACTTTGGAATCACTCAAGGGCAACGATGCCACACTAGCCCGCACACTACTCGCCTTTTCCAACGAGTCTATGATCAAGCTAGGTCTTGCATTCATTCAAATTTGGGAGTAAGTATCAACAAATCAATCATTATACATACATACTGTGTATTAACATACCCTACCTAGACATGGACCACTGGACCATAGTGATGATTATGATGAGACTAAGGTGCCAAGCGATACCAAGATCATTCTGAAGGATGTCAAAGATATGGAGACTGGAGCAATAATTGAACGCGATATACGTCTTAGAACCAAGGAGATCATGCCAAGTGGATGCATCGACGATCTCAGACCATACTTTGAGGAGGCACATGAGGACACTGGTAAGTTGTGGACACTTGAAAGTTATCATTTGATTGTGATATCTAACCTTTGTCACTCATTCATTCATTCTTTCATACATTGATAGGCAATGAAGGAGCATCATTTGAAAGATTGTATAGACATTCAGCTATTGTAATATGGACCAGTGAGTCCATGGGCAAGTTCACAATGGTCGTGTCACCAGATGTGGCATTGGAGATATTGGAGAAAGAGGTGGCCAAACTTGGTGGCATAGATGCCAATCCACTGGTGACTCAAGAGTTGTTTGTCCAAATGATCAAATCACTTGTGAGGGTACCAACAACATCTTATCATATCACCAAGATACTACAACTATTGTCAACAATCAAGAATGATCAATACCTTCCAAAGATACTTCATGCACTGTTTGAATCACTTGGCAGACTGTACTGTACTGTGATACACCAGGATACATTCATGGAACTGTTGCTCAATAGTCCATCGTGGACCCACGAGTCCATGGGAGGAGTAATGAAAACATTTGTGTCCATGGCCCCGCAGACAGCCCTACTTGACCTGTTGGCCAAGTTGTTGGAAGTGAGTGCACCACCAACAAGTTTGCATCATGACAAGTTCGCAATGCTGATCAATATGACCGATCAACTTTCCAATCGACTGGATACCATAGAGCAGATCGACCAACTCATATCAATCATCCAACATCCAAAATTCAATCGAGATCGCGAAACAATCCTCATTGGTGTAACATCTGCCGCTTACAAGATCATAATACAAGAATCAATCAAGGCCAAGGGCGCACACATATGGGTCCCACCAACCAAGTTCAGCACAACAATCTCAAAGGTAGATGCATGGTACAAATCACTCAGGGATGGCAATGCACCTGTCTACGTGAATGATTATTTGCTCAGCTCAATGTATACAACTGCTCAAGAGCTTGTTTCCAAAAATTATTGGTCCATGGACTATGAAGATGTACTGTCCTCACTTCATAAAGTAGAGTCAATCAATGCAGCTCATCCAGAATGGATCGTTGAGAGCACGCACTATCAATCATTCCTAAACAATTTGATCAATTACAAGTGGACAAACAACAACAACAACAACAACAACAATATTCAACAAGTCAACTTTGAATTGGTATCCAACAATTTATATTCTATTTGGCGACTGGTTCATCCTCACGACTCAATCATCAAAGACTTTATCAACAAGATCTGCACCAGAATGTCAAAAGACCAGATAGTATACCTTAACCAACCACCCCCAAGTGGCTTCCCATCACTCATTCACATCAGATTGTTGGGACTCTTGCACAAAGACTACGCTGACTCTCCTCACTATGCTACGTTATGGGACAATGTCGCCAGGACCAACAAGAAGATGGCAAAGACCAAGCCCGACATAACAAACAACAAGATCGTAGTTGATCAGAAATGTACTTGTGAAAAATGCAAATGGATGTACAAATTCCTTCAATCAAAAGAGATTAGACTGGAGATGTACATATCGGGCCATGTTGAGGAAATGGCTAAAGAGTTCCCAATAGATGTAGTGAGAACAGGTTCCTTTTTGGTGCTGACCAAGACCGCTGCCAACTTACAAGAGATAATGAACAAATATTATGATGCTGTCAAAATCTGTCATAGTCTTCTACAGATCAAACCTGCCACAAACAACAACAACAACATGTTGTTGACGACAGTGGATGTTGACTCAATACTCAATGATATTGTCAACACAACGCCCGCGCCTCAAGTCTATCCACACACAATTATTTAATTATTTATAGATTATTTATCCAAAGTCAGTAGTTTATTTCCAGAACCATAAAATATCCAGTTTTTTGATCGTTGAACAAATTTTTGTTGAATCTGGTCAATCTGTTCCCAGAAATGATAAATACATACAGATAAAATGATATAGATACTAGATAGGTTGAGTCCTCATTTGGACATTGGCCATAAACCAATGTACCAGATTAGACAAGTGGTAATTATTCAAAGAAAGATCTCGAGACAATGTCTATGTATACGTACTCATTACAAAGTCACATCATCATTATCTCAAATATACATATACATATACATATACATATACCAAGAGGATGAAGATAAGATATAATCAGATGTTGGGTGTGTTGGAGAAGGCTTTGGCACCATGTAAGAAGGGTGCTATGTTCTTGTGCAAGGGTGAGACTGAGTTGCCAATGCCAAGGATCGAAGTGAAGGATGTTGGTCTGCTCTCATACCCAGTGCCACCAGTACAGATACAAAGTATGATTGAACGAGCCACTCGTGCACCTTATGGCAAAGGAACAGAGACCATCACAGACCTCAATGTGAGACGTGTCTGGCAGATACAGAACACAGACATCAACATCACTGGCAAGCCATTTCAAACATTCTTCACAAGCATCACCAACAGCATCAAGGAGTCGATGGGTCTCACCAACGATACAGTAACAGCAGAGTTGTACAAGTTGTTGGTCTATGACAAAGGCAGCTTCTTCCTGCCACATCGTGACTCTGAGAAGGCTGACAACATGTTTGGAACACTCGTGTTGTCATTGCCATGTCCACATCGAGGTGGTGACCTTGTTGTCAATCATTCAGGTCGTGATGAAGTGGTGTCATTGGAGAATGACTCAATGTCAACGATCAAATGGACAGCATTCTTTGCTGACTGTCAACATGAAGTCAAGCCAGTCACTGAAGGCAATCGAGTGTGTCTCGTTTACAACCTGTTGAGATCAGGTGGCACCAAAGTGGAGATCAACGCAGCATATGAGCCCATCACTAAAGCATTCAATCAAGTATTTGGTATTGGACATGATGAAGTCAATGATGATGACACAGTGGATGACGAGAACACGGCCACGTTGGACGAGGATCAAAAGAGTGACGATGAATCAGATGATGAAGACAATGACGATGTTCAATCAGATGTAAAGATTACCAAGAAAGCCAGGACATCTCTGACAACCAACACAACAACCCAAGTTGATGTGCAAGAAGAGGATGATGACAATGACAATGAAAACAATGAGGATGAAGATGTTGATGTTGATAACGATGAGGATGATGATGATGATGATAATGTATATGAAGACAAAGACCAGGATGACAATGATGAGGAAGACATGAATAGCAAGGGCAATCATATCCCAGAGAAGTTGGTATATTCTCTTGAACATGTATACTCCAAGTCCAACTTCACGTTGGAGTCTCTCAAGGGCAGTGACGCAACATTGGCACGAACATTACAAGCCTTTGCCAATGAGTCCCATATCAAACTGGGTCTGGCATTCATTCAAATCAGGGAGTAAGTATCAATATCTACTCAACATGGATGTTCATACTAACATTATTTATTTATTAAGAGCTGGACCATGTGAATCACCTGGATATTGTAATGAGAAACACATATCATCAAGAACATCGATCATACTTAAAGATGTCAAAGATATGGAGACTGGCTCGATCATTTCAGAGGAGATACGGCTTAGGACCAAGGAGATCATGCCACGTGGATGCATCAACAAACTCAAACCATACTTTGAGGAGACAAGGGAGGCAACAGGTAAGATTGAGTACATTCTATGTACAAGCTCACTCACTCAATCATTCAATCAACTTTAGGAAATGAAGGTGGATCATTCGAGAGACTATACAGACAATCAGCCATTGTAATATGGAGTACTTTGTCTACGGGCAAGTTCACAATGGTGGAATCAGTGGATGTTGTGTTTGAGATATTGGAGAATGAGTTGACCAAACTTGGAAGCATAGATGCCAACCCTAAGGCAACTCAAGAGTTGTTCATTCAAATGATCAGGTCACTAGATAGTCATCCAAAGAAACCAGACCATATCACCAAGATCCTCCAACTATTATCAACAATCAAGGATGGTCAATATCTTCCAAAGATATTACAAACATTGTTGGAAACAACTGGTGTACTTTATTGCACTGAAATGCATCAGAATGCATTCTTGGAACTATTCCTCAGAACACCATCAATGACTTACGAGTCTATGGACGAGATATTGAAGACATTCAGCAATGCAGTCCTTGAAGGTTCATTGTTGGGCATGTTGGACAAGTTGTTGGAGATGTTTGCTCCCGAGACAAGCATTCATCATGATAAGTGCACTCTGCTTCCAAAGTTTGTCGATCAATTTATCGATCGATTGGACAAAATAGAATATATTGACAGACTAGTATCAATCATACAACATCCAATAATCGACGAACTTAGACATCTCCAGGACAAGATATCATCATTGGCAAGCCATCTACTCATTCCAAAATTCATCCCAATTCCAAACACAAGATATAATGTCGTTCAACCAAACCAGAGTTTCAGCACAACCATCTCAATGGTGGATACAATGTCCAAACAACTCAAAGATGGCACAGCACTTTTCTTCGTGAACGACACATTGCTGAGCCAGATGTACACAAACGCCTTCAAAATTATCATCGACAATAGATCATACTTTGACTATTCAATGATACTTCCAATGCTTCCAGTCATTGAACAACTCAATGTGGCCCATCCAGAATGGTTGGCTGACGACGAGAACAAGTATTATCAATCATACCTCAAGAAGTTGATTGACTACAAGTTGGAAAACTCTAATGAGACGATTTCCAACAATCTTTATTCAATCTGGAGAGCTGTGCATGCTGAGGACTCAATCATCAAAGCTTTCATCGCCAAGATATGTATCAAAGTGATCAGAATTCGAAAGATTCTAACCAGATTGCTTGGACTCTTGCACAACGAGTTTGCCGACTCGCCACACTACGCCACATTATGGGATCAAGTTGCCAAAAGCATTTTGAAGCAGGCCAAGACCAAGCCAGACACAACAGACAACAAGTTCGATATTGCAGTCGATTGTGATTGTGACGATTGTGGGGGAATCAAGAAATTCCTTATATCCAATGAGACCAAGCTGAACCTGTACGTGTCCAAGTGGGATTGTAGTCTTGACCATGTTATTGAGATGACTGAAGACCTCCCACTTGAAAGAAAGGCAACGAGATATCCATACTGCTCACTAGAGTTGACCAAAACAGAGGAAGGTAAACAAGAGTTATTGGATATGTACAATCAAGCTGTCAACATATGTCATAGTCTGGTCAAGATACCTCCTTCAAACATATCCAACTTGGACAATGCTGGTGACCTTGACGCAATGAATGCCATAGTCAACTCGACTCCTGCACCACAAGTCTATCCACACGACATGCCACCCAAGACTCCACCAATGGTTTTAGATGAGCCAATGGAAGACGATGATAATGATGATGATCAAGAACCATAAAATATCCAGCTTACCCTATTTTTGGTGAATGATAATGAAGCTAGTGATGGCGATCATTCATTCAATCACCCAAAGCGTGTACATATATAAACATACAGATAACATAATTATTACATGATGTAGCGATCAGTTACTCCTTTGAGAATCAGATAAAGGGTCATTAAACCAATGAACCAGATTAGCAATCACATTCAGATCTAGACTAACAGCACTCTTTAAATACAGCCACAAAGTAACATCATCATTGTCATCATCTTTATCATCAACAAACATACTTAAATATGTATAAACTTATAGATCCACAAAATAATAAGATAGATTGTAAATATAACAAGGAGTTGGGAGTGTTGGAGAAGGAGTTGGCTCAGTTTAAGAAGGGCGCGATGTTCCTGTGCAAGGGTGAGGCGGAGTTGCCAATGCCAAGGATCGAGGTGAAGGATGTTGGTGTGCTCTCATACCCAGTGAGACAGGATCAGTTGCAAAGTATGATTGAACGAGCAACACGTGCACCATTTGGTAAAGGAACAGAGACAATCACAGACCTCAATGTGAGACGTGTCTGGCAGATACAGAACACAGACATCAACATCACTGGTGATTACTTTGAAACCTACTTCAACACCATCACCAACAGCATCAAGGAATCATTGGGTCTGACCAAAGAGGTGGTGACAGCCGAGTTGTACAAGTTGTTGGTCTATGACAAAGGCAGCTTCTTCCTGCCACATCGTGACTCTGAGAAGGCTGACAAAATGTTTGGAACACTCGTGTTGTCATTGCCATGTCCACATCGAGGTGGTGACCTTGTTGTCAATCATTCAGGTCGTGATGAAGTGGTATCATTGGAGAATGACTCAATGTCAGCAATCAAATGGACAGCATTCTTTGCTGACTGTCAACATGAAGTCAAACCAGTCACTGAAGGAAATCGAGTGTGTCTCGTTTACAACCTGCTGAGATCAGGTGGCACCAAAGTGGACATCAATACAGAACCAGAACCAATCACTCAAGCACTCAATCAAGTGTTTGGTCGTGTCGATGAGTCCAATCTCAAGCGCAAAGATGTTGAAGAGAGCGAGGAGCGAGATGGAGATACCGAGGACAAAGTCATCAAGATGGCCAAGACATCAACAACTACAAGCAAGACTACCAGAGTTGATAATGAGGATGGAGATGATGATGACAAAGACCAGGAGGCAGAAGAAGTCTTTATCCCTGAGAAATTGGTTTATACGCTTGAACACGTGTACTCAAAGTCCAACTTCACTTTGGAGTCACTCAAAGGTTGTGATGCAACACTGGCGCGAACATTGCAAGCCTTTGCCGAGGAGTGCCAAATCAAACTCGGTCTGGCATTCATATATGTTACAGAGTAAGTACATATACCTATTCAACTAAGTGATGTAACTAATCATAGCGTTCATGTCATGGTTGGAACAGAACTGGAGGTTGCGAAGATGGTGGATATCTTGATCCAGACTCGACCAAATTCAGATTGATGAATGTAAAGGACTTGGTGACTGGGGCCATGCTGGAGGAGACAATGCCTCTAGACACCAGAGAGATCATGCCTAATGGATGTCTGGACAAGATAAAACCATACTCTGAGGAGGCCCATGAGGCAACAGGTAGGTTTAGATTACTTCATAAGCCAATGTATGTTTATTGACCTCCTCATCACTCATAGGCAATGAAGGTGCATCATACGAGAGACAGTATAGACAATCAGCCATTGTGATATGGAGTACAGAATCAATGGGCAAGTTCACGATGGTACTCTCAAAGGAGGTCGCGTTCAAAATACTCGAGAAGGAGTTGTCCAAACTTGGAAATGTGGATGCCAACCCTTTGGCGACACACGACCTGTTCATTCAAATGACCAAGTCATTGTTCAGATTGAAACCAACATCAGAGTTTGTCACCAAGATGCTTGGACTGCTATGCTCAATCAAGTCTGATCAATACCTTCCCAAGATGATGTTGGCCATGCTCGAGACCACTGGAAGCCTCTATCAAACTGGAATGCATCAGGATGCATTCTTTGAACTGTTGCTCCAACGGTCTTCAATGAATCAAGAGAACATTGACAGTGTGATGTCATCATTCTTTGCAGTTGTCCCAGTAAGAGCTGCACTTGACATGATGATCAAGCTATTAGATGTTATCAGTTATACACCTGACACACTCGATCATATTGCTGGAGCCACATTGCTCCCCAAGTTGGCCAATCAGATCATCAACAGACTGGATGCAGTGGAACTGTGCGAAATTATGATCAGCACCGTCCAACAACAAAAGGTGTTTGATGGACAACGACAACAACTACTGGACAAGTTGGTATCGGTCGCTCAAGAACTCCTCATGCCCAAGAGTGATGAAATGAGATGGTCTGATTATTTCTCCAAACATTGGTCTCGCTTCCACAAAGACCTCAAACAACCAACTGTGACATTCGACACGATCATTTCAAAGATTGAGAGTCTGGAATCATCACTGGGTGATGGCAATGCGCCAATCTATGTCACCGACTCATTTCTTTGCCAAATGTACACACAGGCATTCAAGGTTGCTACTAAAGGAAGCAATCTTGACTACATTCTGCCAGTCCAACCAAACATTGAACGACTCAATGCTGCGCACCCCTCTTGGGTAGCCAACAACCCCTCCTACGATGAGATGCTCAAGATGATGATCGACTACAGGTACGATTCCAAAGATGGTGACCACAATCAAACGGCCAACAAACTTTATGCATTATGGAGGTTGGTGCATGCCCATCCAGGAACACTCATATTCGACTATGTCACCAACATAGATGGCTTAAAACCGAGGGATCATTACTACAACCATGCCAAAGACATCCCTATCGACGCACTTGTATTATTGTTGGGACTCCTGCACACTGAGTTTGGAAACTCTCCCCATTACACCACTCTTTGGGATAATGTTACCAAGACACTCAAAAGCAGGATAGTGATCAGGCACGATGCAGACCCCAATTTCAAAGTCTACATAAATTGTACATGCGACACCTGCCAAGACCTGGTCAGCTTCCTCCAATCCAAACATGTATTCACGAAGATTTCTGTCTACACAGATAGAATGGATCATTTCCTAAAGGAGGCAGCAAACTTCAAGCTTGAGGTTAGCAAGGGTTACTTTAATACTTTAGAGTTAAAAAAGACCAGCGGATTCTATGAGGTCAAGTTGGACCACCACAATGCCGATATCAATAGGTGTCACTGTCTCTTCCAATTGAGGCCCCCAAACAGAGATGAGGTACTCAGAGATGTCATCTGCTTGAAACCTGCACCAGAAGTCTATCCACACACCTTGGCAAAGGTAATCACACCCATCACACCAACCCTACGACTCAGACGATGAATACTAGTTGGTTATCTGGCACCATTATATTTACTAAGTTAATTAAGTGTTTATTAAATAAGTTTGTTACCGATTATATCCATCTAATGTCTGTTTATTTAGGACTTGATTATTGAGCGCACAGCATGCGGGACTCAATGTCGAAGGGAAACTGTGGAAAGATGTTCATGGTGGATTGATGTGTTTGTAAATCGGTGGAATAGACTAGGTAGATAATTGAAGTGTCTTTCTGATTCACAACTAATGAAACAATGTAACCGGATTGATCAAACGCAAACTGAGCATTGGTGTTGGTTTCCACTTTAAACACTCTCTTGAACTTCTTGGCGCTAATGTCCAGTACGCCAATTTCAATGTGTTTGTCCTGTTGGATGCAGGCATACAATGTAGACTGATACATATAGAGCTGTTGAACACTGCCGCCGATCATATCCAGGTAATATGGTATCTCCACGTATTCAAATGTCTTGGTCTTCAACGAGTATATGCCTATTGGCAACGAGAAGATTGGGATGCCGGTAAAGATCGACACATTGTATCCATACAGATAGTACAAATGAGTTGTACTGTCATATTGGCCATAAGCATATAACATGCATTTGTTACCTTTAAATGGAATGTTCACACTGATTGATGTGGTATGTATGTCATTCATACAAGGGATGAGTTGTTAGAGGATTATAGCATAACATTAATAATTGGCACGGTAGTGTTCTTCTTACACTGATTGATTGTTCAGATCAAAGATTGCGAGGTTTGACACTGAGGTATTGTCGCAATAGGTGGCCAATGCCAGTCCACTTTCAAGGTCTACAGAGTTGACTTGATAGATGATAAAACCATCGTTTGCCAACTCTTCATTGAACATAGCCTTTGTCGTCAGTTCTCCAGTCTGTCTGGTCAGATTGAATTGTTAATAATGATGAGCACCTGTAGGATATTGTCCTATCAATCAATCAATCATACCTGACCGTTAAAGATGGATATAGACATGTCCGTACCAAGCCCTTGGACCATGACCATGTAATCATTGCCGGAGCATTGGAGGAGGTCGACGACGAATGGGCTCACCTGGTTCTGTATTAGTTGGCCAGAAGTAAAGTTGAAAAGAGTGAAATTGCCATTTGTGATACATCTGAATGTCGACAATGTAGTTGGGCGGGAATCAATGCAGGATGACTGTGACCAAAACAACACCAACGACAACAACAACATCCACGATACTCTATGTTGTGTTATCATGATTAGATTGAGATGAGTGAGTGAGTGAGTGAGTAAGTGAGTATATTATATATTCGTTGATTTTAAACAATAAGGTATATAATTCATTGAGATACAAGTACTTGTTGTATAGTAGTAGGGTAGTCTGATGAGGGAGAGATATGACTTGAAGACAAGTAAGAACATTCCTTGGAATGACATCTGAACCTTTGACATTGAAAGTAATTGGATACCTTCCAAGAGCAGGATTAATTAACATTTTTGATTGGTTTGGAAAGTCGTCAGGCCCAGCAACATCGTAAAAGTTGGGCGAAACTTCATCCCCACTTGATCATTGTATCACATCAGTTGAAACAGATAAACATAGACAGATAACTGAGCCACTCCATATGGAGGAGAAGGCATAGTAGCTAGATGAAGGATGTTTATCATTGGTACATACCAATGAATGGATGAATGAACAACAGATTTAAATCTGGGGATCTTGATGACTCACATCATCATCATCAACGTCAACATCAACATATATTACTTACCTACTACAACAACAACAACAACAACAACAACAACAAACAAATGAATAATGGTATACCGCACAGTCAAGATAGATTATAATAAGGTATTGGGAGTGTTGGAGAAGGCTTTGAAACAATGTAAGACGAGTACAATGTTCCTGTGCAAGGGTGAGACTGAGTTGCCAATGCCAAGGATCGAGGTGAAGGATGTTGGTCTGCTCTCATACCCAGTGCCACCAGTACAGATTCAGAGTATGATTGAACGAGCCACTCGTGCACCATTTGGCAAAGGAACAGAGACCATCACAGACCTCAATGTGAGACGTGTCTGGCAGATACAAAACAAGTATATCAACATCACAGGCAAGCACTATCAAACCTACTTCAACTCAATCACCAAGAGTATCAAGGAATCAATGGGTCTGACCAACGAGGTAGTGACAGCAGAGTTATACAAGTTGTTGGTCTATGACAAAGGCAGCTTCTTCCTGCCACATCGTGACTCTGAGAAGGCTGACAACATGTTTGGAACACTCGTGTTGTCACTGCCATGTCCTCATCGAGGTGGTGACCTGGTTGTCAATCATTCAGGTCGTGATGAAGTGGTGTCATTGGAGAATGACTCAATGTCAGCAATCAAATGGACAGCATTCTTTGCTGATTGTCAACATGAAGTCAAGCCAGTCACTGAAGGATGTCGTGTTTGTCTCGTTTACAACCTGTTGAGATCTGGTGGTACCAACGTGGACATCAACGTTGATTCAGAATCAATCACTCAAGCATTCAATCAAGTGTTTGGTCGGTTCACCAAAAAGCCCAGTCATATCCCAGAGAAACTGGTTTATACACTTGAGCATGTCTACTCCCTTTCCAACTTCACATTGGAGTCACTAAAGGGCAGTGACGCAACATTGGCACGCACCTTACAGGCCTTTTCCAACGAGGCCCAGATCAGACTTGGTCTGGCATTCCTTCTCATCACAGAGTAAGTCGTTCATTACAATTTCATTGATCAAACAATGATCATGACTCTAACAAGCTCATGTGGTAAAGGGAAGGAATATACGAATATGATGAAGATCCAAGTAGTACCACAATCATATTGAATGATGTCAAAGACCTTGAGACTGGAACAATACTTGAGAAGAACATGCCCCTTGACAACGGTGAGATCATGCCCGATCGATGTCTGGACAAGATCAAACCATACTCAAAGGAGGCCCAAGAGGCAACGGGCAATGAGGGTGCTTCATATGATCGACTATATAGACGATCGGCGATTGTGATATGGAGTACAGAGACCTTGGGCAAGTTCACAATGGTACTCTCAAAGGAACATGCATTCGATACATTGGAGAAGGAGTTGTCCAAACTCGGAGGAGTGGACGCCAACCCACAATCAACACACGATCTGTTCATTCAAATGACCAAGTCATTGTACAGAGTTCGTCCAACATCAGAGTTTGTCTCCAAGATGCTTGAACTGCTGTGTTCAATCAAGTCTGATCAATACCTTCCCAAGATGATGTTGGCCATGCTCGAGACCACTGGAAGCCTCTATCAAACTGGAATGCACCAGGATGCATTCATGGAACTGTTGCTCAAAAGGCCTTCAATGAATCATGAGAACATTGACAGTGTGATGTCATTTGCATCTGTCGTCCCAGTGGGTGATGGCATGGACATGTTGATCAAGTTGTTGGACATTATCAATCATACTCCCCAAATGCGATCAACAACACTATTCCCCAAGATGGCCCAACAACTTATCAAACGATTGAATAATGTCCAACAATGTGACACACTCATCAGTATAATCCAGCAACAGAAAGTGTTTGATGGACAACGACAACAACTCCTGGACAAGCTAATAGTTGTCGCTCAAGGACATCTCATGCCCGATCATCAAAAGATCAGATGGACCAGAGATTCAATCAAGGATACCGAAGTCACATTGGCCACGTTGATAACAAATATTGAGAGTCTCTTCAAGACACTTGGCGAGGGACAAGCTCCCATATACATCAACGAATCATTCCTTGGTCAAATGTACAAGAAGATATTCGATGATATCAAAACATGGAGAAGCCTTGACATTGAATGTCTTCTGCCAGCCTTGCCAATCATTAATCGTATCAACTTGGTATATCCATACTTGGTAATGGAGAACAATGACTATGACTCGATGCTCAAGAACCTCATTGAATACAAGTATAAATACGATATGACAGACGACAATCTAGCAGCGAACAAACTATATTCAATCTGGAAGTTGGTGCGTGGCAATGATTCACTCCTCACAGCCTTTGTCAACAATATCTGTGGACTCAAGAAGCCAACATCAATGTATGATACGGATAAGCCTATCGAGTTCCCATCTGGAACACTCATATTGTTGCTTGGACATCTGTACCCTGAGTTTGTCAGCACAACACAATACATATCACTCTGGGATCACGTGACCAAGGAGAACTTGCACAAGACAATGAAGAAGCCCGACATTGACGACCCCAGTATAGAGGTCAAGTGGCATTGTTCATGTGTGTCGTGTTCAAAGGTGACTGATTTCCTCCGTTCAATGGACACATCCTTGAAGATGACGGTCTCGAAATTCCTCGACCAGAAGAATGTGATGATCATGGTGGATCGATTCAAACTGGATAAAAAGATTCTAAAGGATTCCAATGAGGAGGAAGAGGAGGAGGATGATGGAGATGGTGCGACCACTATATTATTGACAAAGTCCAATGATTTCCAACAACTCAAGTTGAACATATACAATGATGCCATCAACATCTGTCACAGTCTATTCCAGATCAGGCCGGCCAACAGCGACTATCTACTCACTAGTGTGATCAACAAATTCCCTGCGCCCGAAGTCTATCCACACACTTTAGCCAAGATCATAACGATCCCTGAACCTCCAAATGAAGTTAAATCAGAAGATGATGATGATTATGATGATGATGATGATGAAGTTGGTGAAGATGAAGTTGATTAATTAATTAATTGCAAATAAATGATGTTCAATCTCTTCCAAAATTGGTAAAGTGGTTAGAGTCCACTCGGTCGAATTACTGATCATGTGATCAATCACAAACACATATATATATACACAAAAGAGAGAGAGATATGATTATACAGTATAATAATAATAATAAAGAGTTGGAGAAGGCTTTGGCACAATGTAAGAAGGGTGCTATGTTCATGTGCAAGGGTGAAGCTGATTTGCCAATGCCGAGGATTGATGTGAGGGATGTGGCCGACCCACTGTCATTTCCAGTGAGACAGGATCAGTTGCAGGGTATGATCGAACATGCTACACGTGCACCTTATGGCAAAGGAACAGAGACGATCACAGACCTCAATGTGCGACGTGTCTGGCAGATACAGAACACAGACATCACCATCACGAGCAATCATTTCCAGACATTCATGAGTGGCGTGATCAGCGTCATCAAGGAGTCGATGGCATTGGTGAACGAGACAGTGACAGCAGAGTTGTACAAGTTGTTGGTCTATGACAAAGGCAGCTTCTTCCTGCCACATCGTGACTCTGAGAAGGCTGACAACATGTTTGGAACACTCGTGTTGTCGTTGCCATGTCCACAACGAGGTGGTGACCTGGTGATCAATCACTCAGGTCGTGATGAAGTGGTGTCATTGGAGAATGACTCGATATCCACGATCAAATGGACAGCATTCTTTGCTGATTGTCAACACGAAGTCAAGCCAGTCACTGAAGGCAATCGAGTGTGTCTCGTTTACAACCTGTTGAGATCAGGTGGCAAGAAACTGGACATCAGCATAGCATCCTCTTCATCCATCATCCAAGGATTCAAACAAGTCTTTGGTGGTGCTGATGCGGAGATGGAGATGAAGGACGACCACATGGATTCCGAGGATGATGATGAAGATGATGAGGATGACGTCAAGATCGTCAAGAAGTCCAAGACATCGACAACAACAAACATAACAACCAAAGTTGACAGTGATCAATCAGATGACGAAGATAGTGATGGTGATGATGGTGGCGGCGGTGTTGGTGATGGTGAAGGTGAAGTTGATCTCATACCCAAGAAGTTGGTGTATTGCCTTGATCATGTATACTCTATTGCCAACTTCACTTTGGAGTCACTCAAGAGCAGTGATATATCATTGGCGCGTACATTATTGACTCTTGCCGATGAATGCAACATCAAACTTGGTCTGGCATTCATTCATATCAAGGAGTAAGTACCATACATACATCACTCATTCATCAATCATTCAATCATTCACTCACTCATTCCCTCGTCCACTCAAGATCTGGAGACTGCATGGATGGCGAGTTATTTGGTATAAATAAATCGAGTATCATATTGAATGATGTCAAGGACCTTGAGACTGGTACCATCCTCGAGCAAACAATGCCCCTTCATCATAATGAGATCATGCCATCTGGTTGTCTCGACAACATCCGTCCATACTCTGACGAGACCAAAGAAGCAACAGGTATGATACCCATTCAATCAATCAATCATTTTCATACTAACATACACATGTGCACCCAACAGGTAATGAAGGTGGAACGTATGAGAGGCAGTACAGACGATCAGTGATAGTGGCATGGAGCCAAGCGATCATGGGCAAGTTCACAATGATCATTTCAACTGATGTCGCTTTGAAAGTGATGACCACAGAGTTGGCCAAGCTTGGAGGCATCGATGCCAACCCAAAGGCAACACATGATCTGTTTGATCAAATGTTCAAATCGTTGAACAGAGTGACCATCACACCGGACCACGTTTCCAAGATGCTGGGACTATTCCAATCAATCAAGAATGATCAATACCTTCCCAAACTACTTCAATACTTCTTTGTGTATGCTGGAAACCAAGTCACTGGATCTGATGCTCATTTGGATGTCATCCAGGAACTATTGCTAAAGAGACCGTCAATGAACAAGGACGACACGATGCTTATGATGATGACTGGTTTCATGTCACTTGTTACTCAGGATGTGGCTCAGACTATGATGTCCAGGTTGTTGTCGTACGTGACATCTTCCCCAGAGGACACGCGACTGAACGACATATTGCCCATACTGGCCAATCAGCTCACAAGAAGTTTGGACACGATCGAGCAATGTGACAAACTTATCAACATGGTCCAACATCATTCATTGTTTGATGACGATAGACAAGAGATATTGGATGCGATATCATTGGTCGCTGGTGAACTACTCGTTCCAAAGATGCCCAAGTCTGATCGATCGTGGCCAGGAAGATCAGTCGTTGCCAAACCGCGCAAAGGTCAGACCTTGAATACCATCACCAATATCGAGCGATTGGCCAAGTTGCTGAGTGAGGGCATAGCTCCAATATACGTGACCGACTCAATACTATGCAATATGTACAATCAGGTACTTAGAATCATTGATGTCCAACGAGATGGCACTGGCCTAGGTGAGGAGGAGCTCATGGCCTCGATGCCCATCATGGAGAGGATCCATACAGCGCACCCTGAATGGATCAAGAATCAACACTACACTGGTGTGCTACAACTTTTGATCGATCATAAGCCTATCGACCAAGAGGGCGCACATCTGTATATGATCTGGAGGATCATGGTCCAAGATGGTGGCCGCCACCTCCAGTTGTTTGTCAACAAACTCTGTGGTGGCGTCACATCGAGCGCGCTCCTCAACTTGCTCAAACTTCTGCACGCCAATGAGTTTGCTGCCGCCAACTCGAGCACCAACACACACTACGCGACACTCTGGGTATATCTCACCAAGATCAACATCACGCTGGCAAAGACCAAGCCCACAGGCAACCAATTATGCGTCATCATGCCAACATGTCAATGTAGCAACTGCAAGAAGATGGCTACATTCCTGAGTTCACAGAATACGGTCCAGGAGTTCTCATTCGACACCCGTGACAATCGTAGTCATCTTGAGTCCGTTGCCAGCAGGTACAGCCTGGGACAAGTGTATGGCAGAGGTCGGCACCCACAGCCATTGACCGTGAAGAAGACCCCCGCCAACATTGCCGAATCACTAAACAGGTATAACGAGGCGGTCATCATTTGTCATGGTCTGTCACCGATCAGACCTGAGGCTGCAGCAGCAGGACCGACTGGTGACATTCTCAATGAGGTGATCAATGGCACGCCCATGCCAATTGTTGCCAACGTGGACGAAGAGGATGAGGAGGAAGACGATGGTGATGTGGAAGTCATACGCTAGCCCATAATTATTTTGTCTCGAGATATATGCATGGACCATGTCTGCATGCCAGAGGGGTGCGAATGGGCACCCTTGAACAGGCTCTTCCCCCACGTGTTGTTCCAAACTGACAACCCGACACCCACCACAAACACCAAAAATAAAAAGTTTGATCGTTTTTGTGATCAAAGATTCGTTTTTGGGGTTATTTATTGGGGCCGGTTTACCTGTCTACAGACAGATATCTGTTATGACTGAGACTGATGGCGGGCGCTTTGTTCAACGTGAAGAACGTCCAAACGTCATCACACATCATACCCTACCCTTACATATCACTCCTGAGTCTGCGATATGTCATGCGATCTATTTAATGATGACACACATCATCAGAGTCTGACTCTTCATAATAATCATATATTTATTTTAACCAAACTACAAACATACAGATAAATAATTATAATAATAATAATGTTTTCAAAGAGTTTGAGTCTACTTCTTATCCTGAGTTTGTCACTCTTTATCTCCACTTGTAAGCAATTCTCACCCATTCTCATCAACTAGCTCACTCCATCACTCACGACTGACTCACTTTAATCAATCATCCAAAAAGGTAATGGAGCTATAGTTGTGACAGCAATCGACTATGCTGGTACATTTGCTAATATGGGTGCTACTGGAATGACTGGAACCACTGCCATGTACATAAGGAGAGCTGACAACTCCGTATATGCACTCGGTATCGCACAATTGAGCACTTTTGGAGCAAAAATCACCTATGGCTCCGATGTCCCATTGCACGGAACACTCGTTGCCACACAGGGTGGCACAGACTATGATATCGCCTTGTGGGGCGCCTCTCAAATCATCAAGACCTCGGCAATTTCCACTGCTGGCGGTCCGATCACTATTGTCGGAGCCCTCTTCCAGAACGACCCAGCCATCAACCAACTCAGCCAACTTGTTGTCCTTATCCCACCCAATACTGTTTCGTTCATTGTCACCGCCACTCAAATGAACACAGAAACCATGTCCATCTTCAACATCAGCTACGCTGAGTCCCACCCCGTCGGTATCAATTGCATTCAAGGAATGACAACAACTGCCAACATCTACCCTGATGGAGACTACAGCCAATCTGTCACATGGGCCAAGAGAAGGAACCTCTTTACTTTCGGTGTTCAATGTATGTCATGGTACTTTATTGATTGATTGATTGAATGATCAATGTCTGGAATGATCCCATGCTGACACTCCTCCTCCATCACATGCCAACCAATATAGCACCTAGCATGGCCTCGTACCTGTTGGTTAATTCCGGAAATTCGATCCAAATTTCTGGCAACAACTATGGTTGTGATATTAACAAGGTTGTTGTCAAGTTGGCCGGTATCCAATTGACAGTCACCACATTTGTCGACCATTACTCTTTCACGGCAACTCTTCCCAAGGCTTCATCTGCCGTCTTTGATACCACCGGTCTCTCAGTCCCAGGCACCAAGTCTCTAACCATTGCCATCAGTGGTCTAACCATGCCAGCTCAGCCAATTATTATCGGTATGCATCACCTTTAAACCTGAGCAATCAACTTCAAACTAACCTAATCAATCAATCAATCAATCATGTTTAGCTCCATTCATCACCTCTGTTACCAGTGTTCAGAGTGTCACAGGAGGAAGAGTGACCATCACTGGAAGCAACTTGAGCACAAGGAATGCTGACAACTCGACTGTTGCATACACCATTATGATGGGCACCATTGCTTGTGCCGTCGATCCAGAGATGGAGGTCGTGTCCAACAGACTGACCTGTATCATGCCAAGTGCCGAGTACTCGGATGCCTATCAACCCCTTGCCGTCAAGGTCACCATCAACAATGTTGCATCAAGCGGCGACGTCTCCTTCAACTACATCGTTCCATCTTTCACCTCTGAGCCATTCCAATTCGGCCAGGTGATCATCATCAGAGGCGAGAGTATGGGTAGCTTTGAGACCATGCAGGTCTCGTTGGGCGGGGTGAACACCTCGTTCGCCGCCACCATCCTGCGTGAGGCCAGCCAGATTTTGGTCCTGCCAATCGCTTCCACCCCACTCGGCGAGCCACAGACTGTTTTGGTGAGCAATGGAGTAAACCTTGTCGACTCTGATGTCACACTCCAACCGACCAACATGACTGTGTCCAACGTCAGCCTGCCAGTCTCTGGTGGCAGTGTTAACATCACTTGGTCGCCAGTCGAAATGATGAACAATGTGGACAAGGAAGACATTATCGTCCCCCAATGCATCGAGTACGACTGGTCCGTCGCCGGAGATATGATCATCTGTCAGTTGCCAGCCGGTACCGGACTCAACCAGCCACTCACCATCACAGTGTACAACGTTACCGCGTTCACTGGTTCATTCAGCTATTTGTCGCCAGTTCTCCGCAACGTCAGCAGCGTTGGCAAGGATGGAGGTGTGATCACCATCACTGGTGACAACTTCTTCCCAACAGACAATGTTGCCGTCGTCATTGGCGACATTACCTGCAAGAATGTCAATGTGACCGATGAGCACACCATCACCTGCTCGATCGAGAAGGCCGACCTCCCCTCCACCCTGCCCACTGGCGAGCAAGAGATCAAGGTCACCATCGGAGAGCAAGAGGTCAAGGCTCCAGTGTTCACATTCACTCAGCCAACCAACCCAACCACCTCCACTACCTCCACTACCTCCTCCACTACCACCACTTCCCCAACTACCACCACCTCTACCTCTACCTCTACCTCTACTACTTCATCTACCACTACCACTACCACTGCCAACCCAAGCTCAGCAAACCGTCTCATGAATGGAATGATCTTCACAATCTCCGCAAGCCTAATCGGCATGTTGTTGATTGCCTAATCATCATCATATCCTCAAGTTATAAAATAAACACCATTTACATTGAATTGGTAATATTATTGATTGATCTAGTGATTGGAATTCCAAATGGTATACTAGAACTCTCCAAACATAGTTGGAACTAGTTGGGCGAGGCAGCGTGTTGGGTTACACACCCTTTCCCAACATGGTCCCCCAAGAGTGTCACAAAAAGGGTACAAGTGTTTGATCGATTTTGTGATCAAATTCGTTTGTGGGCCAAAAGATATCTTTGTTGTACAACTCCAAGAACAACCAAACGACATCAACCTCGGACTCTTGTTAACTGTTAACAGTCTATCAATTTCATAAGGTTACTTATTTACAAATATACAGATAATGACATCAAATTATACAAGTGTTTTTCTTATCCTGAGCTTGTCTCTAATACTACTCTTTGTTTCATCTTGTAAGTATAAAATTACACTTGATCACTCAATGAATGAATGAATGAATGACTCACTCAATCAATCAAATTAAATAGGTGATGGACAAATAGTTGTAACTGCAATTGATTATGCTGCTAATTATGCTAATATTGCAGCCACTGGATTGTTGGGAACTACTGCAATGTCTATTAGGAGAGCTGATAACAACGCCATTTATGCACTTGGTGTTGATCAAGTGCATGCATTGGGTGCCAGGGTAACCTTTGGCACTGATGCTCCTTTGCATGGAACACTAATTGCAACACAAGGTGGCCAACCAAAAGATATCTGTCCATGGGCCATATCAGCAATGGTAAAGACATCAGCACTACCTACAGCTGGTGGACCCTTAACCATTACTGGTGCCTTCTTCCAAAATGACCCCACCATCAATCAACTTAGCGAGGTCGTTGCACTTGGTACTGCAACTCCAATCTTCCTTGTCACTGCCACACAAATGAACACTGATTCGACTGCCATCTTCAACATCAGCTATCCTGACCTCCACCCAGTCGGTATCAACTGCCTACAAGGACTATCAAACAGCGCTGAGTTCTACCCTGATGGAGACTATGGCCAGAACACCCAATGGGCAAAAAGGAAGAACCTCTTCACCTTCAATATTCAACGTATGTCAAGTGATCATTATGATTGATCGAGGTCTGGAATGATCCCATATTGACCCCCAACACACCCAAACATAGCCCCAACTATCACAACACTCCAACTTATATTAACTGGAACAGTGATCAACATCAATGGTAACAACTTTGGTTGTGACATTTCAAAGGTTGTTGTTAAGTTGAACAAGATATCATTGCCAATTGTCAAGTTGGTCGATCATTACACTATACAGGTCAGTCTGCCCAATGCCACCTCCAACTACTTTGACGCAACAGCTCTCTCAATGCCAGGCAACAAGTCACTAACAATGACAATCAGTGGTCTTGGCGGCAACATGGTTGCTCAAAAATTAACAATCAGTAAGTATAGTGATTGATGGAACACAATCAATCACTCACTCACTCACTCAATCAAACATTTTAGTGCCATTTACTATATCTGTTACCAGAGTTAGTATGATCATGGGAGGAAGAGTGACCATCATTGGAAGTAATTTGAGCACAAGGAATGTTGATAACTCAACTGTGGCATACACCATTATGATGGGCTCATTGACCTGTGCAGTCGATCCACTTATGGAGGTAGTGTCCAACCAACTCACCTGCATCATGCCAAGTGCCACATACGCTCAAGCTGAGCAATACATGCCAGTCGTCGTCACAATCAATGGTGTGTCATCAATTGGCAACATAGCATTTAGCTACATCCAGCCCTCTTTGACCTTCCAACCATTCCAATTCGGCCAACAGATTGTAATTAGTGGCAAGGATATGGGTACCCTTGATACCATGCAGGTCGAGTTCAATGGAGTGAACAGCACATTCTCTACCACCCTCCAGCGTGATGATGGCACTCAGATCATGTTGCTTCCAGTCCCAGCATTGGTCCCACTTGGTGAGCCTAAGCCATTGAACACGATGAACAATGGACAGTCTATAGTCGAGGCAGAAATATCAATTCGAGAGATGAACATCACCTTGTCCAACACCACCATGCCCGTCACTGGAGGTTTGGTTATCATCACTGGTGCACCAGTTGGACTGTTCAAGCCGATGATCATCAATGATATTGGTGTCCCTCAATGCAAGTCCATCGAATGGATTGAAGACCCACCAAAGATCAGCTGTCAATTGCAAGGTGGCAGTGGTCTCAACATGCCACTCACAGTCACCTTGTACAATGTTACAGCACTCACGACTACATTCAGTTATTTATCACCAGTACTATACAGTGCAAGCAGCATTGGCCAAAATGGAGGTGTGATCACAATCATTGGTGATAACTTTGCCCAAGTTAATGATCTGGCCGTGGTCATTGGTGGCATCACATGCAAGAATGTCCAAGTAACCGATGAGCACACCATCACATGCTCTATCCACAAACAAGACTTGCCATCAACATTGCCAACTGGTGAACAAGTGGTCAAGGTCACAATGGGACAACAAGATGTTCTTGCTGCATTGTTCACATTCACTCAGCCACCACCAACTACCACATCCACTACCTCCACTACCTCTTCAACAACGACCACAGGTAATCCAAGCTCGGCAGACCGTCTCGTGAACAGTATCATGTTCACAATTGTCATAAGCCTTATTATTAGCATGATGTTGCTCTAACTTAATTATATTTTATTATGGAATACATAAACAAGTACATTAATTGTTTACAACTATCCTACAAAGTGTCATCAATCAATCCCACAAAGGGGAGTGTGGGTTTGATCTCCCCATGTGATTGGTGGTTTGTGAGATAAGTGTGGGTTTTGATTCCCATTTTCAAGGATTTGATGGAGAAAGAGAGATAGTTGATAAAACACACACATAACAACTCTTAAGTTAATGACACATCTAACTTCATCATTATAACATCAACCTATCTATGTATATATATAACATAATCATTAATTAATACATACATACTATTACTATCAATAAACTACTAGATAGTAACAATCGACATTTGTACATAACATCGATAAAGACTGAACAATCAAACATAACAATGTCTTGGAGCAGGTGTAGCATCAATGGCAACAAGTCAATGCCTGTGAGGTGTGCACATTCATCTGTCACAATAGCTTCAACAAACTCTATATATACATTCGGTGGATGGGATGGTGCACAGGTGTTGGAGGATTTGATCAGATTCGATATAGGTATGATCATACATACGTCAATGACTTGTTTGATTGATTGATAGATTAGAGATGTTAACCATTATGACCTTTAGACACATCATCATGGGACTTCCCTCTACCTGTCAATGGCAAGAAGCCATCAAAGAGAGCAGGTCACAGCTGTACCAGACTATCAAACGACACAAGCTTTATCATCTTTGGTGGATCAGATGGTGAACACTACAACTCTGATGTCTACCTCTTTGACATTGGTATGTGATGTCATGTTATGGTCACACTCATACTTCATACTAATCGTTGAACGACGACTCAAACAGATAAGATGCAATGGAGTGAGATACAGACAACTGGAACGATACCACAGTCTAGGTCTAGACATAGTGCCACACTGGTACAGGGACAGAACAAAGTATATATATTTGGAGGATCAGATGGCCATGGCATATCAAACTCACTCTATGTACTGGATGTCCTGACGTGGAAGTGGTCCATTCCCAACTGTATCGGTGATCCACCACCCGCGACATGGGGACACACTTCCTTCCTCTACAACAACTGTCTATACTTCTATGGTGGATGCTTGGGCGACTCAATGTCTGGCAACATGAACATCCTTAACCTATGTACGCATGCTCATCAACATGCCATCACTCACTCTCAATCATTCATTCACTAACTCAATCAATCAATGTAGCCAATCATGAATGGAAAGTGAATGTAAAGGTTGATGTCGAGGCTGGTGGAGTAGCACCTGTGAGCAGAGCAGGCCACTCGTGCACATTGTATAAAGACAGAGCGATTGTGTTTGGTGGCGCCACAGACAATGATAAGATACTCAATGATACGTTTGTCTTGGACATTGAGGCAATGTCATGGAAGAAGTTCTCTGGCGACAATACACCGACGTTACGATGCGCTCACACTGTCGAGCATGTAAATAATAGGTTCTACATATTCGGAGGCAGCGATGGCAAGCACTACTTCAAGGACATATCGATACTGGACGCCGACAAGGTCATTGCCAAGATTGAACAGGCACCCAAGAAGAGAGTGCGACTAAGACCCATCAAGAACTCGAATGATCCTGCTCCATTGACCTCATCATCAGACAACACAACGACTTTGACATCATCGACAACTACTACTACTACATCCAATACAAAGACATCACCTTCCAACTCCTCAACAACATCCAACAACAATGTATCTTCGTCCGCCAAGCATGCCAACACTGCAGTCACCAACTCCACGCCATCGCCAGCATCAAGTACCAATGGTGTTGGTCATAATGAACCGTATCAACCTCCATCATCAAGAGGCAACACCAACAATTCATTGAACAATAGCAACAACAAGGTCAACAACAGCAACAACAACAACAACAATCATGCACCAGCCCCTCCACAGCCACCATTATCAAAGAGTCAAACCAGTCTAAAGATCATTCCTCCATCGCCACCCATTCGCTCAACTCCTCCTCCTCCACAACCAATGCCATCCAAGTTGAAGAAAGCTGCAACTCCATCCCCTACAGCTGCCCCAATCATCATTGAACCAAGGATCCAGAAGCCAAAGCGTAAGTGTGTCGACAGTCACAGTGATCACTGATTGATTGTGGCACTAACAATGACATGTCATCACCATCACACTCTACACAGAGATCATTGAATGGCTACAAAGTATCAACTTGTCAAAGTATGAGAGCAACTTTATTCAGAATGGAATCACTCTTGATATCTTGGACTACCTGACAGAGCAACACCTGATTGATGACCTCAAGATTCCAACATTGGGCGCTCGTCTAAAGATACTCAACTGCATTCAGCTGGAGAAGGCCAAACAGCTGGCCAAACACAAAGAGAGAGATGAGAAGGAGGTACTGAGGGAATCGATCGAGAGTCTCAAGGTGATGGCCGACTCGCTCTCAGCCTCTGTCCAAACACTCAGCATGTCATTGAAGCCGACGCCAACCCATACCTCCTATCAGAACGGACACACCAGTCCCAATCTGATGGGAATGAACAATGGACGAGGACGCAGAGGGTCCAATGCCTTTGAGCATCCATTCAAATGATAATAAACATCACATCGACGACGGACAGCGCGTTGGCATTACCTGTTCCTGTATCTATCTGTACTATAAATATAGATTATTTATTATAACGTAGGTTCATTGAACCCTTAGCCTAGCTTCCATATCTTGATGATGTCATCTACACCTCCAGTGGCAATATGTGGATTGTGCGAGCAGAAGTCTAAGCAGGAGATGAAATGTGAATGTGCTTCGTTGATTGTCTTGATACATCTTCCCTGTGCAATGTCCCAAACTCTGATGGTCTTGTCATCTCCAACACTGATCAAGTACTTTCCACATGGATGGAATTTAATGGCCCTTACCCAATTGTCGTGTCCAATCTATATTGTTTGATTGTGTGGATGGATGTATGAGTGATTGATTGATTGATTGATGATTTGATTCCCGTCGACGACTTACATATGTGGCTAAGCAACGACCTGTTGCCAACTCCCAAATCTTAATAGTCTTGTCTCTGGAACCTGTTGCTAAATATCCTGCCTGTCCAAATGATGTGCCACCTGCACCTGCCTTGGCTTTTGACTTGCCCTCTGCGGTGGACATGAGCGAGCCTGGAATCTCAACGATGTTCTCTGGTGAATAGGCCAGACACTCGACAACGTGGCTGTGCTCTCTGAATGTGAGCAGACACTCGCCCTTGACGATGCTCCATACACGTGCCGTCTGGTCGTTGGAGCACGAGGCAATGCTGGTGCCATCCTCGCTGACGATCAGCTTGCGCACCCAGTCCTCGTGGCCCGTCAGAGTCTTTGTGCAGTAGCCCGTGGCCGTCTCCCAGACCTTGATGGATTTGTCACGCGATGAGCTGACCAGCTGGTCGCCCGACGGCAGAAATCGCACGCAGCTGACATTGTGATCGTGTCCGTGTAGCGTCTTGAGACAGTCGTACGTCTGGAAGTCCCAGATCTTGATGGTGAGGTCTGCAGAGCACGAGGCCATCAGGTTTCCAGTCTTGTCAAAGTCGATGTCCTGCACGGCGTTGGTGTGTCCTTTCAGAGTTCGTTCAAAGTCTCCGCTGTCAAAGTCGTAGACGCGCATGGTGGCGTCCTCCGAGGCCGAGACGATCACTGAGTACATTGGATGGAAGCGCACAGCGTTGATGCAGTTCCTATGTCCGGTGAGCGTGTGTTTCTCTGGCTGGCGGGGCAGCGCGTCTTCTTTTCCTCGTCGTGCCTGGCCTCCACCGCGTCCGCCATTGTTCAGCTCCTCCTCCAGTTGCTTGACCTTTGCTTCCAGTTCGCCAATCTTTTTATTTAGCCTGATCACTGATGTCCACTTCTTCTCTAGTAGTCCCTTTGCCGTGGCGTCCACCTCGCCAACCTTTGCCTCTTTGGCAAACTCATCTGCACTAGTCTTATATTCGAATGTGGACAAATAATCTAGTATAGCTTGATTACTGGTTTGATTGATTGATTGATGATTGTTACAAGAGTGTCAGTGTATCCTGTCCCTGTACTCATGCGCCTATCATGACCTGTCTTTCCGCTGTTTGATGCACCTACAGTTGATCCTTTTGTTGTTTTGTCAATACCATTGTTGATTGATGGCTGTCTGCCTGCTGTTGTACACCTATGTAGTTGTTGATGGGTCGCGAACCAAACTAAGAGTCTCCTCTTCTATATATTTCTCTCTCTGTCTCTTTCCTTTAAAGTACAATTACTGGTATCTAGTACTGCTGCTGTTGTTGGTAGTTTGTATTAGTACTAAGTTCACAGTGAGTAGTAACGGTTGTGATTGATTGATTGTAAATATTTATAATATGGTTGTGATTGATTGATTGATTGATTATGCAAGTGAGTAGTAGGCGCGAATGATGTTATGAGTGTGTTGAGGTGGTATTTGTTGTGTGTGTACGTGTGTGAGAAGATGTTTGTGTTGTTGCTGTTGAAGTGTGTGTCGCTTGTCGTGTTGAGAGTGAAGTGGTGCGTGTGTGTGTATGTGTTTGAGGTGTTATATATCTCTTTCACTCATTCACTCACACAACCTTAATGAGTCCTTCACTCTCTTTGTCAAGTTTCCAAGGATGAACAAACCTACCTAACCAAAAATAATAAGGACCTGTTATGATGAAATAGCTAAAGTAATATAATATAACAGTAAATATATATGTGTGTATATAATTTATATATATGATGATGATGATGGTTGACCTATCACCTGACAACGGTTGTCTGTTTCTCTCTCTTTCGCAGCAACTAAAGACCAATGGTGGGTGGTGCTCAGTGGTATCTCATGGAAAGGTTGGTGGAGTAATAAAAAAATAAATAACTGGATGGGTCTGAATGGTGTGGGTGACGCAAGTCAATTCAAAATTCAAATCTGCTTTCAACGACCAAATTTGAACTTCATCTTCATCTCTGATTCAATACTAAGTTTATGGGTCTGATCATGATTGGGACAACTATCTCAATCAATGCATTTGCCAACGATTGACAATCAACTCCTTTAATACTTTTATTATTACATATACACATACATATAATATACTTTACGATTATTGCAACAGTGTCATTGTTGCATTATTGGAATAGATTACATTAACAATGTCGATGGTAGAGCAGTTTGTAAAGAGTATGATGATGTACTTTCTGAATGATTGATTGATTGATTGAATAGATACTTACTAACTATTACATATGTATATAGAGAGAGTACTCGTACTGACAGTTGATGGGAGAAGTATTGTTGTAAGTACACTACTTATTAACTTGATCAAACGTTTAGATCCTGATCAATCAATCAAACAATCAACCAAACATAGGGTACATTGATAGGCTTGGACCAGATGATCAACATAGTACTTGAACAGTGTCATCAGAGGATATATTCAGAGGAAGGAGTCAAGGAGTTCAATCTAGGTGTTCATATTATAAGAGGTGATGATGTGTATGTTGTTACTTCCTTAGTGCGCTCGCTGATTGATTGACGGAGATTAACCATCAACTTCCACTTACACATCTACTTAGTGCAATCATTGGCGAGATTGAGAAGGACCTTGATGATAATCTCAACCTAAAAGATATACATGCTGCTCCAATGAAGCCAATCGTTCACTAATCTAGGTACTCTCATCCACGTGCATCAACGACCCTTGAGTGGCGATTCGAAACAACGCTGGGTCGGGGGCACCTCCATATCGATGTGACAGGCATACGACCTCTTGGTCTCATTCACAAGTCAATCAAACAGTAGTCCATGGTTTGATACATCACCTTTAACACCTGCATCAGCGTGAGTGCACTCACCAGCAGACACATAATGCCCGTCCAACCAATGCCCCAACAACATCAACATCATCAACATCAACTCAAGAATGAACGAATGAATGAATGAATGAAGATGGAAAGATAGATAGTATACATAGATCATTTGGGTTTATTCATTCTATTCGTTTCGCGATGTCTGGCATGAAGGCCAGCCTATGATCACAGTATGGTCATCTTGGTTTTGGATTTGCCATGACCAAGACGGTATCTGATCAACCACTTGTGTCTCACCCAGTAGCCAACGCCAACTGCTACCAGTATCGTGCCACAGACTACACCAACAACCACACCAATGATCACGCCGGTGGACAATCCTCCGTTGCCACCACCGCGCTTGCCACAGACGTCGACACGCGAGTTTGGATCCATCAGCAACTGGAAGTCTGGATCGATCACGACACGATCGTTGTACTGGGGAACGTAGGTGGCGACACGCATGTTGATCTGGCCTGTGGCCGAATCGTTGCCAATCACGCGGTTGTTTAGCACGGCTGGGCGGCCGTCCACAACTCCATTCTTGAGGAACCTGGCGTACAGGATGTTGTCATTGAAACGCAGCTGCAGCCAACTGATCTCGAAATCGCCGCCAATCACTCCAAGCTTCTGGTCGGATGTCGAACAGGATGTGATGGCCGAGTCGTTGTTGGACATGCCGCCCGAGAAGACGACGCGGAGCGAGTTGAGACTGGTGTTGAATCGGTAGGATGACAGAGTAATGGTGTACTTGAGTGAGGATGGCGACAGGAAGATTGTCTGGTTGGCAAACTGCACCTGGCCGCCTTGGGTGCCATACAGGTCGATGGTGACGTTGATCACGGTGGCCGTGTCCTTGAGATTGGTGCTGTACATGTACCTGGTCACCTGGTCATTGGATGAGCTGCTGAAGCGCCAGTCAGCCAGTGTGTAGGACTTGAAGACGTCGCCAGTAGCCGATATCTCCTCGACTGCAATGACATTGACAAAACTCTGCGTCTTGGCGATGACTGTGGCGTTGGCACTAGAGTCATCAGTCGAAGTGATGACCATTGTTGGCTGGTCTGTGGCGGCTTGTGCATCGACCTTGTTGTTGGGCTTGAACATGCAGTCGCTGCCCGTCCACTCAATAGAACAGTTGCAGCCAAATGGTGTGCACTGTCCATTGCCGCCACAGGGTGGCGTGCCTGGACATGGAGGTGGCGGTGCAACGTATGTTTTGTTTGTGATGATCAAGTCCTTTGTGTAGACTGTGCCAACTTGTAGTTTGAAGTAACACTGAGCTGCATTCAACACAATGTTACTCTTGGACAAGTCAAAGTCGACGATGAACGCCCCGGTCAGCTTGCTTGGCGTCAAGACATGCACTTTGCCTCCATCACGACAATCGAGTATACCCTTGATCACACTGATGTCCTGGCCCAAGGCATCGCCATACACTGTGAGTGCGTTGGTGAATGATCCTTGGGTGCTGTACACGGTGGGCACATCAATGATCTTGGTGTCCAGCATGTACTGCAAGCCGTTGGCCTTGAGGTCGCCAGACGAGTATCCATTGAAGTTGCTAATGGCGTCGATCAGGCCGTGCACGGACAGGAGCAAACCACCGTATCCAAAGCCAGCTGGGATGTCGACCACTGCGCTAAAGTTCATCAGTGAGTCATAGTTTAGAATGGAGGTCTCCACGGTCAGTACGTCGAATGACATTGACGTGAGGTAGACGACTGGCGCGTGAATCGAGTGTAATCCTGCGTTGCCAGTATCCTCGATTGAGACATTGAACTGGTATCTACGGTTGGGCACCAACGGGGTGATGGTGAACGTCTTGAGGGTGGGTGGCTGGGTGTCCACGATGTTTGGACAGGTGATGGTGACGTTATCCAGACGGCCGCCCAGCGGACTCACAGGGAACGTCGTGCCATACCTGTCATAGGTGACATTGTTTCCAAAGATGTCGGTTGTGATCATCGAGGAAATGTAGTATGTCTGGGACTTGCAGGCTGGCGCGATGTTGACTGTGGCAGACATAGATCCGTTGACCAGACCGAACGTGAATGTGGTGGGATCAGCTGTTGATGCAATGACCACATACAGGTTCTCTAGCATGGCGAGACGATCAACTACAAAGTCCCAACGTATCTCGCCTCCTGAGCCGCTGCTCAAGTCAATAGTCGGGCTGGCAGATGTTGCGTTGACCTTCATTGCCCTCACATCAAAGGTGTAGCCTGAGCCCTGGTAGGAGACATTGTGGATGGCCTTGAGCGTGGTGAAGTCGATGTCCTTGTTGATCAGGAAGAATGGGACATCCTTGCCGACGGGGTAGCCACTATAATCGATCTTGATCTGGAACAGTTGGGAGGTGCCCTCCAACTCTCCGCTGGTCGGGGTGTTGATGCTACCGTATTGATTGAGTGTGCCATAAGCGTTAAGCATCAACAACTGAGGTTGCCAATTCTTCATGTCCCATGAAGGGTCTGGATTTGTCAAGTTGAAGTACAGCGATGCAGACTTGTCCCAGTAGAATATAATATATGCTTGGGTAATGTTGAATACATCCACTGTTGTTTGATTGATTGATTGAGAGTTAGTGAGTGAGCGAGTGATTGGAATAGTTCCTGTTATTGGTGATTTGACATACGCTTGGGATAGAAGTTGGGGAATGGTGTGGAGTCAACCATGAGGTTGTCGCCAATGGTGTAGACGCGTGTGTTGCCAGAGAAGTCCGCCACGGATACAGTATATATGGGGTCGAATAGGTTGAGCGAGATCACCAGGTCAAACTCAACTCGAGTGAAGTTGACGTTATACTTTGACATGCTGGCACCCTTTAGACAGTAGTGATCGATGTTGAGCTCTCTCACACCAGACATATCATCGATGACCACTGCCTTGATACGCACCAAGTTGGGGTCGATCGTCTTGTAGGTGAACGAGCTGAGATATGGGCCCTGGCTGTCCTTGATCGAGGACGCGTCCAGTGGCAGTTGTGCAGAGTTGAGAACAGTCGCGCCATTGGTGAACTGCAGCTTGAATGGGTTCTTCATGAATGGAGGCTCAAGCAACGTGTTGGTGTAGGTGTACGATGCTGTAGTTCCACTGCCAAAGCCATATGGATACTCAATTGGCGACGTTGGTGCCAACATGTTGGTCAATGTGTCCATTTGTTGGAAGATAGAGTATCCAAGTGGAGTGTATCCCTTGTTGAAAAAGAGATCCAAGGCGATTGGTGATGAGTTGGTCGAGATATAGCTCGTCGGGTTCGTTGAGATTGTCGGTGTGCCAGTGACCCAAGTGATAGGAGTGATAAGCTTGGTGGCCACCATTGTGTTGGAGGTGGACGTCATGCTCATCAATGTCACAGTGCATGGGAACACTGATGTTGGACCAAACACATAGTATGTTGGGTTTTGACCTGTACCTGCGACATGGACCATCGTGGCAGCACAATCCAACACCAATGGCATGTCAGCACAAGATGGATTAGCATTATTTACCACATCGATCTGGAATCCAGAGTAGCTAACCCCACCAATATTCGATTGATACTCAGTCCCCAAGTCCATCCTACTTGTGGTCATGGATCCACCATCACATGCTAATATTGATTGATTGAGGGAGGGAGGGAAAGAGTAAGATGGATTTGTCCAAGTCTGATCACGTGACTATCGCCGCAGACACGTGATAATACTTACTTGCCAGGTTATATATTGGTGCGATTGGGAAGGTGAATACAGAGCTTCCAGGTTGAGTTGAGTTCATCTTTATGGTCATCGATGTGGTCCAACCTGCTTGAGTGGTGACACTGATCACAACCTTGAATATCTTGGTTATGTTGGGAAATGATGCCTGAGCTACATCATATATGTTGCACTTAATGTTGACGGTCAATGGTGTCACCTCACACATCATTGAGCTGGCCGTTAGCAATGTTGGCCAATCAACATATTGCACAATCTGTTTCTGATCCTGTAGTACAATTAGGCTTCCATGTATCTTAGCAGGACCCATGCTACCTCCTACTATCTCTGTAATAGATTGATTGATTGATTGAGTGTGAGTGATTGGAATAGTTCCACCGAGTGATTGTGTGATTGATTGGAATCGTTCCACGAGATAACTTACTTGTGCAATTGAAGGTGTTGACGACGATGGCTGGCTGATTGCCATTCTCAAACCTGACGTCGATCGAGACGTTGACGAGGGTGGTGCTTGCAAGGACACTAGCCTCATTGAATCGCCATGCTGAGCATGTGCTGCAGTTGTAGCCGTAGGGCAAGTCGATCTTTACAGCGTCATTACCATTCATAGAGACGCCATCTAGTAAGCCAACGGCATTTGGGAAGCCTGCTGAATTGATGATCACAGATAATTTGAAGTAACATGCATTTGTCGTGTCTTCTGTGAACGACTGGTTCACGGGCAGATAATAACTAACCAATGGATTTGGTGTTGATTGGGCTTGTGTGATTCCAAACTCTAAGGATGTTACCAACATCATAAACAAACAGACATGTGTCATCATCATTTTTGATGTGATTGTTGATGTTGATGGTCGGGCCATTATGGGCACGTGTGTGAACGTGATTAATGAGTGGGAGAGTGATTGATTGATTGATTGATTGATCAACTGATCAAGTGATCGAGTGATCGTAGTGATACTAAGTTTAAAAGAATAGTATTATTGGATTGAATGATGATGAATGAATGATTGTCTGTGTCTTGGTCCAATTCCAAGCGATGTGCTTGTGCTGTGAATGAATGAATGAGACTTGGTCTTCAAACTCTGACTGGTCCAATTCTATTTAGAACGGTTGCTACGGATCACTCCGGGTTGGACAGTGCAATGCTGTGCCAGTGAGGAAGCCTCCCAGATTTGAATTCTTTGATCAACTTTTTCATCGAGCTGGCCCTTAGACTCAACAGGTATTCACACATTACCGGCTGTGGTTCATCACCTCAACACACCCAAACAAAACCTCCAAGAGTCTGATGGGCTACCTCGGTTTTTATGTCGATCGATCACATTTTCTCACCACTATGATCAATAAAAATAACAGAAAGTTGGTCATGTGATGTCATTAGACTGTGAAAGTAAAGTGGTTTTATCACTTGACCTAGACCAGAGTAATTTCCTTACGAGTATCCAGAAACATTAGAATCATTCAACGAACTACTTACTTACTTACTCACTGAATACGGACCGAACCGGTCCACACCTTTATGTGATCAAGGTTACAAAGTCTATCTGTTCAGAGGGAACATAACAAGAATGATTGAATGGATGAATGAAAGTTTCGGAAGTTAGAAGGGGATGATAACAAACCATGGGTGACCCTGAGTGAGGTCACTTTCCTACTTTGACCACACTTATTCTTAAGTTCATTGGTCATCGAGATTCGCCTAACAACAGGATTCTAATCATACTGCCTAGGCCTATCCCTGTCCTGCTCCATTTGCTCATCTTGGTAAACTAGTACCCTGGGTATTTCAACACAATGGACCAATCAAGCCAAGTAAATTGCTCTACAGGAGGACCACTTTGCTTATTTTGGACATAATCCAAACTTTAATTTATTTTTATCACAACAACAACAATAACATCATCATCATTGTTGTTGAGTTGTATGTGTGTTAGTATTGGATGATGATTGATTAGAGTGGTCTGAAAGTAATGGAGGAGTGCGACTTTGGGGGTGAGCATTAAAGTGTGTCTATCTGAGCTGGAAGTGCGAATGAGTTCGCTGGTGTGAAAGGGTGGGGGTAAAGTAAATGTCCTCCATCTTGCTTCAGCATCTCAGGCGTCTGCTTTGTTGGTTAGTATGTATCATTCATTCATTCATTCTTTCATTCATTCTTTCAAGCCAGGCAGTCAGTCAGTCAACATCTTATTCCTCTTATTAATGTGTGTTTGGTAATAATAACACATCAATCAATCAATCCAATACAATACAATCCAATCCAATCAAATAGTACAACTTGTCTTATCCCTATCTCTCCTTATATTATAACAACATAAATATATATATTAAACAAATAGATCTTAATAGACCATCAATCAAACAATCATATAAACATAGATAGGATGTCAGCAACAACACAGAATGCTCCAACTACACCAACTCCGATGGATGGTGTACAACATGCAATTTCACAACAACAGCATCAACATCCAAAGACTGTAGAAAAGAATAAGGTACGCCATCAAATTGATTGGACGATGAGATGACGATACAATCTGACCCGATCTCAATCCGATCCGTGGTGATTGTTGAACTTAAACTAACATACTGTCCATGTGATCATCACTTTGTAGTCGACTGCAGATCCACAGAGCAAGTCACCAGCAACTGGATCACCAAGTACTGGCCGTGCAAAGTTACAATGGACAAAGTCTCAGCAGGATTTGAAACTGCCAACGGTGGATCGTGTGGTGTCCACCGTCAAGTATCCACGTGCAGAACCACTCGATCACAATGTCCTCTTCAATCCAGACAACACAATCAATTTGGTGAAGCTCCAGGAGCACTTCTACAATGAGGGCCGTCTTCATCATATTGACATCAAGGAGATTGTGGAGCGAGCTGCCGAGATATTGGAGAAGGAGCCGACATTGGTATGTGTCGATGCGCCTATCACAGTGTGCGGCGATGTACATGGCCAGTTCTACGACCTGATCAAGATATTCGAGAGCGACATTGGAGGCAACCCAGCCACCACCAACTATCTGTTCCTGGGCGACTATGTCGATCGTGGATACTTCTCAATGGAGGTCATCCTCTATCTCTACTCTTGCAAGATCAACTATCCAAAGACATTCCACATGCTACGTGGTAACCATGAGTGCAGACATCTTACCGACTACTTTACATTCAAGGAAGAGTGTAAGTAATGATTGGTTTATTGATTGATTGATTGATTGATCTAACACGACCATCTATCATCAGGTCTACACAAGTACTCTGAGGAGATATATGACTTTATCACAGAGTCATTCAATGCATTGCCTTTGGCGGCACTGATGAATGGCAAGTTTCTCTGTGTCCATGGTGGACTATCTCCAGACATCAAGAATGTAAGTTGTCAACTTGACAAAGACATTATCATCTTGCTAATGAACTACCAATCCAATAGCTTGATGATATAAACAATATAGATAGATTTAAGGAGCCTCCATCAACAGGCCCAATGTGCGACCTGTTGTGGGCAGACCCAATGGAGGAGTTCAATGCTGATGTCCGTGAGCACTTTGTGCCAAATGAAGTCAGAGGTTGTTCATACTCATACAGCTACAGAGCGGTGTGCGCATTCCTACAGAACAACAAACTGCTGTCTGTCATAAGAGCACATGAGGCTCAGAACACTGGATACAAGATGCATCTTCAGAATGACGCCACTGGATTCCCAGCAGTAATCACCCTATTCTCTGCTCCAAACTACTTGGATGCATACAACAACAAGGGGGCAGTATTAAGGTATGTGTCGTCCACACCTTGATTGGAATGGAACAATCCCAACTAACATCCATCAATCATAGATACGAGAACAATGTTATGAATATTAGACAGTTCAATAGTAGTCCACATCCATATTGGTTGCCAAACTTTATGGATGTATTCTCTTGGTCAATGCCATTCGTCTCGGAGAAGGTGGCCGAGATGTTGTTGGTGTTGCTCAATCTGTGCGATGACGAGGAGGCTGAGCGCCAGGAGAGCACAAAGGTGGTGGACGTCGAAGAGGAAAAGCGCAAGCAAATGCTACGTGCCAAGGTGCGTTCCGTGTCAAAGATAATGCGCATGTTTACAATCCTGCGACAGGAGAGAGAGACGATCATGATGATCAAGAGCTTCACGCCGTCCAGGACCATCCCCCAGGGTCTGCTCACAGAGGGTCCCGACGCGCTCAAGAAGGCTCTGGGCGACTTTGCCAAGGCCAGAAGAATGGACTTGGTCAACGAGAAGCGACCGCCCGTGTTGGATCGCGTTAACAGTCGTGGTGAGCTGCTGAGAATGAACAGTCGTGGCGAGCTCTTCCGTATCAACAGTCGTGGTGAGTTGTTTAGAAGCAACTCCTATGCTGATCTAAAGCCTCCAACTGGTCCACAAGAGACAATCCACGTTACGGAAGCCAAATCATAGATGACCCATTCTCTGTCGACAGAAGACAACATCAAGAACAATAACCAGAGTGTATATAACAATCAATCAATCACATTCCAATCAATCAATCAATCAATCAAACCTCAATCATGATGAGAGTACCTGAAGATACATGTATATAGATAGAGATAGAGGGGACAAGATAAATACCCTCTATCTAGCATTAACAACACAACAAGAATACCACCCATTCCATTCAATTTCCATCAACATAATACATAACAACAAACCATCAAACCAACCAATAAAGGAGAAGACAATACCAACAAGGGGTCACACGTGTGGACGAATCAAGAGTTTCTTACTTAAATTGTTGATCCGATGGTCGACAGTCGCTCGCCACAGAGGACAAGAGCTGTCGTCAACAGAGCTTCGATGAAGTCAAACAAAGATTGCGACAATCACTGATCTCGGTAAACGATCTTTGCATCGATGGCACTCGTTCGTCGAGGCGCAACCAATCAAATCACTTGAGCTAAGCAACTAAGTCCATCATCATCATCATGTGTACAAGTGTCTATCTAACAGTGTCAGTGTGTTTGTGTGTTGTCTGATGATTCGTCTAGGGGTAAGTGTAAGTGGGGTGTCGTCTGTGTGTGTGAAATCGTGTGAAGACCATTCTCATAACCAATCCAAGCAATGAAATGAACATTGACACACTAAGGGGTATCTAGATCTAGAGACATCCCCAAGCAAATGTCATTCAATGTGGCCCACGCGTGAACAGTTAGGAACAAAAACTTATTGACTTACTCACTTACATCTCGTCGTCCATCCAAGTAATTTATAACCCTTGGGTACGAGAGAGATAGTGAGATGGTGTGTATCCAATTCAAACCCTTTTGAGATGAGCGGAGATTTGCCTCGGTTGCCTCTCAATTCAGATGAAAGAATCCCGCACGCCCGGTGCAAGCCTATTGGCGCCTCGTCCAGTCGCAAGTGTGGTTGGGGGGTGCGACCGAATAAATTGATTGCTGTTGCGGGGCGGCAGCGGTCGTCTCTGCATGCCCGCCTTGGTCAATCAGTCACGTCGATTGCCTTCCTTCGTTTGTTTGATTGAAAGTGTATGAGAGTGGTTGGAGGGATGGTTGGTGGGGTTGTTGGTGTCAGACACGCTAACCCTACTCAACTTCACTGCAATGCTCTCTAAAGGGGCTCGTGTGGGCGCGGGCCAAAGCCTAAGGGCCTATCATCCCTCCCTTTTTAATTATATACAAATATATATATTTTAATATCTTGTATCTCCTTTGATAGCCAAATGACCTATCAGGTGAGATAACATTTGTGTGTGATGGGCGGGTTGGTTGGTTGGTGACTGAATGACCAAGTTGACAAGTGGGCGGTGATAGTGTTAGTGACCGGACAGCTAGGAGACGGTGGGTGCTAGGACAGCCACCACCGCAAGCTTCATAATGTCATCTGGTAACAGCATTCCAATCCAAGATATACTATCTCTATAACAAATATATACATACATATAATATATTTATACACACATTCACAATGAACAAGCTCATTATTGTTGCTCTTATTGCTTTGGTGTCTGTCGCAAGTGCTTGCTCCAACACCCAATACAAGACTGCTGCCCCAGTATGTATACCTTCAACACACCCATCAATCAATCAGTCAAAGAAATAGCGACGGCTCGTCTGGCACCCCCAACTCCTCACTTCATACTTACATACAATAACTTGATACACATTCAATAGGTCATCGTCAAGACTCTTGCTGATTTGACTCAACAGGAGCGTACCCTCCATGAGACCAAGATGCAGGAGATCATTGATCTGTCCCACAAGTTGGTCGCCGCTGGCCAAATCACCGCCATCTTCACCGCCTCGATCGTCGACCCAGCAACCGGAAAGACCCTCTGTATGACTGGCAACAACGGTGCCCGTGCCTCAATTCTGCACGGAGAGACCAACGTCATCCTCAACTGCTCCGACACCTACCCAGGCCGCTCATGGAAGGACCATTACCTGTACACCACCGGTGAGCCATGCCCAATGTGCCAGTCCGCCATTATGTGGTCCGGCTTCCAGAAGGTCATCTACGCCACCAGCATCAAGACCCTCTACTGTGACAAGTGCATGACCCAGATCCTCATCGACTCGAACGTCGTCACCGGATACGGCTACGGTCTCGAGACCTACAACGCCGCATACACTCCACTGGAGATCATCGGAGGTGTGCTCGCCAACGTCACCGACAACACCGTCTTTGAGAACTACTGTGTCAACAAGACATTCTGGACCTCCAAGACCCCACTGTGCAATGCCGACTACAACCCCAAGGGATGCAGCTCTGCCATCGCCCTCGGAAGCAACATGTACATGACCGTCTTTGTTGCCCTCGTTGCCCTGATTGCTTCGCTCGCTCTTTAAATTAAAAGTAAATTAAAACTATATAGGTATATCGATTACGTAACAATCATCAGTTTAAGATTCCCATTGCAATGTGAGTTATTAATTGGTGTGTGGATGACTTCCATCACAGTCAACTGGACATTCCAGTGTATACACTGGATTCAAAGGTTTTGGTTCAATTTTGAACCAAGGTAATCACAATCTAATGGAAAAGTGATGGAAAATTGATTGGGTTGATCACAGTACCTACCTTCCTCTATTTATATAATACAATTTAACCATGGTTATGTAAAGACCAAACCAAACCATTAAACAATCAAGTATACAAATAATAATCATATATTAATATGTCTCCAATAAATAGAAATTCTGTACTTTATGGTATTGGAGCAGGAGTTTTAACAGCAGCAGGCTTTTATTTATTTGCTCCAGTTTTAGTTGTTTATACTGGTTTCACATCAGTTGGTATCTCAGCAGGCTCAACTGCCTCGGGTATCATGTCAACCATTGGTACCACAGCCATTGTCCAACTCTACAGAGTATCGGTGCAACAGGCACAATTGCACTAAAATCTGCATTCCTAGCAGGAGGTACTGCTGGTGTAGTAACAGGTGTAGCACATCAAGCCACCAGACCAGACAAATCAAATTGATTGATAGATCAATCACTGGTAGTCCAACATCTGGATCGCTTTCATACATTATTCAAATCAATAAATCCATGACTTCTTTGACATCCTCATTAATGAATTATTTCAAGTTGTCAACTTAGGATTGATTCCTTTTGTACTTATTGTTATCACAATTCATTGTATCTATCTACCTGGTAGATTGTTTGTTGTGATCATCAGGTGATCAACACCAATCTTATGACAAGAATTTTTAAAAGATTTTAATAATTTTGACTGTTTTGACATGGGATGGGCCATTGTTGTCTCACTCCTCGTCTGGGGCATTGAGGACATCGAGTTCGACTTGAACAATTTAGTATCACTCACTCATTCCATTTCTCTTAAACTCTTCAAATACATACAAACATACATACAAACATACAAACATACATACATACATATTTATTACAAGACATACAGCAACAAAAAAACAAAGAGACATAAATACAAACATAAACATTACAAACAAGACAACAGAAAACCAAACAAACATATACAGGAGATTAGTGAGAAGGGAAGGAGAGATAGACTGTGTGTAGACGACCAAACACACCCGACCCCAACACTCTAAACAGAACAAAACAGATAGATTGGATTCATTGATTCATTGATTGATTGATTGATTGTAACAGTCTGAAGAATACAGGTAGGTTCCCATTAGCTAGTTAGCCCCTAGCATGCATCGACAACAACATCAACAGCAGCATCATCATCAACAACAACAACAACAACAACTCTGCGCGATCCAACCTCGCAAACCCCTCACACATTCATATTACTTATGTGTGTTTGTGTTTGTGTTTGTTGAAGGTAGTGTGTTTGTTAGTGTGTGTGTTACCGCGGCCACAGCCACAGCCACACAGGCGAGCCGCGGGTAAAAGAGGGTTCACCCTCTGGCGATGAGAGTAGTCAAAGTCACACCCTTGATCGCATTGTCGCCACCCATCTAGATCATCATTGAACTACCTCTATTTATAACATATATATATAATCCTATATACATTACATGGATTAAAGGATGGRATGGATGGATGGATAGTTGGATGGACTAGACTGGACGTCAACATCAACACCAACACACACACATATAACACATTTATACTATACATCATCATCATCATCATCAACATCAACATCAACAACCTCATACACTTGATTATTGTGAACAACAGGGGAAAGCCATTCTCCACAAAGTGTGTAGATTGTAACATCGCGTACAGCCACCATCCATCAAATTACAACAACATTGTAGAGTGTAGTTGTTTGTAGTGTGTTCTCCGTCACTTTACAATGATCGTTGATTGTTGTTACAGGATGTTTGGTTGGTTTGTTGTTGTAGTTGTTGGTTGGGTGTGATCTTTAATTGAATCACCAACAATAACAATCGTTGGTTGGATAGTTGATGATGACAACAGTATCCCCTCTTCTTCTCCTCCCCCAACAACCATCATCCATCAGATAGGGAGTGAGAGAGACAGTGAGGAGGGTGTAGGGCTTAGGCCATGTATACATACACACACATATATACATATATTAAGAGAGAGTTGTTATAAACACTATTATTATTCTCTCTCTCTCTTTTATAACTCCAACTCAGTTCTCAGACCATCCATCCATCCAACTCCATCCATTCAATTCATCGCAATCACTTATGTGATGATCATTTTGATCTATCTCAATCAGTCATCCAATCAGTCAGTCACATTCACAACAACATCAACAACAACAGCAGCAGCAGCAATAGCAGTAATAGCAGTTAGTCAACGCTTCAAATCATACGGTCAATCACTTTCAATTCATTCATTATAGCAATATCAATCATCATACAGTCAATCAATCAAATACCAATCTCTGTTGTTGTTGCGCATGACACTGAAATAATATCAACTTTACGATTTGTGTCATTCCTGCAGCAGACGTCAATCAAAGCGAAACGAAACGAGATTCTTCTTGGAACATCACCACGCAATCAGTCAATCAAACAATCAATCATTCCATTCCATCCCCGCTTCAGTTTCGGGTCTCGACCTATCCTCCTCATTCACATTCATTGTTGAACATAATATCCAAAGTTGGACAATCACAATCAATCATATATATATATATATTTACATTTGTATTTGTAGTAGTTAGTAATATTAGTTAATAGTTAGTTAATAGTTAGTTTATTATTATTGGTTGTATGTTGGTCGTTGGTTAATACAACAACACGACTACATATACACCAAGTGTAGAGATAATTCACAAAATTGACACTCTCAACCATCTTTGTCATTGCACCATTGGTCATTGGCTTCTGCTTGACCAATCTCTATCTATTCTCCCAAATACGTGTACATGTCGTGCTCTATCATCACTTCAATCGCCACTGTAGCAATAGCAACAAACATTCCTCATCCTCCTCTTCAGGAGGTTCATCATCATCTTCATCACATAACAAACACAACAACAACAATAACAACAACAAGAAGAAGAAGAAAAAGAAGATCATGAATCAATCCCAACAACATAATATTAACAATAACATTACTACCAACACCGACAACGATAATAATAATAATAATAACAACGATAATAATAACGATGATAATAGCAGCATGCTCAAGAGAAAGATATCGAGATCACCGTCTTCGTCACCACCTGGTGGCAGCTCAGACCTACTTAGTAAAGCTGTGGCGGCAAAACGCAAGTCCAAGCATCAGAAGGATGCCAAGCATGCGTCAAAGTCCCCAAAGCCAACGCTCGAACCAACGCTCTCATTCAAGAAACCAAAGAAGAATAAGGGTGGGAGTTCTGCTGAGCAGTCGCCCAAGCATCAGGCACAGTCTTCCTCTTCCAGCAGTGCGGTCAATGGCACCAATGACGCGCCAATTGTAATTTGTCTCGACGCTGAGACTATACAACAAGTTCCTGCTGGCAGCAACAACAACTCCAACAATACTACCACCTCTTCCACCATCACAAACAACAACGACCAACAACCGATCATCAACATAGCCAACGAACCGACGACCACTTCACCGCAACACCCTCTACCACCCAGTCAACAGCGGACTGATACAACAACAGCCACAGCAACCGACCAAGGAGTGCGATAATATCTTTGCCAATCAAAGCAATGAGTTCATCCCATTGCTGAGTAGCAGTAGTATCAGTAATAATGTACAAACAGAGCAACAACCACAACAACCATCGACGCCACAGCAGCAGCATCGCGAGAAGCATCAGGATCAGATGTCGATCGTCCCCGACAGAGACGGCGCAGCGCAGCGCCTGTCCAATCAGGCACTGCAGAGGCAATCTGGCAAGAGGACTCCACACGACAAGCAGATTGCCAATCTGACGCCGCCTCTCTGGTGCCAAGGCTTCTGCCGCCCTCAGGACCTGACCGTGCTCGAGCTCGAGCAGGAGCTGGACCTATTCTACAAGTGGCTGGCGCCCAATCGTTACGAGAACCAGCTACGACAGTTGATCGTCAATGAGATCGAGGCGATCGTCACAAAGAGGTGGCCCAAGGCCAAGGTCATTGTGTTTGGCTCGTTCTCGACCGACCTGTGCATACCATCGAGCGACATTGATATCCAGGTGTCGGGCATCAACGATGGTCAGCCAGCATACTCGGACCCCATACGCGAGATGCACTCCATCCTCCTCAAGAGCTACCAGAACACCTTCACCAACATCCGATTAATTGCGGGTGCCAAGGTGCCCATCATCAAGTTTGTTCACCGCGAGTCTTGGTACAACGTTGACATTTGCTTCGACACGCCCAATGGAGTCGAGAACACTGGCATTGTCAAGATGTATCTCAAGGTATGTATAGTGTAGTGCGCCACAAACAGCAACAAGCAGCATACTAACAATCCAACCAAATGCAGAAATACAAATCAATGAAGCTACTCCTCCTGCTGTTGAAGTACTTCTTGTTCCAGAACAACTTGAATGAGACTTACACAGGTGGCATTGGCTCGTACGCCCTGGCGTTGATGGTGGCCAGCTTCATCCAAATGCGACACATCCCTTATGATCAGCGCGTCGTGACACGCAAGTCCAAGCCAATCGACGAGAAGGATCGACGCCACGCTGGCGAGGACACTGACTATGGCGCAATGCTATTGGAGTTCTTCCAGCTCTATGGCCAGTCGTTCCAGTACAGCCGTCATGGAATCTGTCTGACCAACGGCGGCTTCTACTTCCAGAAGGAGGAGCAGTTTGGCACGTACCTTACGCTGCGCGACCCACACGACGCCAACAACGACGTTGGCAGGAACAGCTTCAACATCTCCTTCATCCGCGGTGTCTTTACCAATGCCTTTGTTCGCATGGTCTCGAACGACTTGCTCAAGGACAAGTACGCCAACCACCAGTTCCCAACCGTCTTGTCACGCATTATCGAGGAGAGACTCGTCGAGCAACAGGCCAAAGATCGCAACAATGTGCTCCGCTTGGCAAAGTCACTGGAGACAGCGAACAAGTTGCCAGCAATCACCTCTCAGTCATCCTTGGCATCGTCACCCATCCTTGTTGGCAACGGTGGCTACATCGACGCCGACACAGTCACAGTCAGCAGCATCAGTGGCAACAACGGCAACAACAGCAGCAAAGACTTTGTAAATATCAACTCATCCTCCTCGACATCCTCCGACGACTTCTCCTCGGAGGAGTCCATTCACTCTGGCAACGAATCTGGCTCGGACGTCCAAAGCGCCTCTTTCGACTCTGACTACTTCTGCTCGTCAGAGTCTGGCTCCGAGTCTGAGGAGGACTCTTCAACCTCCTCCGTTTCCGCTCAATCGACCAATTTGTACGGCTGGTGACAACCGTGCAAACAACTATTCCATTCAATCCATACATACATACATCAATACGACCGCTACTACCTACTACCAACTCATACATAATAGATATAGATAGATAGTAATCAAACGAATAACGAAACAAACAATGGCCTTGTCCTGCCTTTGGCTGGCAGGCAAGGTACCAACCATATACACATTCAACAAACCAGCGACAGACCTACTACCATCTTCACGTCAACCAACCCAACATACAGCAGCACTTATTCTCTGGTACACAATCACAACATGCATACATCAGTCAAGCAACAGCAATCCATCCAATCAATCATTCCATCTACCATCAACATGATCATCCTCTTGGAAATAAAGATACAGCCAACACTGGCTGCATGCATTTATTGTGATATATATATTTGAAGGCTATGTTTGATTGATTGATTGATCAGACGACATGGTCCACTTAACTTACAAAGAGGACTTGGGATGAGCGGTGGAGACAATGGTGACAAAGTCAGCAGCGACCAGAGAGGCACCTCCGACGAGGAATCCATCAATGTCGGTCTCCTTGGAGAGCTCGGCACAGTTGGAGGCAGACACAGAGCCTCCGTAGATGACACGGGTGTCGCCAGCGACCGCAGCACTGACGTTGGAGCTTAACCACGAACGGATGAACTTGTGAGCGTCCTGGGCTTGTTGGGGAGTGGCAACGACACCGGTGCCAATGGCCCACACTGGCTCGTAGGCAATGACCACACGAGTCCAGTTTGGCACGCTGGTGAGAACTGCGCTGAGTTGTTGGGCGATCACATCGTTGGTCTTGCCCGACTGTCTGTCAGAGAGCTGCTCGCCAATGCAGAAGATGACGGAGAGACCACCATCAATGACGGCCTTGACCTTCTTGGCAATGAACTCATCGCTCTCGCCAAAGACCTTGCGGCGCTCAGAGTGACCAATGATGACCCACTCGAGTCCGATGTCCTTGCACATACCAACAGAGATCTCACCAGTGAAGGCGCCCGAGGCATTGCTGTGGCAGTTCTGAGCGGCAACCTTAATACGTGGGTTGACAAGACCCTGTGCCAGAGTAAGATAGATTGATGGTGGTGAGACGATTACATCTATTGATCATAATCATTGATTGATTGATTGAGATGATTGATTGAGGAGTATGATTGAGTAAGTCAAGATGATTAGAGAGCTAGCTAATGTAATAAGTTTGACTTACCAACAACCTCTTGTGATGGCAATGTAGCAGTGTTCATGTGACTCAAGATGTTCTGAATGGACTCTTTAGTTCCATTCTGTTATCATTCCAGTGTATCATAGTGAATCGGGTCGGGGATATTGTAAGTTGATTGATTGATTGATTGATTGAACCTGTCAATCTAATGTCGTTTGAGTCATGCCTACCATCTTGTAGTTTCCTCCAACAAAGAATCTTCTTGTCATTTTATATGTTAGTTAGTTATTATGTGTATGTGTAAGTATATTAAACAGATAACTTAATGTAGAAGTATGAAATTGAATGAATGTTCATTCAGCAACACCATGTTCGGGACCTAGAGGTCTCCCCGAATTGCAACTTCAGTTTCCTTTTCTGTCTCATCATGACATGTCCCCAAACTCTTCATTCAAGATAGATAGTTATATAACTTAACTTGTACAGGTGACTCGGACATCGTATATGTTATGTTTATGTATAATTTTAAAAGATTAGAAACAAAGAAGTTTCTTTCGAACACCATCTTTGTTGTTGTTCTCGGCATCTGCTCCACTCTTGGTGTCAACACCACTGCCAGTATGATTGGCACCAGATGATCGTTTATCGAATGTAGTCATTGACTTATCGTTACCTGTGCCATTGGAATTGGGTCCTGTTGCTCTCGGCTTCAAGATGACCAACTCCTCCACTGTCAATATGCACTCGAGTGCATGTACGAAGCAAGCATATATCAATGCGCCCGTTGGATGTTGTACAAACTTCAACATATTGAATACAATCGATGGTACAATGATACATGATATAGAGAATGACAATATAATAGTTATAATCAACAACTAAATTGATTGAATAACGAAGTTGGTATGTTAGTATGATTGAGTGACATGCTTGGTTCGCGAACTACTACTACTTACCTTTCGAAGTGTTGCCTTCTTCTTCTCTTTGTTGGTTTGTAGTTTTGAGATGCGCTTGTAGAGTAGGGTGCCGTAGATGACGAAGCCAATACCGATGGTGACAGACGCCATGGTGAGGTAGATGTTGAATGTCAATGAGATGATTTGTGAGACGCTTCTACTGAACTTGAGTAGGTTGGATAGTACTCCAGCAACTTCGAATCCAAACCATATACCATTGCAAACGATGAATGCTGCCTTTGTCTTTGGTATGAATATATTTCCACTCTCTACACTTGATACACTATGATATGTTCCTGCCCAATACAACAAGAACAATTGATACGATGTGAACAACAAGTACAACGGGAAGTTATACAAGAATATCGACAATGCATATGGGAATATATCAATATTCGACCATGGATCAACTGAGAAGTATATTATACGCACTGGATATTTAAATGGAATAATTAGTCAATGATCAGTCAAACATGGAATAATATTATGTACTTACAAATGGCGAATGCAAGGATTACCAAGTGATTGATGGCTTTGAGTTTGAATCCTACTTTGCCATGACTCCATAGATGGAATGATTTGTAGGTATTTACAATTATGTACAATGTGAGAAGGATGAATGAGATGAGGAAGAATAATCGGAATGCAGTGAAGCTGTTGCCAAGTATCTCTGTGAATGGTGTTGAGCAGTTTGAGCCAGACACATATCCATTGCAGTGACAAATATTCTGTATACACTCTCCAAGATTGTTACAATCCTCATTGGTCAGACATGCAAAGTCTCCAGATGAAGATGTCTCAAAGGCCATTTTACTTCTTAAATCTGATCGATCGAGATATATGAGTGCTGTGTGTGTGTATGTGATTATGAATGATTATTGATCAATCATTCAATCTGGAAATCCACGGGTAATGGTAATGGTTGTATTATTTGTAGTAGTTGTAACTCTCTCTCTATTTGTTGTAGTTGTAATAATAATATATTTGGTGTTGGTCGATGATGATGATGAAGGTGATGATGTGATTGATTGATTGGAGATGGTTTGTTGGATAGATAATGAATGAATGGATGATGGATGATGGATTGATGATGTGATATAATATAATGTATATTAATAACACTTAATAATAAGTGTTTGATTGATTGATTGATTGGTTGGTAAGACCTACTATGGTCGATCAACCGACTAATTGTGGGACCTGATTGATTGATAGAGTGAGTGTATTAATTGTAGTAATAGTAGTAGTAGTAGTACCTGTATATAAATATATTAATGTGAGTATTAAATTTATCAGGTGATGTTGATCAAGTCGACGGATGGATTGGTTCTTCCTCTGAGGATAATGAATGGCTTAGGGGGATGGGTGGTGGATTGATGGTTGGAGGGTGGTATTATTATTACAAAGATAACGGTAATATTAACAAAGACATAATGTGTTGTGTGTGTGTGATTGTATATCTATGTGTGGATGGATGGAAGTGGTATGAATGATAGTGTTAGTTCACACATCACAATCATACCCACACACTTACACACATACACACAATTATTATTAACCATCATATTCATTCATTCATTTATTCATGACTAACCAACCACCATTATCATTTGAATAATACAACAACAATACAACACAATGGTCGTTAACATAAAAAGACGCAATGTTATAATGATGTTGTTGATGTTGTGTATTATTATTAGTTTCCAACCAACTTGTCCAAAAAAAACTGTCATTTGATTTGTCGACTAATGAATGATAGTGGACGGCATCGATCAAATTAAACGACACACATGTACAGTGGGGGGCATAAATCTTCAAACACGATTGATTTAAGGGTGTGTGTGTGTGTGTGGTAATGAGTTGAGGTGTGTGAGTGAGAGATGATCATCACCCAGGTTATGGATGATCACCATGGAGATCTGAAACTACTACAGAGATACACTTACTTCATTTATGACAAGGTCCCTAGTGTTGTTAATTAACTAGGTGGATGGATGGATGGATGGTTGATGGTGTCAGACGAAGGATGATGTAAAGTGAAGTCACACACTGATACAACAACCCTGTTGATCTCTTGTCTAAGGTATGTATGCAGGTAGGCAAAGATATATATATACCACACTCGGAGTCCGACTGATCATCGTGTAGTGATTTTGTGTGATTGATTGATTGAATAAATGATTGAGTTAATGAATGAATGAAAGATGTGAGTGTGATCCAATGTCTTGCTGTACATTGTTCATTCACCAACTCCATCCCCAGTCCCAGTCTGTTCGCAACATCTTTCATTTCAAATCAAACATTGCATTTCCCATCTTAATATATATTTGTATAACTTCATCATTCAATCATTCAATCAATCACTCTTTGTATATATACCTATCTAACAGTGAATTGTGATCACTACTACTTGTATATTCATTCAATCAATCATTCAAAATACATATAACTCTTAAGCAATGATGGAATCAAACAGATTGCAAGCCCAGAACGTGGGCATCTTAGCCATGGAAATATACTTCCCAAGCACATACGTCTCTCAGTCTGAGTTAGGTATGTGTACCAACACTCTATCTATCCACCCATCGATCAATCACTCACTCAATCCCTCAATCATACAACAGAGACATTCGACGGTATCCCAGAGGGCAAGTACACAAAGGGATTGGGCCAGACAAACATGGCTTGCGTTGGTGATAGAGAGGATATTGTGTCGATGGCATTGAACTCGGTGACATTGCTCATGTCCAAGAATAATGTGCCATACACAAAGATTGGTAGGATGGAGGTCGGCACTGAGACCATCATTGATAAGTCAAAGTCGATCAAGACGCATCTGATGTCGCTGTTCCAGGAGCATGGCAACACGAGCATTGAGGGAATCGACACGTTCAACGCATGCTATGGTGGCACGTCCGCTTTGTTCAACAGCGTTCAGTGGATGGAGAGCAGCTATTGGGATGGTCGCTACGCGCTCGTCATCACTGGAGACATTGCCGTCTATGCCAAGGGCCCTGCTCGTCCCACTGGTGGCGCCGGTGTCGTTGCCATTCTGGTCGGCCCCAACGCACCACTCGTCATGGAGCAAGGTCTGCGCGGCACTCACATGGAGAACGTCTATGATTTCTACAAGCCCGACGGCAAGAGCGAGTATCCCTACGTCGATGGCAAGCTGTCGATCGAGTGCTACTTCCGTGCACTGGATATCTGTTACGCCAACTACAAGGCGGCGTTCGAGAGGAAGCATAACACTCCATTCTCCATGGACAACGTCGACTACAGCGTACTGCACTCTCCATTTGGCCGCTTGGTGCAAAAGTCTTTCGGCAGGATGTACTTCAACGACTACGTGCTGGCTGGCGGGCCAGCCGACCCCAACCACAGGATGAAGTCGCACTTCCAGGAGTTCGATTCCATTGGTCTGGGAAAGGAGTCGTATGCCAACCCCAAGCTCGAGCAGGCTGTGCTCAAGATCTCTGAACAAGACTACAATTCCAAGGTGGCGCCAGCTTCCACCCTGCCAAAGGAGCTTGGCAACTGTTACAGTGGCTCGGTCTATGCCGGCATCCTGTCACTGCTCACCAATGTCGAGCAGTTGGACAACAAGCGTATCCTGATCTTCTCCTATGGCTCTGGTCTGGCCGCCTCATTCTTCTCGTTCAGGGGTAACGGAGCAGCCCAGAATCCCGACTTCCCCTCGACAACCAACATTGGCAAGATCGCCAACATCACTCAGCGTCTTGCCGACAGAACCAAGATCACTCCTGAGGAGTTCACAAAGGTAAGGACATCCATTAATGTAATCAATCCTTACACATTACTAATACATTACACCATCATCGTCAATCCAGAAACTTCAATACAGAGAGGACAATTGTACTAAATCAGCCTATACTCCAGCCGACACAACCGATGGCATTGCGGCTGGACATTACTACCTAGACAGAGTGGATGACAAGCTCATCAGACATTACTCCAAGAAGTGAGGAAGTATGTATGATGCAATGTGGCGATGAATGGCCAGGCGAGTTACTACGCTGCTCGCCTGTCGACTACACTCAATGCGCAGAACCCAATAAACAGGTTGGAGATATGTCGACTGTAATGTAATGTAATGTTATGTGCGTAGAAGGAGTGAACACAGGTCTAGACCCTTGTTTATAAATATATATTTGATTGATGGTCTATTGTTTGGCAGTTCCTGCAACATCAATTGGTGCATCCAATCGTATTGGCGTTGAGGGGCAACAATGATAGTTGTCGGCAAAGATGTTGGCGACGCGAATACCTAGACCATCGATGTTCCTGGTGTTCTCAAGGTTGGCGAGCACAGACACGACCACTCCATTGTTTGGCAGGATCACAAGGACACTGCTGCCGCCTACCGCTCCACCAGTATGATAGACGATCTTCTCCTTCAACGACACCATCTCGTTGGGATTGGATGAAGTGGACGACCTGTGGCCATGGCTGCTGGGTCCTTGTGCGTGGGCATTGGGTACAATCACCCAACCAAGTCCGTATGCGAGCTCCTTTCCATCGTCCAACTTCTGTGGTGTGAATAGCTTCTCGAGAGTCGGACGTTTCACTAGGCGGCCACTGATGAGCGATGTACCAAACTTGCACAGATCCTGGGCGGTGGACACGAAGCCGCCGCCCGCCCATTTGTATGATGAGTTGGCATACTCTGCGTTTACCAACTGTGGGTTTGGCGATGGCCAGCTGTCCGAAGTCTCGCGGGGCTTCTCCACGATGAGCGCGTACTGCTTTGAGCGGTTGGTTATGATTTGGTCTGGATGGTCGCCAAAGGTGTCCATCATGCCAGAGGGATCAAACACCCTGCGTCTCATAAAGGACAGGAACTCCTGTGAGGCAGCCTCTTCAATCACTGTTCCTAGAGCAGTGTAGCCAAAGGTTGTGTAGTTGAAGCTTTGGCCGGGTCGGGCATCGGGTCCAACCCACGGACTCTCCTTGAAGATGTCCATCGGGTGAGGATGTCCTTTGGGATTGTCCGACTTGGCCGAGACGTACTTTTGGACGCTGTAGAACTCGGTTTGAGCCTTGCCCTTCATATAGTGACGGATACCACTCTGGTGACATGCGAGATGACGAACTGTGATGGGTACATCCGGATGATCGGGATGCGTTGGGAAGTGTGGAAGATACTTTTGAATCGGGTCGTTCAGGTCAAGCTTGCCCGAATCAACCAGTATGCCCATTGCCGATGAGGTCAACGACTTGGAGATGCTTGCGATCCTCATCTTTGTCGATGGCTGTACCTTGAGTCCATTCTCAACATCGCTATAGCCTAGCTCAGTGTGCCAGACAGTCTGACCGCGCACCATCACACAGACGGAGACACCAGGCACACAGGCCATCTCCTTCCACGCGATCACCTCCTTGTTGGCCAGTCGACCCGCCAATCGGGCTTGATCCTTGGTGATATAGCAATTGATCTGATCTTTAGTGTTTCCCCAAGTTGGGAAGTCCGGAGCTGACGTGTCGTCGTCATTCGCAGCATTGGCATTGGCTCTGGCGGATGTATCCAAACAGAGAGCAATAGAAGGTTGGAAGAAGATACGATCGGCAAGAGTAGCATACATCTTGCTAAAGAAGTAGGGGTTATCACCCTGTCTATGTTGTTGCATATTGCTAATGACATGATTGGTTGCGGCAAGGGAGACAATGGCACCTCCACCCATCACAACCCTATTGAATAAACGATTCATTATTCTACTGTCTGTCTGTCTTGCTCCTCCTATGCTGCTTATTGTGATAGGAGTATGATCGATTGATGATAATGTATGAGCGATATATGTGATAAAGTAGTTGTATCTTTATCTCGGTGTGATTGGATGTTTGATTGTGTGTGTGATCATACACACATTCTGATTGATCAGTGTGTGAAGCACTGATTGATGACCACTCACCCTACCCATACACACACAACTACCATTACATTACACCGAGATAGTTGGTCAGGTGGATGACTGTATGTCATAGGCCCCTATGATCATACGTCGGATGGGTCTGAGAGACATCGGCAAAGTATACTATAATAACATAAAATGATGTATCGGGTTGATGACTTTGTGACCTCCCATCAGATTGTATTGGCAATGTGTGGTCACTCTCTCATACACTCCATTGAGCTTGCGATTTATTTATATATGATTGATGACTGATCAGTGGTATTGACAAATGAAATGGCATTGCATAGACGATGGTGCCTACACCGTACCGCCTTCCAAGACTTCTTTGGTTGTTGATGATCTGGAATGATGGATACTGGTAAATTAATGATTAAGTATGGGAAGGACTGATAAGGTGGTGATGGATCTTTAATTGCTTATATTTATTGAGTTGTACAAGGTCATATGTCTTATGTTAATTGACAGATCATGATGTAATTCTCCGTCGATCTTTCGACTATATATTCTGGAGCTCGATATGCCAATCATGATTCATCCAACCAATTTAGTAACAAACATTTCCCTGGATTATTAATAATAATAATACTTTATCAACTAAACAATAATGATTGAAAACGAACAACAACAACAACAACAACAAACTCATGATGGAACTTCACACTTGTGGGGTGCAAACTCCACTTCTTACCATTCTACAATGAAGGCTGTTGGATTCACTGCAGCCTATTGTACTGATGCATTGGACTTGACAATCGGAGAGAATCTAACAAAGCCATACAAGTTGTTGGATGTTGCCTGTGGTTATGGAGCCTTGACCATCCAGGCAGCTCAAAGAGTGTCCAAATCCGGTGGATCAATAGTTGGCGTTGATTTTGCACCCGGAATGTTGGAGCAACTCAAGAGGGAATCGCAAGGCCTGACCAACTTGACCGGAGAATGTATGAATGGAGAGGACCTCAAGATCGATGACAACACATTTGACTACTGCTACTCGGCATTTGGACTCATTATCTTTGAGGATCGTGTCAAGGGACTGTCCGAACTCCATCGCGTTGTCAAGCCCAATGGTGAGATTGCCATCACTACCTGGCCATACGATTGTGAGCTGTTCACTCTGATGAAGAGATCCTTCCGACGTGTTGTGGACTATGATATCCCAGACGAGGCATTCCAGAGGATCACACTGGGTGATGGAGAGTTCCTCCGCGAGCAATTCAAGAAGGCAGGATTCACCAAGCCACTCAAGGTCATTACCAAGATACATAACATGGATCTTCCTGTGAATGACATGATGAACTTCTTTGTTGGACATCCCTTGATCATGATGCTATCCACCTATCTACCAGAAGACAAGCACGACCAATTCCATCCAGCAATCCGTCAAGAGTTGAACCAAATGTATCCAGATGGACACATGTGTCTCCCAGTGAGATGTGCCATTGCCATTGGTGAGAAGTAGGATGTAAGTCTAGATGGAATGTTCTAGCCAAGTCTTGGCTATCTTGAAATAAATAATAATTGATGACTTGTCACACATAATCCAAGAATGAATTATGACGATTGTGTTGTGTGTGTGGGGGAATGAACATCATTGATAGTGTTGTTCACACACACACTATGGACCATGGTTTAATTTAGGCCTTTGACCACAAATGGAAAGTAGAGATCTGTTTGTTGGAAGGGGCAAGCCTTGAGACCTAGGTTATATGTTCAAATAACACAACATCCTTTATTGAACATCCTTTATTCTAAATCCATATTCATTCATTCATTGACATCATTTATTAGTATATTAGTATTTATCAACCTTCAAATACAAGGACAAGGTATTCTACTTGGTTATTATTATTATTAGTTACAATCTGGAAGAGTTAGAGAGATAGAATGACAGAAGCACCAGAGAAAAAAAAGCATCCATTGCAATGGATGTCAAAGGAGAATCCAAGATTGGCACAAAGTACAGGTGGATTGACTGCTTTCCTAGAACATATGAGGAAGCATACCTTCTCTACCTCACAACCTCATTCAAAGCCTCGTTTGGTAAAAGAAGGTTCATTGCCAAAGTATGAATCGATTTTGTAGTCAAACAAGAAGTATGAAGAATGTCATATTAATCAATCATTCAACTTATAAATAATAGGATATCAATAGTAACACCTACTAAGGAGCATTTGAAACCTATTGAAGATGATGAGGCCAAGAAGAGAGCTGTGTTGTGGGCTGTCCTAGCTTCATACTTGCCAACAGACAAGTTCACATTGCAGAAGGAGTTTGTGAAGCATGTCGAGTATACCTTGGCACAAACCGAGCATGAAGCTAATGCCTTCTCAGGCTTTGAAGCATTGGCATTATGGTAAGTTCAATCAATCGATCTATCACTCAATCACTCAATCACTAACAAGCATACTCAATCATGATGATTAGTACAAGAGATAGATTGATTGAGAGATGGAAGGACACTAGGTTGTACTTTAAACAACATGGAGTGAAGCAGGTAAACTACCTGTCTTTGGAGTTCCTACTTGGAAGGTCACTTCAGAATGGTCTGATGTCGCTAGGCCTCGTTGGAAAGTACTCAGAGGCATTGATGGAGCTCGGTTACCATCTTGAAGACCTCTATGAAGAGGAGCATGACGCCGGTCTAGGCAATGGAGGTCTTGGTCGTCTGGCCGCTTGTTTCATGGACAGCCTTGCCACAATGGACTACCCTGCATGTGGCTACGGTCTCCGTTACACCTACGGCATGTTCTTCCAGTCGGTGCAGGACGGAGAGCAGGTCGAGTTGCCCGACTACTGGCTCAACTATGGCTCGCCTTGGGAGATTGAGCGTCTGGACATCAACTACCAGATCTACTTTGGTGGCTACGTCGAGGAGAACACTGGCGAGGGCGGCAAGAAGGAGTTTGTGTGGAAGCCCGATGAGACTATCGTCGCAGTCGCCTTTGACTATCCGATCCCAGGCTACAACACATTCAACACGATCAATATTAGATTGTGGAGTGCCAAGCCATCTAATGAGTTTGATCTGGCCTCGTTCAACAAGGGTGACTACATTGGCTCGATCGAGGAGAAGCAGCGCAGTGAGAACATCACCAACCTACTCTACCCCAACGACAACACGATGCAGGGCAAGGAGTTGAGACTTCGCCAACAGTACTTCTTTGTCAGTGCCACCATCCAGGACATCGTGACGCACTTTAAGAACACGCACAAGAACTTTAAGGAGTTCCCAACAATGCATGCCATCCAGCTCAACGACACTCACCCGACCCTGGGCATCCCCGAGTTGATGAGAATCCTGATGGACGAGGAGGGACTATCCTGGGATGAGGCCTGGGACATCACCACCAAGACCTTCTCCTACACCAACCACACGGTCCTCCCTGAGGCCCTTGAGCGTTGGTCCGTCTCACTGTTTGAGAAGCTGCTGCCAAGACACCTCAGCATTATCTATGCTATCAATGAGTTCTTCTTGGACCAAGTGGAGGAGAAGTGGCCAGGACAGGGACAGATCAGAAGAGCCATGTCCATCATCGATGAGTCTGGCGGAAGAACCGTCCGTATGGCCTACCTGGCAATCGTTGGATCACACACCATCAATGGTGTTGCGGAGCTACACACCGAGTTGATCAAGTCTGATGTGTTCCCATTGTTCTACGAGATGTGGCCACACAAGTTCCAGAACAAGACCAACGGAGTGACGCCAAGAAGATGGATTCATCAGTGCAATCCACAGCTTAGCACCTTGATCACCAAGACATTGAGCACATCTCGTTGGGTCGTCAACCTAGACATCATCAAGGATCTCAGGAAGCATGCCGATGATCCCCTGTTCCACAAGCAGTGGATGGACATCAAGAGAAACAACAAGATCAGGATGGCCAAGCTCATTGAGAAGGAGACCGAGATCGTCGTCAATGTCGATGCTCTGTTTGACGTGCATGTCAAGCGTTTCCATGAGTACAAGAGACAGTTGCTCAACATCCTGGGTGTGATCAATCGCTACCTGGAGATCAAAGCCGGCAAGCCCAAGCAACCTAAGGTGGTGATCTTTGGAGGCAAGGCCGCGCCAGGCTACTTCATGGCCAAGCTCATCATCAAACTGATCAACGATGTGGCCGCAGTCATCAACAATGACGCCCAAGTTGGCAACATGCTCAAGATCATATTCATTCCAAACTATGGAGTGTCAAACGCAGAGATCATTATTCCATCGTCCGATGTATCCGAACATATTTCGACGGCAGGCACAGAGGCCTCAGGTACCAGCAACATGAAGTTCTCAATGAATGGAGGCCTGATCATTGGCACACTGGACGGCGCCAACATTGAGATCCGTGAGGCCATTGGCAAGGAGAACATGTCCATCTTTGGCGCTGTGGCCAGTGAGATTGCCAAGATCCAGAAGGAGATCCATGAGGGCACGTTCAAGCCCGACACTCGCTGGCTCGATGTCATCACGGCCATCAAGAAGGGAATGTTTGCCAATGCAGCAGAGATGCAGCCAATCTTGGACAGCATCACCAATGGCAGGGACAACTATATCCTGTCGTACGACTTTGTCTCCTACCTCGATGCGCAGAATCAGATCGATCAGGCCTACCAGGACAAACACAAGTGGGCCAAGATGTCAATTCTTGCATCCGCCGGCTGTGGCAAGTTCAGCTCCGATCGCTCCATTAGGGAGTACGCCGAGCAGATATGGCATGTTGAGCCATGTCGTCGCTCGGGACCAATCGCCGTGACCAACGAGGAGTACCAATCGATCACAAAGTCTCCAGTGGGAAGTCCATTCGATAAGAACATGAGTCCGATGATTTCAGTCGAGAGATTGACGCCCAACCTGACACCAAAGGGCACAGGCGCACATCCTACCATCCACAAGGATGCCCTTTTGCCCAAGACAGTCATCAAAGGTTTCCAAGTCAATGAGTCTTGATTGATTGATTCTTTGATTGGATGGATGGGTCATCAATCATATTGTTATGCCATATCATTCCAAATGTATATATTTATAACTCCAAAAATATTAAATCATCAATAATGGATTGATTCCAATCAACCGAAAGTGCACACAACTTGATTGAATGTGTTTGGCGCGAAGTTGGGCTAATCACACTATTTGCTCAAACCCATAAACTTCAATTATTTTCATTCATTCTAACTTCAGCTGAGATATACAAGTAGGATAGAGATACAGATACAGATACAATACAGATACTCAATCATCATCACTCATGAGTGTATTGCCAAAAGAGACTATCAAGGTTATTGCAGAATGTGTTGGTTTATCCAACTTGAACGATGAGATTGCAACTCAATTAGCATCAGATGTCGAATACAGAATAAGAGAGATTGCTCAAGTATGATTGATTGATTGATCGGATGAACGAAAGTGAATGATTGAATGATGATCACTAATATAACAAACGAAACGAAACGAAACAGGAATCAATCAAGTTCATGAAACATTCGAAACGAGAGTATCTGACGACAGAGGACATTAATCATGCGTTGAAGTTGAGGAATATAGAGGTGCTGTATGGTTATGGAGCGAGCGAACCACATAGGTTCTCAAAGGTACTCAGTCCAACACAGGCGATCTATTTCATACATGACAGGGAACTGTTGTTTCAAGATATATTGGCTCAGCCTCTGCCAAAGTGTCCGCGCGAACCCTCACTCGCCGCACATTGGCTGGCGCTGGAGGGCGTGCAGCCACTCATCCCGCAGAACCCTCCCCCTCAGAGCCAGTTCGACACATTCAACAAGAAGCTAAAGATGGATGGCACCGCCAATGGCAGCGCATCAGGCGGCGCTGGCGGTAGTGGCAGCGGCAGTGGCAGTGGAGCAGTCTCGACCGTGACCAGCGAACCCCTACAGCCAGCTTCAACATCAATCGATGGCGTACCATCGGCCATCGTCAAGCCGACCGTCAAGCACGTGTTGTCCAAGGAGATACAGATGTTCTACGAAAAGATCGTCAGCGCGGTCAAGGGCGACAATCAGGATCTGTTCGAGGCGGTGCTCGTCAGTCTCAAGCAAGACTCGTCGCTGCACCAGCTGCTGCCCTACTTCACCAACTTCATCTCGCTCCAGGTCACGCAGAACCTGACCGACCTCAACCTGCTGACGCGTCTGATGCGCATGTCACGCGCCATCCTCGAGTCGGAGCATCTCAAGGCCGAGTTCTATCTGCACCAGATGATGCCGCCTATCGTCACCTGTCTGGTCGGTCGCAAGCTGTGCCACTCGCCCAACGAGAATCACTGGCAGCTGCGGGACTACGTGGCCAACGTGCTGCAGCTCATCTGTCGCAAGTACGGCCAGGCCTACCCCACGCTACAGAGTCGTCTGACCAAGACGCTGACACAGACACTCTACGACACGAGCAAGCCACTGACTACACATTATGGCGCGATCGTTGGACTGGCGGCACTAGGTCGCAACACCGTCCACAACATCCTCCTACCCTACGTTCCCAAATACTACAAACAACTACTCGATCCAGAGTTACACAATGACTCCAATCCCGCCAAACAGTTTGAGGCTGAGCGAGTGTACAATGCATTGATGGTATGACCTGTCACACTCGTTCGCTCCACGACTCGCTCGATCAATCACTAACTCCATTCAAACAATCAACTCTATCAACTCACTCAGGTGGCTGTTGGAAACTACATGTCATGGCTTTCAGAAGGCGAGAACATATTGGCAGTGTTGGACATGGAGACACAGAGAGGCCCTGTGGCCTTTGACTACGACTCGATTCTAGCTACACTCAGAAAGGTGTACGCTGAGCTGTTTGATATCTTTGGCGAGAAGCTCATGGTGTATCTCAAGAGACAGGATGCGATGGACACGACCAACACTACAAACACAGCAAACAGTGTTATGGTCGAACAATAGAACGAGTAGAATGGCATCCCCATTCCACTTTCATTCATGTAGCAGTAGCAACAACCAAGCAAGCAACAACAATGTGTCCTTTGTATCTTGGCATCATCATCCTTTGGTACACACTCATTCATTCATTCGTTCATTCAATCAATCGATAGATGTTGAGAAGACAATGATGACGTTGATGGCGATGGCAATGATCGATCGCGAGATTGGATGGTAGATACAAGTGGCACATCAGTCTATAGATGTGGTGGCCAAGGGGTGATGGATGTTGATCTGGCTGATTAGAGCACCAACAAGCCAAAACCTGTTACGGTAATACGATAACCTTGGACCCTGTCACTGCTCTAGAGGTAAGGATAGATGTGTGTTGCTGTATCAACTGCGAACAGAACGACACTGCAATGCACTCACTTGTACACGTTTGGGATATGTATGCCAGCCACTGGCTACCGATGCCTGCCCCTCCATCCAGCCATCCAGCCTGTAGAGAACTGAACAGGAACAACTACACATGTAGAGGGGCAGGCAGGCAAGCAGGCAGACAGGTAGACATGCAGACGAGCCACATTTAGAGTCTGGGGAGGTAGATGTAGAGATGTATAGATGATGATGGGTACACAACCTTTAATGTCGGGGTGCAACTAATCAGAGCTTGTCGTCTTTGCCCACACACACTCACTCACACATCAATATAGAAAAGTGATTGACCGGCGATCAATCCATCACTTAGGCGCACTAAAGGATGGATGTTACTCATGCAACAACAGAATAGTGATCGATCACATTAGCTCCAGATTAATGCAGGAATGGATGGTTGGAGGATAGATGGGATGATTAGGTAGGGGCGTGTACCTGCCCAATCAACCATGTTTAATTAATTAGGTTGGTGAGTCTCTCCCATTATATCTCTCCTCTCTCATTCATTCATACTATCATTCTCATTCCCAATCCTATATTACCTAAAGCCATTAAGATAACTAAACTCTGCACTCCAATCAATCAATCAATCAATCAATCATACAATATAATATCATGGAACAAGGTAATAACATGTTTGATCAATTACCAGCACCTGGAACTCAATCTAACATTCATTATCAATAGGTATCCAAACAATTGGAATCACTCCGATTCAGTACACCTACTACCAAACACCAACTGGAAGTTATTATGATGTTTATAGTCCATTAGACTCTTCATCGTCCACCTCAGTCCTCTCACCGGCGTCCTCATGGCCTTCACCTCCACATCATTTCCAAGACCCGCATCCAAGCCATCTGATCCATGCCCAACAAATGCCAGGCACACCAATGGGTGTGATCACTGTGCCTCCCAGATACCTCCAGCTGGGTGACTCCAATAACCAGAGCACGCCACCATCCTACATGTCTCCACCTCTTACTACCACACCTCCATTGCCATTGCCAATGACACCACTACCATCACCACCACCACTACCTATGTCCAGTCCAGAGCATCAATTGAAACTGGAACAGATGGAGTCCAAACTGATCGAGTTCTTGACCACCTACAAGATGTCATTCATACATTGGAGAATGATGTCCTTTATGGGATACCTCTCTGTGTTCAACTTCTTCCAAAACATCGCTCCAGCATCCAAGTACGCCAGTCTTCCAATTGACTTTAGTCTGAATCCATTCATGACCTGTCAGAAGATGGACAAGGTCACTGAGCCACAGTTCAAGGGTACCACCAAGGTCCTAGAGCACCTTTACCTCAAGGAGAACTACATCCTTGATGATCAATACCAGAGGAGAGTGAATGAGCAAACCAAGATATTCCAACTAATGATGCATGTAAGTATCACTCAATTGGTTAACTCATTCGATCACTCGGTCAATCACTAACCCGCTCACTATATAGTGTCGTCCCCAATCCAACAATGAGATTGAGTCCAAGTACAATCAGATTAGATCAACATTCCATGTGATTAAGTCATTCCAGAAGACCAACACATGTGATACCCTGCTCAAGATACTCAAGATCTACGCCAAGAAACAAAAGAATAGAAGGATACTTACCGAAGCACAGGATCAGTCCATGAACACATGGTTCAAAGAACATGAGAAGGGTAAGTACTGCCATACCATCCATCATATCTCCGATCACTAACTCAATCAATGAATATAGATGAATGTGGACCATATCCAGATGACAATGAGAAGTCTATCCTGGGTGCCATGAACAATATGTCCAAGTCACAGCTGGATAATTGGTTCGGCAACAAGAGAATGAGAGACAAGTATAGGAAGAACTCATCTTCTGGTATCTCCTCCAACAGCAGCAACAACAACAATAACAATAGCATCAACAATGGAAGGGTAGTTGGCTATTGTTTGGACAACCCTGACCAGTGGAACAACTACCATCTAAACAACAACATCAGCAGGATTGAGGTCCCAACATATCAGTGCCAGGTCATCAAGGAGGAGGTGATTGAAACACCTGTCGATGACATCTTCATGGATGAAGTCGAGACCACCGATGAACTCATGGACGTTGATGAGTTTGACGACGATGAGGAGGATATGGATGAAGAGGATGAGGACGAGACCGATGAGGAGGTGGGTGAATTCTCCAGCGACGACACTGATGATGAATAGAAGATGTTCACCAAACTAGTCAATGCACTTTGGCAGCCAATACGAGTGAGCTCACATGTATATATCAAGGCTGCTGTTAGAAGAACTAAACCTTTAACTATCGTTTGTTTCCATCCATCCATTTGATTGATTGATGCTGACTGTGTCTTGATTGTTCGTTCGTTTGTTTGATAGTCTAACATATATTAGTAAGGTATTTATTTCAAGCGAGAATGGTGTAGCTGTCTCGCGCTGCTGCTGTATTGTTGCTGTAGCTGCTGTTGCTATAACATCATCGTCGATTAGGTTTATAAATCTTCTCTGCAGAATGGTCCGTATGGAGCCTCCAACAAAGTAGTCTTTCCAAGTGGACCCTCGGCAGCCTTTCTATGAGTCTGTGGTCCAATCTTTGTCTCTTGTCCTTTGTCGATTTGAGTCAACAGTCCCTTCATTGACTCTGGAGTAAGGTCTTCCTGTAATATTCATCAATGTAGTGTTTGATTGTTTGATTGATCGTCATCATCATTGTCAGTGAGTGCGCTGAAATGATGATCATTAGGTGTTCATCAGGGTCAAGGAGGACTTACGTAAAAGTCATCATTAATACAGATCATTGGAGCATTGACACAAGCTCCAAGACACTCAACCTCTACAAGAGTGTACTTTCCATCCTTGGTTGACTCTGTATGATTGATTTGATTGATTGATCGATTGAATGCGTGAGTTAGTGAGTGATTGGAATAGTTCCACACCGGACCATGTGATTGATTGATTGAGTGTGATTGATTGAATGAATGATTGATGTCCTTGGACACATACCTCCAACTCCGATGCCAAGATGATGTTTGCAGGCCTCGACGATCTCTGCTGATCCACGAAGCATGCATGGTGTAGTGGTGCACACCTGGACAAAGTTCTTGCCAACCTTGGTACGGTTGAACATGGTGTAGAAGGAGGCAACCTCATAGGCAACCATTGGTGCAACGCCAATGATCTCTGCAACCTTATCCATTGCACGCAATGAGATCCAGCCGCCATTCTGACGTTGAGCCAAATCAAGCATCGGGATCATAGCCGACTGTCTATATCTTGGTGGATACTTTGACAAGATCTTCTCAACCTTCTTCATATTCTCCGCTGTGAAGTCGAATGGTGTATTCTCATTATTATCATCTGTCTCCACGTGCTATACATTCATTAATCATCATAGTGTTAGGCACTGTATCTGTATCTGTATCTGTAGGTCTGTATCTGTACATACTCTGCTGAGAGCATCAGAGAATGATGGTGTTGAAGTGTGGAAGTTACGAACACTCCATGACTTGGTGTTGAAGCAAGTTGAGCTCACAACATTACGTCTTGTGCTCGAGCTCGACAATTGTTGCAGGGTCCTACTGAACATATTGGATGTATATGTATGTATATTTATATAAATAATATTATTATCTGTTTGAAGAATGATCAAAGAGAGACAAGTCTGATGATGATCAGGTCATTCATTGACACCATTTTTTCAAAAATCGTCTCAAAACGTTACATTGCCCAACACCAAAATTTTTTCACCCCACACTCACATACAGAACATCTAAACTTCGCAAAAGTCGAGTGATGAGCATGGGATGCATGACCCGATCAACTACATACTTTGTCATTACCCTTGATTGATGTGTACATGTATACGTGTGTGTGGTGTTTAAACATATAACTATATATATTCGAACAGATCTCAACACAACACCAACTCAAGACAACAGACATCATCAGATTATCGATATAAATAGTATATTTCTAGATTAGGACATAGATTAGATAGATAGAATACTAGGAAAGAGACAGAATGAAGAGCAGCAACTTCTTCAAGACATTCAAGTTGGAGGTGCTGAGTGGTGTTCGCGAGTTGCCACTTGGATTTAGGACGATGATTGCTGAGGGTGTGCCAGCGACTCATCCACCTCTGCCAAGAGCGAGGATAGAGACATTGCATTCGCCAGTGGCGTTGTATGCTCGCGAGTTTGCCAAGGCCTATCCAGAGATTGGCTACCTCGAGATGGACGACCCATCAGAGGAGGGCGGCGACTTATACAACCCACGCAGCGAGTTGGTCTTGTCCAAGCGCGCACAATACCTCGACTCGCGCACGCCTTACGACTCGACCGACATGGTTGAGGAGGACGCCGAGTTCACCGAGGCCGAGATGGAGCTCGAGATGACACAGGACGCCTTCAACTTTGCCAACGCCAAGGTGTTGGCCATGAAGAAGGGTCTGTCCGAGAAGCAGGCTCATCAACAGGCGTTGCGCGACACCTTCAACGACCTTGAGCGTCGTGAGCTCGAGTTGGACATCATTCGCAAACAAGCCAAGGCAATGGGCATCCCAGCATTCGACCCACAGCGTCATCTTCAGTATCTTGACAGTCTCTACAAGACTGTCGTCGAGCGTCGTGACGAGTTCAGATACATCATCCAGAGGTAAATATTGATTGATCGATTGAGCGAGTGACGTGTAGGTATCGACTGACTGACTAATACATACTACCTTTAGAGACGAGTTGGAGGAGGCACTACAGCTCAAGAAGGAGTATGGTGAGAACTCACCATTGACATTCGATCAGGTGTCAAAGTTCTCGCCAGAGGAGTTTGATCAGTTCATTGCTGAGCATCCAGAGTACAAAGATCTGTTGGCACAGGAGATTACAATGAATGACCCTAAGAATGACCGCAAGGGCAAGAAGGGCAAGCAGGCCGTCGAGGAGAAGCCAGCACAGACGACTCCCAGACTGTTCACACCAATGCGTGTCGGACCCATCTCAATGAGAGACATGGAGGGCAAGGGCTTTGTCGAGATCATGATGATGATGGGCGACAACTTTGACCATCCCGTCGCCGAGATCGTCGGCAACTCTGACGAGAACCTGGCCGCTGGCCTCAACATGTTTGGCGAGAAGTACTCCGAGGAGTATATGGAAAAGGAGGACGAGGACGACTACGAGGAATCAGAGCTCACATTGTTCAGAAGATTCCTGGTACTCCGTCAGTTGCTGATGGGACTGACACCCGAGGAGTTGGCCGCGATCAAGAAGGACACTGGAATGGAGGACATTGTGGAGGAGGTGGACAAGGTCGTCCTCGAAAGCCACGAATGGCTGCTCGAGCACATCTCCATGGCCAACAGCGATAACCCCTACTTTGCCACCGAGCTCCAGAACGAGAACGGCTACGCGCCCTCGGACTACAGTTTGCAGCCAGCCAACACAGACAACATGGCCTTCTTCTCCCAGTACATCAAGCAGAACAACCTGCTGCTGCCAATCTTCACCGGTAAGGAGTACGATGCGGCCCTCAGCGAGACGTTCACCCAGGTGGAGAAGATTCGCAACGACAATGCGGACGAGATGGACAAGTGGCTCACCGTGGGCGGAGAGGATGAGGATGGCGAGACGTTCCAGGATGAGGACGGCGTCACTGGCTCTTTCCTCGACCAGGAGGTCGACAACCTCAAGCTCAAGCTCAAGGAGCTCGACCAGGAGAAGTGGAACAACCTGGACAAGGCACAGTTCATCGCCGATATCTTTGCCAAGAACAGATCACCCTTCCACGACATGTCCGTCAACGAGCAGGGCATCCTCACCAAGACCGACGCTCAGGACGACAGGAGGGACATATTCGAGACCAGCTTTGTCAAGGAGCTGTGGGCTGACACAGAGAGCATCGCCTATCCAGTGGCTTGCTCGCGCGAGGCCATCAACCAGCTGAGCCAAGAGAACCAGATCTCTCCGGAGCTAGCCAAGTACTTCAACCTAGAGATCAAGCAGCAGCCCATCAGCGCCGAGCCACTGTCCAACCTCAACTTCTACCGCTCCGACCTGTCCAACATTAACACGTTCCAGGAGCTGTCCCGTTTCCAGGACGTTCCAGAGCCATCCACCGTCGCCAAGATCGACAAGTCTAAGTTCAACGAGGTGTTTGAGCGCACTCTGGACCAATCTCTCAGCTCAATCTACGTAGATCCACACTCTGCTAACCTGGAGAAGCATCGTCTGTCCAACCAAGAGCTGGTCGGTGACTTGTACAGGGAGGCTACTGGCCAAAAGATGGAGGAGGAGAGCGAGGAGAGTGCCGACACACTCGACGAGGAGTCAAGGAATGTGCTCCTGATGATTCAGACCCAGGACAAACTGGCGTCTACCACAGAGAAGATGGCACAACTCAGACGACTTTTTGCCCTGGAGGAGCACGACAAGATCAATGAGCTGATGGAGGAGAAGAGAGCTCTGCTGGGCAACAACAAGACCATGGATGACTACCTCTCGCTGAGCGATGCCGAGTTTGACAACATCCAGAAGAAACTGAGCGACATTGACTACAACATCAAGCGACTGCAAGCACTGTCAACTCTCAAGGAGAATATGGCCGTTCGTTATTCCAACAACTATCGTCTGCAAAAGGCTAAGGCTGCCGACAGAATGAGACAGCTGCAAGAGATTCAAGCCGGTCTCGAGAAGCGTCTGGCGAGAATCGAGGAGGCCATCCCATCGATCAGAGAGATGAAGAAGAATGGCACCTACAACAAGGCCGCCGAGAGAGCCGAGAAGCTGTACGAGGGTATTGCCGCCGTCCAGGAGAACAACAAGCGCAAGGAGATTCTGCAGAGCTACGAGTTGCCAGTGCCAAGCCCCGTGGTGCAAGGCATCTGGCCCACGGTGGACGCCGCCACCAAGCGAAGAATCCTCGCACAGTACAAGGAGCAGAAGCGTCAGGCAGCCGCTGCCGCCACCAAGGAGTCAGACAACCAAGTTTGGAACAACCTGGAGGTCCAGCCACCAACCACCCCAGCGCCCAAGGACTACAACTTCAAGAAGGGTGACAACTTGAAGCAATACTTTACCAGCAATTGATTGAGTGGAGGTGCCTGCACCATCAGCCATCAGGGAGCGACCAACCTTTACATAATCCAACAAACACAAACTTAATAAATAGCCAAATATATATAATACGTATAATAATCCTCTAGATCCAGTCCATCTCAATAATAATAATAATATTAATAGTTGGATTTTAGATTTAACGTTTATTGATTTATCGATACCTCTGTAGTCCATTGGTTAGCAGGCCAGGGCGATGGTAATACTTTTACTACTTCTTCGAGGGAGGAGAGAGTAAGGTGGACAATGGATTGGAAATGGGAATGGGAGTGGATTGATGTGTGAGTTGGTTTACAATGGGATGTTTCCGTGCTTCTTGGTTGGGTTGGTCAGCTTCTTGTCCTTCAACATTCTCAAGTCGTCACAAATGATCCTTCTGGTCTCCTGTGGCAGAATGATGCCATCGATGAATCCACGTCTGGCGGCTGGCAGTGGGTTGGCGAACTTGTCGTTGTAGATCTTCTCCTGCTCAGCGATGTCTCCCTTTCCTCTAAAGATAATCTCGACGGCACCCTTGGATCCCATGACGGCGACCTGACCAGTGGGCCATGAGTAGTTGGTGTCTCCACGCAAGTGCTTGGACGACATGACGTCGTAGGCACCACCGTAGGCCTTACGGGTGATGACGGCGATCTTGGGCACGGTGGCCTCGGCGTAAGCGTAGAGCAGCTTGGCACCGTGACGGATGATACCGTTGTGCTCCTGGGAGGTACCTGGCAAGAAACCTGGCACATCGACGAAAGTGATCAATGGGATGTTGAAACAGTCACAGAAGCGGACGAATCTGGCAGCCTTGACTGAGGCATCGATATCGAGACATCCAGCCAGCTCCTTGGGCTGGTTGGCGACGATACCAACGGTGCGTCCCTCCATTCTGGCAAAACCAACAATGATGTTCTTGGCGTATGCTGGCTGGATCTCAAAGAACTCGCCATTGTCAATCACTCTCTCGATGACCTCCTGCATGTCGTATGGCTTGTTTGGATCCTCTGGCACAATGCGGTTCAACACCTGATCCTCGCGATCTGGCTCATCAAGTGGCTCAATATTTGATGGTTCACTGCGGTTGGATGATGGCAACAAGGTAACAAACTCTCTTACCCTGTTGTTGGTAGTGTATGGATGAGTGATGTTGGATGTTAGTCAACCCTTCTGTTGTTGATGCACTGATCAACTTGATCAATCTCTCTGATAAAACATACTTCTTAAGAGCATCAATATCATTCTCGAAAGCGAGATGAGCAACACCAGACTTGGTGGTGTGAGTCTTGGCACCTCCAAGCTCCTCTTGGGTGATCTCCTGCTTGGTGACAGACTTGACGACCTCTGGACCAGTGACAAAGAGGTATGAGGTGTCCTTGACCATGAATGTAAAGTCAGTGATGGCTGGTGAGTAGACAGCACCTCCGGCGCATGGACCCATGATGACTGAAATCTGTGGAATGACACCGCTCGCCATGACGTTGCGCTGGAACACCTCGGCATAACCAGCGAGCGAGGCGATACCCTCCTGGATACGCGCGCCACCACTGTCGTTCAGACCAATGACGGGTGCGCCCACCAGCATGGCCTTGTCCATGATCTTGCAGATCTTCTCGGCGTGGGCCTCAGACAATGAACCTCCGTTGACTGTGAAGTCCTGAGAGAAGACAAAGACGAGCTTGCCGTTGATTGTGCCGTGACCGGTGACGACACCATCACCTGGAAGCTTCTCCACGTTGAAGTCTGCGCAACGATGTGTGACCAACATATCGTACTCTCTGAATGAGCCACTGTCCAACAACAAGTCGATTCTCTCACGAGCCAACAACTTTCCCTTGGCATGCTGAGCGTCGTTTCTCTTCTGACCGCCACCCTCAAGTGATCTATCAGTCTCCTCCTGAATTCTGCCGTATACTCTCTGTAATTTTGATTGATTGATCTGTTGTTAGAGTCGATCTTCGCGTCTTTGTGTTTGTTGATGTCATGGCGTGCTTACCTCGAGTTGCTCGCCAAAGTCGATTGGAGTGGATGGAGCTGGTGCAGCAGCAGCAGGGGCACCAGCAGCAGCAGTAGAGAATGAGCGGAGGGATGATGATCCCTGCAAAGTCATTCTAGTGGCATGACGTGAGGCATTGCCAACACGATTCTTGAGTGCCGTTGTGAACAATCTTCTCGAGGTATTTCCCAACATTGTTGTTTATATCTGTCAGACCAACTCTAAACTACAGTATGTATGTATATATAATAATACTTGTAATAGTAGTAGTATTGTTTGTTTATGTTGCTTGCTAAAGACGCCACGCAATGAATGTGACTTGATGCGTCTCATTCAGTTCAGGAGACTCGGGAGGTGAGGTCTTGGGGAAGTTGCTAATCCCAACCCCTTTTATTTTTCGAAATTTCCATCCTTGATATTTCATGAACTTCCACCTTCAACTTCTTCATTACCATTCGCTTCTACAACTTGGTCATTCAATCAATCAATCATATACATACAATCATATATCACAATGACAGAGATAGCATCAACATCAATATCAACAACAACTACTACGACAACATCAAACACAAGTGAACCACAATCAATTGTACAACTGCGGACATTGATGAATAGAGATGTGGTCATTGGTATTGTTGGAGATAGAGTTATAAGAGGTCGTCTATCTTGTTTGGATGTACAACAGAATGTATTGTTGAGCGATGCTTACGAGGAGTTGATCAGCGAGAAACGTTACAAAGAGTACTTGGACAGAAAGACAGAGAATGACGAACGATTGGCTAAGGAGCTAGGTGCTGACTTTGTCGTGCAGCCACCATACGTCGCAAAGAGGAATGGTCGCAAAGAGTTGGGCTACATCATCGTACCAATGAAGCATATAATATATTGCAAGGTGTCAAAGACTCCTGCACCCTCATCAAAGGCTCAGTCTACAACTTCCACAGCCACAGCCACAGCACCAGCCACAGCATTAGCAACGGCCACAGCCACGACCACGGCCACGGCCACAACATCATAGCGAAGAAGTAAACGAATATATATATAATGTACACATGTATTATTAATAAGCCTGATTAAGTTAGTCTTCAACTTGTGTATGAATCATTGTTGGTGAATGATCCTTGCCCTTGAATTCCTCGGCAACAGCACGTCGAAGTGTGATGTTGAGCAGGTGATTGGTTGGCGATGTTAGCGCCTTGACAAGGTGGCTGCCATCAAACTGCATTCGAGTGTTTAGATGTAGTAGGTTGTGAGCGGGATCGCTCAACAACGCGGCGATGCTCTTCTCCAACTTTGTCAAGTCGCCCTTGAAGAACAAGTCCTCAATGTACAGACTGCTCAGAGTCCTGTTGGTCAGCAATGACTTGCAGAGCGCGTCCGCGCTATTGTTCGCAACGATGGCGCACTCGAGTGATGTCAGGGTCTTGTTGGCTGCCAGTGATGCGAAGAATCGCTCATCGACGTGTGTGAAGCGCGAAAAGTTCAGATGACGCAGACTAGTGTTGCGCTGGAGCAGGTCGCTGGTGGCGTCGCAGATGGCGCTGATCGGTTCGAACCGACTGGGAGGGCTGCGCTTGGATGGATAGTAGTCCAGCAGATCCAGCTTGCGCATTGTTGTGTTGGACTTTAGTGCGCCAAAAAAGTCTTTGAAGTCCTTATCAGTGAGGCCCTCAGCGAGGAGGTTCAGGGATAACTTGAGCTGCTCAATATTGGGCTGCTGCAAGAGCAGCTGAGCGTTCCTGATGTTGAGTCCAGTGATGCGGACCTCGCGCAAGTTCTTGAGCTGGAACAACGAGAGCCATGTCGATGAGGGAACCTTGTCCACAAAGTCGAACCAGTGCATGTCGATCCAGTCCGTGTTGATGCGCTTCAGGAACTCGGTGTTGCGTGCCACGTCCATGCCCTCGCAAAAGTCTACATGGAGACAGTCGATCACCACCGGCTTCTTCTCAAGGTAGGACAGAGACTCATTGAGGTACTTGTCGCTCAGTTCATTGGAGATTGATGGCTGCGCGCTGAATGCTATGCCTTTGGCTGCCTTCAATGAGTGCTTTCGGATGAATGGTGGCAACGTTGTGATCTCGCCAAATAGACAGAAGCTCTGAAGGCTCTGCAATGCGCCAGTAGTGATCTGTTTGTATGCTTGTTCATGTTGCTTGCCCCATGGGAACAAAGGACCAAACTCTGCATGCACCAGATATTTGAGTTGCACCAGTGAGTAGGGCGACGTGAGCACTGAGCACGACTGGATCTCGATCGACCGGTCATAGGTGCCTTTGTATCGCTTGCCCTGAAAGGCAGCCAGACGCAACAGACCCTTGTAAGATGGGCTCATGTAGTTGATGAACTCAAATCGCAATGATGAGCTCAATAGCTTAACGACCATATTGAACCATTGTTTACTGACCAATGCCAGGTTGATCACCGAGTGTTCCGGCTGATCGAATGACACAATTCTTCTATACATTGGTCTATAAAAGAAGTGATCCTGCAAGCACACCCTTGACAGTACCAACTGTAGTGCCATTGTTGTTAAATACGGTTCATCCATCTCTTATCTTTATCTCTATCTCTTTGTTTGATTGATTGAATGAATGAGCGAATGAATGATTTGTCGAAATGAAGGGGGGGCCCTTAGGTCTTAGTTTGGACCTATTTAGGGCAACTGATCGGCTATGAGGAATGTCACAGACGAGGTGATCCAAGCAATGGCTTGATATTCTTTAATGATGTAGGTACAGTATTGTCCCTATCCAACGAGTCTATAAAGTCTGTAACCTTTCTCAGATTGTTCGCAGCAGTCTCATTCGAAGTATCCACAATAAAGTCATAGAACTGACTCGCTTCATAGTCCAAGCCGTACAACTCCCTGTTGTTTGATTAATGTGCATTAGTATCAATCAATTGACTCAATGATATCATGATAACATACATATATCTATTGCGATCATCTTGATCTCTATGTTGATTCTCAATGAATTGTTCTACAACTTTGTCAATGTTGGGAAGTGGCAGTGATGAGAGATGTCCGACAACTGCAGCCATGTCATCAAGATCCAAGTCCAATGGTAATTGTTGCTCAGCGATGGCCGCACACTCCTTTCCAACCTCTCTCTCCAAGAATCTAATAGACTTGTCGCGAACATTACACTTGACGTAGATCTTCAACAAGTTCTCGCGATCATATATATTCTGAATGAAGTTGCCAATCAATGCCGGTTGTCTGCCCTCGATCACTGAGTACATATTGCGCGGTTGTTGTTTGTCTATTCCTTGAACTATCTGACATGTGCGGTAGTCTAGCTCAATGTCGACGCGACGACCATATAGTGGGTTCTGCTTGATGTCGTAGGAGCCGTCCCACTTGCCCTGCTCGTGCAGTTGTAGATCGAGTAGTAGACGTGATTGTTTGGCGACGGACATGTTGAGTGATGAGGCCAGCTCGCGGAACATCGAGCCCACCGAATAGAATTGACCGCCATTGTATATTGTTGCTAGACGTTTGGCCATTGTGGACTTTCCCGTCAACTGATGACCGGCAATGAGTATCGCCGGTGTCTTTACATCTGATTGAAGACGTTCAATAGCATTCCTTCCAAAGTACTCTGTGAATGCTGTCGACAGCTTGGCAAACTTTGTCGTCGTCATCATCATCATTCGTTATCTATCTCTTTGATTGATTATTTGTTGTGAATGTGAGTTTGGGAGATGAAAGCGAAAGAATGTGAGGAATCATTTTCTCTGAATAATCCAGATCAATATTTGAATGAATAACTAGATCAATCAATATTGGTTGTGAATTGGATGTTGGTGGTTTCGACCAACATAACAAGAAGATATAGATAACCAGCAATATATCCGGTATTATTAATTGTATACTCACGAACAAGACGACCAAGATGAGGATATGAAGTCATCGACGAGGATGACGTGAAGACCTTGACGAGATGTTCACGCTTGATTTTCACAGCAAGTTCAGCATGGTACACCATGCTGATGCTTGCTGTTTAATAATAATAAAACAAACAAACAGCTCAGGGTCTCACATTTATTATTGTTCCGTCCAACGTACACACGCACACATATACATATGGACTCCTACGGCTCTGTTGGACAGCTGACACTTCCCAAACTGATTGTCAACGGGATAGTCCGCACAATATGGTTTAGTGATGATCCCTCCCTCGATAGATCTTTCAAGCTATCACTGGCATTGATCTGTCGTCACACGTTCAACCATTTATCATCGCTCTCATCATCGTGGGATCACTTTACCGGACGCAAACAGTGGATTGCTCACCTCACCTCTCCATATTGCATGTGGAAGCAACTCTCGCATATCTCCACTGACACAATAGTCGAGCTTGCAATGCACACCCTCCAACATCAACCGCAACAACCACAGCAGCCACAGCAACAACAGCAACAGCAACAACAGCAACAACCACAGCAGCAACTACAAACAAACTTTGATTTACAGGTCGAACAAACAGTCAGAGAATTGTGTCAAGTGCATGCAACTTCGGCAGAGTCCATCCACATCAAACTTAGACAATCTGTTGAGTACAGCATCGATGTTGTGGCAATGGCAATCGTAGAGACACTTGTTGATGCCCCGGTCAGAAAGGTTACCTTTGAGCCAGAATGGGTGAAGGACAAGAGATCGGTGGTGGGCAACATCAAGGCCACCATCAAGGCATTGCGCAAGTACCAACATCTCGAATGTCTCGAGATCATTGGATGGCCAACTACCCTCCAAGAGTTTCGGGGCATCCATCGCGCCTACACTTGGCTCACCAACTTCCTGCAACGAAATGACTGCTCGAACCTGAACAGCCTTGGAGTTCAAATTGTCAGCGGAGAAGGATTGGGCCGTCTCTCCAACCTATTCAGGTGCTCCACTGCAATGGATACGTATATGTGTGTGCACAACATCCGCTCACTCACTCTGCTCTACATTCCATACAATTTGGATAATGAAACTGAAACATTGGATTGCCTCAGCAATGTGTCGCACCTGACAAACATTGACTCTCTCTCACTGGTCGCCGCCGACAACTATTTCATAGCAATTCCCGTAGTAGACCGGTGGCTTGTTCAGTACCTACAGAATAACAATGCCAGGCTGAAGCGACTAGAGATTGCCCATAAGATGTCAGTGGAGTTGCAAACAGAAATCAGTAAGCTAGTCAATCTGGAGCATCTGTCTTTGCCTATGGTTGATAAAGCGTGGGCATCGGGGCATGCTCTCCCAATGTCGCTCAACTCTCTCACACTCCAATGCATGTACGGGGAAGACGAATATGGGGAAGACGAATATGGGGAAGACGATTACGACGGCGAGCAGCTTCCATATTTGATCGACCAGGTGCTCGATTGTTGCGTCAACAGTCCAATCACAACACTCGAGTTCCGATTCCCTCACTTCAGACACAATGAGCTCAATCCCAAAACTCTCTCGCGGAGTAGTTGCTTTGGCAAGTGGACATCACTGACCAAGGTGTCGCTCAACTATCACCCTTCTGAGCCAAATGGTGACAACAGCTACGACAACGGAATTCATTTCCTCACAACAATACTCGAGTCAAAGAGTCGAGAGATCTCGAGTTGTTGCACCCATTCTATGGAATTCGCAAGAACCTTAGAGAGGTGATTCGCTATCTGGATAGCAACACAACACTGCGCACACTGACATACTTCTGTAAGCGTTCAACTCGGAAGCCATACACGCCAAACATCCCTGGCTTTGTCCTTCATTCCGTCAGCGATGTGCAACACCGGCTGCGAGAACCAATGGGGTGTGCGGAAGAAACCCTCTTCGAGAGATTGTCCAAGATGAAAAGGACCCGAGTGACCTACTGTCGACTGGCAGACAATAACCATCTTCTTTAAGTGATCATATCATATCCTCAGCCATATTTCTCAACAACAACTTCAGCATCAACATCAACAAATTGAAGGATCAATATATTGTACATAATCAAGATCGACTTGGCTGATCCAATGACAGAAGTAGTCGTATCTCTCTAGGTTCTCCAAGGTGAACTTCTGATGCTGGACTGTGATTGGCACCACGAGAATTTAACATCAGGTGTTCTGAGATGTATGTACGATCCACTTCAGGCTTTCCTCACTTGGAGACTCGGGAAAGAGTGTCAAGACAGTCCAGTATTATTTCCCGAAGTGTATGGGAGGTGAGTTGATGTGTGGTCAACAGACCATTATTTCCAAGTGAGTGGTGATGGTGATCAATCAACTCATCACTTCTCTCATATCAGCTTGTGATCAAAAAGATCACTTGGTCACTCTCAAATTTGGAATCATTCCAATCAATCAATCCATGAAATCTCCAAAGGTATATTATCGAACACTTATTTATTAATTCCAAGACAACTAAAGAATCAAACTCTTAGTTCTTCTTCTTGCCCTTCTTGTTGTTCTTCTTCTTTGGTTGCTGTTGCTGTTGCTCTTGCTTGGCTGGGGCGGCAGCGGCTGGTGCCTTCTCTTCCTTCTGCTCGGTGGCAGCGGCGGGGGCCTTTGTGGTGGTCTCGGTGGTTGTGGTGGTTGATTGGCTGTCAGCCTCGTCGACTGTCTTTTTCTCTTCTACTGGAGCAACTGGCTCCTCAGTTGGCTTTGTCTCCTCAACAACAACTGGAGTCTCCTCAACAACAGGTACTGGAGTCTCCTCAGCAACAACTGGGACCTCCTCAACTGGGGCAGCGACTGGCTCCTCAACAACTGGGACCTCCTCAACTGGTGCTGGAGTCTCCTCTGCAACAACTGGTGCTGTGACCTCGACAACTGGTGCAGCGATTGGCTCCTCAGCTACGACTGGGGCAGCAACTGGCTCCTCAACAACTGGGGCTGGGACCTCCTCTACAACGACTGGTGCAGCGACTGACTCCTCAACAACTGGTGCTGGTACCTCCTCGACAACGACTGGAGCTGGGACCTCCTCAACAACTGGAGCTGGGGTCTCCTCGACAACGACTGGAGCTGGGACCTCCTCAACAACTGGAGCTGGGGTCTCCTCAACAACAACTGGGGCTGGGACCTCCTCGACAACCACTGGTGCAGCAACTGGCTCCTCAACAACTGGTGCTGGGATCTCCTCGACGACTGGTGCAGCAACTGGCTCCTCAACAACTGGAGTAGAGACTGGCTCCTCAGCTACGACTGGGGCAGCAACTGGCTCCTCAGCTACGACTCGGGCTGGGACCTCCTCAGCGACAACTGGGGTTGGGACCTCCTCGACAACGACTGGGGCTGCAACTGGCTCCTCAGCAACGACTGGAGCAGCGACTGGCTCCTCRACAACTGGTGCTGGGACTTCCTCAACAACTGGGGAAGCGACTGGCTCTTCAACAACTGGTGCTGGGACTTCCTCAACAACTGGAGCAGCGACTGGCTCCTCGACAACTGGTGCTGGGACTTCCTCAACAACTGGGGAAGCGACTGGCTCTTCAACAACTGGTGCTGGGACTTCCTCAACAACTGGAGCAGCGACTGGCTCCTCGACAACTGGTGCTGGGGTCTCGGCGACGACCACAGGTGCTGGGATCTCTTCAGCAACTGGGACCTCGACTGGTGCTGGAGTCTCAACTGGGGCAACGACTGGTTCCTCAACAACTGGTGCTGGGGCTGGAGTCTCAACTGGTGCAGCGACGGACTCCTCAACAACTGGTGCTGGAGTCTCAACAGCAACAACTGGAACAACAACAGCCTCAACAACAACAACTGGGGCTGGAGTTGGGGTTGGGGTTGGAGTCACCTCAACAGAAACAACTGGAACAACGACGACAACCTCTGAAGCCTCGGCTGGCTTGGTCTCCTCGACAGAGACGACGACAGAGGTGGTAGTGGTTGATGTGGCGGCTGCTGGCTCTGCGCCAGTCTCGACAGTGACAGTAGGGACGACGATGACCTGGTTGTTCACTGGACCGGCAACACGCAATATGATCCAGTCGATGATGAATTGGATGACCAAGTCCTGGTCCTTCTCGTTGTGCACCTCGTGATACATGTCCTCCCAGAGCTTGAGTGTCTTGTCAGTGGAGGCAATGCGATCAAAGAATTGCTGTGATGCCTTTGGACAGGTGATCTTGTCGTCGTTTCCGTGGATCAACAGCACGGGCGAGGTGTACTTGGGCGCCTCGTCCAGCAGGCTCTCGGCCTTGCTGAGCATCCAGCGGCCAAGACCGAGCGAGATCTTGGAGTGCACCAGCACGTCCTTCTTGTAGGTGGCGACGACCTCGGCGTCCTTGGAGATGTGCGAAGCGTTGAGGTTGCTGTCGATGGTGGAGGTAGCAGCCACCTTGCCGAGCAGGTTGCCCAGGAACAGCTTGAAGCCCGACACCTTGAAGGCGGGCTTGATAAGGGGTGACGTGACGACGCAGCCAGCGGGCGCGCGCTCCTGGTTCTTGAGTGTGTAGTGCAGTGCCAGACAGCCACCAAAGCTGTGTCCGTAGATGAAGTGTGGCAGGGCGGGATCGGCGTTGGAGGCGATCAAAGTGATGTCCTTGAGTGATTGCTCGAGCGATGGTGAATGTCCACGCGTGCCGCCACTCTTTCCATGGCCACGCTGATCGAAAGCATTGACCAAGATTCCATTCTCGGCAAACTTTGAAAACACATGCTCATAACGACCAGAGTGTTCTCCAATACCGTGTATGAATGTTACTGTAGCGACCACAGGTACTGTGGGCTGTGTCGTCAATGATTATTGTGTAAGTGTGTGTATGATTGATTGATTGATTGATTGATTGATTGAATGATTGATTGAGTGTGGGGTGTGGGGGTGGGATGATACCATACCTTCCAGGATCTGAGGATTAGTGTCTCCTTGTCGGAAGCCAAGAGATTGCTGACAATTGAAGTCATTCTGATTGTTATCTGTACAAGTTGGTGATGGTTAATGATCACTGGGATGTAGAGCACGATGCTTTCAACTCACTGCATCAGAGGTCATTGTCAAAGAAGGCGGGCACAACACCATCTAAGCGCAACGACAAGAGGTCCTTTCGTGTGAGGACAAGAAAAAAAAAGATGACCAGCAAAAAGTGATCACTTTTTTTAATTGAAAAACGGGTCCTTCCTTTTCAATCAAATCACTCACCATTGATACCCAGAATGAGTGGTCATTGTTTACCAACCTTTCAGGTAACTATTCGGCCTGGCCTGCACCATTGAGGGGCGTAGTAGATCCATCCAACTGGCCACAAATATCTTTGATTGATTGATGATTGAGATATATAACTTGTGATCATTTATATATTTATATATTTATATATGTTATGTACATGGACCAAGGAGTAGAAACTATGATGGATGATTCGCTCTGTATTCTGCTCCAATGATCTGAATCTGATAACCAATGTAGAGTGTGACTATGAATAATAGTAAACCAGCTATGTATGCGAGCACTGGAGTTGACGATGACTTGTTCTTATCCACTGATTTTAGAAACTTCTTCCTATCATCATGTACCTTATCTGTGAATCTCTTTAATGATTGCTTTAGTTGATCATTCTCATCATCATCATCACTATCACCATCACTTTCATCAACATCCTCATCATTGTCATTATCTTTAAAACGCTCGTCCATGTGTTCTAACTGTTGTTCAAGTGATTCAGTTGATGCCCTTATATCATCTTCATCTTTATCATTGCCAGATTGATGTTGAGATGACTTCATTGTTATATTATCTCTATGTATATAAATCTATATATGTCAAACAAAGTGTGAAGATGGATGAATGAATAAAGACCAAACACACATTGATTGACGCAAGAATGTGAATGATTCACAAGTTCATTTAATCATGCATCTTCTTCTTTCGTGAATTGCGCTTCTTGGATGAAAGGTTGTTACTCTCCATGTAGACCTTGACTTGATCGGTGGTCATTGGGAAGTCATCGGCAATTGTTATCAGTCGTGTCGGTGGAATTGTGTTGCCATACGTCTGGTTGAACTCGGCCACGTAGAGGAAGTATTTCTCGCGTCGCTTGGCAAACTGTTTCTCGCTCAACGTGCTCAACAGTGTATCCTTGAAGTTGTATATCCTCTTTCTCAGTCGCTCTTTGTCACTCAATCCGTTTGGTGTACCATCTTCTCCCACTGTTCCATCGCCTTCGCCTTCTCCTTCTCCTTCTCCTTCGCCTTCGCCTTCTCCGTCGTCCTCGCCATCACCATTCTCATTGCCATAAGCATTTACATCGCCTTCTACATCTCCGCCATCAACATCGATCATCTCATCATCCGAGTAGTAGTTCTCGGTCATGTCATTGCTGGTGTTTGTGTCGTTCATTGGCATTGGCATGTCAAGGTCCTCCATGGAGGAGGACAATGATTCATCAGCCTGGCCTCTGAGTGTTGTTGCTTCTGATGTTGTTGTAGTGGTTGTTGGCGTTGGTGTTTGGTTATGTACAGTTGATTGTGATGATGCTGACGATGACAGCTGTGAGGATGATGTCTGTGTTGGAAGAGGTGACTGTGACGTGGGCTGTGATGACTGTGATGGTTGGGTGGTTTGAGAGCTACTAATGGAGCTTAGATTGATTGATGATGGCGCATTGGTCGATCCAATTACTTCAATAAGTTCCGGATCATCCTCGAGTGATGAGCTTATTCGTGGAGATACGCTGCTGAGCGCAGGCGGAGGTGGTGGTAGTGGTTGTGTTGGTGGTGGAGAGTATGGCATTCCTCTCTTTGGTAAGGATGTTCCAGTTGTTCCTTTCTTTGGTGCACTCTGTTTGGATCGCTTCTCTTGAGAGGAAATGGTGGTGGAGGAGGAGGTGGAGGAAGTGGAGGAAATGGCAGTGGAGGAGGTGGATGAGGAGGTGTCGGCAGTGGATTTGGACTTCTTTGGTCTTCCAGGAGTGGCAAGCATAAGTGAATTGTGCTGTGTTGCAACTATATGCTGTTGGGAGAGTTGGGATTGAGTCTGCTGCCTCTGTTGAGTTGGAGGCTGCTGCTGCTGTTGTTGTTGTTGGAAAAAGTTATCAACAGATGTAGGACGGGTATTCTGTTGCTGTTGTTGTTGTAAGAATAGGATTTGTTGTTGTTGTAAATATTGATGTTGATGTTGCTGTTGATTTTGTTGTTGTTGATGTAACTGTTGTTGTAATTGTTGTTGTGGTTGTTGTTGTTGTTGTTGCTGTTGTGGCTGCTGTTGTTGTTGTTGTGATGACTGCATGCTCTCAGTGAGTTGTTGCTGAATGGTCTCCAGATTGTTGTTGAAGAAGTTGACAATGGACTGGAATTCTTGCTTCATAACTGTGAAGTGATGATTGAACACCTGCTGTTGTGCAAGTAGACATTGATCCAGGATGTCCTTGAATGTATCCACCATCTCATTGACATACTCGTATGACTTTGAATTGACTGCCGCTCGTATTGAACCTTGAGTCTGTCCATGCAACTCATTGGTGCTGACACGTATATTCGGTGTTGCAGTTGCAGTTGTTGTTGACTGCTGCTGCTGTTGTTGCTGTTGCTGCTGCTGTTGCTGTTGCTGCTGCTGTGGAGTGTTGAAGAGAGGCTTGCTAATTGGTGAACCAGGTGCGACTTGATGTTGAGATTGCAGTGGCTGCTGTGGCTGTGATAGATTGAACAGTTGCTGTTGAATGAGTGCTGATGGTACAGCTGTTGGCGACACAGTGTTCATGGTTGGCGGACTGACGCTCCTCGTGGTGGATGAGCCCGCTTCACAATAGCATTGCATATTGGCGATGCTATCCTTGAGGAAGTGCCAGTACCACTTGCTCTTGTACACAACCTTGATCATGTCCTCTTTGGAGTTGTGCATGCTGTCATTCTTGCTATTGGTCAACGATAGTCGGTGCGCATTCTGGACGATCTTGTTGATGTGCACGTTGAACAATGGAATGCGATAGATGTGCGATGACGTGTCCGTCGTCTTGTATCCCAGTCTAAAGTTCCTGAAGGGCCCCAGAGGGGGCATGGGCATGCCGGCCCTGATCTGGGGCATCTTGGAGTGACGCAGCAGCTCGCCATTGTCGTCGAGCAGTGGCATATAGTTCTTGTCCATCAGAAAGAAGAACATGTTGAAGAAGTCCGATTGTTGGCTGAGCAACACGGGCTTGGTCTGATGGCCAATGAGAATGGACAGCACCTTGCGGTAAAACAGCAGCACGCCCTCATTGCTGTTGGAACTGGCCTCGTCATCAAACTCCAAGTCTCGTTCAAGTACATAGTCTGAGTATTCTCGCTCGTCAACCATTATCAGCAGATCGTCCAACACTTCATGGGTGGTGGCTGGCAATGATATTGTTAGCATTCATTGGATAGGGATTGAACACCCTCCGTTAATTACTCTTCATGCTTACCATTTGTTCTGAACGGTGTCCTTTGATCTTGTTGGCTGGCAGGGGGTGTTGTTGACTGGACTGAGCCCTGTGACAATGACTGTCGTCTTTGAGCCTGCCATTGTTGATGTTGTTGTTGTTGTTGTTGAAGCTGTTGTAGTTGAGAGGCAGGTGCCAACGCTGTAGAAGCAGGTTGAGAGGGAGGCGTATGTTGAGATTGTGATTGTGAGGATTGTGGTGATTGTGATGATTGTGATGACTGGCCATTGAAGGGAGGTGACTGTTTGCGATAGGGATGGTACCCTGCTTGTTGGGTTGGCATAGAGGCCACTTGAGGACGCATGTTTGGTGACATTGTAGGTGATATCAATGGGGAGGATGAAACCGGTGTCATTGGACGACTGGTTTGTTCACTTGTTTCGACTCTTCGTGGCTTCTTTGTTCTTTGTTGTTGTGACTGTTGTGATTGTTGTGATTGCTGCGACTGTTGCGACTGTTGTGACTGTTGCGACTGTTGCGACTGTTGCGACTGTAGTTGTTGTTGTTGTTGGTGACCTCGTTTAACAAGTTGTTGTGATAAGGTCAGTCTCTCTTGCTCCAATTGTTGGAGTTGAATCACATGTCTATTGTACTCCTCAATGATCTGCTCCTCTGGCATTGATGAAGTGGGCAGTATACTGAGGTCATGTTTCTGTTGTTGTTGTTGTTGTTGTTGTTGTTGTGAGTCTGTGGATTTAGACTGAGCAACAGAAAGTTCCAAATCAGCAGGTTCCATTGAAATCATAATTTAATATATATATATATATATATATTACTGGATGGCTGGTTGATTGATTGGTGGAATGATTGATATGCTTTATGCTAAAGGACAGAGTGATAGTGGTTGGGCTGTATCTCGTTGATGTGGTGAATGGACGACAGAACTGATTTTCTTGGAATCAATTCGCTTGTTGTTGTGTTGTGAGTGTCGTCGACTTGGGCTTGACTGGCTTCTGTCTATCAGATCAGTTGTTATAATATGTAAGTAAAAAATATACAAAGTATCTGTATAATATAATATTTGTTAAACTACAACTAACTAACTCGACCTCCGATTTGTCACCACCTGGTGATGGTGCTTGCTGACAAGTCAAGTTGGTCAAACCCAAGTCCACACAAATCACTCACGCACTCAATCAAAATTGATCTTGTTTCCAAAGGGGAAGGAAAGGTAGTCCTCAGACTCTGTAGCAAACCAAAGATATTGTTTTTGTTGTGTTGGGTAATGACCGATCTGATTTCCTCCAGGGATCTAACATTGCCCCGTGTGTCGTTAACCCATCAAAATTCGCTTCGCAATCATAATTGGCAGATTAGATAAATAGGTGGATATGAAGGTAGTCATGCCCCATGACCCTGATCAAACTGGTGCTTTGCACCACACCTGTCAAAAACGAGACCTTGGTACGGGCAAGGAATGAAAATGGCGGGATCAGTTTACAAGTCCAGCTCAACACTCCAAGTCAGTTCAGTTGATCGATCTACACTACGATTATTATTTGTTGCTGTTATTATTATTTGGAGTTTGGTAATTAATTACATTGTACTGAAGAATAGAGCACCAGCACGTTCGACATCTCCACCACATCGATTGAGTAGGTTCTCCGCTTGCACCTTGGTGGCACCGAGTGACATCAATGCGTTGATCTTCTCCTCAGAGTGTCCAGTGGACTGGGCAGCGGGTTTGGGTTGTGCAACAACAGTTGCAGCTGGTTTGTTGCTTGCGACTGGTGCTGGCGCTGCATTTGTCTGAGTTGGAGAGGTTGTTGTTGTCGTCGTTGGTGGATTGGCAGCCGCTCCAGCAGGGGGTGGAACGTAGTTCTCTGGTAGAGGGTCCTCCTTGTTGAGGATCTCGGTGAGATCCTTCTCGGCAAGGAATGGTACGTGCTCATCGCCAATCTCCAGAACATTGTTCTTCAGATTGACCATTGCTGTGTGTCGCTTGAGCTGGTCGAGGCCAAAGATGAACTCTGTGTCCTGGCCTGGGCTGTCAAGAATGGACAGCGAAATGGTGATGTGTGACTTGCCCAGCCTCAGTTTGGCAGCGTGCACTCTGCCGACGATCTTGGCCGTTCCGACACCCTTGGCAATGCCATGGAACCTCCTGTCGATCAGTCTGGACAATCCACATCGCTCGGCACACTTTAGAGTCATAATTGATTGTTGTGCGCCAGTGTCTACAAAGGCCTTGATTGGATGCTCGTTGATGGAGCAGTCGATATAGAGCATAATGACACGGGCAAAGGCTTCTGGGGTGTACTCGATGGCATGCTCCATGTTATGCTCAATGTTTTGTTGTTGAATCGCTTCGTAGATCAACTTTTGGCCCTCCTCATTGAATGGGTCGTTGGCGGCCTCCACCATCTTTCTTTGTTTCTCCATCTGCTCCAAGAAACTTTTGATCGTTGGTTCATCCTCCTCCAAAATGGCGTTGGCCAGTTGTTGATTTTGCTAATCAATTATTGATTGATTGAGTTAATACCTCTATCTCTATCTCTCTCTCACACACGAACGCTCCGTGTCACTGATACATACATTGAAGATAGCATCCAACTCTTCTGGATTATTCTTAAAGTGATTAATGAATTCTCTGGCATTTCCCCATTCTACATTATCATGTTGATTAGATATTGAGAGTTAGTAAGTATGTCATTAATGAGTGCTAGATGTGTTCGGAAGTGGAAACATACTTGGAGCTGCTGCTTGTTGCTGTCTTGGTCTCTGTTGTTGTTGTTGTTGTTGTGGCTGTCTTTGAACTTGTTGTTGCTGTGGTGGAGGTCTCTTTGTCATGAACAACAGGTCACCATTCTTTACATTATACTCTGCGATCTTCTTTGATCCAACCATCTCCTTTCCTTCATGAATAAGTATTTGATCCTTTACCAATATGTTTGTCTATTTAGTAGTTACTTGTTAATGTAATATTCATTCATTGATTGATTAATTGATTGAATACACATACTTCAAACTCGATCACCTTTTGAAGTTGCTCCACTGTACCATTGAGATCGACTGGTACAGGGATGAACTGTTCATTGTTCAATGCAATAGTGATCTCTGCATAATTTGAATCAGACATTGGTTCAGACATGATGTTGTGAATGTAATTAATTATATATTATTATATGAATATAGTAGTAATAGTAGTTGTAGTATTTATATATGTTATAACTTGAATGATAGATGAATGAATGAATGAAGATGAGATGGGCTGGAGTACCAATCAACAAACTTGGAATGATGAAGTTCTCGAAAAGTTTAATTTCATCTTTGAAGTGAAGGAGAAAATATGGAATGATGCAAAGATACAACAATGACTCATTGACTTGTCAAACATTGTCAATGACACGTCAATATAATATAATATTTGTATAACATCATGTTATCTTTATCTTGAAGAAAGAATAGGTGATAGGTTTAACAGCAGATGAAGATGAGGTTGGTCTTGTTCTCTCTGTGAATACAATGGCAATACATTCATCAAAGCAACGAATGTGATATGTAACAGATCCAAGATATAATGATGCTATCTGTGTTGGTAACAATGTGAGATGATAGGTCTCTACACAAGGACAATAGCAAAGTAATGAGTTGATATACACTCTCAAGTCTTTGGCATGTATAATGTGCATAGTTAGATTCTGCAGACGTCTGATCTTGATGGTTGCGTTTGATTGTACAGACTGTAGCTGTCGTTTCAGATCAATTCGATTCTTGATGATTGGTGTCTGGTATGATTGAACGATATACATCATCACTTCATACATCATCCTTTGTGAGTAGTCATAGGTTATCTGTGTGAGTGATGCAGGCCATTGATCTTGTCGTAGCGTCTGTTGGAAACTGTTTCCAACGGCCAACGCGGTAAGGCTATCTGGCAATGTACCGGCTGTAATCATTACATTGAAATGTGACCCAAATGTAAGTGTGATTAACCTTGGAGGCAATGACCCTGGCTTGATCGGTTGATTGAACGATGTTCCAAAGGTCAACTCTGTAATGGACTCTGGCAATGATCCGATGGCAATTGAACGATTAAAGCTGTTACCAAAGGTAAGTGATTGAAGTCCGTTTGGTAAAATACCAGTTATTATTGATTGATTATAGTCTCGACCAAATGTGATCTTGATCAATGATTCAGGTAGAACTCCATTAGTCAACACCTGGTTGAACTGAGCACCAAAGGTCAGTTGTTGAAGGGTGGACTGTAGACTACCAATAGACAAAGATGAGTTGAACTCATCATCCAAAGTCATAATGATCGGAGTTACATTTGTTGTACTTGTAGAGATGGAATATGTATAAATGAAAGGTATATGATAATGATGTGATTGTGATTGAGATGGTATCCAATGTTGAACGATCAAAGAGTAGTACTTCTTACAAGACAGTGCCAGACAAAGTATATCTATTGAAACAAGATTACTTATAATATCATTAATGATATAGTTCTGAAGTGACTCCATCTTCCACATATTTCTATATTTGATCATGGTTGTGATCTGTTTGTGCGTTGGGTGGTAATCCCAACAACTTGTCACACTTCACTCCATAATTCATTCTTTCATTCATTCATCATCATTCATTAATTCACCAAGTACAACTATTTATTATTACTTGTATACAAGTACTATTACAAGATAATTGAAGTTATTGTAGACATTAAGAGACATTCACTGGACCATCGTTCCCGCTGTTTGACACAGGTTTGACAAGTAAGTTACTTACTAGGGTTACCCTCAAAGTGGGAGTGACTGTTGGGTCGCCGACTACCAACTCTAGATTGTTTGTGTTGTTTAGGTCTGACACACTTCTCAACTCCCCATCGATTGAAGGATGTTTAGTTGTGATGGGTCATGGGAAACTAATGATCCATCATGTTTGACAGATTGATCTGCCATCCGCAAGAGAAAGTAGGTACGACAAGCTAATGGATGTCAATTTACATGCATGACACCTAATTTTGGATGCCATTTCGAAACATGAATGTCAAAGACCCCACGATCGGAATCCGATCTGGATCAACAACGGCTGAAATGCATGACATTAGTTTGGCATCAAAGGGCACCAAAGGGGCGATATTTTAATCAAAACTCATGAATTATTGGGCCATAGAACAGAGTCGTTCGTATCAATTATGTTCCAATTGATACTACAACATTCAAGAAAGTGCCCCTTCAACATGGCTTGGGACCTAATTCTCTTAAACAAATCAATCAAAACCACCGAAGATAATAGAGGCCTCGACCATGCTCAACCGTCCGTGTACAGATTAATATCCACCACTCGGATCATTCATGAAGTTGTATTTGGGGGTCTGTGGGCATTGGTTGTTATCAAGAGAAGACCTTGGCGCTACATGTACATGTTTACAAAGGTTGTTTGGTACCAAACATACAACAACCCCCTCAAATATCAACATGTTCATCTGATTGACCATCGAAGTCACCAGACCATACGGATGTTATCCCCGATCCAAACAGCTACCTTCCATTGGAGAGAGAATAATGGTGTGGCGGTACTCGTGCGAGGGTACCCCAAAACATACTTCCTCCTGTCGATGGGGAACTGGTGGTGTCCGATTGCTTGGGCGATGGCAATGACCAGCGTCAGCAATAACATGAGTATGTATGTGTCGTTGCGACACACTTGAAAATATCCAATCCAGCAAATGAGGTTGAGGGTGCAGTGCACAGAGGGAAGCACAAGGGAATCGATTGGCGCGGTTCTAAAGAGAGTGATCTCTCTTGTGGACCACACGTCGTCGACCAAGATTGGGACAGCATGTGGCAGTGATGGATGGCGATTGGTACATTGTCAATGATCATCCTGTCCAAGTAATCATTTCCACATCTTGTTAAATTATTTGTACAACATATAATCAATTATAACAACACTATACATTTCCAACAATGATTAATAATTATAATAAGTTAATTGTTGGACTTTTTTTGGTGCTCTGTGTCGTAGGTTCGACACAGGCTCAGAATCGAGTTAAAAACCCAACCAACAACCATTACTACCAATGGGTCTCCCTCTCAGGAACTGCTGCCTCCTCGTACGCTAACGCGTTGACAGCAATTTCGAACATTGCCGCTGCCCCCGGAGGATTAAAGCCGTATGTATCAATTATTTAACTTAATTTATTGTTGACGTCCTGTCATCACCCTTCATCATCTCTGTGTAGACACACTCTCGCGAGGGGTGAAGTGTGGCAACACCAACATCACATAGTCATAACAATTAATCTGACAACCTGTCACCCTATCCAAACCAAACAATAATCAGATATTTGGCCGTCATCGACTCACCAGAGGAGCTAGCTTTCCTCCAGACTCAGACCGACATCACTTCAATTATTAGTGGTTCCTACTACTTCTATGTCTCTGGTCAGAGAACTGGCGATATGTACTCCTACACCTCCGGTATCGAGAATACTCAACCAATCTACCAACACTCGATCGGTCGTTGTTTCACCATTTGCCAATGGGCAACCAACTTCCCCACCGGCACCCCTGGTAACACCTATCTTGCCTTTACCTTCTCAGGTGGCAAGTTGTTCCAACAGAACCAGCCTTGGACCACTGGCCAGTACTACCTGGTTGAGTGGGGTGGCCTTGCCGAGCCATACCTACCACCACCCACAACCGCAGGTGGTCAAGTCATAGTCAAGAACATAGTCAAGAATGAGGCTGGCGCATCTTGGAACATGGCCAACATTGTGATCACTGTGAGCGACGGTACCATCACCTACACCCCCAACATTATCACCAGAGGCACCGATACCATTACCATTGATCTCCAGCCAGGCTACAAGAGGTTCAGTCTCAAGCTTGATGATGGCACTACTCGTGGACCATTCACCAACCAATACGTCCACTTCCAGCGTAAGTCAACCATCAGCCCATCATCTGTCATGTCAAACAAAACAATCTCTAACTCATTTGTACTACTATATAGTGCCATACATTCAAACTCTTTATGCTAGAGCCTTCGCTGCTGGTAGCCCGATTACTATTACCGGAGGCAACTTTGGTGTGAACACCACTGGTCTCTCCATCAATGCCGGTGGTGGCTTGTGTGTGTCTCCTGCCATCATTGAGGACTACACCACTGTTATTTGCAACCTCGGTGCTAGTGTTGCCATCAACGGAAACACCCAGTCTTTGTTGCCAATCTACATTACCTACGATGCCAACAACTTCGTATACACTCACAGGAACAACATCCCATTCTGTAAGTAACCATCATTATAGGTTGGAGAGAGAGATGAGTCTGTAGTTACTAATTACACCTTCATATCATTCAGACGACTTTAACACAATGACCGTCATCCGTGCCTGTGTTGATTGTCAAGGAGTTTATGGTGATGTCAGAGCCATGATCTCAGGAGCCCCAGTTCTTGATTACAATACCCCTTACCAAGGTACCGTAGTCAATAGTTTACAGTCTGACACTATTGTCAAGACCTACAACCTGGGAAGCAACAAGTTGTGTGAGGGTCTGGACTGTTCTGGAACTTCATCCATCCCCATCAAAGATTTGGGTGGTCCCCTTAACAATGTTGTTGGTTTCTCATCTTTCACAAACTGTCTCCCAAGTGTAATCTATTGCAATGGAGCCTCCGGTTTCTCCACCAGTACCTGGTACATCCTATTTGGTCAGGAGACTGGTACTGGAAAGCTCTACAACCTGCTCGGACAGACCTCTACAGTCAATGAGTTTGCCTTCTATGGAGGTTACCAACCAACTGCCCCAGCCGCAACCACCGCTTTGGTTGACACCGCCGGTGGTGCAATCACCTACACCGTCGGTACTACCGCTGGATTCAAGTTCTCGAGCCGTTCCTTCACCTTCCGTGGTACCACCTACTCCTTCCCCAACATCAAGCTGGCCGCCCAGAACACACTTACCCTCAACATCCCAGAGGGTACCGGCACCGGTTACCTCGTTGGTGTCTCCATCGAGTCAAAGACATTCGCCAACACCATCACCGTCTCATACAACAAGCCAACAATCACATCCATCAACCCAAGAATCACCTCCATTGATGCCCAGGTCGTCATCAACGGTAACAACTTTGGTCCAACAATTGTCGGAGTTGTCGTCACTATCACTCTCGGAGCCACCACCAAGACTGTCAGCTGCACCATGCAAACCAAGCACACCGCCCTCGCATGCACACTCCCAGGAGGCTTTGGTTCCCAGACGGTTACTGTCACCGTCGGTGGTCAGTCAGGCACCTACACCTACGCTTACCAAGCCCCAGTCATTACCAACGTCGACCAGGTCGGTACCACCATCAATGTCTATGGTACTACCCTTGGTTTGACCATGGCAGCCGTTGTCTGTACCCCAACCTTAACCTCCCCATCGTTCACCACCAATGCCGACCCACAGATTTACTCTGGTTCATCTGACGGCACCACCAGGAATGGTCCAGTTACCCTGACCATCTCTGGCACCCCCACCAACGCCTTCCAATACAATTACAAGCCAATCGTCGACTCTACAGCTGGCCTCAAGACTGGCGCCTCATCCCTCATCACCTTGAGCGGTAAATTCCTCAGTGTCACCCGTGCTAGCAACGCCGCAGCTACCGTCAGTGTTGTTATTGATGGAGTCACCCCATGTACCACTCCAGCAAACCCCACCAACGGCCTCAAGCTCACATGTACTGCCCCAGCACTTACCGGCTCACACACTATCGAGGTTACCATTGATGGAAAGACCTCTGTTAGCGCAAGCCTTGTCGCCCCAGCCCCAACCGTAGTCAGCTACACCCAGTCCTTGACCACCCTTGTCATCACCGGTACCAACTTTGGAACCAGCACCTCTGGCGTCTCGATCCTTGTCGGTGGCATCTCCTTCAACCCCACTTCAGTCTCTGATAACACAATCACCGCCACCATCCCAGACACTCTCCGCAACGGTCCACTCTCTGTTACAGTAGGTGGTCAGCCATCGACGGGCACCGTCAACTTGGCCATCGCCCCAGCCCCCATTTCCACCACTCCAGTGCCCACCGATGGCGGCCCCTTGGTCATCACTGGAAAGTACATGAACAAGTATGACTACCAGTCCAACCAGCTCACTGTCACCGTTACTCTCGGTACCAACACACCTTGCACCGGTGCTTCCGTCACCACTGACTATACCCAAGTTACCTGTACCGCCCCACCAGGCATTGGTATAAACATCCCAGTCACGGTTACCATCGGCACCCAACCCTCGAGCAACCCAATGGGCTACAGCTACCTCGCTCCCTCAATCATCGACATTGTCCAGAGCCACTCTCTACCAGAGATCACCATCACCGGAGCCAACTTTGGTCAGTCCACTAGCACCATCGGTATCTCATTCTCTGGCGTCAACAACATCCCCGTATCAAAGTTCGTCGCCCAGTACACCTCCTTCGTTGTCCCCATCCCAACTACATCAAGAAGTGACAAGGTTACCGTGACCGTCGGCACCCAGACTGCCCTTCAGTACCTCGCCCTCAGACCAATCATTGCTTCAGTCGGAAGTCCCGCCACCCAGGGAAGCTCCATCACCATCACAGGTACCTTCCTCCAGAAGGTCACCTACTCTGGTGCCGCCACCAACGTCGTCGTTTCTGTTGACAACAGCCTGAGCTGCGATCTCCCAACCTTCCCAGGTACTGACGGAAGCGCCCTGGTCTGCAATGCCCCAGCTGGAACTGGTCCCACCCACACCGCCGTCGTGAGCATTGACAACACCGCATCTGACTCTCATGCCTTTACCTACCAACCCCCACTCATCAACAACATCGATCAAACCGACCAAGTCGCCACGTTCACTGGTGCCAACTTTGGATCCGCTGCAGTCACCGCCGTCGTCAACTTTGGTGATGGCCTCACCGCCACCCCATCATCGATTGTCGACTCAGTGCTCAGCCTCAACATCCCATTGGCTGCCAGGAACGGACCATTCTCAGTTGTCGTCGACACCCTGCCATCCAACAACTTTGACTATGCCATCACCCCTGTGATCACCGACGTCACATCGGCACCAATCACTGGAGGAAAGATCACCATCTCTGGATACTACCTCAACAACATGCGTCAGAACAACACTGCCACCTCGTGGTCGGCTTCCCTCCTGCCATCAACCTCCTGCAATGGTCTCTTCAAGGAGGCTGATGACACTCTGTCACATCTGTCATGTACCCTCCCATCCGGCAGTGGCACTCACACTCTGAGCCTGACCATCGATGGTAAGACTGTCACCAAGTCCTTTGTCTACGGTCTCCCAGTCATTAGCACAGCCGAGGTTGATGCCAACAACAAGATCAACATCACCGGTGACAACTTGTTCGCTCAGGGCGTCAACACAACCGTCCTCTTTGGATCATCCCTCATTGCCAGCCCATCCTTCTCCGGCGCCTCGATCATCTTTGACGCTCCAGCTGGTGCTCTTAACGACTATGTTACCATCTTTATTGATGGCGCTCCAGTCAAGACCGCATCCCCTGTCAACTTGTACCCCATCCTTGCCTCGGCCTCCCCATCCACAACCGCTGGTTCTGCCATCGTTCTTAGTGGAAGCTTCTTGAACTCATATGACGCTGCCAATGCCCAAACCACCCTCACCGTCGTCATCAACGGCCAGCCATGCCAGGTCACCGCCGACACTGAGACAACCTCAAAGCAAGTCGTCGCCCCAGCCGGCGTTGGCTCAGCCCTTACTGTCACCATCACAGTCAATGGCCTCTCATCCAGTATCAACACCTTTGCCTACTTGCCACCAACCATCTCCAACATCTTCCAGTCGGGTAACTCCATCTCTGTTGTCGGTACCAACTTTGGTTCCTCCAAGGACACTCTCAACGCTCCAACCGGCATGACCACCACTGATGTTGGCGAGATCTACGCCACCTTCACCCTGCCAACCTTCTACAGAAGCGGTGATATCACCATCACTGTCGGCGGCCAGACTGCCAGCCACTCTTTCATCATCACCCCCATTATCACTAGCTTCGTTGCCACCTACGCTGACGGCGGAGATGTTGTCATCACTGGATCATACCTCAACGGTCAATGGGAGAAACGGTACCTCCACCGTCGCCTCTGTTGACATTGGCGGCACCAACTGCCAGACCAAGGATCTGACCGGCACCACCCTCACCTGCACCATCGGCTCATCCGTCGTCTACAACGGCAACCTCGCTGTGACCATCGACGGCCAGTCAGTCACCGCCTCCTCACTCTACACCTCACTCCCCGCCATTGTCACCGCCGCCACTTCAGTCACAACCGCCGGTGGTGTTGTCACCATTACTGGATCGCACTTTGTTGGCCCAGTCACCGTCACTATCGACTCACTCGCCTGTGACGGCCCAGCTGTCACTGGAACCACCATGATCACCTGTGACTTGGCTGCCAGCAGCACCACTGTCGCCTCTGGCTTCCAGTCCGCCCTCGCTGTCGTCGTTGCCAACGGCCAGATCTCTAGCACCGCCAACGTGTTCCTCTACAACAGATACAACTGTGCTGGACAATGTGGTTCTGGTACCTGCCAGGACGGATACTGTGTCTGCCCAACTGGTTCCTCTGGCGCTCAGTGTGAGGTCCCCGTCAACACCAACTCCGACCCAGCTGTTGCCCCATCCCAAGTTTCATTCCCAATCGCTAGCCCAGTCTTGGTCACCTTTAGCTCCCAGATTGCCTACATTGAGGAGTACGACACTGATGCCAGCCAGGTCCACTCGACTGTCACCGTCATTGGCGCCCAATGGACAGAGTCCTCCCCAAGCACCTACACCGCCACCATCAGCGGTGTCAACGTCACCATCCGTACCGACTACTTCCACGCCGACACCAACGTTCCATTCGCCGGTGAGGTTATCCCAGTTCCAAAGGGTGCCGTCAAGCACACTGTCAGCGTCTCTGGATGGACCTTTGCCTCTGCTCAGAACACTTTGAGAATCGTCTACTTGTCCCAAGCACCAGCCACCTTTGCCTACAACTGCTCAACTGCCTCCACCTCAATCACCACTTTGAGCAACGTCAACATGCCCGCCACCTTCATCATCGACTCCCCAGCCGGATTGATGTTGGCTCGCTTCTCTGATCGTGCCTTTACCAACGGTCAGTTGTCCCAAGTTCGCGTGTTCCAGGACCAGGCTCCAGTAGTCGACGGTACCACCATCTCGAGATACGTCATTGAGGTGCCATCATTCACCAAAACCCTCGAGTTTGATCCAACCTTTGTTGCCTACACCAAGCCAGACATCATCGTCAACCCTACTTGTGGCACTACCTCGACTACCTCCACTACCGGTGTCGACCCAACTACCTCTACTTCCACCACTGGCGTCGATCCAACTACTACTACCTCCACCACTGGCGTCGACCCAACCACCACCTCGACCACATCTGCCAACCCAACTACCACCTCGACCACTTCTGCTAACCCAACTACATCCACCTCGACAACTTCTGCCAACCCAACTACATCCACCACGACATCGACTACAGCCAACCCAACTACCACCACAACTACCACAACTACTACTGATAGTCCAACTACCTCTACCACCTCGACCACCACCCTTTCGACCACCACTGGACTCAGTGCTTCATTCAAGTTAGCACCATCAGTGGTCCTTGCCCTGCTTTGCCTTTTCCCATTGCTCCTTCTTTAAGAGTCACCAATGACTTTGACTTACTCATCACCTATGATACTATCATAGTTTCATCATCATTAAAGGATTACTAAGTAATACCTTCCAATAAAGAAATAATATTAATCATTCAAGTATCCAGAGGTCTAGAAAGGCCATTTCGTTTTTATCATCATTGGGTAGGAGAGGATCACAAAGCAGGTATGGAGATAAAGTTACATGTAGAGATCATCTCCCAAATACTCAAGGAGGCGTGGAATCACTCGACGGCCGCACATAGATCGACATCATTAGTAGGTTGGCCCGACTTTAGATGGGCACTGTCTCTCGGTATCAACAAGCGAGCATTCAATCAGGTAAGATGCATGAACACAGGTCTGGTGCTCCGAGGCAATGACGGCTTGCAAAGCCTCATTAACTACCTGCTTGATGATCGTCACCTATCACCGTTCTCTCTGCTGCCGACCTCCCTCACGCACCTGAAGATAATTGGTCTGGACTGGAGGAACAGCGCCACCGATGCCAATCAGATCCTCCGCTCGGACGACCCCGTCGGCTATGTCCTTCTGCATGAGAGATTTCAAATGATGGTCAAAGATGCTGGCTCACTCGTTGCCTGCAGGCTCTGCCATCCAATGCTCGCAGTGCTCCTTACAAGATTGGCTGTCATTCACTTAACGAGCTTGAGATATGCATGGGCGACAACATTCAAGAAGATGTCATGGACAGGCTCCCCTCGCAAGAGTTTGGGACGATGTTCCCTCTGCATCGCTTAACTGCTCGTTTCAATGGCAATGTTGACATCATTCCCTATGTCTTTGGTAGCCACGCATTTGACAAGATCACATCACTTGATAACAAATGTGGAATGATGAAGGAGTTAAAGAAGTGGCACGGTGTAACAATCAACAGCAGCAGTAGCAGTGACAATTGTGGAAGCACCAGCACACTCGCTTGGTAATGATCACAGCGGTGGATCATCGAGCAAACCAATCAGTTATTCAGTACCCAGCAGCAGCAGCAGCAGCAGCAGCAGTGGATACACTAATCGATCCGCTAGCCAACCTGTCTGTCAGTCAGTCAGTGACTAGTAGTTGATTCACTAATCGATCTGCGAGTCAACCTGTTAGTCGTGTTGTATCTTCCATCGAGCAAACCTACCCTACCAACTGTAACTGTAGTAGTAGAAGTGGAAGTACAACCAGACCAATTGTATTAGGGCACAATGGCTCATCCGCCATTAATGCCCTACTGGAGGCTGCAGTCATTGACTTGTCTGAGGTCACTGATGATATGCTATTGGAAGAGTTTGAGAAACCAGCTGTCGACATGCTGAGGGCGATTTGGAGTCATTAATGATGGCCGAGAGAAAAAGACTGTGTCTGGAGGCAGCTAGTGTAAACGAGGAAGGTAATATATATCAGCAAGAGACTGGACAGCAACAGGTGTTGATCAAAGAATATATATACTTACATGGACTTATTCAAACAACAGACAAGATAAGTCATGAACATGTTGAGGAGTAAGGAGAACAGAGAGGAATACAAACAGAGGGATTGATTGATTGATTGATTGATTATTCTTGTGTCTGGATGGCAAAGTTATTTATATATATATACAAGATGGAGAGATATTGAAAGAGATTGGTATTGAAAGAGATTAGTATTGAAAAACATTTAAATGTTGGACTTATTAAATGATATCGATATGATTGGACACTGTGACTGATACATTCATACTTACTTCAAAGTGGGCGCCAAGACAATGCTGCAACAAAGGTTGGATACACACCGTGGAACATACAAACAGCGACAGCCGTGATGACAGCGCCGCAGTAGTCTCATCGTCCAGCAACGCCTACATCAACAGCAACGGCAACGGCCATAGAAACAAGTATAGTGTGATTAGCAGCCTCTACTCCAACGGCACGACCAACAGCAGCAAGCGCCAGAGCAGCACGAGTCAACAGCTGTAATAATCTGGCCATTGCCATGGACGCGATGATCATTCATGGCGCGGCCCATCAACCACTCGTTGTCTACAGTAACGCCAACTTTTATGAACAACATGGACCACTCGGTTTCGTCCAGCGGTCTGTAAAACATGATGAATGGATGGGTCAAGGCCATGATGGTCTGGTGGATTCATTCCATCAATCACCCTAAAGCAAACGTCTTTGTACTTTGCCCACAAAAGGTCAATGCAAAATGTGGTTCTGAAGAGGTGTGGGTGAAGAGGTGTGTGGGTGGTTCTGAAGAGGGTCAGTATCACATTCTTTACAGATAAACATTCATTCATACAGATAATCATTCGTTCATACAGATAAACACAGACGAATATGTTACAGGTGAAATTTAATGAATATACATTCAACGTATCTACTTGGTTGATCGATAACTTCTGGTGTACATTTGAATGATTTGTTCCACATTGTCAAAGTCTTCAGCATCTCTGCACTTCAGCTTTGTCAATCGATTGGAGGTATTGGCACAAATGATCCTCACCAATGCTATCTGTTGATGCGATCATGCAGAGGAAGGACCTTACGAACTTGTACACATAGAGTCCACATCGCCAATTACATGATAATCACATTGTGATTTATAGAGACAATCTTCCGATTAACACGTTGTACTGGGCCGCTGGGTCTCATGGTGATCTCAAGTGGGCAACTGCCAAAGCTACATGTTTATTGTTAACTCTGGTCACTTTATAATCCAATCGAGCGATTCATTGACCTCGCCAAGGTCATGAAAGTCATCGCACAAAAGTCTGGGACCCTTTCGATCCGTATTATTGAATCTACGGTTATCCCTTGGTTCTCGAGGGACCAGGATATGACGATTTTCCGAGAGGTAGGTGAAGATGTTGATGTCCTTCCCCATCATGATCTTGATTTCGTCCATTGAGAAGGACAGGCATCCAACGTTGGGGAAGACCTGACGAAGGTAATGAATCAGCGACATGTTGCCATGGACGGCAGCTTGGTAAATTAGAAACGGGTCCACCTGGAGCTCCAACCGAGGGTGGTGCTCGCAAATACACGTCACAATGTCTAGACTGTCGCCGGACACGGCATGAATGAGAAGTTGGTTGTCCTTGTCGAGACTTCCAAACAACATTGATGGCGATGAGCCAATCACCGCTGTGCGAGCCAACACAAGTTGGAGCAAAACATAGTTAGCCCGTTTGCACATGATATAGAGGTGCTCAGTGGAGGGAGGCAGCAGGGAGGGAAAGCGGTCAAAGAGTGTGGAGAGTGCGCCATGACTATGTCTGCTTTCAAAGACATAATTGCGTAAAGATTCCACTACGTCGTCAGGAAGAGTTATGTCGAGGCCACAGAGATACGCAAGGATATTGTCTCGATTCACGTTGAGAGCATTGGTGAATGCGCTCATCCATTCGATAGGTGTTGGCTTGCGCAGCGGCAAGTCGTGTTCCACGAACCATTTGACCATTGCCATTGAGCCGCTGCATACGCTGAACGAGGGCTGAGTGACCCCCCTGCATTCGGGAATGTGTTCGTGAAGATATCGCACGAGCTGGAGATGGCCGTTCTCGGCTGCCTGCACCATTGGTGACGGAGTATGTAAGTGGCGATGTGTTGGCCAGGACTCGGGTAGCTGCCGAATATAATCTATCACCTCGATATGGCCATGTTTGGCGGCGCTGTTTACAAGATGGTAGGCCAATCCCGAGAGAGGAGCGCTGCCAATATCTACGCCAATCTCGGGCAACAGCTGAACGAGCATGATAAGGTGTTGGCTGTTACTCGTTGTTTGCTCCACAAGCTGGTTCGGTTTCATGGCGCCATGCTTGCGATCCGCGAACAAGTTCTTGATTTGCTCGACATTGTTGCTGTTGAGCGAGTTGAGTAACATCTCGCTCTCAGTCGCAGGTGGTTTGACAGCAGGATCCGAGAGACTGTATTCTTCAGCCAGAACGGCAATGATGTCTGCGCGTCCATATTGCTGGGCATAAATGATGCATCCTTTGACAAACTCGGCATTCTGGTCTAGAGTGTGCCTCGATGCATAAAGTGCAAAGATGAAGCGGAACATATCAAGACTGCAGGTATTGATGAAATATGTAACATCAATGCGCTCCGGTATCTCGTCGAAGTTTGGATTGTAGAGCTCGTTGGTGAAGCGCTCACTTTGTTGGTCTGCTGTGTCCATGTCGACATGGAGGTCGTAGCGATCGCACAGCATCGTCAACTGAGCAACGGTGAGTGATCCGTATGATAGTGCCTTTAAGATGTTGCAGTAGACCAGCTGTTGGAGGAAGTGATAGCCCGTCCGGTATGGCAGGAGCTGGTCGGGGAGGGACGCTCCATTGGCAATCCAACGATCGATTACCCGCACATAGGTGTCAAAGTAGCCGCAAGCAAGCGTGAAGCCGATCACTGACCTGCGAGTGGTCATGTCTCGCCAAGAGTAATGCCAAGGTGCCCGTTGGCCATCAATACGTATATGTATCTCCTTGACCTTCCGCATGATGTATCGCACCAGATACCTGTCTGCAAAGAGCTGTCTAATCGAGTTCAGTCCCTCTTGATCATACTTTCTCTTCATATTCTGTCGTGTGTCAGGTAGTTTGTTATATAAGTCAGAATTATATGTTTGGTGAGACTGATTGATTGAGAGATTTAATCTATTAGATTCCCCACCTCAAAACAGCACCAGCATGGTCAAACATCACTTGGTCTTGTTTTGACTCTTGGTCTTGGATTTAATCACCCAATCCAACCTGGAATGCTTCCCAACTCACTGACCTCGCTGACCCTTGGCAATCAATTCAATAAGGCTTTGACACCAGGAGCACTGCCATCATCAATCAATGTATCTCCGACATATGTTCCAATACAACATAAGAAATCCATTGGCAAGAGGAAAGGAAAAGGAGGGCGCCAATCTTCTGGAGGACTTTAGGAACTCACGTACCAACTACGAGGTATGCATCAAGATGTTGAAGTATCGACATAGATTGATCGACGTGTGCATCAAAGACCAAGTTGCTGCAAAGGTATGTTCGTCTTGATATTGTTAATAGATTGAATATTAATATAATATATATATAGGAACAAATCAAGGTACTTTGGGATCAACTACATACCATTGTCAACATCCTACTCCATCATGAAGGAGATGATGAGGATTATCTGGAAATGTTCCAGAGATCCCTTTACATCTACGGCGCCAACTACCAAAAGCTCTATGGATGTCGATTGTCAACATACCAACACATCTTGATTGAGCATGTCCCAGATTTCATTCGCACGTTCGGTAATCTGGACAAGTTCTCCAACTTCTCAATTGAAGGTATGTTCGCTTGTTGAATGTTGTATGATCGATAACTAATTATTCATTGAATATTAGACAGGAAATCACAGGCTAAACAAGTTGAACATCCACTCAAGCACAAGTGGGTACCAGACTACAACAGGACCAACTGGACTACCCGCACCACTGCTCAAAGTTGGTCTTTTGACCAACATTGTAACACCAGGATACATGCTTGGCCAGGAGCCCAAGTCTAGGTTCCATCATGAATGACACATTTGTTGGTGATGCAAGGAGCAAGGACAAAGTTGAGGAGTTGTTTGGAATTGCAATTGAGACAAGAACGTACGTTCAATGGAAGAGCCCTGCAAAGAAATGTTCAAGGGCAGAACAACATGCACGACAAGCTGCGTCAAGAGCTGCATCTGCTTCTGTTGCTGCCACTACTAATGTTGCTGATGATGGCGCGTTGGTGGAACATTGGAGCACACTTGTCGCTGACAACGACGAGGGCTATACCAATGATGAAGTTCTGAACTTCGCTGGCGGCTTTGACAATGATGTTGACATGGATATGGTTACACCTACAACAACCACAACAAACACGGCAATACCTAGGTCGCCAGATGACGATGACTCTATGCTATCCACTCTATTGTCAATTCCAACAACGACAACAACAACGGCCACCCCCACAGTTCCTGCCAATCGCCGTCTGTTCACCATCCCAGATTATGATGATATCCGTGACTATGACTGGGGCGCGTCTGAACCATCACCTTATCATACTTCCTCAGCCACAGGTCGCACTCCATCACCTATGACATTGTCGGATCAATCTCCTCCTTCTCCTCCTTCCCTTTCTATTTTTCCATTGCCTGCTCCATCGATCAATCCACTCCCTGCTCGATCGATCGATCCACTACCTGCTTCATCGATCAATCCACTGCCTTCTCCATCGATCGCTCAATCGTCTCCAACTATCTACCACTACTTCTCCGCTTGTTCAATCACAACAAACAAAGTTCACGATAGGACAAACAGTAGAGGCACTATGGAAGAAGGATACAAAGTACTTTGGAAGCTTCTGGAGAGCTGTTGTGGTCCGCATTGAAACAAGGAATAGCATGCAATTGTACACTGTGCACTTTGTAGATGAGAGGTAATTCAAACACGACATAAGGCGATGGATACTAACTATCACACAAGTGGATTGGACAAAGAGGGATATGTGAGGGAGCAAGAAATCGTTAACATTCCACGTGATCAAAAGTCGGAGGATGTCGACAAGGATACTGACATCCAGAAGGACGAACTGTTGTATGTAAGGATAAGATCGAGTTACATGTGGAAGCGATTCAATAAGAAGAATCCAAAGTGGTTATTCTATCGAGTATCGTTTGTCCAACACATCAAAGGCAAGGGAATGCAAGTGAGAATGTTTGACATTCAAGACGTCGACAACTTGGTCATTGTTCCATACGAATGCAAACAAATATGTATTGTATTGATATAGTGATGATCGATTGGTCGAGTGATGCGATTGGTCACTCAAATGTTTGATCGATTGGTTTAGTGATATGATTAATAATCGCTCATGTTCCTCTTCTGCTGCTCTGACTGTTGCTGTTGTTCCTGTTTCTGCTGCTATTGATTGTAGTTATTTATTTATGTATCTATGTAAATGATATTTATAAAGATAAAAATAATAGAATATTTGAGAATTGCAAGTTAGTGAGTGTCTCTTTCTGTATATAATCCTCCTTCTTAATATATGGCGCTATATCGAATCCAATCTCTTCAAAGACCTCTCTTGCTGCGCTTTGTGTCTCTGTCTCGCCTTCCTTGCCTTTGCCCTTTGGGAAGCCCCAGCCCCACCATTGTTCTTTGACCAATACGACCTGATTGATTGAATGATGAGATGATAAAGTCCCATGCTTGGATTCATAAATCAAGGAGATGGTATATGTCAATATTTTGGTAACTGTTGGAAGCGACCATTGTAAATTCTTGGCGATTTAAAAAGCGTTATCAAGGTTGTATCCAAACGATAGATCAGTTCAGACACTCTCTCAAGACCGAAATGATCAATGGCGAGACCCTCCGAAAGTGTGAGATATCAAACAATTACTTTCACATTGGCGAATCCAGAAAAGTCCTGGTCGATAATGACAAGATTGAATACACCTCATTTAATGTTGTAAAAAAACAAAAGAAATAATAAACATCAAGTACAACATCTAAAGTTATTAAATCCAATCATTTATTACTTCTGGACAATAATACAAATTAAAAACTATTATTTATATTAAATTTAGTGCTCAAAACAATCATTCAAAAGTTCGCACCATGAGGGTTAAAGGTAACTTACGACTCGACCTACTCATTCATGCATCCCACTTACCAATCACTCCACATCTATTCCAGGTATTAAGGTTGAAGCATTAAACTCTATGAGCTGGTACGTTGATCATCGCGTCATGCGACTTGTTCTCATCGCATGTGCAAGAGGACATTTGGACATTGTTGAGTATATGCATCGACATCCAAAGAATGAGAATGGTGCATTCCACACTGATAATGTAAGGGTGGCAATCAAGCATGGCAATTACCACATTGCCAAGTTTCTGCTTCGCAATCGGAAGGAGGGATTCCACTATAATGCATTAATGGAAGCCGTCAAGTGTCCCGATTTGGAGCTGATTACAATTTTGGCTGAGAGATGGTCTCCCAATGGCGCCAAGGACAAGCTCATAGATCTGGCTTGTGAATCATCTCATTCTTCCGTTGAGACTGTAGAACTTTTGAACAGGCTTGGATATGGATGCACCAAGGCAGCAATGCACAATGCAGCTATCAAAGGTAACTTGTCTCTGGTCAAGTACCTCAACCACAACAGAACAGAGGGTTGCCAAACAGATTCAATGTTGGCCGCGTTGGAGAATGGACATTTTGAAGTTGCCATGTACTTAGACCAGCATCGACATGAGACTACAATTGTTCGGCATCTAGACGCTGTGGCTCGCAACCATTCTCTCGAATCACTCAAAGTGGTGCTTGCGGCCAAAGATTGTGATGATGCAATGGTAGCCTTAACCAGCGATGCTATGCTTGCACAGCGCATCGACATGTTAGAGTACCTTCACAGCCATCACTCTCTTCCATACTCATTGGCATGCATGGAGTTGGCAGCTATTCAAGGAAATCTCCACATCATTCAGTTTCTCATTAGCCAAGGATTGTTGGCAAATGGACGTGTGTTCGATTTGGCTGCGCGAAACGGACATCTTTCGATTGTTGAATATCTTCACCGCCAATATCCAGAGATCGAATGTACAACTGGTGCCATGGATGGTGCTGCTTTGTTTGGCCATTTCACCACCACCGCACAGAGGGCTGTACCAATCTTGCAATGAGCGATTCAATTATACTTGGACACACTCAGATGTTTATGTTTCTTCATCAGAACCGAACTGAAGGCTACAGTCCCGTCGATATTGCAGAGTTCACACAAATAGTTGCCCTTCCCGTCATCGAGAAGCAGAAGCTCAAGCATCTCTTTATCAATCTGGTGCCATGGATTTGTCGTGGAAATTCCTTTGGAATGGTGCAGTTCCTTCATAATAACAGAACAGAGGGCTTTCATGGCAACATGATGCTTTTGGCCAGGGATGCCAGACAGATTGACATCGAGCTGTACCTGCAGAAGTTTAATCTTGAGCTTGAGCGTCCTCACCTCTACCGTCCTCTGCATCATGGCCACAAGCATTTGGAGCACTATCTCTTGACCGGACATGGCATGGACCAATTCAATTCACTGTCTCCAAGCGATCTGGTAAAGGTCAAGAATTCTCTTGTTCTTGTTCTTGTTCGAGACTTGGACCTATCTCGTGTCGATACCATTCACAACATCATACAATTGCACCATCAGCTCTATGGACAGAACGAGGTGATCAGACTTTTTACACTCTTCAAAAGGGTGCCAACCCTAGAGGTGATGATTTGTCTTCGCCTTTTCACAAATGATGATCGTCTTTATACCCCTTGGAGTGTTGTGGAGGATGGCAGGCTCGATGCAATGTTGTTTGTCCATTTCAATGATGAGAGGGATGTAATCAAACCCAGTTACCTGGAATATGCTGCCCGATATGGACATCTCAACATAATTCAATTCTATATCAAACACCGGAAGGATATGTGCTACCTTCGGCCGGCGTTGCCAAGTACTTGGCTTGGTACCTATCAACCACTGGCCAAAGTATTCTTGGAGGAATCCATAATCAAAATGAGAAAGGACAAGATGAAGAAGAAAAAGGATAAGAAGAAGGAGAGGAAGAAGGATAAGATGAAGGAGAACAGAAATGAATAGTAAGGCCTCCATGTCACATGAACCATGTGTGATTGATATAAACACAATGGTAACTCTCAGATCAATTAATTAAAAAGCAATAGTCGACTGTTTAAATACGTAAGAGTATTGAACGTGGAGGGGAATCATTCCATGAAAGATAGATTGGTTGAATGATTGATTGTTAGCTCTGATTTGAGTGAGTGTTTGATTGGTGTTGGCTGGCCTCTTTATTCCTCGTCGGAGAACTCGAGGTCCTCGACAACATCCTCTGCTGTACTGTCGTGTGGGAACTTCTTTGATCTTGTGCGCTGCTTCTTGGCAGGAGCAACCTCCTCCTCCTCATCCTCGCCATCGTCCTCGTCCATGGCGTCGCCATCCTCGTCAACAAACTCTCCATCCTGATCGTCCTCGTCGTCTTGGTCGTCCTCCAACTCCTCATCCTCATCGTTGTCAAAGTCGTAGACCTTGGTACCCTGCAGCAACACCTCCTGTTCCTTCTTGCTCTTCTTCTGCAGTGCGCTCAGGAGCACAGCCACGGCGTTACCGTTGGCGCCTAGCTTCTGTCGCAGAGTCTGCTCAAACTCGGCCACCTTCTTGGTGTCCTTTGGTGCAAAGCTAACATTGTCGCGAGCGTTCTTGACTACTGTGGACTGTTTGTTGAGTGCGTCGATGATCTCCTTCACCTGCTTGATGATCTTTACATTCTTGGTGCCCTTGTTGAACTTCTTCAGATGCTGGAGCACGGGGATGGCCAGCTCGGGGAAGCCAATATGGCACGAGTATATGTTCATGTTATCGACCATCAGCTCGGCAAACTGGGAGCGTGAACCCTCGCGGTACGCCTTTGTGTTGAGATAGGTGTCTTGGACGGAGAGGGACGTCAGGAAGTTGATGCCCTTGTTCTTGGTGGAAGCCTTGCCCTCGGCGGCAAAGTCCTTGGTCGTCAGGAGGTCCAGCAGGTAGGGCGTTGAGTTGATGAATGTGCCGTTGGTCTGGGCCAGCTTGTTGAGCATGCGGATGCAGTTGAAGCGCAGTGGGAAGAACTTGCTGCTATTAGTCAGGCCAATAACACCAAACAACAGTTGGGTAATTGGGAACAGCAGCAACTTGAGCTGCTCCTGGTTGGGGTAGGAGCACAGCACCTCGACCCATGCGCGCAAACTGTTCATGTACAGCCAGTTGTAGATGTTCTGGATCGACTCCTTGTTCAGCTTGTTCAGCGTGTTACGCAAATGGATGGCCAGCTGACGGATGTAGACAAAGGCGTGGCGGTAGGAGCTGGGGAAGTCCAGGCCAAACATCTCGACCACACAGTTGACCATGAAGTTGAATATTGGCAACGAGGTGGTCGATACGAACTTGCTGTTCCTCACATAGGTCAAGTAGACACCCTTCAAACAGTTGTCGATGAATGGATAAGGAGTGTAGATGGCCAGCTTCCTAATGCACAGGAATGCCATGATTCTAACTGATTCCTCTGATGCAGACCAATGTTGGAGAAGGATCTAAGGGTCGAGGGTTAGTGTCCGCCAACGATTGAATGAATGAATGAAAGACATACCTTGAGTGATGACTTGGCATAGGTTGGGAAGCATGAAATGTGGCAGACGATTTTCTCCATGCCCTTGAGGGCCACCATGATCATCTCGGGGTCGGACAGCTGGTTGACCAGGTAGATGACATTCCTCACGTAGGTCTTGACGGCAATGCGCAGGTTGTTCCAGCCCTCGCATGTCTTGGGCAGACGTGGACGAGCCTTCTCATCCTCGATCTTTTGATGATCGTACTTGAGCAGCTGATCGAGATACTTGGGGATGTTCTGGAGACAGACGATCAGTGTGCGGTTGAACACTTGGCTGTGGACAATCTTGAAGGGGATGTCCTTGTCGGTTAAGCTCTCCTTCTCGATGGCCTCATTCTCTTCATCGTTGGCGTTCTTCTTTGACTTCTTCTTGGCGCCAAGTGCACCCGACATACCAGTATGAGCGGCCGACTTGAATGCCAACATCACCTTCTTGAGAGACTTCAATGTCACCTGCTTCTCGCACTCCTCAATCCAAGAGTCCAACAACTCACTAGTCAGGACTACTTGCTTATCCTTTGTCTATGTATGTTTGATTGATTGATTGATTGTTTGATTGTATCAGTGAGTGATCATGCTGGGATTGGAGTTTGATTGTACAACATACCTCGCCATCGGCATCTACATCATCATCTTCTTCATCATCTTCATCATCATCTGACAAGTCCTCACCAAAGTTAAGGAGATTGGAGTCGTTCTCGCCCATGAATGCGAACAGCTCTGGATCCTTCATCTTGAGCTTCTGAAGATCTTCACGATGTTGAGCCACCTGACCCTTGAGATTGGTGACTGCATCAGATTGTTGTTTCTTCTCATCAGTTGGTGCTGACTTGTTGTTGTTTGACTTTAGTTGTTGCTGTTGCTGCTTCTTATTATTCTTATTCTTTGACATCAACATCTTATCGTTCTCATCAAACAACTCTTGATCGTCCTCATCCTCGGCGGCATCCTCATCATCATCGTCTTGATCATCACCATCGATCATATCCTCATCATCATCAAGATCACTTCCATCCATCACCAGATCATCATCCTCCATCTCACCATCATCGATGTTTGTATTCTGTGTTATCTCTGTCTCCTCTACATGTTGTAAACAATGATAAGTTAAGTTAGTATGATTGATTGATTGAATGAATGAGTACGAACATACCATTTTCTTCGACATCTTGGTTCTGTCTCTTGTTCTTTCTGCTGTTAAGAGTCTTTAACTTCTTTGTCTCTACTGTCTTGAACTTGTTTATCAGACGTCTTTGTTTCTTAACCTTCTGAATATCAAGCTTCTTTGATGCTTTGGCTGCTTTTCCCATTCTTTATTGTTGTTATTTGTTGTTGTTTTTATAATATATATAAATAATAACCAATGATATCAAACAATACAATAACATTCATTCTCATCAAGACGAAGTGACTGAATCGTTCGTTTTTCACTATTTATTTAATTTTGTTTTTTATTTTCTATTTACCAGACGTGAGCACAAACTGCAACCAAAATATGATCCAGAGGTGTTTGATGAGACGGTAGGATGTAGATGTCAAGAGATAATGTTGTGGAGTCGGTATGATTGATTGAACACACTCATATCAAGTGATAACAGATATAGAGATAGATAGGACATGATGAATTTTGATGGTTCACCTTATGTGGATACTGAACAAGAGTTGTACAGGGCCTCATGAGATGGTGATCTGACTCAAGTCAGGCTTGAGTAGAACAAAGACCGCCAGCAAAATCGACAGCTTCGATCGATATGGCAGCTGAGAACGGACATAGTCAAGTCGTTTAAGTATCTGTACAACAAACGAAACGACGGCTGTTCAAACGATGCCATCGTCAAAGCACTCTGCAAATGGACCTTCCTCCTTGAGCTCCAACCCTAACTGATCAGCTATCAGGAGATCACCGAACGCGAGGGGAAGGAAATGGACTTTCCATCGTAATAAACAGCATCAAAGTGGCTGACATATTTACTAATACTAGTCAACTTATATGCTGTAGTTGGAGAGAGAGATATTGATTCATATATGATATTGAGACTATTGCAATGAACTTATTGGGGTCCAAATAACAAGACAAGACATGATACCAAACACACACACATATAGACACCTGGGTAGATCCAAACACTTCAACCCAATAAGGGAACTTTCGTGTTACTTTTTCCTCCCACAAAGTTGAGAGGAAACAATAAGTGGGAACACCAAACAATACCATGGACCCCACCCTTTTGTTTACAACAATTGGAGTGTAGAGTAGAGCAGGTGTTGACAAAACCCACCCATCTCAAACCCATCGACTACCCTCAGCACAAGCCACCTGGTCATTCAAAGAGGATGGAGGACTTCTTCGAGAGATATCTCTTCTCGGTTGGTTGGTTGATGCTCTTGGTAAATACTACATAGCTCCCTCAATTGAGGTTACCCATTATTTGTACAACATATAAACAATCATAACAAATAAAAATAATAATAGTATATAGATATAGATATAGATATATATATATATTTAATACCAAAGTCCTTTTGAGTAATCAATCAGTAACTCACATACTTGCTACTTACTCTCTTATTGTAGCGGCTTCCTCATCCCAATCAACTTCACCATCAATCAATCAGTCAATCAAGTTCCCACTTCCACACTACCACCATTAACAACAATAGCAACCCAGAGCACATCAGCCCAATCCACTTCTTCATCATCACACACGCACACCACATACGCTCAATCTCATCTCCATCTCAATTAATACTAGACTCTCTCTCTAGAGAGTGTGTGGAGTAGTACTACTAGTAGAGGAGTATATTTATATATATTAATTTATATATTAACCAGTCGTATTGGGTCGCATGATCATCAACACACACATAAACATACAACACATCAATATACTTGTTTAATGCTCAAAGACAGTTCCAAAGTTGGTTAACCAGTTAAATTTGTTCAACTACATTCATTTATTCATTCAATTCAATTCCATTCCATTTGATTAGTTGCCTCAACTAAAGAGAGATAGACAGACATACCTTATACCAAATGTAAGTTAGGTCCTTCTTCTACCTTCGCGTGGATTGAAGCAACTTCTTGAAATGAGGGCAAACAAAGAATACGAATGAACTAACACCTTTCCATAAATTCCAATAACTGGAACGTTCACCATCTACAACCTTCACAGACACATATTCCAGAGAGTACTCTTCAGCCAAAGACACATTCATTTCTGTACATACATACATATAATATAATATATATATATATATATAATCAAGAAAAGAAAGAAATGAATATAGATAGTGATACCAACTCATCATCATCATCGTCACCTCAACAACCGAATTATAATGAGGAGAGTGAACAACCTACTTATGACAATGAGCAAGACTCATATGATGACGATGATGACGACGACTCTGATGATGATGATTGTGGTGCCAATCACGAACAATATCAATCAGAGAGACTGTTGATATACGCTGACAAGTTCATACGAAACGAATTGTTAACAATCATGGAGTATATCAAGAACCGTGACAAGGACCAGCCTGCCGAGGAAGTGGTCGTCCACGAGATCTACTTGTAATAGGGCCATCCTTCCAATGATGTCCAACTGTCCATATAACTACCTACCTACCTATCCATTACTGTCATATATATATTTTATACGCCTATATCCCCGAATCGGATTGAGATTGAGGATACCATGACCATGTTTGGAAGTTGATTGTTAACCGATTATACACAACTTTTCCACCATCGCCACTGGTACTTCCTACTCATTGTCGACACTTCCTTCACCTCATTCATTGTGAATAAACGATTGCGCCAACCTGTTTCTTATCTTTGTATACATCAATCACACTTGTCCACATCCATTCTTTCATTCAATAATTTCCAGGAGTCGCCAATGTATATAGTCCATCCTGGTTGTTAATCATAATGTTTAATTAGGCTTAGTTCTCAAAGTAGATCTGTAGTAGACTGTCCTCTGTTGGTACACCAACTCGCAGCTAAATGTAGGTTGAGAGTTGATCAATTAGTATCAATCACATGACATACTTGAATGACTGGTAGTAAGTAATACTTACAATCATTGCACCCATGAGTGATCGACAGCCTTGACCAGTGTGCACATAGAGGTAGTTGTATCCTTGTTGCCAGAGTGAGTGATCTGGTGATCCAGTCACTAATCCAACAACGGTGAGGTTGATGCCAAAGCATGTTAGGCCAATCTGACCACCATGAGTATGTCCACTGAATACCATCAATCCATAATCAGCAGGTATGAACTTGAATGCACCGGGATCGTGCAGCAGACCAATGCGTGGCACGTTGGCAATGGGTGGATGGGCATCGCACACGCGTTGAATATGTTCCTGGCGAGCCTTTGAGCGATAATCAAAGCCAAGTATCTGGACCTTGCCGATCCTAGTCTCTGCCAACACGCACTGATCAACCAAAAGAGGGCATCCAATCGATTGAAGTGCCTTTGTCAATATTTCCAAACATCCTTCTTCGTAATCATGGTTCTGGAAAGGTATAGAATGTAAGTGGTCGAGTGATTGATTGAGTGAGTGAGTGGGAGTCTACTTACACCAAGACAAGCAAAGGTCTTGCCGCTCAACTTCTTTAGTGGAGCCAATGCCCTCGCCAGTGAGTTGAGTGGGAGTACCTCGGCGGTGAAGAAGTCACCTGTCAAGAATACCAAGTCAGGGTTCTAAAAGTGCGTCGTGGATGTCAGCTGATTGATCGTCGAATGAATGAATAAATGATCGTCATGTCACTTACAAGCTTAACGGTGTGCTCACAGATCTCTTCGAGTCTCTCCACTGACATGATTGGTCCAAGATGAGGGTCGGCTATCTGGATGATTGATAGTGGTTGCTTGTAGTCTACAACCTCCTGGTCTGTTGGTGAGCTGTGTCCAACACGTTGAACTCTTCGTCTGCTGAGTAGTTGGTCATCCTCGTCGTCCAATGTCTTGCGCACCATGATATCTTTGACGGACCATTTGTTGGGTTGACGCGTCAATGTTGTGTAGTAGAGACCAGTGCAGGCCACAGTCAGGCAGATGAGCATCAGGATCATTGACATCACCGCGGGTAGCAGTGGGGCGATGAACATGAATGGAACAGACAGCAAGACGCCTGTGAAGAACACGGACGCTGGATAGGTGATCACCCAGCGGAAGATGTGTCCGCGTAGAGTGCACTGCGAGAGTGACACGAGCTGGATAAAGACACAGATGTGCAGATAGGCGATGGGCAGGGCGAGCAGCCACGACGATGGATGGTAGTACTCGCTGGTTTCATTCTGGACCGTCTTCATGTTGTACAGTGGGCTGAGTATGCAGGCCAGGTAGACCGGCACGAAGAAGGTGAACAGCGCAAAGACGAAGCTGACCAGAATGACCACCTTCTTGGCGCGCACACCTGGGAGTGCGCCACGCTTCTTGTAGGCCATCGCAAGAGTGGGCAGGAAGACCAGGAGTGAGGGTGCGACGATGAGGAAGAAGGGATAGTTGAAGGCTGCGCCAAATGATGTGATGGCGACGATGTATATGATCACGGGCGTGAGGATGAGCAGTGAGCCAATGACGGCCTTCTTGGTGCGCGACACTGGATAGGGCTCGGTGAGTGCTGTCTGCTTCAAAGAGTCGAGTGAGAATGCTGGGTTGACGAATGTGAACAAGTTGGCCGGTGACATTGACATTGATGGTGCCATATTATTGCTGCTGCTTGTATTTGTCAGGTCTGATGTCGAACCTCCTGCTGCTACATTATTCATTGTCGTCTCCAAAGTTGAAGTCTTTGAGTATGGGTCTCCCCAAACCTCATCATCATAGATTGACATCTTATTCTTATTATTGCTGTTACTGTTGCTGTTACTGTTGATCTTGTTACTGTTGTTTAGTCTTTGTTGTGTTGGACTTGGCCTTTGAATATCCTTGTTTGTGCCACTACTGCTACTACTACTACTATTGATGCTACTATTATTATTGCTATACATGAACAGTCAATATTATATATTTATGTTTATGGTAGTAAGTAACTTTGTCTATTACCTACGATCAATCATTCATTCATTCAATCACAACCAATCAATCAATCAATCAATGAAAGTGAACCCATGTGTGTTCAACACTTTAACATTAATGTGGATGTCTCGAGGGTTGGAGACAAAACACCCATCACAACCCCATCATCGTGATGGATGGTCGAGCTGGCAACGTGTTGATCGGAATGAATGAATGTGTAGTGACTGGATGTACCCAGAACCTCAAGATCGTTTGTTATATATATATATAAGTACACTACTAAAGTTTTGTTTACTAACTAACTTGGGTATTGTTGAATGGCTTGATTGAGGAGAGGTGATCACCTAGGAACTGGACGAGGAGGTATCGAACAACATCATTATACATCTACTTCTTCTTGAATAGTTGTGATGTGATGATGACCAAAACGACGAATATAACTGCCAGAATTCCAATCATTATCCACTGTACTTTACTGCTAGTGTTCTCCATCAGTCGGTCTAAACGTCGCATCACACTGCCCAGAGCGTTCTGTGAGTTGGCCGCTCTGTCGCCCAGCCTGTCGAGAATGGAGCCTTGTGACTTGAGCTCGCTCGACATGGTCTTGCCCATCTCGCCTAGAATTCCAACACGCTCACCCAGTTGCTCGAGACCGGCGTCCTGCTCGCGGATCATGTCCTCCTGGATGCGCACGTTGCCTCGCAGGAACTCGTTGTTATCCTCTTCGACGGCACGCTGGATGCCGCTGTACTTTGACTCGCGCTGCATGTTCTGCTTCTTCTCTGAGAACAGCAGCTCTGCTCTCTTGTCCTGCTCGATCTTGCCCGCGACCTCGGGCGATGTCATGTCGTTGACCACGCCGTCCACCGTCGCCTTTGAGTCTCTAATGAAGCGTTTACGTGTCTCTATCTCTGCCTGTGACAGTCTGAAGCGATCGGGGAACTTCTCGACCACTATAATCGAGTCGTACAGGTCCTTAATATCATCGTCAATGTCTTTGAGCACTTTCTTTAGCTCCTGTTGGCACCATCTAAACTCCTCATTCCTGAAAGTATTTGTGTCATGTAGTAACTTTCTCCATCTCTCATGCAAGCTTGTTAGTCCAACTATAGATGATTGGATCTTTCTGTTTAGTGTTTGTGTATGTTTGAGAGACAAGTTAGGAGTGTTCCGTCGATCAATGATTGATAAACCGATTAGTTCGTCGACTGATCGTTTGGGCGCCCAAACAAGTTGATAACCTACGATTGACCATAGTAGTATGGATCTTGCATCCTCTATTATTTATATATATATATATATTGTAATGTTGTAGGTGATCTGTAATATCTTTGCAGAGTTATCAATCGATTGTGATTACTACTGCTGTTATTGTAGTTGTTGACGATCTTGTTGCTTCTGATTTGAGATTATCTTGATTGCGAGTAATGATACTGTGTGTATGACTAAAGTATGTTTGATTGAACAATCAATACTTGTGTTAGCTAATGTATAGATAATATATATATATATATAATAAATATATGAATGAATGAATGTATTTGATTGGATTTGGGTGAATGAAAGAATGAAGTGGTTTAGTTCATGCATGAACCTGGGAAGTATAAGAATCAACAACCCCCAACACATTCACTCACTTTTGATCTCCTTTCAACTTTTATTTTTCAACCAAACACGTGGACACGAGAGCAACTCCACCCGATTGATCGACTTGCAAGAGCAGGATGCTTGACCGACTATTTCTTAATTACTTGGACTTCTTGTGTGATGAACAGAACTCATAGCTATCCTCTACACCTGTCTTTAGTACTGGACGCGAGATGATGTCAAAGCCATCACGAAGGGTCATTGGTAGACAACTTAGGAAGTAGGTAATGTTCATCGTTAGACTGTTGTCCGTGACGAATGATCGGTTCTCGCTGATGCCCTGTTTGAATATGGCTACGCTCTCCTCTACTTTCTTCATGCCAGGTGTATATAGTTTGGGATCGGCACGTGTCAGACGTGTATCGATGAAGCCAGGACAGAGATAAGTGACTCCAATACCATATTTACGCACATCTTGTCTCAGAGCTGCGGCATAGTTGAACGAGAATCCCTTTGATCCAACATAAGATGGACAGAAGTAGGGTATGTAGTGGCTAAGACTTCCAAGGAATACAATTTGACCCTATAATCAATCAGTCAACGTTAGTCAACTATCAATCATTCAATCAATCAATCAAACATACATTGCGACGCTCTCTCATGGACTCGAGAAGTGGGATCACTGTGTTGACCACTCCATTGATGTTGATGTCAAGTACTTTCCTGGTCATTTGGTCAAAGGTTAGATCACGTGATGTGTTGAACTCGGCCACACCGGCATTGGCAATCACCAAGTCGACAGGTGTTTTCTGGTCAATCTTCTTCATCCATGTATCCATGGCAGTCTCATTGGTCACGTCAATTACAGCCTTCTCAACCTTGGCACCCTTTGATGTACACAGTTTGGCAGTCTCCTCCAGATTAGCTTCATTCACATCCATCAGTCCCAAAGTCTTTCCAGTCTCAGCATATGCCACTGCAAACTGTCTACCAATTCCACTTCCTGCGCCAGTACTGGATGATCGAGTATGAGTCAGGGAATGATCGATGATTTAATGAGTCAGTGATATGGACTTACATAATAATAGTCTTTGGTGGAGCAAATGTCTTTCCTTTGACTTGGCCAACAATGTAGAACAATGGAAGTAGGAGCAGCCAGAATACATTTCCAATGATACCAACAACCAACAGGATGCTGGCTGGTAACACTGTGGATGCAAATGCTTTCAATCTTTCTTGAATATTCATGTTGTATTTACAATTAATAGTTGATGGATGGATGGATAAATAATTAATTAATTAATAGATTGATTGAATGAATGATAATGGAATGGAAAGGTCAACTCTAAATTAATGCCAATCAATCATTCATTCTTTCATTAATATTGGAGTCATACCCTTGCTTGCGGTTCAATGCAAGTCAGTCAGTCACTCAGTGTACCTCATCTCATTCAATTCAACTCATTTCAATTACACCTCATTGAATACCTGAAGGTAATGAATGACATGAGGTACATTAATGTATTTACTTTACTTAAAATTAAACCAAATGGTGATAGGCTCAATCAAATAAATGATAAGTTCAACCGACACATAGGCCTTGTGGTCCTCTCAAGGACTCACCCCCCACTCAAGGACCCACGCCCTCGCAACAACACAGCACCCACACATTGACTTCTGACAAACTCATCAGGTGATTGGTTCGCTGAGCTCTAAGTAGCTTCACGACGGCTGGATCTACTAATTTATTATTATTATTTGTCCTTCTTGGTTGTGGATGAAGCTGAGGATGAGGATGAGGAGTTGCTGCTGTAGTCCAAGGTGTCGGGACAGCCACTCGAGTACACGGCGTTCATGATCACATCCCAACCATCACGAAGTGTCATTGGGACACAGCTGAGTATGTAGGCAGTCAGCATTGTTGGTAGGTTATCAGTGACGAATGCTCTGTTCTCACTGATGCCTTGCTTGAATGCTTGGGCGCTGGCCTCGGCCGTCTTCATCATTGGCTTCTTCATGTTCTTGTCGGCTCTGGTCATACGTGTGTCGACAAAGCCTGGCGAGATGTAGGTCACACCAATGCCATGCTTGCGAAGCTCCTGACGCAGAGTGGCGGCGTAACAATGTGTGAAGCCCTTTGATCCAACATAGGCTGGGAAGGCATGTGTGATATATGTGCTCAATGATCCAACGATTACGATTTGACCCTGTTTCCATGAATGATTGATTTGATTGATTGATTGAGTGAGCGAGTTAGTGAGTGATTGGAATAGTTCCATGGATGTTAATACACATACATGGCTTCTATCTCTCATGCGCTGGAGCAGTGGGAGGACAGTGTTGAGTACACCGTTGACATTGACGTCGACGACTTGACGAGCACGTTCCTCGTAGGTTAGGGTACGGGGGAGGGTAGCCTCACCAACACCGGCATTGGCGATGACAATGTCCACTGGGGAGACCTGGTCGAACTTGGTCAACCAACGCTCCATGGCATCGGCCTCTGTCACCTGGATTGTAGTAGTCTCCACGACAGCACCCTTATCACGGCATAACTTTGCCACCTCCTCCAAACGAGCCTTATCTCTACCAGTCAATCCCAGTACCTTTCCACGGCCAGCGTACTGAAGAGCCAGTTCTCTTCCAATTCCACTTGATGCGCCAGTGCTATGATCGGGGGGCAATGATGGGTCAAGTCAGCGATGCTTAGACCAAGTGGAGGGGTGAGGAGCACTTACATCACAATAGTCTTGGCCTCTGGGAACTGCTTTGTCTTTAGCAAGCCGATGAGATGGAGCAATGGAGAGAGCATCATGAACAGGAAGTGTCCAAATATGCCAGCTGCCTGAACAGCAATATCAGGGATAATGGTGAGGAATGAGCGTAATACTTCAACTAAAGACATGTCTTGTTAACTCTATCTTTGTATATGTCTTTATGTATGTGTGAGAGTGAATGATGATGATGATGTTGATGATGATGGACTGTTGTTATTGTTGTAGGACCAACTTGATTGACTGATGTTGTAGAGGAAGGGGCTAAACTTGGGTCTAAGTTCACACCCCCATCTTGCTCACTGTGGGTGAGTTGGTGATGATCAAAACTGTAAAGGTTTAGTGTTCCTGTTTTGGTAGTCAATGATCAGAGTAGGGTCATTCAATCAATCAATCAACATCCGATGTGAACACTACTGATGAAGGTCACATTAAAACGATCGGTGATATGATATCATAATAATATTATCACTCTCGCTATATACAATAAGACATGGTTATGTGTATTGTTACTGTAGCCCTGATTGGATGACAGCCAACATTTAAGTCCAAGTAGTCCACATCACCATGATTGGTTGATTGATCACTACTCCAATGCAGGTATGGCTTGGATCTGTTTCAAAAGGAATGCCTTCTCATCATTGAACTGGTCCTCCTCTGTATATATTGTGTGTTAGTCAATCACGTGAACATGCATGCCAAAGAATGATGATCATTACCTTTGTCAGTGTGGAATTGTGATAGGAAGACGATGAGCTTCTCTTTGTTCTTGGATAGGATGTCGAGGATTGGTTTGGTCTTGTTTGGATTGGCAACAAACACTTTGAACACATGGAATGCCTCATACTGGATCGTTCTTCGTTTGTCCCTTAACAGATTCATCATCAACTTCAAGTTGGCTGCAGAGCTAATATACTTTGTCATTATATTAAAGTTGGAGCGGTCCAGTAGTAGTTCTCCAAGTAGCTATCAATATGTGTATATATGTTGCCAGGTCAGTCTAAGTCCATGTCTCACTCATACATCACATCACATCACATCAATCAAGTATTACTTACCTTTATCGATTGTCGTACTGTTACATAGTTTTGTGAGTTCAAGAGGACAGTGTAGCGTTCTAATACTTGATCGTAGTTCTTCTCGAGGAACTCTGAACTGAGTGTCTTGTGCTTTGTTAGCAGATCCTTGAACGTGGCGAATGTGTCCGATGCCACATCAAAGTTGGACATATCAACATAGTTGAAGAACTCCCAAAAGTTCTGTGAGTACAACAGATCCTTTGCCAACACCTCATGTTTGATGCACTCTCTAAGCATTGTTCCACAGTTCAATGCAATATCATGTTGTTCATATCTATGTACATGGAATGATTCCGACAGGTTAGTTGATTGATTGATTGATTGATCATGTGTGGACACATCATGTCACTGACATACCCTTTGACGAGTAAGTTTAGGATGTCTGGATTCTCAGCGATGTAGCTAACAGCGGGTCCACGTGGATTGTTCTTCATACGTAGTAGGTTGTTAAATATCTGTGCAAAGTCTTTCTTGGATTCGAACTCTAGCTTCCCAAGATCTTTGATCATCATTGGTAGTAGATCATTGGATAGTATCTCTGTACACATCACTGCTGTTGCCTCTGCACTTGGTTCATGTTCTCCATCACCATACAATATCTTCTTTATATCTTGCAATGATCTTGTCAGTTCCTCAACAGACTACAATATACATTAAGATTTGGAAGTTAGTCCGACCGATCCAGTCCAGTCCAGTCCCATTCAACCAGTTCCAAACATACCTTCTCTGATGATTTTGAGTTTGGACCAGCTTTGTCAATGGATACAAGACAATCCTTGACGGTCTTGACCAACTCATAGGGAGTCTTTTGTTTCTTATTGAAGAATATGTTCATGGATGTTTGGATGGATTGATGGATTGAAGTAAGAGGTATCTTTGTCCTGTCTTTGGTTTGACTTGTTCTTCAAAACAAAGTATTCTCTTTATAAATACTTTGATAGTAGTAGGGCGCTACAATATACAACAACTAAATGTGTATGAGGTACTAGATGTTGTTGATGGATAGCAGTCTCTCTCTAAAGTGAGCATAGATCGAAGATGATTAAGTCGTGTGGTAGTGGTGGTGTGATTGATCAGAGTGAATGTGATTGGGGAGTGGGGTTGATACCCAATATAGGTCAATGGAACTTCCACCCTATTCATTCAATCAATCACATAATCATCAGATGATACTAACAAATACATTGACGATCGTCTTTGAGTATGATAGAGACGACTTTATCAAGATGGCCAATACGATCTCTTTGAAGACAGGTCATAACATGACAAGGTTACAACTGTCCATAGGCATTAGTGAAGAGGATCATGGCGCTTGTTACCTATCATTGATCAAACGACATATTGGATCACTGGAGTATCTCAAAATATATCCACTCAATCGACATCCAGAGTCATTCTATACATCACTCCTTGGCATTATACTGGAGACCAACCATCTCAAGGAGTTGGTACTCGATGCGCCCACAACTCGATCAGTATCACGTCTCCAAGACATAATTGGATGTCCTCATATGTCTGGAATCAAACTAATCATTAATGATCAAGGTGGTTTCGACGAGGAACTAGATGAATGAATGATCGATCAAACAAAGTATCTTTTATATCCAAATGGCTACTGCTGCCATGGCTGAAAAGCCAAGCAACAATAGGATGTACTTGATCGGTTTGTCTTTGCTTGAATGATTCAACTCCTTTGGTATGATCTCAATAACAGAAATGTAGAGGAATGTTCCACTTGCGAATCCTTGTAATATCGCCGAAGCCAGTACACATTGTTCACTTGACACTATCAATCCTATCACTGATCCAAGTGGACTGGCAATCGAGAAAATAAATACCAATGTTAATACTTTGGCGAATGACCTAATGATTGATCAGAGTTAATGGATGGATGGATGATTGGTATTTTGGCTGGTCCAACTTACATCTTTCCAGATGTTACACAACTGACACCGAGTGCGAATGCTGCCAGGAACTTGTGAGCAAAGATTGCAACAAGTATATCGACCACTTTAAGATGTGTAGATTGAACTCCAAGTGCAATACCTTCGAATACAGAATGAATAGATAATCCAATTACCAATATGAATGGTATCAATCTATCAGATGGATTATAATGAGTAGTTGTAACAACATCATCTTCTATCAATATTATATTATCAGCTCCACCACCTCTTAATAACAAATGCCCACTTCCACTTAATCGATTGGCTGAGCTATCTGGTAACAATGAACTTGTTTCTGTTTCAGTATCCCTTGGTTCGATTGATGTTTGATTCTCCACTGCATGGTCATGGTCGTGGTCTTGCTTGTTCTTATCACTAAACCTATCCATGAATCCATGCACTACCAGCTCGACACCAAATATAAATAAGAATCCTACACTCATACATAGTACACTGTGGTTGTTCAAAAGTTAGTATGATCACAAGTTGTCTGAAAGGAAGAGATACATACGATAATGGATAGTTATATCTCTTTATATAAGGTTCTAAATCATTTGTAGAGTCTGTTAAGAGGTGTAGCATTCCAGCTCCAAAGAATACACCTCCGCCAAATGCATTACACCATGACATCCATCTATTACTACTATTCCTTGATGATCTTTTATATATTAAATAAGGTAATAATCCAAATAGAAGACTAAATATAAATAATACTGATATTGATATCAGTTTAACATCAACTATATTTATATTATTTAACATTCTCTATCCTTTACTCTAACTCTAACTCTAATAAATAATTTAATTTATAAATTTGACTGACATCCATCCATCTATCCACCCATCTACCTCATTGTCACATTGGACATTGAATGAAATGTAATGAAGGTGTGATCATCATTGTCAATGCAATGCACCCCTTGCCCATCTGATAATAATAATGAATTATCATTGACTACCACCAAGTCATTGTGTGTGTGTATCTGTCTGTGTGAGTATGTGGGGTTGTTATGATTCTTATTCCTTATTCGTCTTTCAAACACAATAACAACCATTGTGATAAAATAGGAAGGAACTTGCCAATGTTCCAGACCTTTAGTTGATTGGATTAACTGTAATATAATAATACAAGACAGGAATGTCAATTGAGAAGGTGTTATAACTTCTGAAGGGATAATTATGATGTGTTGGTTGTCCCAAGGGATGTATCCCCTCACAAGGAAGAATCCAAAAGAATAGAATAATGATTTTTTTGAATTATTGTTTTGAAGTCTCAAGACTGTCCCCCAACCCAACGAATCATATCCAAATTTAAAGGATGTTGGGTGACCATTCAATCAAACAATCAATCAAATAACTTATACAAATAACTAACTCACTACATTAAAGAATGACTACTGTATGTATTATAACATTTAACTTTTAATTAAATCAACGCATTCGCTAACATGTATGATGATAGTACAACTTCAACGTCGAGATGTCCTGTGGCGGTTGCTCCAAGGCCATTAACACTGTCCTCTCAAAGTTGGACGGTGTTTCAAACATCCAAATCGATGTTGCCAAGAAGTCTGTCGTTTGTGATAGCAGCAAGCTCTCTGCCGAGGAGTTGTTGACCAGCATCCAAAAGACCGGAAAGAAGGCCTCCATCGTTGCCTAAAGACCTACATCCATTCCTCCTCTTCTTCCTCCTCCTCCTCCTCCTCATCCCTCTCAACCTTGCCACAATACCAACCCAATCAACTACAACTCATCACCATGTTGATGGCAACTACGTCGAATAAATCAAAAACCGACACACCTACCTCCTCCTCCTCCTTCCCCTTCCTTCCTCCTCTTCGTTCCCCTCCTCTTCATCCTTTCTTAGTACCTCTTCTTCTTCCTCTTCCTCTTCATTATTGTTCATTCACGCATTCATACTGTGTCTGGGCACTTGTTGAGTAATCATGATGTCACTCTTGATCAATCTCCTCGAACATGAAACAGCAATGGACAAATTACAAACAATCGACAGGGATATACGTGGAGCGACACAATGTTTAGCAGCGATCACTTTGGTCTTGATTGGATACAATGATTCTTAAAGGTTCGAACCTTACACATAAGCGATCTCGAAACTCTAACAACTATCAACTTGATACTCCTGAATGTACCTTACTGGAACCTCTCTCTATCTTTATACCAAACGACCTCAAATCGCTCAAAGATAGGTTTCAGTAAGATACATTCATCAATATCGATGTTGTTATGACAACGACGACAACAACAATGACATAATTAGGTGCAACTAGGCCAATGAGGCCTCAATGAGTACTTTATCCTTGAATGATGCCCTGGGAGGGGGCACTCCATTCTGAATCAGAGACAAGTTCATTGTCTCCTCATTCAAGGTGGTTGATTCATTGAATTGAAAGTTTTGTTGATCACACACAGACATGTTTGTATTACATTCCACCTCTGTTGTTGACTTTGCAAGGTGGGAAGTGCTAACAGATTGATCAATAGATTGGTTGACTCATTCATTCATTCATTCATCGTATGTGTTTATGTGTAAGATAGTTAGTTAGTTAGTTTAGTGAGGTTCATTAGTTTATATTTATATATAATAATATATTGATAGAGTTAGAGAAACAAACATAGATAGAACAGTTAGAGAGACAGACGATTGATTAGTTACGTGGATACATACAGTAATAAGACGGACGGAAATAACAATGGGTAACAGTCCATCAAAGAAAGATAAACCAACTACAACATCAACCTCATATAGTTCGACGACGACGTCGAATCCAGCTCCTACGACAAGCCACACTTCAACGCCATCATCAAACAGTACATCGTCGGCAGCAACAGCATCATCCGGCGCATCAAGGAACAGGAGTGGTAAATGTCAAGACAATCAAGCCATCCGTCGGGTACTCAATCAATCGATCTACCAATCACTAACACATAATCACAATCACAGAGATAAGTACATCGACAAATACAACATCAAGCAGTACACAATCAAAGCCCAGTGACTCTGCTAAGAAGACACAGGAACCAGGCAAGCCTTCAAAGTTAGATGAGCTGTTTGAGAAGTACAGGGGTATGTGACATCATCAACCTCGACTCATTGATTGACGTGAGTTGCACAACTATATCGATCACTAACCATTCTCTCTCTCTATCAGACCCAGACTCTGTCGATTCGATTGGACCGAATGGTGTAGAGCAACTGTGTCAAGACCTTAGCTTAGACCCAGAGAGTGTAGGTTCACGATACAGCAACAACGAATCATGTTCAAGATGATACTGATCAATCAAATACTTGAATATTCACAACATACAGATACTGGTACTTGTCTTGGCATGGCATCTGAAAGCACAGACTATGGGATACTTTACAAAGAAGGAGTTCGTCACAGGACTCAGTCAACTTGGGTATGATGATTACGAAGATGATGATGAAGACGATGATGATCATGAACCTAACAAACAATCAATGAAACAACAGAGTTGACTCGATTCCAAAGCTTCAATCAACTATACAGACATTCAATAAGGACTTGGACAATGCAGACAAGTTCAGAGACATCTATAGATACGCCTTCACATTTGCCAAGGAGAAGGAGAACAAGATCCTGGAGCTGGAGAGTGCCTGTGCAATGTTGTCACTGATACTAACTCCAAAGTATCCACACGTACAACAGTTAATCGACTTCCTCCAGAATCATGTATGTGTACCTCTTCATTGATTGAATGATTGATCGATCAAAGTGCTAACCCATCGATCGTCCATTTCAATCAAACAATAGCAAAAGAGCTATAGGGGCGTAAACTCTGATCAATGGCTATCCATCTTTGAGTTTATGAAGTTAATACATCCTGATGGTTCCAACTACGATGAGAATGGAGCATGGCCAGTGATGTTGGATGAGTATGTCACTTGGGTAAAGTCAAAGTAAAGTGTCCTCAGCAAGCTAGATCATCAATTCCAAGTCACAGTCAGCCAATAATTCAATCATCCAGTCAATCAATCAATCAATCAATCTTTCAAACAATCACTCACAAAGTAGTACCAGTGTAAATATAGAGTGAGCGGATGGATACTATCTATCTGCGCCACTACCTATTGATGTACAATGACAATGTGATGCTTAGCCACCTGTGACCACACGTTCCAACGCTTTATTATAATAGTCCATCCATGTTAGGTATAGACTCTCGACACAGGATGGTGTATCTATTGGTATTGGATGTCCTTCTGCGTATTGCCATGGCTTGGGCAACTCTTTCATGCCAGCGGTAAAGTGGAGAAAGTGAGACAACTGGTAATTCCAGAGACGTGCATCGCCACACTGACAGTGCGTCACCTGCACACCATACTCTGGGTATTGCAATGGTTGCCATCTGAGTGTGTAGTTCATCACGTCCTGGTCATTCAGTACGCCATTCTGGAGTTTGGACACTGACCTGATGTCCGACACCAGTCGCATATTTATATCATTATTGGGTGCCAATACTACCAATCCACTATTGATCAATCTCAACCTATCCGGTTGATATTGACATGAGTTGGCATCAGCATCCACGCATGCATATATCACATCCTTATCCTTATCCTTAACATCATATTTATCCAACATTGTGAACAAGTGATCGATATTCTTAAGTATTAACATATCCGAGTCTATAATTGATTGATGGGGTTAGTATGTGATTGGAATCATTCCACCAATGATTAACTTAACATACCCAACCAAATTATACGATGATAGTTGGTCATTGTCCATGCTCGGAACTTTGTGAATGCAGGCATCCATCGATCAATCTGTGTTCGAATTCCATTTCCAGGATCGATGGCTGTAACCAACTGAACTTGGCAACCAAGTTTGATAAATGCTTGGATAGTTGAGTTTGATATCGAGTCTGTTACCAACACTACAACAGGATAGGTTGATTCCGAGTCATCCAATGATTGTTTCAACGCCAATACACCTTTGGCATACTCTTCATTATTAACAAATGTAACATAAGCATATGAATATGATGATGAAGTAATCTGTTCAACTATCTTCTTTTTCTTATTATTATTATTACTATGTTGATGATGTTGTGATGATGTCGACATGTCATTATCATTGTCATTGTCTTGTATTATGGACCATAATGTATGATAATGATCACCTTTATTCAATACTACAACGAATAATAAATGTATTATAATATATAATGATAATATTGTTATAAGTATATGTTTAGATAACATCCTTTTGTTGTTTAATTTATAAAGTAAGTAAAGTAGATGTAGATGTTATAATTGATGACCATCAATCAATCAATCAATCAATCAATGATCTCCAAACATAGATACACACTACCAACAGATACATGTAATATACACACACATAAACATGTTAACTACACAAACACCTTTTAAAACACATTCTTGATAAAGAATGGTATCTGTCGGCTGATTAAAGTATTATCTCTGTCGTCCATGTAATGTATATTGAAGTAAAATAGATTAATGAAGTTATAATGAGTAGTCTGCTTTGTTGGTCAACATTGACCGACATTATGATGATTGATGAATCATAATTGAATGAATGACTGAGGCTTCATCCAACATCATAAAGCTGGTGGGTGATTGATCAGTTCACACCATCACTCCTTTTTAATTTAATTGGAGATGGATTGTTGAGCTCAAAGGGTGATGTGTTTGTAAGAAGTTGCAATAAAGTACTGTTGAGTGGGGGCCTTGTTTCCATTCATTCATCCACTCATTCATTCAATCAATCATTCATTGTTTGTGTTTGGATGATATTGTAATATAATAAGAGTTATAAAGATAGAGTTTAGTTATATTGTTTGTTTGATAGTTAGAGAGAATACAGACCCATCAATATTAGACCTGTTAGCCAGGCTCTCAATCCTATCTAGAACACGCACTCGACCCTGCTTGCAAACATCCATTCCTTCCATTCTACTCATTCATACATTCATTCATTCAATCAATCAATCCCATCCATAAATAATGATAGACGCACAACGACAACAACAACAACAACAACAGCCACAACAACAACAAAAGGATGAGGAACTTAAAAAGCAACAACAAAATGAACAACAACAAAAGGAACAAGAGGATATTGACACGGATGACGATGATGACGAAAAGGTCGTGGACCTGATCGATAATTCCAGCGCAAAGGATGAGTTGGACGATGGAATCAGCACAACATCCACAAGCGATGTCAAACCTCGTCCACGCCCCGACGGTCGTACCGAGCAGAAGAGAAAGGTCAAAGAGGCCTGGAAGCAACATGAGCGAATGGTTGCCGGTGAGCAACTCTATATCATCTCAACCTATTGGCTTCGTCTGTGGAAGAACTACGTCAACTATGACGACTCACCACGTTCATCAACGCCAACACTCAATGGTAATGGCAATGGCAACGGCAATACGACGCCACCCACACCAGAGAAGACTACAGCGCGACCAGTCAATCCACTCAGCCTCAGCTCAGAGTTTGACATTCCCAGACCCGAGACCATCAACAACAAGGAGTTGGTGGAGCGCGATGACTCGGAGGGACAACCCATCATTGCCGGCCAGCGCACCGAAGGCGAGGACTTTGACATCATTCCAGAGAGCGTTTGGAAGCTCCTCTTTGGCTACTATGGTGGCGGTCCCGAGATCAAGAGGACAGTCATCGAGCTAGGCGTCAGGAATGAGAAGATCGTCGAGGTGCGTCCCATCATCCTCATGATCCGATCGTCCAGCACTGGTCCTTCCCCTGCCTCTTCATCATCCCCACCACAAGGCAGCACCTCCAGCAGCAGCCCCAGCAACAGCAACAACAATCAGTCAGCACAACAACAACAACAGCAGCTGGCCAATGCCTCCAAGCCATTGTATGATTACGTCATCCAGAGAAGCCGCAAGTCGACTCTCAATGATATTCGCGAGTTTATCTGCCACAAGGAAGGCATCGACTCTCAGAAGCTGGCCGTCTACCGTCAAAAGATGGGCAAGCAGAACAAGACACAGCAGAAGCTGCTCAAGAAGAACAGCATGACGCTGGACGACCTCAAGTTCGAATCGGAGAACGTCATCATCTTTGGCCAGGAGGAGCAAAAGACATTCATTGGCAAGCTCAAGGGCAAGTTCAGCTCGTCCAAGAAGGACAAGCCCAAGGATCAGATGTCTCCGCCTCATTCTCAATCATCATCGACATCCTCCAACTCGACCCAAAAAGGCACATCCTCCTCTTCATCATCCTCTGCACAAGACAGCGGACCCGTCAACACGCCACCAGTCTCTCGCGATGCCCTACAAGGCAAGGGCATATGTGGCCTCACCAACCTTGGCAACACCTGTTTCATGAACACCTCCGTACAGGTATGTACACAGGGATCATCCCCTGTCATATACCCAGACGACTGCCTACATACTCACACTCAATCAATCACAACACCAGTGTCTGGCACATACGACAGCATTCACAGACTACTTCCTTTCGAACAAGTACCTTGCCGACATTAACAAGGTCAACCCTTTGGGCGCAAAAGGACAGATCGCAGAGTACTACGGCAAGCTGATCAAGGAGATGTGGTCTGGCGCCACCGTACTCATACCAAAGCATTTGAAGTGGATTATTGGCAAATATGCACCACAGTTCAGTGGCATCTCTCAGCAGGACACCCAGGAGCTGCTATCCTTCCTACTTGACGGCCTCCACGAGGACCTGAACAAGGTGGTCAAGAAGCCCTACATCGAGGAGAAGGATGACAAAGAGGAGCGAGAGGATTCAGTCGTGGCCGCCGAGCAATGGGAGCGACATCTTCTCAGGAATCAATCAATCGTTGTCAACTTGTTCCAAGGTATACATCACTCATTCAAGCAAGCAAGAAGGAGGATGAGACGATGAGACTGACAACAACACATTACCCTTACTCTACCAGGTCAATACAAGAGCACATTGGTGTGTAGCAAGTGCTCAAAGGTCAGCATTACATTCGATCCATACATGTACGTGACACTCCCGATACCTGTGGCAACGGAGCGATTGTTTGAGGTCGTGCTCTTTAGATGCACACCAGTTGGCACAATTGGACCCGATCCCAATGGAGTCTACAGTCTGAACAATGCCCTGGCGCCAGTGCGCTACTGTCTCAAGCTTCCCAAGCGCGGCTTTATCCAATCACTTCGTGTCGAGTTGTCCAAGCTCAGTGGCATCGATACGCCTTGTCTGGCACTGTCTGAGATCATCCGCCACCGCATCTACATGTTCCTGAGCGATCAGCGCGGACTCGAGTTCATCAAGGACCGCGAGGTCATCATTGGCTACGAGTTGCCTGTCGCTGGCGAGGAAGTTTCGCGTCTACACGTCATGCACCGTCGCAAGGCAGACCTTCTCTTGCTGCCATACGTCATACTTTGTAAGTTTGCCGAGGTCACCTGCAAGGAAGTCTATCGCATGGTCTGGGAGCGAGTTGGCCATCGAGTCAAGCGTGGCTGGAAGAGTGCCTATCTGAGGCAGCGCTCCAAGGAGAACATCCCCGCCGATACCACTGGAACTGGCGAGGCAACAACCTCATCGACCACCACATCTCCAACAACTCCATCAACAACAACAACAACGAACAATGAGACCGAGAAGGATAGTCCTGCTGGCAGTTCAGACGGCAGCCAGCCGGACACTGAAGACGACACTAGCTCAATCACAGACGATGAGACTGACGAGATCATCTACCCGTTCATCCTCAAGTCGACCAACAGCTACGGCACCAACTGCGACCGATGCCAGGGCATTCACTGCACGGGTTGTGTGATTTCCTGCGATGGCAAGGTACTGAAGGAGATCTTCAAGGTGCCCAAGTTCTGGAGCGAGGGCTGCAGCAACATCGCGATCGACTGGCGCCCAGAGATGTTACGTTTCCTGGACGACTGCGAGGACATCCAGAACCCACAGTTGATCAAGCAGGACAAGAGCGTGGCGATCAAGTCAGAGATGAAGAACGACATCAACCTCAACGACTGTCTGACGCTATTCACCAAGAATGAGAAGCTCGGACCGAATGACACGTGGTTCTGTCCACAATGCAAGGAGCACATTCAAGGCAACAAGAAGTTGGAGCTCTGGAGTGCGCCCAACATCCTTATCATCCATCTCAAGAGGTTCCAACTACTACATCGTTTCGAGAAGATTGGCTCCTACGTTGACTTCCCACTCGACAACCTAGACCTCTCCAAATGGATCCTGAATAAGAACATGGCCAATCCACCAATATATCAACTCTACGCAGTGGCTGTAAGTTATCATCCAACTCATCCAACTTATTCAATCACTAACACCATGATACAGAATCACATGGGAGGCATGGGAGCAGGACATTATACAGCATCAGTTAGACATAAGGACAAATGGTATTTGATTAGTGATTCATCTTATCATTCGATTGAAGAGTCCTCTGTAAAGACATCTGAAGCCTATGTACTATTTTATGAACTGAAGAAGCAATCACCTACTTCCAACAACAACAAGACCAGCACACCACCTCCATCTTCACATCCAACAACAACTACAACAACAACTACAACAAGCGTCAATCCTAGTAATACTTCATCATCATAAACAACCCCTTGTATCATTCATTCATTCACTCTTTTAGACCCTTTGGCTATCATGGCCTAGTCATTACATATTTGTCATCAGATTGGTATTATATATGTCCCATTTCCCAACAAACAGATAATGACCTGGCATCATGATGATCACCAAGGCATCAAGTATGATTGACTCTGTTGTTTGCATCAGTAACTGCTGTAGAGTCACACACACGACACCCCTAACAATCGTGCTCTGTTTTACCAAAATAGCTTGTTTATGACGACTTTTATCAAAAACACACCACACAACAGAACCATCTTCGGCTTCTCAATCATTTAAGATGTTATGTGTTTAGCCCGAAATAGTTAAAAGGGTTGGACCAACATCTGCAAAGGTACGACGACAAGTACATCGTCTTAATTGAAATTTCACTTCACTCGACAACTACTTACAGATACACACATATAAATAATTATATTTATATACTTATACAAATACAAACAACAGAGATTAATAATAATAATAATAATAATAAGATGATATCAATGATTGAGAATAATGATTGTGCAATGAGAGCACCTGTACAACATCAGAGCGAAGAGATATCTATTCCAATTGGAACGGGTATAGTTGTGGCTGCAAAGGCTTGGGGACCAAATAATAGCAAGCATAGAGTTATGGCACTGCATGGTTGGTTGGACAATGCCAACTCATTCGATGTGGTCGGACCCGTGCTTGCATCACAAGGTGTACGTGTTATCTGCATTGACTTTATTGGTCATGGTCGCAGTCCACACAAGCCCACCTGGTGCAACCTCTACTACACCGACTACATCACACAAGTTATCGACGTTGCCGATGCCCTTGGTTGGAAGACATTCACAATCCTTGGACACTCAATGGGTATGTTTGTTTGTCCCGACCCAAACTCTCTTCACTCATTCAATCATACTAACTCAATCATATATTAGGCGCTGGAATTGGCAGTATCTTGGCAGCTACCGTACCACATATTGTTGAGAAGATCATTTGTTTGGACTTTATTGGATTGATGTCGAGGGAGCAGGATCAGTTGCAAGCCATTCAGTTTGCCATGCAATCTCGCGAGTCATTGATGAAGCGAAAGCCATTCCTCTATCCATCAAAGGAGTCAATTGTTGAGAAGCTCAAGACAAACAACCCATTCATTGCGGATGATGCCGCCCGACGACTGTTGGCGCGATCAATCGAGACGGTGATCTCGCCCTCTGGCGACCAGATGTACAAGATGCGCCACGACCCCCGTCTGGTCGGCCCATCCATCTTCACGATGCGTGAGCACGAGGTGCTGGTCATGCTCAAGAGTATCGTGTGTCCAGTCATGTTGGTGTGGGGCACAGTGTCGGCGCAGCAGTTTGGCATGAAGAAGAACTGGCCCGAGGTGATGCAGGCGCGCATGGAGTGCATCAAGAATCTCAAGACATTCAAGGTGGACGGATCACATCACTTCCATATGGAGAACATCGACACGTTCATGCCACAGCTTCTCACCTTTATCCACGACACCACCACCGTCAACTTCCATCCCGAAGCTGCCAGCAACGTCTTCACCTCAAACGAGAATCACAATCAGCTCGCCGATGCTGAGCCACCCAAGTCCAACATCTAATCAAGTTTGGATAAACTATTCCTTGTACAACAACATCTTTGTACTCATTCATTCATTCATTGAGCTTGTATTGTAGTTGACGACGATGATGTTACATCACCATCACTTGTTCCAGCTGATGTGAATCCAGTACCAGATGTGATACCTGATGTAGCACTTGATACACCGCCAGATGATGTTGATGAACCAGTGGCGCCAGTGCTACCTGATGATGTTGAGTTGTTACACATACCAACTTGAATGCAACACTCGGGTGCTTTCATTGATTGTTCAATATCTACAATCAACTGTTGTCCATACTGTACAGTGATTGATTGGCATGTTTGTATGAATGTTCTGTCTCCTAGTGTTGTACAATCATTCTCCACCGTCTGTATGATGACCTGTGACGGTTGCTTTGCAATGACCAATGGTTGCATCTGATCCACTACATATTGGCATATGGGACAGTTAAAGTCACCCTGGTACAGACCGGTCTTGCATGCGCCAACCAACTTGCATGTGTCAAGTGTACTGATATGATTGGCATTGAGTACGTTGACACTTAGGAGTAGTGGGCCATAGATGTCAATGAACTTTCTGCATGTAGTATGATCTGATAGATCATCACCAAATGAGGATGTTGGACAACCAATGTCCATCATATGAGCCAAGAGTTCAGAACGATCCAACTTATTGTTGTTGTTGTTGTTGTCATTGTTGATGTTTATGCTATTCAGTGCTGTCATACATATCAAGCATTGATCAGCATCTGATGTGTCAAAGTGTGCAGTAACCAATGAGTGTTGTTGTTGAAGTAGCAATGATAGCAACAACAACAACAACAATGACTTTGGCAATATCATAAATGTCATTCCTGCTATCATTACATTTATCTCTTATTATCTCTTGTTGATATCAAACACAAATAGATTAAAATGATCATAAGAAGAGAATGGTTTCCTATTCTTTGCAACCCAAGAAAATTTATAAAAAAATTGTCACAGATAGAAACTACCAGATCTGATCTGAATTGGAACTTTCTGTAAACAAATATATATATATAATATAAATTATATATAATAATAATATAATTATATATAATAGAATATAATATAAAATAACTATATATAATTTATATTATATTATATTAGAATTTAATAGATTTAAAAAAAATGATCTCCCCTCTAGATGACATGGTTACAAACATCAATAAAAAGGAACTCTAATGCTGATTGAATTCTATTTCATATATCCAATCTTTAAATATATACATATAAATACTATACATAAATAATTATTTTACTTGATTAACTACAACAACATTCAATGAATATAAACTGGATTAATTCTATAATCAATAATTTTGATTCAGACAGAATTAATGATGAAGTTAAGACCTTTATTCTGAATTTAACTTCTTATATAGATATTATTAATTCTTTCCCTTATATATCAAAGGTAAATACAATATATATATCCCAAATATTATTATTAATATTAATATAATTTAAATTGTTTTATTCTATAGTTGGTGATCGATGGGAAAATTAATCAAGATATAACTGAAATATTATTTCGATTTAAATGGATTGAGACCAAGATAGAACCCTATCAACAATATAATGAAATCTTTGATGTATCCAAAATCTCAGATCTTCCAGGTATTAGGGTATCACTATTGGAAGTAACTGAATCAATACTATCAGTTGCATCAATACACCGTATTTGTACCCAAGATCTATTTGAAGAGAAGTTCATCACAACTCTCATTGGAACATTGACTGATGATGAACAGCTTGACAGGATAGCAATGGCTTATTCTAAATATTTATTATCCAAACATTCTTTGATTGAATTTAATAATGGAGCATTTCTATTGAGTTTTAAGAATTTAAAGAAATTTTTCGGTAAAGATAGAGTAGATTCATTTATAAACAATGAATTGTTAACCAAGTTAACAGAGTCAATTGATCAATATGGATCTGAAAGAAAATATAGAGTAGTGTTAGAATTCTTAATACGATACCAATTAGAGGTCAATCCAAAGTTCATCAAAGATAATAGTCAGGTAATATATAGGTAAATATTAATTAGGTATTCAATCAATCCAATGGATTACTAATATAAGAACTTGAATTAATAGTTTCATATTTAAATATGTGTCAAAGTACGGTTTAATAACAGAGCATTATAATGATGATTTATTTCAAACAAGGATTAGTGATTGTTTGGGTATTACTTTGGAGGATGAAACGATTGATAAAGAGATGGTACAAGATCAAATAATTAATTTATTAAATTCATATAATTGTGAATTTAATCTCAACATTATATTCAATGTTCTATATCGACATATCCAAAAAGACCGCTTTGAACAACTCTTGGAAAAGTGTTTCATTATCATAAACAATGCCAACAAGAATAGAATGATAAATATGATGGGTTCATCATTTATAAAAGTAAGTTATTGATTATTAGATTCAAAATACTTAAATACTAATTTATAATAATTAATATTGTAGCACTATGAAAGATTTCGAACGGTCCTATACGGATATGGTCAAAAATACCATGGATTTTTAATCCTCTTTGATGGAATTACAAACTCATTTATAGCCAATGGCTCTCCTATTCCAGAATCTGTTGGGGATCATCTGACTAGCTATGGTTTGGCAAATCATGTACGTGATGAAATATCCCAACCTCATCTTGGAGCGAATGGTCTGATCAATTTATATAGATCTACAAAGGATATTAGATTCATACAAGGTGCATTTATTTTGTTATTTAGATGTAAAGAACATACTCATCTCACTCAATTGGTCTTTGATGAGTACATGCCAGAACTACTTACATTCATTGATGAAAAATTGGAAGAGCTTGATGTTAGTATTCAAAACTCAGAGTTCCTCATTCAATGTTACAATCAATCATTACTCAATGATAATCATATTACAATTATTTTCCAAAAGTACAATTATAATCGTTATATACATTATGATGGAGTCTTGGTATTCATCGATACTTGCTCCCGCAATGATGAGTTATGGTTCAAATATGTGAATATTATTGTTGGCAAAAGGAATGATAGTGAAGACAATATGTTAAACTTCCTAATTCAATCAATCAAATCAAAAGGACAAGAGATCAATTTCACAAGAGTTGTATTCCAATATCTCAGATATAAATATTTCAAGCAAATACACTACTCAGATTACCAGAGAATCAAGATTAGTTTATTCAATGCACTAAAACTACATCAAAGTTTTGAAGATGACCATTATAAAGAACAACACCATCTTTTCAAACAATTCAAACGTCAATCATTTGTCAAGGTAGTGATAGATCATAGGAAAATGTTGATGTCCAAACCACATCCAACATTATTGCCAAAGCTGGTACTTGATAGAATTATTGAGTTTTGTTTGCAAAGTGATTTCAATAACAAGATCAATTCAGTTAGACAGAACTGGATAATATCATTGGCACAAGTTTCCAATCATTTCCTTCAAACATGTTCAGAGATTCTTACAAACCAAGTATTGCCATCAATTAAAATTCACTCGGAACTCAAAAATATAGGATTCAAGTTCTGTTTGCTAAAAGATACTCCCTTGAGTATCAATGCAGTGGATGTCACACTTGGTCACATTCAAGAGGATCAACTTCAAAATTGTCTTGACAGGTGTCTTCACCTCATTGTTCCTTATGTGGATACTATTGAATATAGTAGATTTTCTCGGAATCCAAATAGATATGTTTCAATCATTCTTCAAACTAACAATCTTAGGAGTATCARGGTTTGATTTGGACTATCATCATGATGGATTTAATTTCAAACCAAATGATAATTCTCTCTACAAAAAATTAGAAGTTCCTTACAATTATAATGTAGATATAACAAGTGACTTTTATTCCCAATTATCTAAAGAATATATTGAGAGGAATCCCAACCTCCAATATATAGATTTTACATCAATGTCATTGATCAACCCATTTCCCAAACTCAATATCATTTCCAATGAAGCCACAAACAATGATACAGAACCTGGAAAAAGAAATTGGATTACTCTCAAACATCATCTAAAGAACATTTCAGACCTTCCAGAGGACAAAATGAAAATATCAGATAATGAGCATATCACTTCTTTGGAAGTTAGTTTAGATCATTCATTGGAAAATATCCGGCTATTTACAAACTTATCCAATTTATCAATCAAAGACACTCAAGATAAAATCGTCAACTATGTCAAACAGAAAGGACAACCCATTCAAATTTTGTACAATAAGGTCTATAATTTGAATTCCAAAAGATATTCACTGTCATTGGAAATAGGAGATTTGAATTATATAATGAACTTAGTTCCACAATGCAAGACTTCAATCACATCATTATCAATAGTACTCAATTGGAAACAAATGGTACATAGTACGGTGACTGGAGAATTCCAAAAACAATTCAAAGAATTATTACATCATCTGGAACAACCAATATTCTCGACAATGGAATACTTTTCAATCTTAATTCTCAAAAGAGATTTTTCAAATGATATTCTTCAAAAGGTAGGCTTGGGACCAAATGAGCAGTCCTTGATATTAGAGTCATCACTCAATCTAAAAGAAATGGAATATATATTGGGAGTTCCAACTAAATTTTATAGAGTCCCAATCTTAGATTAGAGATTTAAATTAATAAACATAAAAAAAAATTGTTTTACTAATGTAATATTAAATAAGTTATTGACCTTTTAGGAAAGTACTGTATTCTATTAATAACTTCTACACAAATAGTTGAAACAGATAATAATAATAATAATAATAATAATGAATTTACCTTTGGACGATAAATTAACTGATGTAATAGTTAATAATACAAAATATGCAATCCAGGAAACAGATAAAGATTATTTAATTAATATTAATTCCTATACTGATTTAATCAACTCTTTTCCTAGAGTGGCCAAAGTAAGTTGGATATTTTAATTAATATTTATAGGACTGATCAATCAATCAAATAACTAACACTATTAATATATAGATAATAGTAAATGGAAATGAAAAACTAAAAGTGTTGTTGACAGAATATATATTTTGGCCAGTGTCTTGGACAACAAATTATCATGACCCTATGTATTATCATGGTCATATTGATGTAACAAAGTTCTCGACCATTGATAATATTAATGTCACTCTTTTGGAAGTCACCAATGCTTACCTAGATGTAATGAGTTCTCACCATGTTTACATCAAGAATTTATGTTCTGTCCTGGAAGTTGATTATATTAATACTGTCATTGGTACTTTAAAGAGCGAGAAGGAGATCAATGATTTAATGGTCAAATATGTATTGTGCATGACGTCATATCTTGAGTTTAATGGTTTTGGAGGATGGCATGGATTCCCAATGTGGAGAGATTTCTTCATTCAATCATTTGGAAAAGATAAAGTGGTGGAAGAGTTCAACAAATGGTTACTCCAGTCTCTCAAGAATGTTGTTCCTACCAATTATGAAAATAGTCAAAAAGGTATTGGAATATTATACTATCTGTCTTTTATTCAACTAAAAGAATGTCCAAAATTCATAAAAGAACATTCAAATGAAGTGTTTGAGTAAGTAATTCGGAAAATTAATTAATTTTATTATAATTTATTAATTTAATCAATCAATCTTTCTATTAGATTCATTATCAAAGCATTATCATTCTATTCTTTATTATCTAATTACACAAATGAAAATAGTTTAATTGATAATTTGAGCAAGTGTATTGGTATTACATTGGAAGGCGATTCAATTAATAATGATGATGCTCAACAATTAATTGCCAACGTCTTTACGAATACAAGATAGTATCGACCTTTTGGAGTGGATGATATGTGTTTCAAGATCCTTCATCCTCATTTCCATCAAGACAAACTTGATCTCTATTTCCAATCTTGTTTTTTATACTTGGATAACCTCAACAAAAACATAATGATAAATAAGATGGGAGTATCCTTTGTAAAGGTAAGATAATATAATATATTCCCAATGATTTTTATTAATTTATTTAATTATAATTATTTAGTACTACCCTAATTATGAAGAAGAACTCTTGGTTAATTCTCAAAAGATAAGATCCTGGTTAATCTTAATCCATGGATTAACTAATTGTTTTATTTTATCTGGTCAACCATTTCCATCAAAATTGGTAGAGTCTATAACCGACTTTAATATTATTAACCTTGTTGGAGATGATTTTCCATGTCCTGAACTTTGTGTTAATGGCTTAATCAATTTATATCGATACAAACACAATCAATGTTTTATGGTTGGAGCATTCTTGTTACTTTTAAGATGTAGAGTAGATTCTCTTTTCACTCAATGTATAATCAATGAATTTAATCAAGAGCTAGTTAGTTTTATTTCTCATCATTTGGAGAATGTATCTTATGACTTAAACAACTCTCACTTTCTCATTGAATGTTACAATCAATCAATTTTGAACATTGATAATATATCTATTATATTCTCCATATTATATAAGGGGAATTCTGATTTTGACCGACGTTCAAACTCACAAGATGTTGCAATTATACATTTCATCAACACATGTTCAATCAATGATGAATTATGGATAATGTATATAAATATAATATTAAGAAAAAGATCATTCTATTCAGAAAATATTCAAAACCATTTGGAGTATTCTATCCAGACATTTGGAAACACAATAGATTTCTCTAGAGTTGTCTCTTTATTACTTAAACTTTCATACTTTTTGAATCCAGAAAACAATTATATTTACAGAATGAGGAAGACAACAGTATTGTCAGCATTTAACAAAATTCAAAGTTGGAAGGATAGTGTACATTATCAAGAGTTCAAACAGTTTAAGAAACAAACATTCTATCACTCTACATTGTGTAAGAAAAACACCAATAATAATATTGGGCAAACAAACTTTGGACAGATTCCATTTTTACCAATGATTGTGCAGAGACAGATAATTGAACTATGTATACATGGAGAATTCAATTATGAAGTTCGTCAAAGATGGATTATTTCATTATCAACTGTATCCAAGCTCTATCACAGGTTAACCACATCCATTCTTTCAAACAATGTTATTCCATCCCTTCGGCTGTTTGATACGGTTAAACATATTGGATCGGAATATTGTCTACTTCAAGATACCCCACTTAGTATCCATACAATTGAATTTGTCAACGGATACATTCCCAAAGAATTCCAAGGACGTTGTCTGGATAGACTTAAACATCTTATAGTACCATATAGAGAAGATAGGAATTACACTTATTACTATCATGAAAATCAATTTTTATTATTCATACCAAAGGCCGCTAATCTAAGAAGTATTACCTTTGATCATTATTACTATTCCCCCTTTATCAATGAGAAAAAAGATCCCAATCCATTGATGGTTGAAGTTAAATTCCCACCATATCTATTCGTAGAGGAAATCGATCTTATAGATTTTTGGAAAACAATTTACCAGACTTTAGTCAAAAACAATGATAACCTTCAAAGTATTGATATCTCCACTAGCTACCTGAAAAATAAGTTCAGTTATCTTAACAATTTCATTCAGGACTATAACTTACCAATTCAATCAATTGACCAAAGACATAATTTTATATTAAATGATGTCATCAGAAATAATGATATCATGGATGTCAATTTGGAACATATTACAACAATGAAATTGATACTAAATATTGAATTTCATAATATCTATAGATTCAACAATGTTAACAAAATTACAATCATTGAGAAAACTGATCCTCATCAACCTTCTCTTAACCAAGATTTCATTCATAAACAAAGTCAACACCTTCAAAGATTATATCAAGATGTATATAATCTGAACTATATGAAGAAGTATTCTCTTATACTGGTCAACATTAATGATATTATCAATATTATACATTTACTTCCAAATTGCCAAACATCCATTACATCGTTGACTATTAAACTCAATCCTAGCTCATTGATCCGGTATACATTGGATGGAACAATCAATCAACATGTTAGAGATATCATTACATATCTTGAACAAACAATATTCTCATCACTTGAATATCTTTCTATCCAAGTTGGTTCCGGCGATAAACTAAAATATGCCCTTGGACCTCCTGAATTGTCAATCATACTCAGTTCATCACTTAACTTTAAACCATTTGATGAGTCCCCTACACCTACTAAATTTTATAGAGTTATATCCCAAATATGATTGAATAAATATATTTGTTAATTGTTAAGATTGTTAAAACAGTCAACTTAAGGACAATCGGAGATTGATAAAAAAAAAAGGAACCTTTCCGAGAATCATGATCTTGATCAAAAAAAATGACATCATCAACGGTCAAACTTTGACAGGTCAAGCCGACAACATCGATCGGTGGACATGTCTTGTGTAAGATTAAATCAATCAATTATTAAGTTGATTCAAACAACAGATAATAATAATTATAATAATAATAATAATGGACTTTAATAGTTTGATATCATTTGTCTCTTCAAACAAAGTGTCTATCCTCTCTGGTCTGGCACTGGCTGTAACAACTGGTGCTTTGCTCAAAGGCAAAGGAAAGAAACAACATGTATGTCAACGATAATCATCGTTGAACTGCACTACAACACCCTCAGCCTTTACCTTACATACAATCAATCACTTGTATATCTATTCTTTATAGACCTTTGAACCAGGTGTTGTATACCTTTATGACTTCCCCAAGGGTGGCTTCCCTGTGATCCACATATCACCATTCGTTCTAAAGGTGTCTCTCTTCTTGCGTCTCAACAACATCCCATTCAAGGTCATCAGTATGTTCAACTACACAACAATCATACAATCAATCAATCACATCATTAACCTTGAATCAACACAAAGACAACTTTGACATGGGTCCAAGAAACAAGAAGCCTTGGATCCGACTTGATGAAGACGTGGTATCGGACTCTGACATCATCATTCAATACTTGATCAAGAAGCTCAACATCAAGGGATTCGAGATCAATGATCCCGATCAGGCAGCAGAGGCACATATGCTTCGTAGATTCATCGATGATGCCGCTGTGTGGTCACTCGTGTACAGCAGATGGGTGGACCCAATGAACTGCTCGACCAACATCGAGGCTGTGTTCGCCAGTGTACCATTCCCAATGAGCGTCCTTGTCAAGCGATTCTCATTGAGCGGCACCAGCAAGCAGTTGTACAGCGTTGGTATCTCCAGATACGAAAGAGACGAGATCTATGAGCGCGCTGCAAAGGACATCGATGCACTGGCACGTCGTCTGGGAGACAAGCCCTACTTGCTTGGAAATGAGATTGCCTTGGTGGATGTGAGCTTGTTCTCCGTGCTGGCACAGTTTGCCTTTGAGATAATCCAATCGCCAGCGGGCGCAGCACTCAAGACACATCGCAACCTCGTTGACTATGTCCAAAGGATTGGTGAGGCACACTTCAAGTCCAACGAGTTGGACTTCTCCAGGTCATACCCATCACCAAGACAATAAACCAATAGATTCGCTAAGTCTTTGATTGATTGATTGGAACGTGTGTGAGTGATTGGAATAATTCCAGATGATTGGAGTTTGCGTGAATATATATTATGTATTTATTAATGATAGTATATATTGTTATAAATAATAATAGGGTCCATCTATTAATATATTGGACCTATATACAAATATGTTTGTTACTTTACTAACAAGATAGCTAGGTAGCTTGTTTAGAGAGCCAACATTGAGACGAGGACACTCAACAAGAGGATGGCAATGACGTTGATCGAGACAAGGGACGCTGATGATGGGTTGGCAGTGGTGCTGTCGGTGGTGCTGCTGGCAGTTGGTGCCTGGATGTTGGCTGTGGTCGAGATCACTTGTCCACTGACATCGACGGCAACGGTGTGATCACCTGCAACGGTGACTGTGTTGCCAGACAACACAATGACGTTGTGGTCACATGAGCTGATGGTCTGGAGCACGCCATCGATGGTCACCTTGACGTTGGTGGCGACGTTACCAAAGTTGGTACCGGTGATGGTGAGCGAGGCGCCGGCTGAGAGGCCAATCTTGACATTGGAGATGGCTGGTGGCAAGTAGCCCCAGGTGACGCTGAGTGGGATGTCGGTATGGAAGTTGAACGAAGCGTTGAAGCCAGTGCCTGAGCCTGATGGTACCTTGAAGCCAAACTCGAGGTTGGGTGTGATGACCTCAACGTCGAGACCAGATGTGATGGCGGCGATCACCCAGCCCAAGTCAACTCCAGAGACCTTGACCAATCCTCCGACGGTGGACACGGCAACGACAGTGTTGACCTTGAGTGTTGGGCAACCCAGTGAGAGGGAGGTGTTGATGTTGAAGTTGGTGAAGTTGTTGCCGAGGAAGGCAGCACGGAAGGTGGCCAACTCACAGAGGAAACAAGAGGCCAATTGACCAGAGAGCTGGTTGTTGGACAAGTCGATGACTGCATTGGCTCCGATCTGGCAGAGGCTGGATGGGACGACACCAGTGAGCAAGTTGTTGCTGAGGTTGCAGAGGTTGAGCTTGGAGAGGGAGAGGTCGAGCAGGCCAAGGGTCTTGATGTCAATGTCGAGCAGGTTGTCGCCGAGGTCGAGCGAGGCAAAGGCGTTCAGGTTGATGTTGGCCAGAGCGCCAGCGGTGATGCCGCGGATGGTCAGGGCGACATCGGCATTGGCGTGCACCTTGATGCCTGGTCCAACGGTGATGTTGGCAAACAGGGAGGTACATCCGAGGAGGGAGAGGGCGTTCAGGTTGGCGTTGGCAGACAGGTCGAGGAGACCAGCGGCACTGATGTCAAGCTTGAGGCCATCGCCAGTGATGGTGAGGGCGCCGACGGTTGAGGTGAGCAGGTTGGATGGGATGACAGAGACGATGGCACCGGCGTTGAAGTCGAGGGAGATAGCATCGAGCAGGTTGAGGTTTATCTTGGCAACAACGTTGGCGTCGAGGAGACCAGCGAGGACAACAGCAACCTTTCCGTTGACGTTGGCGTTGAGCTTGAGGCCTGGCAACTGGAGCTGGCCCAAAAGGCTTGAGCAACCGTTGAGGGCGAGGAAGTTCAGGTTGATGTTGGCAGAGAGATCGAGGATACCAGCGGCGTTGACATCGAGCTTGAGACCATCACCGTTGATGGAGATGGAGGCAAGGGTCGAGCCGAGCAAGTTGGATGGGATGACAGAGACAACTGCACCGAGGTCAAAGTCGAGGTTGAGTGCTTTGAAGGCGTCGAGGTGGATCTTGGTAATGGCGCTGACGTCGAGGAGACCGCCCAGTGAGAGGTCGACGTTGGCGTTGGCGTTGACCTTGATGCCTGGGAGCTGGAGACCGGACAGGAGGGAGTTGCAGCCAAGGAGGTTGAGAGTGTCGAGCTTGACGTTGGCAGAGAGATCGAGGATACCAGCGGCGTTGACATCGAGCTTGAGACCATCACCAGTGATGGAGATGGAGGCAAGGTTGGCAGTCAGCAAGTTGGCGGGAACAACAGAGACGACGGCGTTGGCATCAAAGTCGAGGTCGAGGGCACCCAGGACGTTGAGGTTGATCTTGGCGAGAACGGAGGCATCGAGCAGGCCACCGAGAGCGAGGGCAACATCGACGTTGGCAGCAACCTTGATACCTGGGAGAGCGAGACCCTTGAGGAGGGTGGTGCATCCGGTGAGGGAGAGCGAGGTAAGGTTGAGGTTGGCAGAGAGATCGAGGATACCAGCGGCGCTGACATCAAGTTTGAGACCATCACCAACGATTGAGAGGACTGAAAGTGGGGCAGACAGGAGGTTGGGTGGGATGACAGAGGGGATGACACCGTCGAGGAAGCCGAGGTTGAGGCTGTTCAAGAGGTTGAGGTTGAGCTTGGAGAGGATGGAGAGGTCGACAAGGTTACCGAGGTCCAGGTCAAGCAGGCTGATGTTGAGTGGCAGCTTGATGCCGGGGAGCTTGAGTGTGGAGAGCAGGGAGTTGCAACCAACGAGGGAGAGCGACTGCAGGTTGGGGAGGCCAGAGAGGTCGAGGAGTCCGTTGGCATCAACCTTGACACCATCACCAAGGATGGACAACGAGGAGAGGAGCGATGAGTTGAGCACTGTTGATGGGAGCAGACCGACGGTGGCACCTTGGGCAAAGCCGAGCGAGAGGTCGTTGAATGCGTTGACATCGATCTTGGCAACGACGTTGAGGTTGACTAGGCCGAGGAGTGAGAGCGAGATGTTGACGTTGGCGTGGACAGCAATGCCTGGGAGGGTCAGCTGGGCAAACAGGGTGGTGGCAGCATTGAGAGTGATGGCCTGCAGGTTCTTGCAGTTGGTGAGGTCGAGGACGCCGTTGGAGCCGAGCTTGAGGCCATCGCCAAGGATGGAGAGTGAGTTGAGGGTGTTGGAGAGGAGGTTGGATGGGATGACAGAGGAGACGACGCCATTGATGAAGTCGAGGGAGAGCGAGTCGAGCACATTGAGGTCAAGCTTGGCGAGGACGTTGGCGTTCACCAGACCGGCGAGCTCGAGGGCGACGTTGGCATCGGCGTGGACAGCAAGGCCTGGGAGGGTCAGCTGGCCGAGCAGGGTGGTGCAGCCGTCAAGCTTCAAGAAGTTCAGGTTGGGGTTGGCTGAGAGGTCGAGGATGCCAGCGGCCGACAACTTGAGACCGTTGCCAGAGATGGAGAGCGAGGCGAATGGGGTGGTCAGCAGGGTTGGTGGGATGACCGAGGTGGTGACGCCATTGGCAAAGTTGAGGACAAGGTTGAGGGTGTCGGCGATCGTGTCAAACAGGTGGAAGTTGTTGAAGGTGAGTGGGTTGGTGGCAACGTTGATGGTGAGGTCAACGAGTGCGGTGAGGTTGCCACCCCAGGACAATGGCAGCAGGCCGTTGGTGCAGGGCACGGTCAGGCTGTTGAGCAGGTTGTTCACTGCGGTGATCTCGGGGAGCACACCACCAGAGATGATGGAGCCGATGTTCAAGGTCTTCAAGGCGTTCTGGAAGATGGTGGATGGCAGGGCAACGTTCAGTGCACCAATGTTCAGGGTGTTCAGGGTGCTTGGGAAGGCCAAACCAAGGTTTGACAGTGGCAACGATGAGAAACACTTTCCAGCACATGTGATCGATGAGATGTTGGGGTTGGAGGCAAAGTTCCAGAAGTTGGCGTTCACTGGTACACCATCCTCGATCAAACTATTCGATTGATTGATTGAGTTAGTATGAGTGTGGTCGTGGGTGGAATAGTTCCAGTGATGGTGGAACTTACAGATCAAGGAGCTTGGTGAACGCTGAGAGATCAGCTGGAACAATATTGAGGTTCAGCAAACTGGGCTTGAGTTGGAGACCAATGACGTTGGTGCCGGCATCATTACAAGTGACCAATGGGCTGGAACATCCATTATCGCCAAGTCCAAGAAGACCAAGCAATTGACCAATTAAGTTCAATGCAGCCTCTGGATTGATTTGGGGAAATTGATGGAAAATGATTGATTAGCCAAGGGAAGTGATGGATGGACTGGTTGGATATTATTAAATACATACTCTCGGCATCGACCAATCCAGCGGACTGGGATGGAGTGGCAAATGTTGCCAGGACAATAGTCAATATTAATAATACAGATGTAGTACTCGTCTTCATTATTTGAAGTATATATATATAAATAGTTAGTAATATTAAATGTTTGTTTAAGAAATACAGATGATTGATTGTTTGATGGAATTGATGATCTGACAATTGAAGGTCTTAAATAGGTTTGTTGTTTGTTCCAACCAAACATCATCTGGTCGTCAACATCATCAATCAATCTGGTGAGCCAAGCCACTCTTACTTCCACCACGACCACCACGAACACCTCAACCAACCCCTTCATGTCAATGTACATTAGATGGGCAAGGCATGGTATGATAGAGGGCTTTGTATGATTGGCAAGTAGTCAAGGGCATGCATGGCATGGCAGGACTGAGTGGCATGCAGAAGGTGCATCGTCCTGTCGTCTTTTGATGGATGGCAACAGTGTTTGTTGTTAGTTTGGGGGGAGGGCACAAAGAGGTTGGTGCTGGCACTCGTCAACAGACATACAAGTACTTGTTACATCATTTAGCTGTGCACCTTGATCATGAGCAGTTATCTGAAATCACAGGGTGTGGAAGATTTTTGTGTTGGCTGCATTCCAATGTAGTTGTTTGTTAGTTATTGATTGATTGATCGAATATGTTATGTGTGTGTGATCGTGTGTGTGAGTGGGGTGAGGTTGGTGATCATGAAGTTATACATGTTCAGTAATAAAGAGTCGTCTGAGTGTGTGTGTGTGTGTGTCTAGATGGGTAGCACGATCAACCACCCCCACACACTACACTCTATCTATCACAAGATGAATGCATTTGTATCTGCCTATCTGTATGTGTGTGTATGTGTGATTGTGTGAGTGTTTGTTCAACCAACATTCACCAACTCACCCAACATTGTCAAAAACAGTGCAAATGTAGGTTGGGCAAGTTTAATCAATATTGATGATGGGGAAGTGGGTGTGCCTCTGACGTCAGACTATTTGGCCCTTATCCTTCCATCTGCCCAAGTCAAGCCTAAGCCAGCCCCAACCCCGACAACTACTCATTAATTAATTAGGACCAGATCCATAAATATCCATTATTAGATCAGAATTGTTAAACACGAGTGGGGTGGTATCGTCTGGTCAAACAAGCCAAAGCTTTGACTGAAACTCTGGCTTCGATACCCAACCAATAGTATTCAATGAATATATTAATGGATCATCCCAAAATACAAACACACGAATGTGTTATTGCTTGCATAAGCACTTTGTGAGGATTCAATCAATCAATATCTATCTGTTTGTTTGGTGTCAAGTCACTCCACCTCATCATCATACTTTCCTTTCCATCTTCATGGAATCAATTTATTACATCAGCAGTAAGCATACATTCTTTAATTGATCACCCAACTTACAACTCATCAACCAATCAAAACAACATACTTGTCAACAGTTATGGGGTCAGAGTCTGAGGTTGCTTGGGAGGTTTGGGTTGAATTGAAAGTGATTGTTTTTGATCTTCCTTGAACCAATCAATTAGTCAGAGAGTGACAGTAACAATAAATTAAATACCCAATAAAGGGTATATTGACGAACATAGTAAACTCGGTTTAAGGTCCTTTGCCTCGATTGTTGCTGCAAAGCTTTATTACCAGATGGGGTCATTTGATTTGTGATCATGTGATGAGGTGGAAGCTGGAAGATGGATACCTAGGTATCGGTTTATAATAAACGAATATATTAGATAGATTTCAATCTCTCACTTTTGGAACTAAACTGGTTAGTTAACTTGTTGTTGGGTGAGATGTACGAAAGAATGGACTCAATCAATCAATCAATCAATCAAAAGTGTAACCATGATCGAGAAAGAGGTGATCATTGCAGTATGGTAACATATCAAGGTTATAGACATCCATCAATCCATCCGACCAAAGCCCGGAGACTACTGTTTGTGCGGCTTAAGCTAGTTTATTAATATAACAGGACAGGACAGGACAGGACCAGTCCAAACCCATCCATCCATCCCCGGCCCGGGCCACACACTCACACACCATGATTAGGCCGTGGGGATGACACGAGGAGGCTGTTGTTGCTTCTGGAATTGAGTGATGATTAATCGCGTCCATGACTCCATCTCTCGTCTGGTGTCTGTGCTGAGTAGAAGACAGGTCGAGTGCTTCTTGGCTGACTTGGACATCTTTATCTGTAGTTGCTTCAAGTGATAATCGATATTGTTGTTGTTGTTGCTGTTGCTGTTGTTGGCGCTTATATCACGTGGATCATTGGTTCCAAGTAAGTCGATGGGTGGCGGTGGCGTGACGAGCACTGGCGGCGCCATATTTGGCGTGCCAGACGCACTACTACTATTGCTATGATTGTTGGATGATGGTGTCAAGGACTGGAAACTGGACGTGCGAATGATGCCAAGAGGCCTGCCAGAGTAGTGTGTTGAATGTGGTCGCGTCGACGATGATGACGACGACGGCGTCAAGACACCGCTGGTGGTGGGAGGTGTGTGCATTGGACTACTTTGTACATGTGTGCTGTTGCCGCTGGATGTCGTGGTCGAGGACGAGTGCGAGTGTGACGTGTCCTGCTTCCTCTCCTTGCCAATCTTGAGCGAGAAGCCCTTCTTCTTGGGATCTCTGATGTTCAGGTATTGAACGTGTGGCTGGGGCACGGACGACGAGAATGGCGATGAGTCAAACGGCGACGAGGAGATCGAGCCCGTGTCCTCATCATAATATGAAGATGGCGCTGAATGCTCCGAGATGGTATCGAGCGACGAGATGGACTCGGTGTCCAAGTCGTCGACCGCCTCCAGACGGACTCCCGTGCCAATGCCGCCGCCTCCATCCATCGACATGAGGAGGCTGTCCCAGAAGTACGCGGGACGGGCCTGATCGCGCTGTGCCAGCTTCTCATAGATGGGACGCTGCTCGCGCTGCAGCGCCGCCAACGACTTGACTGTGAACTGCTTGGTGTGATGGATGAGCTCTGTGAACTGCGACGAGTGGTTCAGCATGAAGCAATTCTTGCGACCCTTCACCTCCTTGCCCTGTTGAGTTATAACTGTTGGATGCAAGTATCTTATGGGTATTGTATCGGTTGGCTTCCTAAAGAAGTATAATGATCCATCATTGAGTATGCACCACTTCTTGCTCCACTTGTCTGTAACCTTGCCCTTGCTCCTAATATATAACCATCCTTTCTTTACTGCATATGGGAATTGCGCTCTATTGATGAGTTAGATAGTTTGTTAGTTTGTGTTGCTGGTAACTAACATGTGTTCCGAGTATGACCGCCACACGCCAGCCAAGTGTGGCGGCACAAATTGTATCTGCGGCCACACGCCGGAAACACAAAAGTCGAAGAGATACCTACTGACTTGGATCTAACTTGATCTCATCTGATAGTATACGATCGTAGAGGTCCTCCAGATACTCGAGTTGGAGGTCCTTTCCATTATTGATTCCTGTGAGTGATCGAATGAAACGCTGTTTGGTCAACGTCGACTTGATTGATGGGCTGTGCAAATCAGTGTTCAACATAATAATTGCAAAGGCCAATATATATACAGCGTCTAAATGTCATCATGATGGTTATGAATGTGTGTCAGCTTGATTGATCATGCTCACGCCGGCGGCGTGTGGCCATACGCCCGCCACACCACAAGTCGCGACTTCATCATGATACCATACCTGGATCCTCGAATATTCCACTCTTGATATTATCTTTGTAGAATTGATTGGCAAACCTTAGCATGATCCTGTCGATCTTTTGTGCCTCGCCAGGCAGACGGAAACAGTAGAGTAGCTGTCGTAGTGCCATGTCAAAGTCCAAGTCCTGGAAGTTGAATCGCGCGATGAACGCCTCCAAAGTGTCTATACAGAACTGATCGCTCTCGCCAAGATAGTCACCAATCGATCGCTTGTTGAGTAGTGTGCAGGTGTGCAGAAACTCTGAGATGGACGCTGGGGTCTTCTCCAGCAGGTGGATGCCCACGAAGAAGTCCACGCCTCGCTTTGGCTTGTCGTTGAACATCTTGATGCCTGTGAACACGAGCCCGTCGCTGGGCTGGCGCGGACTGCCGCTGCCATGATCAGTCGCCGCCACGACCACCGTGTGGCCGTTGCCACTGCCTGCGCCACCCATGCTGCTGTTGTCCGAGGCGTCGTCGACCGGGCTGGCCGGCTCCTCGCGGATTGTCGTGATGATCTGTGATGAGGTCAACTTGTGGATGTCGGGCATGTGCTCGATGAGGATGGAGCCGCGCTTCTGGCCCAATGAGTCGGGTATGCTCTTCATCTTGCTGTGCAGGATTGACCAGCGGCCCACATAGTGGTGCTCCTCTGGAGGTGGTGGGGGTGGCATCATCAGACTTGATGATCGCGGTGATGATGGTGTCAAACTATTATTATTCGTTGTTGGTACATTGAATTGAGCGTCCACCGTTGACCTTGGTGGCGATCGAAATGTTATTGATGTGTCTGTCATTTGTTTATCTTGGATTGATTGATTGATTGAATGGATAGTTGGTTCCTTTCCTGCAGATTGATCGATCAATCTAATGTTCTTGGATGGATAATGTTGTTGTTGATGTTGTTGTTGTTGGTATGTACAAAATATATTAATGAATGGATGGTGATTGAATGGTGATCACTCAGCTGTAAGAATGAATGGATGGATGTCGGAGTGTGTATGTGTATATGTGTGTATCAATCAATCACATCTAACGGTTGGATAATAACATAATAATAACAATAAAGGCAATCACTCCACTATCTTATCCCTCGCTCTCACTAAGATGAATTAGATGATGATGCAAGCAAGGTACTTTGTGTATTAGAATGTGGCGGGCAACAGACAGGCAAGAGCAACTCAACTGAAACACAAAGGATTGATCGTCCCCCTTCCTGTTGTGTGTGTATTCGTGTGTGTTGATCAATGCACACCACCATCACATCTCGCTTCCCCCTTCGCTGATCGATAAACATTAATGTTGATTGTGTGTGAATGAGTGGTGGTGATCGTTTGGGCCTTTAGTGGTGTACTGGGGGGGGAAGTGATCACTACACTTATTATCCATCACCATATTGTGAAAGGACATCGACAACAAAAAAACTCATTGGTTGATATTAGAGAGACAGATTTATTTCCTAAGGTGTTTAAAGCTCGTCGTGAGTGTCGGCCTTCTTGGTGACCTTGACATCCTCCTTGGTGGTGGTCTTGACAACCTCCTCCTCGGTCTCCTCCTCGGCGGCGGGCTGAGCCTCGGCGGCCTTCTTGGCCTCCTCGTCACGCTTGGCCTTCTCTTCCTCGGCTCTCTTGGCCTCGATGTCGTCGAACATCTTCTTCTCGCCAGCCTGGTTCTTCTCGAAGTGGGCAGCAGAGAAGGCCTTGGCCTCCTCGACGGTGTCGGCGACGAGGATGTTGTCAAAGATGGTGCCAGACTTGACCTGCCACAACTCGAAACCGACGGCACCGATGTTGCTGTAAGTGTAAATGGCGGCATCCTCCTTGTACTCGGGGTTGTCGATCATTGGGTGGACCCATGGACCCTTGTACTCTGGGTTGGGGATCTTCTTGGCGGACCAGGCACCCTTGTACTCTGGGTTGGCGATGGTTGGGGCCTCCCAATCTCCGTCGTCCTCATCGTTCCAGTCCTCGGGCTTCTGGGCCTCTGGGTCGACGATGGTGGCTGGGATGGTGTCCCAGTCGGCGGGCTTGACATCCTCTGGGTCGTTGATCTCCTTCTCGTCAACCCAGTCGGCTGGCTTGGACTCGTTTGGATCCTTGATCTGCTTTGGTGGCAAAAAGTCAAAGTCCTCGACAAAGGTGCCGGACTGGGCCTCGACGTTGTCGATGAGGACGACGTACGAGTTGTCTGACTTGACGACCAGGGTGTACTGGTGGGTCAACTGGTCGGACTCGACCTTGATGTCACGCTTGACCAAGTGGTTCTTGCCCTTGTAGTTGAAGATCAAGTGAGTGCGCTTGGAGTTTCCACAGATATCTGGACCAAACATGATGTAGTAGTCAGAGTCTCCGCCAAAGTTCTCCTGGTCGACGGTGGCTGGCAACAGCTTGATGTAGGCTCCACCACAGTCGAGCTTCTGCTCGTGCTTGACGGTGAATTGAACGACCAAATCCTTGCCCTCATTGGAGAAAGGAGTGAACTTGGCAGAGGTGGCGTAGAAACGGGCATCTGGGGTAGTCTGGATACCCTTATCATCTTGGGCATCACCATACCACTTTCCAGCAGTTTGGATGAACTTTCCTGCAGTTCCATCCTCGACCTTCCACTTTGAGGCGACCCATCTGGAAGTCCAGTCGTCTAAAAAATTGATTTATTGATTGATTGATTATATGTTAGAGAAGGAATGTTCATTCATTCATTCAATCATTTGATTGATTGAATAAGTTGAATGAGTTGATTGATTGAATGATTGATTAGAGTACATACCACCGAAGGTCTCTTGGAAGTGGACAGAGGCAGAAGCCAAGCTGACCATAAGAACAACCAACAATACAGCAGCGATTCTCATTCTATATAATATATGTATATATGTGTTAATATAATTACAACAAGTTATGTATGTATGAATGAATGACAGACTAAAGTCTGAGAGTACAAGTACAAATATCTGATGAACAGATTGGTCAGGTATGGTAGCAAGTGTGAGGAGTCACCAAAAAATTAAAATTTATTTCAAAATAATTACTCAAACAACCTCAAAGATGAGAGTGATGACGAAGCAACTCATGAACTTCTTCAACTTCAACCCCAAACTAATTAATTGACACGCTAGTGTTGTTGCCGCTGTAGTTGACGCGAAGGAATGAATGAATGAGGGCAAGTAAATGAATTGATTGATGAGGGAAAGTCGAGACAAGACAAGACGTTGGGGAACAATGACGCGACGACAATCATAGGTTGTTACTATGAATAAGAGGATTATTGATGTACATCAGGTTGGTTGGTTTATTCGTTGGGAATTGGTTTGGATTGGTGTGACACAAGAATTATTGAATGAATGATTGAATGATTGAATGTGGAGATTGAATGAAAGGATGGACAACATATATACTTAATGGTTGTATCCACCGCCAAAGAAGTGTGATGGCATGTTCATCGATGGACGATCACCAAACATCATCATTTTGGTGTCGTCACGATGTTGACGTTGCAAACCACTGTTGGACGTGAGGTTGTTGTTGAGCATGTTGAGACGGAGGAGGGTGTCGTTGCTGGTGGTCTGGAAGTCGCGACCGACTTGGAGCGACTTCTCAAAGGTGACACTGCGCTGATCGGTCTTGCGTGCGTACAATCGCTTGTTGTGTGAGTCGATACGGGCAGAGATCGAATCGTCCATAATCAATTTGCTCAGTTCCTTCTCCAACGATGCCACGTTTGTATTGAACGCCGTGGCCATCACATTGAGATCCACCGATGAAAATGGCGAGAAGTACTGGATCAAAGCCTTTGATCTGATCCTCTGGTACAGCTTGTCAATGTGATCATGCAAATGAAGATCCAGTTGAAGTGTTGGCTGTGGAGTGTCCATTGTGATTGGTTAGTGATTGCTTGGATTGATTGAGTACGATGGATGATCATACCTTTAACTTCTCGAGGTAGTTCAGACATGAACTGTATTTGCTGTTGTAGAAGTCGTTGATAAGCTCTCTGATCTCTGGAACGAGCTCCAAGTAGTTCCTAAAGACTGTGTTGTCAATGACCTTTCTCTTGAGTTCAGAGCGATCAAATGTGGCCAATGCGCACAGACCTCCATAAACAGCAATGTCTTGTGGGGATATCATCTAAGTATGATGTGGATCATGTTAGTTGATGGCCTCGATCACTCTCACTCACTACTCAATCAATCAATCAATCAAACACGATGATACATACCTCTGAAAGGGCACCAGTTGTATCGAATGGAGTCTCGATGAACTTCTTGGCAGCGACGTTGTACTTGCTGTTCTCGAGGTTGGAGAGACCGATGGCGGAGCGAAGTTTGGCGATGGACGTCTGGTCCAGGTCGGGGGTTTGCTCGGCCTTGGTGACGTAGTTGACGACGTGTATGTAGTTGTTCATGTCGATGCCCGTGCGGATGATGTTGAAGCACATGGCCAGGATGTGCTTGGGTGTGGCACAGTAGTCACGAGTGCGCACGTAGCACTTGAGCGCGTTGGTAAAGTCACCGATGTTGTGATAGAAGTCGCCTAGCTCGTTGTGCGCCACACGGATGGACTCCTTGATCATGTTGGCCTTGGCGGCGTTGAGCTCCTGCTCGATGCGCTCGAGCTGCTGCTGGTTCTTCTTGTGTGTCGACTCGACCCACGCCGTGTCTGGCTTGGAGTTTGGTATGCGCGAGCACAACTGTGCGTAGAGGTCGAGGTTGGGCGAGCACTTGATCTCCTTTGTAACGCGCTCCAGTGCCTCGCCACCCAACTCTGTGCTCGTATCCATTATGAACAGCAGTCTGTAGATCTTTGTGAAACCAGTATACTGATTGATATAGTTCTCCAAGTCAAACACATTCGATGACACTGATGCCTTGGCTGTGGCACCAGTCTCTACCGACATATCATCAATACCTGCTTCGTTATCTATATTCATCTTTATCGTTTATATATTCTTCTTCTTCTTTGTCTCTCTCAATATATATATTTACACAACTCCTAATTGATGGGATGAGGCATGTTCATTCACCAATCAACAAAAAGTTGAATATTCAACTTTTTGTTGATTGGTGAATGAACATGCCTCATCCCATCAATTTCTCATTAAAATCTAAGTTGTGAAAAAACTGAACTTCTGTCTCACTTTGGCTCATTCATTATCTGTGTTCAACCTTAATCCTTGTCATCTTAATTGTTGAGATAATATCTCTGTATGAAGAAGCATATCAAATATAACATTCACCAGAAGAAGAAGAAGAAACTACTTGTCTACGGCAACATCATTCATGAAGATGTAAGAATGAGTTTGTCGAATATACTTGAAGAGACAAACAACAAGGCCATTGGCCTACCAGTCTTGTTGTTGTTGTGGACTTGGTTTGAAATGAATGAAAGAATGGATAAATTAACATCACCCGCCAATTCCTTTCATTCACTGTTGGGAGCTGATTCAAATTCAAATGTTTTAGTAGAAGCGAACGAAATTAAGTGAATGATGTGTTCGTTGGGAAAGAATTGTCAACGATTGACACTTGTGTATTCGCTGTTGCTCAAACATTTGAATCATTCATTCAATCAAGTTGTTTGTGATACTACTTACATTTAATATATATATATATTATTATTACATATATAATAATATGATATCAACTAAAGAACCAACACCGTTGCCTACTGCGGCAACACAGTTGACAACACAACAACAATCAACACCAAGTGGAAAGATGTTTGTTATCAAGAGAGATGGAACAAAGGCAAATGTACGTCTATCTTCATCTCTACATAGTTCATACACTCACTAACAATCAATCAATTAATCAATTAAACAATTAAACAAACAGGTACAATACGATAAGATCACAGCAAGATTGCAAGCACTATGCGATATGGAACCAAAGTTGAATACTGATATTATTGATCCAACAGAGGTGACACAAAAGGTTGCCAGTGGAGTGTTCCCTGGTGTGAAGACTACTGAGTTGGATAACTTGGCCGCTGAGACTGCCGCCTACATGTCGACCAAGCACCCCGAGTACGGCGTGTTGGCCGCTCGTATCTCCATCAGCAACTTGCACAAGCAGACCAGCACCTCATTCCTCGAGACCGTCGAGAAGCAGTACGCATTCGTCAATGTCAAGACGGGCAAGCACGCCCCGCTGGTCTCGGACGAGCTCATCCGCATCGTCCGCGCCAACGCCACGCGCTTGGAGCAGGTGATCGACTACAGACGCGACTTTGGCTACGACTTCTTTGGCTTCAAGACTCTGGAGAAGAGCTATCTGCACCGCATCAACGACATAATCGTCGAGCGACCCCAGCACATGCTGATGCGTGTCTCGATCGGCATCCACGGCGAAGATCTGGACTCGGCCATTCACACATACGAGCTGCTCTCCAACCGTCTGTTCACCCACGCTACGCCCACTCTGTTCAACTCGGGAACTCCCTCGCCTCAGATGTCTTCTTGCTTCCTCATTCAGATGAAGGAGGATTCGATCGACGGCATCTACGACACGCTCAAGCAGTGCGCTCTCATCTCCAAGTCTGCTGGTGGCATCGGTCTCTCTGTGCACAAGATTCGTGCCGCTCGCTCCTACATCCGTGGCACCAACGGCACATCCAACGGCCTGGTGCCCATGCTGCGTGTGTTCAATGACACTGCCCGTTACGTCGACCAGGGTGGTGGCAAGCGCAAGGGCGCCTTTGCCGTCTACCTCGAGCCATGGCACGCCGACATCAACGAGTTCCTCGAGCTGAAGAAGAACCACGGAAAAGAGGAGGCGCGTGCACGTGACCTCTTCTACGCACTGTGGATCCCAGATCTGTTCATGGAGCGTGTTGAGAACAATGACAACTGGACTTTGTTCTGTCCCAACGAGGCCCCTGGCCTGTCTGACTGCTGGGGCGAAGAGTTCCGCGCACTCTACACCAAGTATGAGGCCACCCCAGGCCTTGCTCGTCGCACTGTCAAGGCACAAGAGTTGTGGTTCTCAATCATCGAGTCTCAGATCGAGACTGGCACGCCCTACATCCTCTACAAGGACGCCTGCAACAGCAAGTCCAACCAACAGAACCTTGGCACGATCACCTCGAGCAACCTCTGCACTGAGATCATCCAATACACCTCGCCCGATGAGGTGGCTGTCTGCAACTTGGCCTCAATCGCCCTGCCCAAGTACGTTCGCCAGCGTCCAGGCTCTGACAATCCCAAGGACCTCGAGTTTGATCACCAGCGTCTGTTCGATGTGACCAAGTCCATCACAGTCAACCTCAACAAGATTATCGACCGCAACTTCTACCCAGTGCCAGAGGCACGTGCTTCCAACATGAAGCACCGTCCAGTCGGCATCGGCATTCAGGGTCTGGCCGATGTGTTCATCGCACTGCGTCTGCCATTCGAGTCGTCTGGAGCCATTCTCCTCAACAAGGAGATCGCCGAGACCATTTATTTTGCCGCGCTCACCGCCTCCAACGAGCTGGCCGCCAAGCATGGTGCCTACGAGTCGTTCCCCGGCTCACCCGCAAGCAAGGGCATTTTGCAGTATGACTTCTGGGGCGTGACACCCTCCATACGCTGGGACTGGGCTGGCCTCAAGCAGAAGATCTCTGAGGTCGGACTGCGTAACTCATTGCTCATTGCGCCAATGCCCACTGCGTCCACCTCGCAGATCCTCGGCAACAACGAGGCGTTCGAGCCATACACCAGCAACATATACAGTCGCCGTGTGCTGGCCGGCGAGTTCACCGTGGTCAACAAGCAGCTGCTGCAGGACCTCATGGAGTTGGGCCTGTGGACACCCGAGATGAAGAACCAAATCATTGCCAACCGTGGATCCGTCCAAAACATCGACAGCATCCCCGACGTCCTCAAGGAGTTGTACAAGACTGTTTGGGAGATCCGCCAGCGTACTCTGATCGACATGGCCGCCGACCGTGGCGCATTCATTGACCAGAGCCAGAGCTTCAATGTCTTTATCGCCGAGCCAACATTCCCCAAGCTCACATCGATGCATTTCTACGCATGGAAGAAGGGATTGAAGACCGGCATGTACTATCTGAGAACCAGAGCTGCTGCCGACGCCATCCAATTCACCGTTGACCAGCAGATGTTGCAAAAGATTGCTACAACTGAGCCTGGCACTGCTGGTGCCAACACAGATGGCGTACCAAAGACACCAGGCAGTGTGACCAACAAGACACCCGGTGGTCGTCCCGCTGGTCTGCCCGGCAGTCCAAGCATGGTACTCAGTCCAATGCGTTTCCAGAACGCATTGCAGCAACAACAAGAGGAGGAGAACGTCGATTACGAAGGAATGGTCTGTCGTCGCGAGGAAGGATGCGTCGTCTGTGGATCATAAGTCGTCCACCTACCATCTACATTCAAACACCGATACTATAATACCCAAGCAAGCACATTGTCGATTTGATTCAGCAATGCCAGCCAGCCAAGAAGCGTAACACCAACTACAACTACATATTAATAACAATATATAAAGGATCAAGGGTGGTTCATCACTTGAACACAAGTGCATTGTATTTCGAATGTTAAAGGCCTGTCCTGGCCCTTCCTTGTTTTGGGTGTGTTGTCTAAAGTACATCTGGATAGTCTTCTGGGGCAGCGTCTGATGAGCCTGTTGTTGGAAGGCTTAGTCGTTTGTTTGATCGCTCAGTGGCGTGTTGTAGCTGTTGTGTTGGTGATGTTGATTGTTGTTGTGGCGACGAAGTCGTTGGTGTTGCCTGTGATGGTGTAGATGTTCCAGCCTTCCATGGATTCAACACCTTCTTGATTGACTTTAGTTCTTCCTGAACTGATTGAACAGTCTCCACATTGTCATTACTATTTGATTGTTTGTTTGATTGAGTGAGTTGGGTGGAATGGAACAATGCCATGCGAGTTAACAGTCTACTTACTTTCTCAAAGTCTCTACGATGTATATCAATCTCTCAATCCTGTTGGAAACATGTATCTGTCGCTCCTTGAGTGTCTCGACCTCGCCAGCTGTATCCATTTCATTCAATTCTGTGACGAGCATCTTCACTGTGGATGCCACTGCTGAGAAGAATCCACCGCTGCTGGATGGCTTGGGAGGCGGATTGGCTGGTGCTGTTGTTACTGATGGTGGTGCAACAGCTGATGAAGAGTTTGATAGTCTGGTCACTGGTGCTGCTGCTGATAAGCTCTGTCCACTACTAGCTGATGATGATGATGATGATCCATATGATATGGTCGCAGACTTCTTTGACTGTGATGACATATTGTAATGCGGTCTTTGCTTAGGCTTTGGCGCCTCCTTTGGAACAGGCTTAAAGTCATAGTTAACATGTGGATTCTCTGCCTTGATCGTCTTGATCCTCTCAGCCACAGTGTATGCAGTGAACAGCAATGAGGTTGGATCATGTGTCATTGGATAGTTGAACAACAATTGCAAACACTCTGAGTAGTCCTTGCCAATCACTAATGTGTAAAGTAGTTTGGTTAGTTAGTTCGATATCCATGCGTGTCCCATGAGTAGTAGTACGTACGTGAATCACGGATGACAAGTAGCATTGCGATGCAAATGTTGTTGAGCAACTCGAGTGAGTCACGGAAGATGGCGTCCCAAAGCATGAGAAGACTGTGGATGGGGAAGACTTGGGCAAGGAGGATACGTAGCCAACGCAGTGAGTAGAGGTGTGGCTCGATAGACATGTCCTTGAGATAGGTGTGCAGGTGAGGATCGACGATGCTGAGTTGATGGAAGATCTCAAAACATTGATCCACGACAATAATGTTTGGTGACGTGCTGCTGCTGTTGGACTTCTCGAATGGGTCCTTCTTGGACTGCGACGAGATCATTGGCGAACTGGGTGGCGAGGCAAACCACTTGCCAATCTTGGCCATGAGTGCGTCGAACAAGAAGTAGGCGTCGTGCTCAAAGTATCTTGGATCGCGTACCAGTGATGCCAGGTCCTGCTCGACATCGTCAACCAGTGGGAATGGAATTGGCTGGCTTGGATACTCCACGCCAAATGGGTCCACTATCTTCTGGCTATCATCATCGCCATTGTTACCTGTCGATGGGCTTACGCCCAGACGATACACCTGACTAAAGTCGCCCCAATGTGAATCAGCATAACAAGCAAAGAGCAGAGGTGCCAAGATCTCATTCATTCCTTGCAAGTACTTGATCTTTGGATACTGCTTTGAGAAGATGAACAATATTCTCTGTTTTGATTGTGGATAGGAGTGTGAGTTATCCAGATATCTTTGAGTTTGCACTCACTCAATCACAAATACCAACTTACAGTCATGGTATCTTGAATATCCTTGCGTGCAAAGAAGTCAATGTCTGGATATGTTCGAGTAATATCATGTCCAATCTCTTTCTGTGTAGTCTCATTCTCAAAGAATTGATTCCAAACGCTCTGTGATTGTTTGTGCGGTGGGTAAGTGACTGATCGTGATTGATTGATTGATTGATTGATTGATTGATGGAAACAAAACATACATCTTTGTTTTGTGATAATGGATCATCCATGGCAACAGAGGCATTGTCTTTGTTTGTTCTTGGATCGACTATGTAGACTCTCTTCAATGTATCATACTTGTTCCTTTGCTTCTTTGCTTGTTCAGGCCATTCACTCTTTGACTCGTTCGATAGAGAGCCCAATGCCACCTTCCAAAAGACACCACGCACAGTTGTATTCTGTGGCAGACCATATACTCCAAGATCCATATCAATCACTGATTGCTTGGTAGGTGGTCTTGGTGCATTTTGGCGTGTAGTAGTAGCAGTAGTTGTTGTTGTTGGTGCAGGACTATTTACATTGGATGACTGAGTGTTTGCATCAGGTGATGATGTGGTTTTTGTTGCCAAACCTTCATCTGATGATGTTGGAGTTGATTGTGATGGCAGTGTCTCTGTCTCTGTCTCTGTTGATGATGGTGATGGCGTTGTTTCTTCGACCACTGGAACAGGTGTAGCGACGACCAAGGGTGGTTGCTGATGTACCTCCAAGTTTTTAAAGTCCTTTCTCCATTGCTCCAAAATATGATCTGGTATTATATTTGGATCATGCTTGTTATTGTTGTAGTTGGTTACATCCACATTCAATCCATCAACAACCTCAGCATCAACTGCAACTTCAACTCCAACTTGGACATCAACATCAGCCACAACAACATCATCAGTTGTAGTTGTAGTTGGCGTGTCTGTTGTGGCTGTATCGTCAATGGTGGTAGTAGATGGCTGTGTGATAGAGTCCAAGTAATCCATTGAGTTCTATCTCTGTGTTATGTGTAAATATATGTATGAATAATGTTTACTTTATGAATGTACCAACACTGAGGTCCCAACACATCCATCCACTGAAAGTGTTGTTTGCATTTGATCAGAATCACCTTTTTCCCACTCACACATCCCAACAAAGTCAAATATCCATGTAGTGTTGAAAGGTCCAAGGAAGAATTCTTCGTTCATTTTATATATATCTTTATTTTTTATATATAAAGATAAATAAATATTAATAAATTAGATATCAACATCAATATATATTCAACTTGAATATTAATAATCTAAAGATTAATTTGGTTTATTGTGATCAAGGTAACGTTACTTTCACAATATTAGTTGGTGGGTCAAAGTCAAACAAAAGTCAGAACAAAACATTCAAAGTGTGCTGAGCCCCTCTTTTTGTGTATTTTTTGCATGCTGACTGATGACTGAGATGATAGAGTGTGTGTCAAGTTCACCCAATGGTGGAAGGGTCAGAGAGCATCAGATGATGATGTTTACTTTGAGCCTCCATATTGTTTAATCACTCTCAATATAAACATATATATACATATTATATTATTATAACTTATACATACATACATAAAATGGTATGATGGATCAATGAACAACAACAAGAAGTAGATCATTTCCTAACATTCAAGACTCTTCACATCATCAATCAATCAATCATCTTATATATATTGGATAACATCATATTGCGATCATCGATTGATCAATCACTAATTGATTGAATGAATGTACACAACAACACAACAACAACAAACAAACAAAACTCTAGAATTGTAAATTATTCATCGCATTGCTCATTGCTTGCTACATTGGAGTGGCCATGTCATCAAAGGCAGAGCTGCTGTTTCAAAAGAAGATTGTGACACCACCCGTTGTTGGCAAGGATATGGAGATCTCATTCATCGTGTACAATGTTGGCGAGGGACCCGCCTACGACATCTCCTTCCACGACACAGACTTTTCAGCACCATCCTTTGAGTTTGTCAACGGCTCCGCCGAGGCCCGTTGGGAGGTGCTCGAGGCCGGCACCAACGTCAGCCAGACTCTCACCGTCAGACCATCCATCAGCAACGTCTTCCCACTCACCGCCACCGTGCTCCAGTTCCGCAGTGCGCAGAGCGAGGAGTCCTTCTCCTACACTGCCGCCGCCAGCTACAGCGCCATGTTGGTCGAGTCGAGCGAGGAGTACGAGAGACGTACCTCCATGCACGTCAAGGAGATTATCATCTTTGTCCTGTTGTGTCTGGGCTCTGTCGCCTTCCCATTCTCTCTCTGGGGCTACTACAAGTTGAACTACGTCGATGGCATCAAGAAGAAGCAGCAGTAAATAAGCAGCATCAGCAGCGCCATAAAGTCAACGTTCAGATCAACAATTACATTATACAAACAACTAAATAATATAGAATAACCAACATCCCATCCTCTCCCTATCCCCTATCCCCATATCCCTCTATCTCTATCTTAGTGGCATGTTGGTGGACGGAAGACCATCTTTGTCGATTGGGTGATCCATCGAACGATCGTACTTCAAATTTAATCTTTGATTGGTTTCCATTATCCTTCCATCCATCTAACTTGTGATGGTTGTTGGATGTCCACGGGATACGAGGCCAGGTCATTGGCTCAGACCATAGTCCAGTTCATATCTCCTAATCATGATTAATAGTAAGGCACCGTGTTGTTGATGCCTGCAAGCCAGTCAGTCAGCCAGCCTGCCAGGATTGTGCTTTAACTCTGCTGCTGGATGTTTGGTGACTTGATGCCAAAGTGCAAGCTGAGCACTCCATTGTTGAAGCTTCTAAGTACATTGAGCGAGTCCAGTACATATGCATAGGGCAGTCTAAAAGTGTACAATTGGTCCTTGGCCAATATAATGTTTGCAGTTGGGTCCAGCTGGAACTCCCATCTATTCGACTTGTCATTGTTCTGTGTGATCTAAGAGAATAGATTGATTGATTAGATTGATTTCCAAACATGTCCAACAATGAATTGTACCGTACCTCAATTGACGCCTTCATGGTAATGTCCATGGTGGGCATCATTACAATACGGATGAGCTGGGCGTAAAAGTCACAGTCACTGGACGTGCAGTTCTCCAGTATTTGTCGCTGATAGAATATACGGAACTCACTCTTGGTACTGCTGCTATTGATAAAGAATATCTTTGACCTTCTCTTCTCATAGAAGCGATGTCCCAGTGGACATTGATACTCAAATGCTATTCGACCTGATTCATCTATATATGTTTGATTGGGTGAGTGATTGGTTGATCGGAATAGTTCCAGTGACCTGCGACACTTACACCTGGGAGTCGAAGAAGAGGTGGAAGCGCCCACTTGGTCATTGGTGCCTGTGACAAAGGAGTTGAATGTGTTCATGATGCGGTTGAAGTCCCATTCTTGGAGGAGTGCCTCGTTGTTGACAAAGAAGCTGTCATTGGGCATGCCTTCTTGTGGAACGTACATTAGTGAGCGTCCATGCTTGAGTAGAGTGAACCATGATACTGGGGGCGTCAGTTCTTTCCTGGGCGTGGTGGCAGTCGTTCCACTGTACATCAGCACTTTGGTAGGTGGTAGCTCGAGTGTTTGGAGCGCAGCGCAGCAATCAGCATGGTAGAACTCGCTGTTGGCATAGTCAACGTCAAACACATCTTCGCGAGGGAACCTCGTCGACTTGCCACAGTTGCATGAGCCGCGCGTCCTGAAGTTGGTCGAGTGATACTTGGCCTCTGGGTCCTGGACGGCGCCCGGCTCCTTTGAGGGCAGTGGGTGAGTCTTTAGCGAGCACAGTCTGCCCGTGATACTCTCTGCCTCGCACAGCTTTCTGCCCTTCTTCCAAACTGCATCGCATTCATTGATCAGGTTCTGGACCGATTGATCGAGTGAAGGGCCTGCCGCATAGAATGTCAATGTCTTGATTGCCTTTTGCAACTTGGTGTGATGTAGCTTGGCTCCATACACCTGTGGTAGTCCGTCCAAGTATTGATCAAGTGCACTCTTATAATATATTTGGCAATTCCTATTGATTGATCGGTCGGTTGGTGTTAGGAGGGACAGGAATGAGTGATTGATCGTGTGAGTCCATCATACTTTGAGGAGAACTGAGTGTCCATATTGATGCTGTTCTTGATGTTGCTGAATGCACTGTCCTTTTGGTCAAACAGTGTCTGCAACGCTTTGGCAGTCCTCTCCCATACTGCGTACTCTGGCAACTGTTGAGTGGATGTATTAGTTAGTGCTCGCCTGGTCATGACCATACATTACATACCTCATATTTCAGATTGACAAGTGATTGCTTGTAGCCATTGATGCAAGCTGTTGGTATGTTATGATGACCTGATTGATGGTTGATTGGGTTAGTGACATGGCTAGGGTAGGAATGGCCAACTGGTGATCGTCCAGATGTCCTTACCCGACTCATAGACTCCGAGAAGTTGCTTAAAGAACCTGAATTGGCGTTGTGTAGAACCAGCGTTTGGCTTGGTCCTATCGATGGCTTCATTCGCATTGCCAATGGATGCACTGCCACTATTGCTATGTGTTTGGTACAATCTAATCAGTCGAACCAATGGTCTGCCAAGCTCGATCAGGAACAGAGGTGGACTATGTATGATGATCAGTACGGTGGGATGGCATATGTGGGCCATGACTAACTTACTTTGATGGCTGCTTCGAGTTCAGATAATGATTGAAAGATGTGAACAGATCATTGTTCTTCATGATGAGCAGTAGTTGCTTCTTGAGACTCTCCTCGAGCTTGAGATGGAACTCTCGTGTATAGTTGTCGGAGAGGTCTTTGATTAGGAACACTTGAAGGATTGGCACGCACTTGCCAGGTGTCAAGAATGGCTGTACATCAGCTGGTATATTCTGCTTCGCCACAATGTTATTGATGGCTGATGCAGAGCTCTGTTTCAATTGTCTGAGCAATCTGAACATTGTGAAGTACTCCATCTTGATCGTCAAGTTCTCAAAGACCAACTTTGATTGAGTGATTGAATGAGTGAGTGGACTGGGATGATTCCAATGTTGTCCAGTGATCACTTACGAATATGATGTTGCAGACCTGGAACATGTACAACATGTACTTCATGTACACAAAGTCCTCATCTTCCAACCACTTCTCAATGTCCTGTGTCGTCGTCATCATCAATGATTGAGTGAGTGAGTGAGGGCGATCAACGAATGAATGAATGATTGCTTACACTTGATTGATTGATCTCGAGAGAGTGCCATGCGTTGACTAGTGTCTTTGTGTCTCTGATCGAGTTTAGATTGATGTAGACATTGTCTTTGTCGACATCGTTGTATATCTCTAACTTGATGGTGTCGTCTGGTGCAACGTTGCCAGACTCGACATGTAGATTGAGTGAGTGGAACACAGAGTCATTGACCATTTTGTTGAGGAAGAAGAACTTTCCTCGACTTGAATCTCCGATCACACCAACGACGCATGGTCTGCCCACTGTTGATCGAGTCGATCCAATAGAGTCATTCGTGTTACTGCTGTCTGATGATGTTGATGTCGAGGTCGAGGTAGTTGCACTTGAGTCTGGTGTATGTTGTTGCTGTTGCTGTTGCGCTTGCTGGGGCTGTGGAGTGGTTGACGTTGACGGAGATGCCGATGTTGATGCCGCAGGAGAACTAGATGTCTTCTTTGAATACTTGTTAGTGTTGCCTTGATTGTTTGATGACTTCCTTGGCGTATATTGTTTGGCTTTATGCTGCTGTTGTTGTCTGCCTTGTTGTTGAGGCTGTTGTTGTTGAGGTTGTGCTTGTTGTTGAGGCTGAGGTTGTTGAGTGGAGCCAGCTGATCCACCTCCTACAGGACGATCATCAACATTAGAGGCTGTGCTCATTATACCATGTACAAGAACACAGTATAATGTATGTATGTAAGTATGAATGAATGAATGAACGACCACTACTGAAATGTCACTTCAACTTCAAGTTCAAACTTTGTGTTAGGGCAAGGGTTGAAAGTGATTTACCATAATCATAATTTAAAATCATAATTTCAAAGAAATGTCGTTGTCTCTGAGATTTGGTTGTCTAATGATGTAGTTTCATTCATTTTAAACTCTTATCTATCTCTCTCTATGATTAGTACGGGTCCAAGTATGCTTGGACTACAAAGTCCAACAACATCATCAACAACAACATCATTAGACAAGGATGACACACACGATGTAGTATTGCAACATCAATTGGATAAACTTTCAATCAATGATCCAATCATCAACAATGTCAACAACAATGGAATAGTTGGTTCTACACTGGTAGAATCAACATCTTCAGTGTTACCGCAACAACCAACACCTACACAATCTAAAGAAAACACAAAGAGGAAGAGGATACAACCAAACTTTACTCCTCCATCTTCTACTCCTGTTGCCACTGGAGCACCTGTTGGGCCCACATTGTTCTCAACCCCATCATCTTCGTCATTATATTGTGGCGGCGATCAAATCAATCATGATCTTAATCAATCGATATCGAACCTATTCAACAAGTTCACTTCCCAACAGCCTATCCCCATCAAGACTTCATTGCCCCTGGTTGGTGCAGGAAATGCCAATACCAACTCAATTGTACATACATCCTCATCATCTTTATCTGCACTGGCATCATCACCTTCCACACCATCAACATCAACGACAACAACAACAACAACATTACCCGAATCAACCAAGCCAAGTGTTCAAAGAAAGAAGAGATCACTTAAAACTGAGAAGGTTAGTCAACCAAAGAAAGAGAAGCGCAAGAAACAAGCCAAACAACAACAGGATGGCTCACCTCCTTCGTTGTCCGTATCAGCTGACAGTGAGTCAGGTGACAGGGAGGCTGATGTCGAGGACAATGTCATTGGTGATGTCGAGTCCAAACGCGTCAAGAAGAAGAAGAAAGCAAAGACCTCCAAATCACTTCTGCAACTTGAGCCCCTCAGCTTCCTAGTGTCCACACCTCCACAACACTGTGCACAATTCTATCTTGAACTCACCAAATGGTTTCAATCATCATCATCCAATCGCGACCTTGATGATCAAGTGATCGTGGAAGGAGAGACCGCCTCGCCCATCCACAACAAGTACAAGAATGAGTTCAATCCCCCAGCATCAATCCTCAAACCATTGGCACCATGTAAGTGATCACGCTCAATCAATCAATCACTTACTAACTCATCATTGTCCAAACAACAACAACAAAGATGTACAATCAATCGAATCACTATTGAGTGATATCAATAGTCCAAACAATGAAGAATCATTGGTACATAAGCTTCAGATTGTTGGATCGGTGTACACCATCGCTGAGAGTCAACAACCAGAGCCAGCGTCGCGATCAGCTGACTCTCAGTTCAAGCTGTCAAAGGCCCAAAGGGAGTTATGGTGGGTCAAGACGGCCAACAAGTGGCTCACAAAGAAGTCTGCTGTAAAGACGTCGTATCTCAAGACCTGGATGGGCTTCCTTATCCTGGAACTTTGGTACCGCTTTGTCTGGGCAAGGCACACACAGACCGTCTACAATCAGATCAAGGATGACCTACAGATCGATGACAACATCGTCGATCATCACGATGAGGACGAGGTCATTGATCTAGATGACCTTGGAAAGGATGCCGAAGAGGAGGAGGACGATGAGGATGATGACATGGAAGAGGCCGAAGAAGACCTCGACGATCCCAAGAATGAGCTGGAGGCTGAGATGGAGATGGATGACGATGAAGATGATGAGGACGACGATGATGAATTGGAAACTGCTCCAGAACCAACACCTTCTGTCGACGCCATGGACACTGAGTCTGTGGGCAACAACAAACAACAATCAACTCAAATTGGAGAGGACAGGAGCGACAACAATGCCAAAACAACAAGCCAGGATGAAGGATCCGAGGACGATGACGTTGAGACTGATCGCGACTCACACGATGTTTCACAAGTGGACAAGGAAGAACAGGATGTCTCTGAACAGCTCTCACGCTTCAACCTCATTCCCAAGGTGGTACCATTGTTCTTTGTCCATCCATCAATGACCGACACAATCACAGAGATCGAGGCAGACTATTGGGAGACTGGCGTGTGGTCCACAAAGAAGGCCTTTGACACCTTTGGCCAGATCATTCACACATTCTATCGCGATAACAAGTCGCTCCCATCATTGACATTCGCTGAGATACACGAGAACATACATCAAGCATATCAAAAGCTCTATGCCAAGTTCCTCTGCAACGTTGGCATCTCATTCTTTGGCGACAGCAACTTTAGTTGGAAGTGGCAAGACAGCTCATTCGAGCCATTCTCCGAGAGCATCTACGTGGAACTCTTCCGCAATCTTACACAGGATGGACAGGTGTCGCACACCCACACCTTCTACTCGCTGTTCCCATCGTATCAAGAGATGAAGCCTCCAACAGACCCAATTGGTGACTTTTATCATTCTCTAAAGACAAGACTTGAGAAGCAGGGTGCCTTCAATTCAGAGACTGATAAGATTATAGAGACACTCGATAGGTTGGTCGAGGAAAGGAGTTTGATATCAGTGTCCAAACTACCAAGTGTTGACTCCAACAACAACAACAACAACTCGGATGTCAATGCTCAGACCTCATCTTCGACCACGGACACATCCACATCATCCACAAGTACACTGGATGTGTTCAAGGCTGTCAACGACTATCAACAGACTAGAATACGTTATCTTGATCAACTGATCACAACTCTCAAGACAGAGTATCACAAGCTGACCAACAATGTCGATCAGATACCATCAAAGAAGCAGCCAAAAACACAGCCACAGCCACCTGCACAGCCACAGGCACAGCCACCACAGATACAGACACAGCCAATGAATGAGGTCACCAAGTAGGACACGTTTGGTCCACCTTTATTTACATTTACTATTACCATTCCGTTGCACAGACCATGGGCAACGGCAACATACACATAAATAACATTATTGCCATACCAGAGGAGGCATCGAGGTTGAACTGGTGGTCTAGCTTTGATTTAACCTTTAACATGATGCGAAGACGACTTCTTCTCATCCAGCACCAACTTTAGTGACTCCTTTGTGATCGTGTACTTGCCCATGATTGCCGATATCTTTTGTTCCTTCTCCTTCTCTATCTCTTCCAGTTTGTTCTGCAGTTCCTCCAATGACAAGGTTGAATACTATAGTTTGATTGATTGATTGTTAGGGATGATGATGGATGATGGATGAGTGAGAGACACAACATACTTTGTTACTTGATGATGATTGATTGTCCTTCTTGAATTGATCCATGTAGGCTGGTACATAGGTCTTGTTCTTGCCATTGTTCATGCGCATGGTGGATGAAGCGTCGTCGTTGTTGACGACCATTGTGTCGTAGTTTCTGTTGTCGGTGATGACCATGGTCCCACTGTCGAATCCATCGTCTTCCTTGATGGCATGTGCTGCGCTCGGCCTGTTTGGTCGAATGGTGCCACTGTCCTGCTCAGAGTCAGAGTCCTCCTCGTCAGAGTCCTCCTCGTCGTCCTGTTTGTCCAATCCAAGTGCTGCCTCGCGTCCCTTCTGTCCGATGATCTGCTCCTGTTCGTCGATGAGCGGCACCAGCAGACTGTGTGACTTGGCCTTGGTGATGAATGGATGCTTGAGCAGGTCGACAGCGGTCGGACGCAGCTCGGGCTTTCTCGTCAGACACTTGGCCAGGAAGTCGTTGAAGTCGGCCGACCATTTCTCGGGCTCGGTCAGCTTGGGAGGTGGCCGCGAAGGGTTGGGGATCATAAAGATCACACGCATCGGATGTATGTTGAAGAGGGGTGGCTTAGACTCGGCCATCTCTATGCACGTGATACCAAACGACCATATGTCTGCCTTGTAGTCGTAACCCACCTCTTGAATGACCTCGGGCGCCATCCAGAACGGTGTGCCAATCACTGTCTGTGCCTTGACGATTGATCCGTCCAGCTGTCCACTCACACCAAAGTCCGCCAGCTTACTCTCTCCATTGTGATTGAGCAAGATGTTACCGGCTTTAACGTCACGATGTATCTTTCGCACCGAGTGCAAGTATGCCAGACCCTGCAATACATCCTTTGATACCACAGCAATCTGTTCCTCTGTCAACGTCTTGTTCGTGATCTTTATAGCATCGCATACTGATCCACCTCCACAATACTCCATTACGATCTAATTGATTGATTTGAATGAGTTGATTGAGTTGATTGATTGAATGAATGAGTAACATACCCATATCTCACTGTCTCTCTTGAAACTACCATGATAAGTAATGATATAGTTGCTCCTGCATTGTTTCATAAAGTTGATCTCTTTCTTCATGTCATCGAGATCATTGTCGATTGCCACCTTCTTGATGGCTACTGGTATACCTGTCGCCTTATTGATTGCTTTCCAAACTGAACCATATGATCTATGTAATGTACATATCTATCAGTCAGTCATTCATAACCAATCACCTGATCATTCAATCATTCAATCATACCCTTCACCAAGCTTCTCTACAATTTGAAAGTAGAGCTCTGGATCCTTCTTGCTCATGACCTCCTCGGGTATAGACAACTTCTTTGACATCATTGTTGCTGTTGTGTTATAGTAGTGGCTGTTGGTTGGTAGATGGTAGTATGTATATGATGTTGTATTTGCGTATTCGTTGCGCGCCACACAAGAGTGTGTTTATTTGTTTGAACAATCTGAGTGAGATCACTTCAGATGAAGAGAAAAAATCAAGTGGGAGAGTTTGTGTGTGTGTGAGGGCAAGGGTAGGGTAAGCAAGGGTAAGGGTAAAGGTATATTAGATGAGGGTACCCTATCAATTGATGGCCTGGGTTTGTGTTGGTTTCATTATCACTCTCATTTTGCTAAGCAGTTAATCAAACAAATATTAATGTTTCGATCGATCAAATAATTTTATGTATCTTCATCAATCAGAGATGATCGATTCAATTCAATCCAATTCAATCCAATTCTGAATGATTGAAATAACAAGTCCCGAGGAAATAAGTAAGTTATAACTTGACATGGTTTTGTTGTTGATCATCAAGGGATGAATGATAGTGAGTACGTGAGATCATCACCCAAACAAGGAAAAAGGACCAACCCCGGATAACCGGATCAAGATCCAGATACTTCCCACAATGCAAAGGTGTTTGGGAGAGAGGACAGGGTGGCGGACCACGTATGTAGCATACCCTACAATCCGTTTCCCACAACCATAGACGCACAAATCTCGATCATCTCGTGTCCTGTTCAGAGATACATCGTGAGGAAAGTCTATCCTCAAAAATAAAGGGGCACACCATCACGCATAACACAACAATGTTGATCAAAAAAAAAAACAAGTGAGCTCTAGCCCACAACATATCAAACTGTCTGGGGGCAAAGGAATGACACACCTACACAAACATCACGATCATCAACAAGGAGGTCATCACCGTCAACAACATCAAACAAACACAACACGTTCGTTTTTGTTTATTGACATACATTGTACATCTATCCACTTTGTAAATAATAATATTTATACAATATATTTGTTTGTGCATGGTATCGATTCATGCATGACATTTTAAAGACTATCAAATTATCCAACACCACCAATATTAGATTCTGCAAGGCCTTTGATTGATTGTCAATCACGAAATCAGAGCCCTCCTATCCCTGTATTATATTATAAATTATAAATTATAAATATATATATATTATATACTGTACTAAAATAATCAAATCTCTGTATCTCTCCTTGTGGATTCCATTCATTGACATCAATCCAACAATTCAATCACCCACTTTGTGTCACCTCCATCCTTTAATTAATTGACTTCATTGACCTCCTCTGTGTGTGTGTACCCCAAGCACCTTCATCCCTGCCACCCCAACAACAACAACAAAACAAAAATAACTTGAGTGTTGTTGCCGAAGCATCCAAGCAACCAACGGCATTCATTAATTCATCTGACACATCACGACCCCATTCAACTTGCCATCTCCTTCCTCTTTCTCTCACACACATTGTACCCTTATCCTTATCCTTATCCTTATACAACTACCATTCATTCTTATCTGTATCATAATAATAATATTATAATTCCAAGATATATTTGTACATAATAACATAATAATATAACAAATAGAGAGATATGACCAGCATTACACATGATGCTGCCTTGACGCAGAGTGGTCTGTCAAAGAACAGACTAACACATAGGACACAGTTATCTTCAGATAGAGTGGACAAGAAGTATAATGATATAATTGATGTATGAATCGAATCAATCCAATCCAAACCAATCCAGGACGATCAAATTCAAACAAGAACACAAAGACTGACCTTGACCAAACTCAACAACTATATAGATGATATTATCACCTCAAATGGAGTTGATGAATGTATTATGTTCGATCAATCTAGTCGTTAAGGAGTCATCACGTGAGTTCAATAGTACGGCCAACTTGTCAGATGTACTGGTCAACTTTTGGGAGATACATTCATCGCAGCGCTCAATACATCTGGTCAAGTGGGCGATTGACAAGGAGGTCGAGAGCACGTCCAACTCGGCCACACTCTTCCGTGGCCTGTCCACCGCCACCCGTCTCATCTCTTCGTGCTACAAGCGCATGGGCGACACCTATCTCAAGTACCTGTTGCAGCCCTTTGTGCTGGACCTGTGTTCGCGTAACTTCTCATTCGAAATCGACCCGGACAAGGCTGGCAAGGGCATGGACGTCAAGTCCAACCTCGAGCGTCTGATCACCATCACACAACAGCTACTCGATAAGATCCTGGACTCGGCATCAGTATGTCCAGCCTCAATCAAGACCATCATGGGTCACATTCAACAACGCGTCGAGAAGAAGTTCCCCGAGATGAAGACCACCGTCATTGGTGGATTCATGTTCCTTCGTTTCATTTGTCCAGCTATTGTAGCTCCCGAAGTGTTTGGATTGATACAGAGTATGTAGTTATGTTGTATGTTAGTTAGTGATCCATGGCCATCCATCTGACGCCCATCCTTTAGACACTCCAACAGTTGAATCTAGACGTGGATTGGTGTTGGTATCCAAGTTGCTACAGAACTTGGCGAATGAGATGCCATTTGGAGGCATCAAGGAGGAGTACATGATCTATCTCAACGAGTTCATATCGAGTAACTCTGCAAAGATCAATGTATACTTTAATGAATTGGCCTATGAGAACAACGCCAACAATACATTCAACATTGCCAATGGTAATAGCAACACCAATGGCAACACCAATGGCACAGCGACAACAACAACCACTCAACATACAGCCACATTGAATGGAGCCAATAGGTACAGGTCGCGGTCAGAGTCGCCGCCATTGAAGCCAGTGGGTTCGACACAGAAGCTGATCAACGTCAACAATCTGACGCACCAACAGCCAGAGTACTACGCCGATGAGCAAATTCTCGAGAATCTGACCGCGCTCATTGGCAACCTCTTTGAATACAGGGAGAAGATCGAGTCGACCTTGGCGGATGTGCACGGCCCAGACATGGCCAAGCGCTTCGACGCCGCACTCACACCTCTGCACAAGCTGCACCAGAAGGCACAGCTGTCGCTCAACTCTAGCAACAAGGTCAGCAAGAAGAAGTCACCCATCTCCACGTTAGCCAACGGTTCTCTGCACAAGAAGAAGTCGGGCAACAAGGATGTCGCACCCATCTCGATCGTGCCTCAGTCCGAGGTCGAGGAGGAGCTGACCAACCAACTGAATCGCTCACTCTACGATATTGTCAATCACTACCGTCATCAGCTCGACCTCAAGGATCTGGAGCTGCGCGCGCAACAGGACGAGATGGACGTAGTGATGAAGGAGCTGGAGGAGTCCAAGTCACGCTCCAACATACTCAAGAAGCTGCGCGAAGAGTTTGACAGCGAGCGCAAACGACGCAAGGAGGCAGAGTCACAGCTCAAGAAGGCGCTGGAGAAGCTCAAGTCGCTCGGACAGGAGGTCACCACCGATCTGGTGATGCTCCCCGACGAGGAGTCCTACTCGGACCTGTCCAACATCCCACAGGAGGAGGAGACGACCAAGAGGAGGCCCAAGCCTCCATCATTCGTCAGGAAGTCCGAGTCAACGACATCTCTGTGCTCACTTGGACCAACCTCGCCCACCAACACCTCGGCGCACTACTCCAACATCCACAACGACACCATCTCACTGGGCAGCGCCAATGGTGGAGCCAGCGGAATCGATACAGACAATCAAAAGTCGGTGCGTCCATGTGTCTCACGCTCAGACTCGGCTTCTGAGCTTAGCTCAGAGTCGGTGATGTTTGACAACGAGACCGAGGACCGCATCATCCAAGCATGTGTCGATGGCGAAGTCGAGGAGGACGACAATGGAATGGACCTGCTCGAGTTCCTCAAGGAGTATGGCGAGAGAGTAGAGGCGGCCAACAAACAGAGCGTCGCTGCACAGAAAGAAGAGAAGGAGGAGCGCAGAAAGAGGACATCAGGACTCTTCAGACACATGCCATCACTCAAGATTGGTGGAAAGAAGAAGAGCAATTCCAATGCCAACCTAGTCTCAGCAACAACTCCACCCAAGTATCCACAAAATTCAAGCAGTAGCAGCAGCAGTGATTGATCGATCAATCAAATCCAAGCAACTATCCATCCATCCATCTATCCATTCATTCAATCATATGTACATATCAATCAATCCAATCAAACATCTTCATCGACCATTGTAATATCCATAGCGCCAAGTAATACGCCACCTGTTCACCTCCAATCCAATGACATAGGGATTGGAGAGCTTGTAATAAATCTATCCATCCAAACGATCTCAATCCATCAATCCATCAATCAGTCCATGTACAGGGGCATGGCAACAACAAACTATGTATGATTTACAAACGTGCACCTCTTCGACCCGATGTTTACTTTGAGGGTTGTGAACTATGCTTGATCAACCATTCCAGTGTGATGTCAATGTTGACGCTGTTCTTTGCCGAGATTGAGTAGAAGCAGACCTCTCTTCCCTTGATCGATTCCAATTCACTGAAGATCATACACATGAATAAAGAAGTGTCAGTCAATCACATCACTCGCGTCACTCAATCAATCAATGCCATCATCACTCGATACATACAACAATGCTATAAACTCCTCCTTTGTTGGGTTGTTGGGCAGATCATTCTTGTTACCTAGTACAAGCAGGGGGATGTTGGCCAAGGGTGGCTTGTTGACCAATTCGTGTAGTGCTGCCTTGGACTGCTCAAACTTCTCTCTGTCGGCCGAGTCCACCACAAAGATGATGGCATTGACGCCTCTGCAGTATCGCTCCCACATTCCTCTGAATCTAGGTTGTCCACCAATGTCCCAGAACTTGATAGTAACATTGCCCTTGGTAACCTTCTTCATGTTGAATCCAACAGTAGGTATAGAATCTTCTGCTGCATCTCCATTCTATTCATTCATTCATTCATTCAATCAATCGAGTGTAAGTAAGTAAGTTAGTCGATCGATCAATCATAGTCACTGGCACTCCATTCATCATTTGATCATACTGCTATAACATTGACAAGAGTTGTCTTGCCTGAGTTCTGAAGACCGACCAGTGTCAGCTCCATCTCTTGTTTCCAGAATAGACTTCTGAACCAATTTAGAATTGAATCAATGAATGACTTGAACATGTTTTCTATCTCTATGATATATATATATTTAACTATGTATCTATATCTCTCTTTTATATTTATCTCTATAACCTGGGAAGTAAGATTAATCGTGCAAATACCACAAAGGAAAGGTTTGAGTTGCTTTCGAGTGCAGTGTATCGTGAGAAGTGAAGTGAAGTGAGTGAATGAGTGAGTGGAGTGATTAGTGAAGGGGGTGACTGATGAGCTTGAATGAACTACCATTGTTATGGGGGTTGTTGCGCTCATTCATCAGTTTCAAAGGGGTTCATCTCACAATCACACTTGAATTGACGAGTGTTGATGTTGTTGGGTTGATCAGATCAGATATACACATAATAACAAAAAGAGGATAAGATGATTACAATTAGATTATAGTTTATTGTTGATTCAATGGACCTCATAGTTGAGTTTAATATAACACTATACTGTGGCAAAGAAGGAAGATGATTAGTATTAAGTAATGATGTTATAATGAATGATTGAAAGTTGTCGGATTGATTGATCAATTGAATGAATGTATGTTGTTGGGTGGGTCAGGGAATGGATCAACTTGTATTGAATCACTAGCATCAATGATAGGGTCTCGGAGACAATAAAACATTGTACATCCATGAATTTCAACGACACTCATACGACTCTGATCGTTGTGTTCTCATCATCCCCAACAACATTCATTTCAATCTTATCAATCCAATAAATAAATCCAATAATAATAATAAATCTTAGTACTTACATGTAGAGAGTTTATGTCAATGATGTTTGTCGTCAACCCATACTTCACTTTGATCACATTCATTCGCTCAATGGTCAAAACTACATCGATTTTTCAAGTTGAATTTGTTTGTTTTACATTGTTTTTACACAGTTGTGTTATGTGAAAGCGAAGTTCACCATGGTTATTTAATATATATATTTTAAAAATAGTATTGAATTATAAATAATTATTTTATTTATAAAGATTTTCCAATAGTAGTAGAGTAGCTGAGGTATTTATCACTAGATAAAATGTTGATAGTTTGATGGTTTGATGGTTGGTTTCAAGGTGGGAATTGATAAATCAAATTTATTGACTGATATTTACAAACACTTTCAAGTGATCATTCAAACACATTATTATTGTTGTTGTTTGTTACATTATTATTAGTATCAGTATCAGTATCAGTATAAGTATTAATAGTAATAGTAGTAGTAATAGTAGTAGTAATTAGCTTAGAGATATACTACTCATTGTACATGAACAACAAATCACCTTTCTTCATCTTATTCAATCAATCATACAACATAATCAACATAATCAATCAAGTTAATCACGCAATGAAATGAAAAGAGTGGATTCATTTAGCAACCTTTACAGGAATGACCAACAACAGAATAACAACAACAACAATAACATCAATAACAACAATGCAATAACAACAATAGTTGGATCACCACCAGGTTCAAATACAAGGCCACTCTTGAGTCCAAGGCTGGGGCAACAACAACCACCACAACAACAACAGCATAGTCAACAACATGGTCATGGTAATGATGAGGACGAGTCGTCGACGTTTATGACAGACACAGGATCAGAGGTGATCAAAAGTGCTTTGATCGTCTCAACAGAGACAGTGTCACCAGAGCACAAACCTTATACAGTGTACCGCGTCCAGGTGGAGACCAGTCGAACCATTTACAACATCATACGTCGCTACTCTGAGTTTCTCGACTTTGACTTGAAGCTGCATGCCGCCTACCCACTCAGTCGCCTGCCATTCCCACCCAAGAAGACATTCGGCAAGATGAACAACGAGTTCATCGAGCAACGCAAGGACCATCTCCAACAATTCATGAATGCCATCCTCAACCATCCCACCCTCAAGCGACTCCCATTCGATCCACTCGTCGTCTCATTCTTTGCACAGAGCATCATCGACACCAAGCAGCTGGAGATTGCTTCGCCACCCAAGCAAAGTATCCTGGCCAACGATCAAGGTACGTGTCGCGGCGACGCCACCCGCTCTCAAACTCAATAACTCATACTCACTCAATCAATCATACTTTAGTCGTCAGGTACATAATATCGACGCTGCCTTTCTGGTCAACTCATCTGGACTACCGATCATTGTTGGCGCTGACAGAGACATGTAACTATTTGATGAATACGGTGTCGTATTATAGCGACCTCTGGTACAAACACTATTGGACACAGTACAACACGTTGCACTACATCGATACACGTGACTGCTCGTGCGGCGCAGAGCTCAAACTATATCTCCAGGAGCGAATCAATGGCCTCAAGCGAACGGATGGCGCTTTGCCCAACCTCTCATTGATCAACTCACCTCCGCCCTCTCAGCACATTGTTGCTGGCGCGGGCACTGTACACACCTTAACATCACCAACAACATCCACGACATCGACATCGACAACAAAGCGCACTGAACCAATCAATACATCTCCAAGCATCAACATCCAACAGCAGCAGCAACAGCAACAACAAAACAATCCAAGCCAACTGTCATCAAGCCCACCTACCATGTCTGAGGCGATGGAGTACTCGAGACAGATCTTTCTTCAACTGTTGACCAATCATTATAATATGAGGACTTCGATCGAGTCACATAGATCGATGCGCGACTGCGACTGTTTGGCGCCCAAGTTCAGGGGCACGATCATTGGCACATCGGACATCACTGGCACATTCCTAAAGTCCTTTCACACCGAGTTCATGAGCCAACACAATGCATCCCGAGTGTCATCGATCAGCCGCAACCCATCACTCCTCTCACTGAGCTCAGTTGCCGCTGAGCAGCAACAACAACAACAACAACCAGATCCTGCCACTGCAAACCAGTTAACATCGTTCAACAGCTCGAGCGACTTCTCTCTGATGCTCTCCTCGTCAGTGTCATCGACAACATCGACTGAGAGCAATGACAATGAGACGCCAGCCAACGCACCAGTCGTATCACACATTGTATCGAATGGACGCATGATGTGTGTGAGCACGTCAGACTCGACAGGCCTATCCAACGAGGAGCGCAGGTACAATCTGTCTTTGTGCCACTTTGTCCTGATCGCATTCTCATTGATTGATGTCAAGTCGTTCGAATCGATTGGCGAGTGGGTCGAGGAGATCAAGCTGATGTGTCCCGAGGTTCCCACGATCTTGGTTGGACTGAAGCGTGACCTTCGCGAGTCGTCCGACCTCAAGCAGACCATCTCTTATCAGCAGGGCCTCGAGCAGAGTCGCCGCATCGCCAACTGCGTAGGATACATCGAGTCGCCAAGTGCCAGCGATGGCATTGGCGGATGGCGCCTGTCACTTCTATCCGAGTTGTCATCCTACCTCGTGGTGCACTTCCGCAACGTCTTTGTGCAAAACACAAACAAACGCGCCAACTACACGGTCAAGTGCAGCTTCCTGGCAAAGATCTTCCCCAAGTACCCCGACGAGCTCATCATGAAGGGACTTTCCAGCTACGATGGCGATGTCGAGAAAGCCATGGAGTTGCTGGCCGTCGACTATAGCAATTATGACGCGAGCAACGATCGCAACAAAAGACGACCCATGGGACAACACAACCGCAGTCAGAGCGTCGATACAAAGGCCAACGGAGGCCACTGGGTGTCGCCCAATTGGGTGGCCGACGATGGCCGTCCCAACTCACCACCCCAGGGCCACACCAAGCCGCTCAAGATATCAGACAGCCAGATCATCTCGCTCGTGGACAAGCTGAAGAAGAACAGTGTGGACGCATTCATACGTGGCTTCTTGAAGAAGAAGAGCCAGACACAGGAGCAGCAGGCCGAGATGGTGCTGTCCTTCCTCAGGGAGATGCGCACACAGCTGCAGGCCAGCCAGATGTTTGGCGCGCACGTTGCCACACTGGATCACGACGAGGAGGAGGACTTGATCACTCTGCCGCTGAACGAGATTGAGAACTACCTCTATCAGAACATCTACAAGGCAGTCTTCTCGACGCAGGATTCACTGGAGAAGGATGTGTTGCTGTCGGATCGCATGGGCAAGCTGGTGTTTGTCGAGCCCCAACATCTAGAGATCAATGAGATTCATTGGAACAAGGACCTCTGGTTGGCCGCTCAGAGGGAGCTACATTCCGTCAACGACCTATATTCGCCATCTCAGAAGTTGGAGTGTATATTAAACTGCTGTAAAATAATACTATGTAAGTAATAGTTAACTAACCCAATGCAAGGCTGGACCCTCGTCCACAAACTAACATCACTTGGTCCACCTTTAGTTTTGTTGTCCAACTCTGAAAGTCCAGGCGGAGCCGATGACTTCCTGCCCCATCTCATTTATGTAGTAATCCATGCCAACATACCTAACCTATTCTCCAACTTTGAGTAAGTCACTTCCATCACCTCACTCCACCAATCAATCAATGATCTGACATCAATCCAATCCATCCAGCTTCATATCCAAGTTTTGTAATACTGAACGATTGAAAATGGAGAGATACTATTACTTTACAACATTTGGTATTGCAGTTACATTCATAGAGAATATCAATGGAAAGCATTTGAAGATTGATATCAATGAGTACGATGCTTATATGACAGGTGGCAAGAAATACGTGCCAAGGACAGAGACCGACAAGAGGTTGAACGACGAGTTCTTTGAAGCGACACGCGCAAAGATCATGGAGAAGCTTGGCATTGATAAGTCTGCAACGACACTACCAATCACCTCACCAAAGAAGAAGGCATTGGATGGAAGCAATCTGGACGACATTGACATAATGATTGAGAAGCGGTCCGAGTCCACCAGTGCTGCCAATCAATCAGGTTCCAACCCATTCAACTACTCGACTTTGAACGATGCTCCTCTGCTGCCACCAATTCAATGGACGATACCACCAAGTGAGAACAAGAGAAGTAGTGTACGCGTTGGATTCATCAGGACACCTTCGCCACCCGATTCCAAATCACTTCAAGTGGACGAGCATCCTCTGGCGCTGTCCAACAGCAGTGGCAACAACACATCGCCCCCTCCTTCCAAACGATCTACTGTACTACCTCAACCACAACAGCATCAGCAGCATCAACAGACTGTGGACAACAACAACAACAACAATCGCAATGTGTAACGAATAAACAAGTTCCACTTTCAAGATATATAATAGTACACATACACCTTTAATGATTGATTGAATGATTATTTGGATGGTTGACTGTTGATACCTGGCGACATGTAGCAGGTAAGTGGACGAACCATGCCTTTGGACTCTTGGAGGCTGCTGTCTGTACGCTGTACCCACTTGCCCTTCAGGGTGATGGAATGGGTCAAGTTGAACTCTTGAAGATTGTTGGGTGTTACATCTTCGGCAAAGCAGTATATCTCGAACTTGTCCACGTTGGGGTAGAAGGCTACCAACAGAGTGAAGAGTTCTTGCATATTGTTATATACCTCTGGCACAATAAGTAGTAGTTTTTTGAGTTTGATTGTTGATGCTGTGAACATCGGTTTGATGCTATCTAACTCCACTGTGATTGTTTCGATCGAGTGGCTGCTGGGATTGTATTGCGCCAGGTAATTGTTAAGACTCTGTACCGTGCTCACAGTCAACATTGTGAGCTTGTGTGGGAATTGGACGTTATCAGTGCTTGGCGCTTGTAGAATGAGGTCAATCAGCGACTCTGGCAACCATTCTGTCGAGATAACATTTGAGTACTGCTTGCCAAAGACTAAATAGGTGATTGAGTTTGGCAAGGCACCGGGCTCAATGGTGCTGTTGAAGTTGCTGCCAAAGACCAGTGATTGTAGGGATCCAGGAATCATTCCGGGCTCAATTGGCAGGTTGAACCTGCTACCTAAAACCAATGATTTCAAGGACTCTGGAAGCGATCCAATGGGGATGGACTCCACTGAGCCACCATGGGTCATATGCTCAAGGTTGTTTGGTAGCACTCCTGGCTCAATCGTCACGTTAAAATTAATTCCAAGACGAAGTGCCGTCAGTGACCTGGGCAGGGTACGAGGAGCGATCTCTTGATTGAAAAAATGTCCAAAGGAGAGACTGGTGATTGAGTCTGGCAAGCCTCCCACGACAATCGCTTTGTTATAATTGATTCCAAAGACAAGGGTCTTGAGGGAGGTGGGCAGCGATCCAGGCAAGATGGTCCTGTTGAATCGATCGCCAAAGACCAACTCAGTGATTGAGTTTGGCAACGAGCCAACTTTGATCACCTCCTTGTATTCCTTGCCAAAGACCAACCTCACGAGAGACTGAGGCAGGGTGCCTGGTGCCAATGGGTCGTTGAAGCAGTCGTTGAACTTGAGGTTGGTGAGCGATGATGGGAGCGAGCCAACAGGGTACAGGTCAAAGTCCGACCTCATCGCCTCGTAGATGCCAACGGCATACTGTGTCAAGATACCAGTGACCGTGTTGACTTTGGGAGTCTTTAAAGCTTTCCTGGGAGCAAGCTCTGTGAGTGACTTCAAGGGCCTCAATGGCAACGCCTTGTCATATGTCGATGGGAATATCAAACGCTGTAGGGTCACAGGCAACACACCGGGTCCAATTCGGAGATTGAAGTTGTGGCCGAGCGTCAGGTCTAAGAGCGAGGGCGGGAGAGTGCCAGCCTCTAGCGGCAGGGTATAGTTTGTGCCAAAGACCAACTTCAAGAGGGACTGGGGCAGCGCTCCATGCCATGGTGTGGGCGTGTCAGGGTCGGGAACTAATATTAAGCTCTTCACAATGCCAAAGATCGAGGGTGGCTTTGCAATCGATTGATTAAAGTCATGACCAAAGGTGAGGCTTGTCAATGACTCGGGCAGCTGTCCAGGTGCGATGTACTGGTTGAACATATTGCCCAATACCAACGTTCTGAGTGATGATGGTAGTGATAGCTTGGTAATATCATCATTGTATCGATCATCCAATGCCAATGCTTTAGTCGATGACTTTCTGATCAATGTTAAAAGTACATTGTCAATCTTTTCATTGTTGTTGTTATTATCATTGTTGTTGTCTTTGTTGTTGTCATTGTTGTCTTTGTTGTTGTTGTTGTTGATACAGTTGGTAAGTCGCATAAAGTATTTGGGTGAGTTGTTATTCAATAGCAATGTGAACATTGTCTTGCATGTTAGACAGAGTGCCAGCACATCCAAGGCACATGAAGCATTGTCACGTTCATTAGCCAATGCCTCTATCACAATCCTCAATATATGATGTGGTAGTGTATCCATTGTCTGTACTATCTATCTATCTATCTATTATTTGTATAACTATGAGTCAAAACTGGTTGATTGATTGGTTGATTGATTCTGACTCATGAATGATCATTTGATTGCAGACTCACACACCACATCATCAGATTCTTGTCAAATCTGACACGGTTTGACTTGGTTATCCAAGTGGAGGCGAACAAACACAATGATGACCACAGTCATGTTCAACCTTTAAACAAGTATTACATATAATGCTCTTGGCCAGCTGATTTATCATTGAATTGTAGTCGATGTGTCATCCAGTCATCGTCTGCATCAACCTTGCTACCTGATGATGTTGGCTCTTGTACCAACTTCTTCTTGAACTGACTCAACTTCTCCAATATCTCAGAGTCTTGTCTCCTTTTGATCACTCTTGGTGGCGCAAGTGGAGCACCATCACCATCTCCAGCAGCTTTCTTTGAAGTCTGTTTAAATTGCAAGCTTCCAACAACCTTCTTCTTCTTTGGAGGCTTGGCTGCTGCTGCTACCACCGTGGTAGCTGGTACTACTGTTGTTGATTCTGATGTATCCTTATCCTTATCTTTGTCCTTGTTGTCATCATCATCATCTCTATCTCGCTTCAGTGATGCACTCTTCTTCATAATGGATTCCCTCATCCTCTCATCGAATGACTTGGCTGATACAGATGAGTCAGCTGACTCATTCTCAGACTCTCTATTTTGTTTGCTCATGGTTGTTGGAGCTTTCTTCATTGTCGTTGTCGTGGTAGTTGATGTTGAAGTTGTTGAAGTGGTAGTGTTTGCGTTGCCATTGGATGCCTTTGATGTCGTCTTTGCAGTCGTCTGCTTCTTCTCTACTCTTTCCTCTTCATCCTGTTCTTCATCATCACCAAACGACAGCAGTCCCAAGTTTCTAGAGTGAATGAATGAGTCAGTGAATGAACGAATGAATGAATGAGTGAACCAGCCAAAGGTACATACTTGGGAGCTGCCTTCTTCTTGACTTCTTTGACTTGCTTGTCTTGCTTCTTCTGTCTGGGTACTATGTCGTCGAATGGGTTGTGCATGACTTCGGTAGAGATGATCTTGGGAGGGAAGAGTGGACGATCGGACTCGTCCAACTCAATCTCATTCATCTTGAGTGCATTGAATACAGTGTCACCTGCCACACGTCCAAACAGCGTGTGTCTACGCGTCAGCGACTCGGCCGCATCAAGAGTGATGAAGAACTGTGATTGGTTGTTGTCGGGCTCAGCCGATGCCATGCCAACCAGTCCACGCCGACTGAATCTCAGGCGCGTATGGAACTCGTCTTTGAACGGCTGACCGCCGTCGTAGCAGGACTGACCGCCCTCGCCCGTGCCCGTAGGGTCACCAGTCTGTGCGATAAAGTTCTTCACTACACGATGGAATATACAACCATCATAGTATCTCTCCAAGCACAACTGTACAAAGTTCCTAACAGCCTTTGGTGCTTCCTTTGCCCAAAGCTCTATCTCTATATCGCCCAACGTAGTCTTCAATATAACTTTGCCATTTGTTGTTGGTTCTGTCATTTCCTCTTCCTCTTATTATCTCTTTATCTGTATATATTTATAAGTTTAGATCAAATGAATGATCGTTTGGTGTAACTTCACTTCTTTAAGAGGGGCTGTCCCATAATATATGTTTTTATTACCTAAAATGGGAATGATCACTCGATCTAGAAATACATGTTTGATTTATTTATTTAAAGAGATAATACAAGTACTCAATCAATGTTAACATTGTTGTTGAGTACCCAATCGAGCTGATTGGTGGACAATGTTAGAGTTGTCTGAGGATGATGATGTTGAAGTTGCAACAACATGAGAAGAGTTGTTGCTGTTGTTGAGGTCACTTGAAGATGATGATTGATCAAGTTTGTTGTTTACAACTCTCATTCTTCTATATCTACGAATACCAAAGAATAAAAGGATAATAGATGATACCATCAATATTGTCAAACATCCTGTAACTAATCCAATTATCAATGCATTTTTTGTCATTGATTGATTATTATATACTTCAGTTACATTGCCGGCAGCGGCATTCTCACTTTGTAGACCTCCAGTATACATTTGTAAGAACTCCGAATAAGACAAGTCACTAAACTTATTCAATTCAGCTTCGGTTGATATGTTAGTAGATATTCAATCAATGATACAACATTGTACATACATATATGAGGTGGAACATTAGATGTTGAGTATTGGATAGAGTAATCCAAGTCATTTTTGGATGCTGCCATATTGTTGGAACTCTTGATAATATCAACGACTGCAACATGAGATGGATCAGAGTTTGATGCTCCATTATGAAACATTACATTGTTATGATTGTCCTGTAATATATTTAAGTATTAGTATTCTATTATTATTATTATAATTAGGAATTGTTTGATTATTACCTTCCAGTTGAGATACCTTATTTGGATTTCATTTGAATCATATTGTTTATTATACAGTGTCATCCAATCTTGGAACATCCTCCATTGCATATCATCAGATAGTTGGAGTGAATTTATAGATTGGCAATATAAAAGTATTATTATTATTATATTATAGTATGTCATAGTATTATTATACTTTGATTGATTAAATTGATGGTACTGAAGATTGATCAACTGAGTAGGGTACTTATATCTTCCGATAATGTTTGGCTGGAGGCTATTCAGGTAAATTGAGAAGGTCAAATGGAAACACATCTATTCTGACATTGTCCTTGAACATATTTAAACATTGTTGTAATTGAATAATGGACCCTATTCAATCTTCTCAAAAAAGGTATTCACACTTTACTTGTGGTGATAAGTCGTATTCAAACAACTAAACGATCAAACAGACACACATACACACACACACACACACACACACACACACACAGCCGGCCATCACAATGATTGATGTTCAAGTCAATACCACTTCCAACTCAACAACACTAACCACACGACACGACAACACAACACACCCCCTCCATCAGTTCTTACTTCTTGATTGGACTGTTACTGTTTGGTAAATCAAAAAGAGATACCAGGTAGGAGTAGTAGTGCAGTAGATTGATGTCAATGAGACTTATCTTTGAATGGCACCCATCACCTTGAATGCCATCACCTGTAACACAATGTCAATAGATATAAATCAATTCATTATCCTCACCCCATTACACTTCTTCTATCGTTGTTGTTATTGTTAATGACTTGTACGAGGTCCTAAACTTCTCAACCTTCAGTCATTCGTTTAAAGACTCGGTGTTCAAAGGTTGTTGGTTGATTGATTGGATGGCAAGCCACCTTAACACCATCTATTTAAACATAGAACATCATCACTCTAAACAATCAAATCAATCATCAAAACCAATTAATCAATCTATCATTCAATCAAACCATGATATCATATACATTATTAATATTGTTATGTAGTGTAATAGTAGTAGCTACAGGTCAATCATTGACTAGTAGTGAGATTGATAGCATTGTTTATACACATAATAAGTTTAGAAAGGAGGCTGGTCTGGTATATGGTCCAACTCCATCATCACCTCTAAATGAAATAAGATGGAGTGATCAAATTGCCAATAAGATGCAATCATTCGTATCATCATGTAATTATAACACAGTACCAGATCGTTCATTCTCATCTTATGGATATGCTTCATTCCGTATCTATCCACCTTTCCAACCTGGACTAGTATGTATACTTTTCATTGATCATAAAATGTTTCCAAGTTAACTAATACTCAATCAATCACTTCAGGATTTAGAACGTACTTATAATAAATCAGCTCCACTCTATGATTGGAACACAAAGAAATGTATAAATAATTCATGTTGCTACATGTATCCAACTGTATGTATTTCACTATATTCTGAAATAATCCTACAACTACTAATAATATTATTAATTAATATTTAGTTGGTCTGGAATGCCAGTACTGAAATTGGTTGTGGAAAGATGGAGTGTGGAAGTTTGGTATGGATGTTATGTGGATATAATCCAATTGGTGGCATTGTTGGAAAGAATCCATATACACCAAAGGACCCCCAAGCACCTACTACCACTCCTTCAGGTTCATCAGAGCCATCATCCTCCCCAAGCACCTCACCATCATCATCTCCCTCAAGCTCATCATCTTCCTCACCAAGTTCTTCACCTTCTTCATCTCCTTCTAGCTCCCCTTCGAGTTTTCCTTCATCATTGCCATCTCAAAGTCCATCCTCGTCACCAACTCCTACTAGTACTCCTTCAGCCACCCCTACACAGACTCTATCAACTACTCCTTCGTCCTCTCCATCGCCATCACCAGCATCATCTGGACCACAGACCATCAATGGAGTGCTGGATTGGAGGACCTCAAACATTGTCACACCTGTGAAGGATCAAGGACAGTGTGGCTCTTGTTGGACATTCGCATCAACTGCCGCTTTGGAGAGTGCCTACCTGTTGTCAAATTCTGCCACTTCAACCATCAACTTGGCTGAGCAACACTTCTTGGACTGCACCTACAGACGTGATGGTTGTGGTGGTGGCAATGCCTACGATGCCTACACCAACCTCAAGCCAACTGGACTGATGTACACTGCAAACTACCCATACAAGGCTAGATACCAAGGATGTCCAAGTTCAGTCACTGGATCAACTGTCAAGTGGACTGGTGTCAAATCTGTTAAGAATGATAAACAATCATTTCTTGACGCTCTTCAGAAAGGACCTATTGCCGCATCACTCTACGTTGACTCTGGATTCATGAACTACAAGAGTGGAGTGTACCGATGTTCAATGTCCTCCCAACCCAACCATGGTGTTACAATTGTTGGTTATGATTCAAACACTGATGCATGGATAATCAAGAAGTATGTATTCTGACAACTCCTTATAATTGATTCATTGATTGATTAACTAATATTTATTAATTATTTTAGTTCATGGGATACTAATTGGGGAGAGAATGGCTTTATGCATATGGCTTCATCATCCTGTAGTATATTCCAATTCGAGGGATACCAACCATTACTATGATACCTTGACAATGTAATCTAAATATTGTATTTTAATGTACTCTAATAACGGAATTGTTCCAAACCAATAAATAAACCTTTGTTTGATCATTCATAATCGTCAATTCCTATTCAATCAATCAAACAATCAAAAAATCTTGAGCCTAAATAAATAAACCTTTATGGAGTAGTTGTACTTCCGTAGGCCGGAACCTAGTTGAGTGTGGCGCGACTGCCACATGGTAATAATAGTACGTTATGCTAAGAACTTCCTGACCATTGTTTCCAGATCCTTCTGTTTGAGTGGCTTGCAGAAATAGTCATCACATCCTGCGTTTAGACATGCTTCTCGCTGACCACCCATCGCATTGGCGGTCATGGCCACAATCGGTGTGTGCTTCAATGTGCCTTCACCCTTGCGTATCCTACTCGTTGCTTCATAGCCGTCCATGACTGGCATCTGGATATCCATCAGGATGAGATCGTAGTTGATGGTCGATGCCTTCTCCACACCCTCTGCTCCATTCAGTGCCAGGTCGGGCGCAGTGATTCCAATCTTTTGCAACATTCTAAACAATATGTTGGCGTTGACCTCATTGTCTTCGATGACCAACACGCTCGGCAATCGTTTGGAGGCCTGCATCTTTGGTGTGTGCTTGGGCGACACTGAGTTGGGTGACAGAGTCGACACAGAGAGTAGTGCGTGCGTAGGTGCCCAGCTTCTCCTTCTCCTCCTTTTGTTGACAGCGCATCATCATTGATTCGTCTACCTTGAGGTTGCGTATCTCGGCAATGAACGAGGGTGGCGGCGAGCACACGTGGGAGGGGAAGATTGGCGAGATAACATACTTGCTCTGGAGAATTGTGTCGTCAAAGTGGCTGTCGATGATCTTTCGAATGCTGCTGAGCAAGCTGGATCGCTTAATTGGTCTGTTCACCAGGAGCACACCAGCTTCGTGAAGGATGGAGCGCGAGGTGGTAAGACAGAGCTGCGTGATCACAATGAAGTCGAACCTATGCTTCTTGCCATTGTTGCCCTGTTGCTTCTTTGCCTTGATGTGCTGTATGGTGTCAATGATGTTGAGAACATGGTCCTCCTTGTAGTTTAGAGGCAGTCCAATGATGACAATGTTGTTCTCCTGTAGCGCGACCTCCTCTAGATAGATGGCCAGGCTGGTGTTGCTAAATGATGTGGACTGGTAGCCAATACCAAAGGACTCGATAGTCTGCTCCAGCTGTGTCTTGATCATCCTGTTGTCCTCAAGAATGATGGCTCCATAGGTGGCATTATGCTTACTGAGCTCCTGGTTGGGTGAGATGTCCTCCTTGGTCTTGGAGAGGTCGAGGCTGAAATGGAAGACAGAGCCCTCACCAATCTTGCTACGAATGCCAATCTTGCCATTCATCAACTCGACGAGCTGCTTGCAGATACTAAGGCCGAGACCTGTTCCATCGTACGCGCGATTGGCGCCCGTGTCAATCTGAGAGAATCGCTGGAAGAGCTTCTCAAAGTCACGTTGCTTGATGCCAATGCCCGAATCAGTCACTTCGATCGTTGTGGAGTATGCAGTGCCAGTGGCGTTGGGTGTGACGATGAGGTTGATAAACACCTCACCCTTGGACGTGAACTTGATGGCGTTGGACAACAGGTTGACGAGGATCTGGCGCAGAAGGTTCATGTCACCAACGACTGGGATAAACGAGGTGCTTGGCGTGATGAACAATCCAACCATCAGACCCTTCTGATGGGCATTGGGGGCGATGGCACCGATAGAGTCCTCTAGGAAGGACACGAGGTTGAAGATTGAAAAGTTGAGCACAGTCTTGCCCTGCTCAACCTTGGACAGGTCCAATATGTTGTTGACCATGAACAACAATGACTCGGATGATTGTTGACTGATGTTTAGAAGCTCCTTCTGATCGTTGGTGTGCGGGAACTCTTTGAGCAACTCCAATGCGCCAATGATGTGATTGAGTGGGGTGCGCATCTCGTGGGACATGTTGGAGATGAAGTCTGACTTGGCCTTGTTGGCCTTCTCTGCCTCCTCCTTGGCAAGGAAGGCTTGGTTGGCAAGATGATTGGACTGCAGGAAGAGTCGGGCATTCTGGAAACTGACGGCGATCTGAGTGGACAGTAGGTTCATCACCTCGAGACGGTTGGACGTGAATGCGCCAGTTGTGAAGTTGTTCTCCAGGTAGAGAACCGACACTAGCTTGCCCTGATGCACGATGGGCAGTACTAGCACGGACTTGGGCTTCTGTTGCATGACGTAGCTGTCCTCTGAGAAGGTCTTGTCGTCAGAGGCGTTGGATATCAGCAGGGGACTCTGTGTCCTGCGCACATAGTTGATCATGGACACACACAAGTTCCATGTGCCATCCTCCTTTATCGCCTTGTTCAACTGCTCGTTCATGGGAACGCCCGATGTATTGCGGAGGATGGGACTGACAGTGGGGGTGTCTGGTGGGCTCATCATCACGCTGCTTCCATCGGCTGTGCGATTCGAATTGATGTACACCTCCACTATGACCTTCTCACCAGTGACGCAGGCAGACGCCGCCACATTGAGCTCACCAAATACATTGGTGCTATTGGGGAACAGCTCCTTGTTGCTGTCTTCCAGGAGGAGCAGGAAGCCACGTGATGCGCCAGCATTCCTAATCACAACCTTCATGAGTCGCTTCAACAGACGGTCATAGTAGATCTCCTCGGCCAGTGAGTGTGATACGGTGATTACTGAACAAAGGTCGAATGAGTCGATGTGGGGGTACTTGATCAGCGTTTTGCCAGTGCCCGCGCTGTCTTGGGAGCGTCGTCGGATGGAGAGACGCGGTTCAAAGTTGGGGGTGTCATTGATTGATTGCTTGCTCTGAGTGATGGGCGTGCGTCCAGACATCTGGCCAAAGACTGAGGGGAACTCAAGTTCGAGCAGGTTAGCCTTGACAGTGGCTCCCCACATTGAATAACATAGCTGAGCCTCCATGATGTAGGCACGGGTCACTGCGGTCTTTTGGAGACGGCTGTACATCCTGCCGGCCAGCTCGTTGGACAAAGCCTCGTACTGGACGTACTTGTGGGTCTGTGCGGCAGAAGCGGCTTCGTTGAACAGCTCCATGGCGTCGTTGAATCGGTTGGACACGCGAGCCAGCTCGGCCTTGACCAGCAGCACCATGACACCAAAGTTCTCAAAGCTGTGATTGGCGAACACCTCCAGGCGTTCAAGACAGTGCGCGACCATCTCCAGCTTGGTGACTCGTTCCTGCTCACTGTAGCTTTCAAACATGGCCAAAATGATCAAACACTTGAATGTGTAGTACGACGCCATTGGACTGTGCGCGTAGATACCCATGATGTATCGCTCTGTCATCAGTGTCGCTCTCCAAGCCTTCTCATACTGGCCCATTATATAGGCACCGATCATCTGGAATACATAGTGGAAAGCTTTGGGACACTCGATTTGAATAGTGTCCAGGTCGGTCTCGAATGCCTCCTGGTCCCACTCCTTCTCGTTCTCGTCCAAGCTGTCGTGTCCGGTGAACTCTCGCAGCAGTTGTTGAAGGGACTGCGCAATCCTGAGCATGGGGATGAACTGGTACTGCTCAATGAATGACTTGTACTTCTTGCAGAGCGCGCAGATGTCCATGAGGGGCACGCCACTCAGTATTGATTGGAAGAGCAAGTGGACGCTGCTGTAGCAGCCATAGCCCATGTCACCAGATTCGATAGACTCGAGGAAGGACAGTTTGATCAAAGCCGAATTGGTGAACATGTGTGCGCGCCAGTGATTGATAAAGTTGCCAAACAGTAAAGTGACCTTGCCCTTGGTAGACGGTTCGTTGTGCAGCTCCTTGAGTTCCATTGCCAGGCGACCCACTTCATAGCCGACGTGGAAGTCGTCGAAGCGGCCAATGCACACCATCACTCCAAACATGACCAGGCCGACCGAACTCCACGAAGAACATCCGCTCTCCAGGGAGATGTCGGCCATTTTGAGCAACATCGAGCTGAGTAGACCAATGTTGGTGAAGAAGAGAGGTGCAATCATGTTGCCAATGACCTTGAGCGATACACAGATGGTGGGTGGTGGCACTTTCTTGGACTTGAGCAGGTCGAGGAAAGAACGATTGCCAAGCTTGCGCTTTAGTAGCTCGTACTCAAGACGCAGGCTCTCGTCGGTGGGCTTGCGATCGATCACTATGTTCTGGCTGTCCAAGTACCTGAGGCCACACTCGACACAGGCGTCAAACTTGGACAATAATGTGTACTGCTGGATCTTGAGTGCGGTGGCTTCTCCAATGTCCTCGACGGTCACTGAGTTCTCGATGACCATCTCCAGCATCTTCTCTGACTCGTCGTTGTTGCCACACATAAACTCACACTCGGCTTTCTCAAAGAAGATGTTGTACGACGTTCGGTAGTGGTCGCGCCAACATGTCTCCAGCGGCAGGGTCTTGACAGCACAGTCCAGGTAGCTCTTGGCCACGGAGTAGGCTGCCGATGACTTGGCTTTCTTGCCGGCAATGTAGTTGAGCATGGGCAGGATCAGCTTCTCCTTCGGGTCGGTGATCAGGTCGATGCCCACGTTGTACTGGTTGACAATGTCAAACACCGACTGCGTCTGATCCTTGAGCGAGTTCTGATAGAGCAGACGGCCAATGTTGAGATGGATCTCCTTCTTGTCCTTGCCCTGCAGCACCAGAGAGTAGGCGGCCTGTTGTACGCGATCATGGGCAAATCGGTACTTCTTGTCTTCGGTACTTATGATGAGGTCCTGTGCAATGATGGGCGTGAGGAACTTGAGGATCTCATCATTGGGACACTCGGCCACGACTGACAGCATGTCCAGATCAAAGTTGTTGCCAATGCACGACGCCAGCTGGAGCACACGCTGTGAGTGCACACTGAGCTGCTGCAGATTGCTGACCATGAACTCGACGACATTGTCAGTGTACTGACGCGTCTGGATCTTGGCAATGTCCCATTTCCAGCTGTCGACCGTCACATCAAAGTGCAGCAACTCCTCGTTGAACAGTGTCTTGAGGAACTGGATCGTGAAGAATGGATTGCCATGCGTCTTGGATAGGACGACCTCAGAGAGCGAGATCGTCTCGGCGGGGCTCTTGTGAAGTGATGCCGAGACCATCAGGTTGACATCCTTCAGGTCCAAAGCCTTCAAACTGATCTTAGTGATTGGTATCTGCAATGACTCATCGTTGACCAGGGCCTCAATCATCCGCAGGCCATTCTCCGATTCATTCTCTCTAAACGCTCCAATAATCAACAGATACTTGATATTGTTATTGTCCAGCAGTATCTTTATCAGTCTGTACGATGCTTCGTCTGCACGCTAATGAGTATGAACGAGTGAGTGTTAGACGTGATCAGTCCAGGTGGGCGCTAACCAACACTTACCTGAAGGTCGTCCAAGAATAGTATGAGGGGATGTCCTTCTTCGGAGAACACCCTGAGGAAGTCTTTGAACACAAGGTCGAACCTGTTCTGTGACTCGGAGGGCGGCAGGGGAGGTACAGGCGGACATTGCCCAACGATCAACTCGAGAATGGGCATCACATTGACAATGACACCAATGTTGGGACCAAGTGCGCGGTGCAGCTTCTCCTTGTAGAACGCCAGCTCAACGGGACTGAGCACGAGTACCAAATGTATCAGCTCGGTCAATGCTTCGATGATGGCACTGTAGGGCACACCTCTATTGTACTGATCAAACTTGCCAGAGATGAATCTAGGCCCTGGTTGAGCCTTCTTCTTGGCAGCCTTAATCAACGACGTCTTTCCAACGCCAGACACGCCAGACACCAATATCAATTCCTTATTTCCTTTGTACACTCTATTGATCGATGCAAACTGTGATGGGGTGGTGATGGGTCAGTGTTTGGGCTAGAGGGATGATTCGAATGATGATCGATGCTTACAATCTGATTGAGCTCATTCTTCCTAGAGTACAGCTCAGTAGGGATATGTGGACGATGGAGTACATCGTACACGCCTAGGGTAAAGTCTTCGAATGTGCAGTTGGAGCCAAGCTGGAACTTGCATATCTCGAGATCGCGTTTCAGTCCATACGCGCTGCTGTATCGATCGTCAGGTGATTTCTTCAGCAGCTTGTCGACAATGTTTGATATAATGATTGGCACGTTCTGATTGATGTCCGATACGTAGGGCGCCTTCTTGGCGAGATGTGCATGTATCAGCTCGGACAGATCGTTGGTCTGGAAGGGCAGTCGGCCCGTCAGCAGCTCGTAGAATGTGACGCCCAGTGAATATAGGTCGGACCGCGAGTCGACGTTGTGCTGCGTGCGGCCCGTCTCCTCGGGAGACGAGTAGTAGTAGGACGTCGTACAGTATCGGCCAATGTCGGGGAAGTTTTTGAGGTAGAACAGTGAGTTGTCCAGCGCCTGGCAATGGCTCGTCGCTTTGAGCACCGAGAACTGGAAGTTGGCCAGACGGACGTTGTTGTTGGAGTTGATGTACACGTTTGGCGGGCGGATATCTCGATGGATACATCCACGCAGATGTATCTCCTCGAGTGTGGCCGCCAGCTGGATGGCGATGTTGAGGAATGTGGCAATGTCGATCTCTTGATGCTTCAGGTTGGAGTTGAACAGCGGACTAGAGGACTGTGGAGTCGTCTGTCGGTGGATGGGCGAGGACGACGTGGTCTGTGGCGAGGAGAGTGAGAATTGTTGTTGTTGCTGTAGTTGTTGTAGTTGAAGCTGTTGCTGCTGTTGTATATGTCCCGCTGTCGCAGCGCCAGGGTTGGCCGCAATCGTGCTGCTACTGGTGGGTGTTGTTGGGCCAAGTGTGACAAACACGCTGGACAGTGGCTTGTAGCCCGAGTCCTCCAGGATGAAGGCAAAGATGTTGCCCAGTTCAGTCTGTGCGCGGATCACACGCATCACGCCATCAATGTTATTCAGGATGGAGAGCATAGCGTACTCGCGCTGGAACAGCGACACCACCTCAATCGAAGGATACTTGGTGTTGATGATCTTGAGCAGCACGCGTTGGTTGGAGAATAATGTGTCGCTGGGTCGCAGGAGGCTGTTGGGGGAGGAGAACGACAATGAGTGTGCACCACCCGATGACGACAATGAGGTCGAGGATGATGCTGAGGACGACAGTGACTTTTCCTCCGCATGCTCGATTGCCTGCGGGGGTGGAGGCGGTAGTAAACGCGCTTGTGATGACGATGATGGTGATTGTGTCACTGTGGCGTCGCCCAGAAGGGCGTGTACTGAGCCTGCCTCCAGTGGATGTGATGGCAGGGGTGGCGTCGGCCTGGAATCACGTGGCGATGCGCTTGCCAATGAAGCCACTGGGGCATTGGTCAAAGGTTGTGGTGCCACTGATGTTGGTGTCGTGTTGGATGATGAATGTGATGATGACGATGATGATGCGCCAATCAACATTGGAGTCGTTGGCGCTACTACACCACTGGCAGATGATGTCTGTTTGTGGTGGAGGTGATGATTGATGCTGGGCGAATGATCCAGTTTGAATGGCGCGCCCTTGACATTGTTCAAAGAGTGTGAAGCGTGGCTGGTCGGTGTGGCAGTGGATGATGACTCGCCATAAGGAGCTCCACCATTCCTATTATTTATACTGCAACTGCCCAACAACGCACTCTGTTGCGTAAAGTATGTCGCTGTGAATATTGTAAAGATCTTCTCCTCCTGCACCTTCTCGCCCAGGAAGAAGTCCTGTAGCCAACTAGCAGAGTTCATTGCTATATATCTTCTGTCTGTCCTCTGCTGTTGTTGGTATATTTAATAAATATTATAAGTTAAGTTAAATATATATAATATAATATATTATGTGTAATGTAATAGTTGATTGATTGATTGAATGGAATGATTATTAAGAGAGAACTGAGAGAAGGGAGTGATGATGAGGAGGGAGGAGGAAAAGGAAGAGGTGAGGAGAAGACAACGAGACTGCATGTCTGTGTCATATCAGACGTATAGTGGTTATGTGGTTATTATTATTAATTAGTTAATCAATTGATCACTCACTAAATCACTCAATCACTCAATCACACACTCACTCAATCAATCACTCACTATTGCTATGCTACTGAAGGATGTTGACACTACTAATATGTGTGTGTGTGTGTGTGTGGTTGATGTATGTCTGGAATGATGATTGATTGATTGTACTATGTATGTGTGTATTATGATTGATCATTAAATATATTTGTTATAATTATTCTCTGTTTATACATGTATAAATATATATTTATGTGTGTGTATGATTGTGAATTGCATGTTCACACATAATCAAACATGTTGGAAACCAACCCGACACACATCGTGTGGGGGTCTGAGAGAGTGGGGTCGTTTGGGGGGTTGGTTGAACCATGCTCACCTACCGACCTATTATATCATCGATGTCCATGGACCCCAAGTCACATGTCATTCTAGAATACATACATACATACATTAGTGAATGAATACCATTCTGTTTGCTGGATGGATGGATGGATGGATGTATTGATGATTACTGTCGACTTCTGGTTTTCCAATGGAAATCTAATTAATTAAAGTTGGTTGGACCATCCATCTTTTGATTAGTGCACTGACTGTTCGCAGACAGACAGACAGACAGACAGACAGATGGACAGACGAAGGGTAAGTGGAGGTTAGTGAGTGAGAATATCAAGTTTCCTCATAATCCTCATTTTTTGAGTATCCTCAGATGACCCAAGCATCATCAAAGTCTGAAGAAGTAGATTCCATTCAATGGAATGACTCCACTCTCATTCATTCAAGCATTCTTGTCTGTGTCTCCTTTATTCCAATGTAGGAGTTGTGAATAGACCATCGCCCAAGTAATGAATGTTGATCACACCAATATCAGTGTTGATTGAACGTCTATAGTTTGTGCGTGATGAATCAGATGTCGGTTAGTCAGTCAGCTGGTCAGTCCAGTCATGTGTGTTGATTGAAGTGCCACAACATACATATCTTGAGTGGACATCTTTGTAAGACCAACGGCACAGGCATGCTTCTTGCCCTCTGCCATAATAGCAACAATGGAGGCCTCTGGAACATCAACTTCCATTCTTGCACCTGGTGAAGTAAGTCCTCTACACATGATGTTGGCTCCTTGAAGAACAAACTTGATTGCTCCTCTGTCGACCTGTAGCTGTGGCATCATATTGGGGTCTAATATGTTGTAGTCAGTATCGTCATTGTCGCATTCAATCATTCGTTGATTCGTTCATTCGCTCAATCGTCTTTCATTCATTACATTTGTGTAGGAATCTAAGTGTTGGGTAGTATGGACCCTCGCGCTCATTAAAGAAGATCACCTCATTGTTGATAAGAACGAGATTGATATGGTTCTGACTGTTTGTGTGAGATAGATTGTAAGTGGTCCGTCGTTCGTTCGTTCGTCTGTCATCAACAACACACATGTCGTTGTCAAGTCATGTGTCAATGATGTCCACGACGTACCATTTGACCTGTACAATTGGGACCTTCTTTGGGAAGATGTCTTCTTCGACCTCTTTCAACGATGGATATGACGAAAGAATGGATGCCTTGATATTTCTCTGATGGGATGACTTGATCTGAGCATTGCTCGATGAGTTTGACTTTAGTGCGAGTCTTGTTGAATCAAAGTGATATATATGTCAGGACTCTGTCATCATCATCATCATCATCGATGTACACTATTGATTGTTTGCTTACTTCTTAAACATTGTTTAACTCTACTTTATACTATATATATATATATTTATAACTATGTTTAAGAATGAATGAACAAATAATGAAGTGTGTGAACCCTCCCTTCAAAAGTGAACCAACACTGAAGTTGAACTTTGATTCAATTCATATTGTCATGCCAACATGTTTGAACAGACAGTCCAACATGGATTCAGCACCTTCAGATTCTCCTTTTAATGAAGAACAACTATTTCGATGAATCGCCAACACACATATATATATATATATACATATGGACTCCTACGGCTCTGTTGGACAGCTGACACTTCCCAAACTGATTGTCAACCTGATAGTCCGCACAATATGGTTTAGTGATGATCCATCCCTCGATAGATCTTTCAAGCTTTCACTGGCATTGATCTGTCGTCACACTTTCAACCATTTATCATCGCTCTCATCATCGTGGGATCACTTTACCGGACGCAAACAGTGGATTGCTCACCTCACCTCTCCATATTGCATGTGGAAGCAACTCTCACATATCTCCACTGACACAATTGTCGAGCTTGCAATGCACACCCTCCAACATCAACCGCAACAACCACAGCAGCCACAGCAACAACAGCAACAACCACAGCAGCAACTACAAACAAACTTTGATTTACAGGTCGAACAAACAGTCAGAGAATTGTGTCAAGTGCATGCAACTTCGGCAGAGTGAATCCACATCAAATTTAGACACTCTGATGAGTTCAGCATCGATGTTGTAGCAATGGTCATCGTAGAGACACTTGTCGTCGCCCCTGTCACAAAGGTTACCTTTGAGCCAAAATGGCTGAAGGACAAGAGATCGGTGGTGGGCAACATCAAGGCCACCATCAAGGCATTGCGCAAGTACCAACATCTCGAATGTCTAGAGATCATTGGATGGCCAACGACCTTTCAAGGGTTTCGGGGCATCCATCGCGCCTACACTTGGCTCGTCAACTTCCTGCAACGCAATGACTGCCCGAACCTGAACAGTCTTGGRAATTCAAATTTTCAACGGAGAGGGATCGGGCCATCTCTCCAACCTATTCAAATGCTCCACTGCAAATGATGCGTATATATATCTGCACAACATCCGCTCGCTCACTCTGCTCTACATTCCATACGGTTTGGATAATGAAACAGAAACATTGCTGAGCAATATGTCGCACCTGACAAACATTGACTCTCTCTCACTGGTCGCCGCCGACAACTATTTCAAAGCAATTCCCGTAGTAGACCGGTGGCTTGTTCAGTACCTACAGAATAACAATGCCAGGCTGAAGCGACTAGAGATTGCCCATAAGATGTCAGTGGAGTTGCAAACAGCAATCAGTAAGCTAGTCAATCTGGAGCATCTGTCTTTGCCTCTGGTTGATAAAGCGTGGGCATCGGGGCATGCTCTCCCAACATCGCTCAACTCTCTCACACTCCAATGCATGTATGGACCAAGAGATTATCAAGACATTCAACTTCCAGATTTGATCGACCATGTGCTCGATTGTTGCGTCAACAGTCCAATCACAACACTCGAGTTCCGATTTCCTCACTCTAGAGCTAGTCACTACGCCCCCTACACTCTTTCGTGGAGTCGTTGCTTTGGCAAGTGGACATCACTGACCAAGGTGTCGCTCAACTATCACCCCTTTGAGGCGTATGGTACTGAATACGACTTGGGTTGTGCATTCCTCACAAAAATACTCGAGTCAAAGAGTCTGAGAGATCTCGAGTTGTTGCATCCATTCTATGGCATTGGCGAGAACCTTCGAGAGGTGATTCGCCATCTGGATAGCAACACAACACTGCGCACACTGACGTACTTTTGTAAGCGTTCGACCCGRAATGCCATATACACCAAAAATCCCTGGCYTTTGTCCTTCACTCCATCAGCGATGTGCAACACCGGCTGAGAGTGCCAATGGACCACGGGGAGGAAACCCTCTTCGAGGAATTGTCCAAGATGAAATGGACCCGAGTGACCTACTGTCGACTGACAGACAAGGACCATCTTCTTTAAGTGATCAAATCATATCATCAGCCATATTTCTCAACAACAACTTCAGCATCAACATCAACAAATTGAAGGGTCAATAAAGAATCCTCTCTTAAAAATAAGAGCCATGTTGTTTGTTTATTACTTACAGGCCCATCATCTGAATAGTGGGGAGTTCTACTTGGTTGTTGTAGTCGTTATCGTCGGTGCAGGTGCAATGTCCCCAATATCGGTCTCGATCATGTCCAACAGCGCACAGATTCCGCCTCCACACGTGCGATGGGTGCCGGCCTCGACCCATTGAAGATGTTAACTTAACAAGCAGCGAGTAGCGACAGACAAGGGCAAGATGACAGCCACCCAGAGTAAGGCGACACAAACAACTACAACTACTACAACAAAGAACAGTGCTAATAAACTAACATTGATATGAGTGGTGACAATGATCAGTCTGGTGGTGTTATGTATTACATAACTCGACGTTAACTATGTCTTCTACGTGTAGATAATAAATAATGTTTGTTTAGAGTGATTGTGAATGTGTGAAGTTGCTCAGCTTTGTTGTATGTGACTTCAGAGTGGGGTTGGGGTCATTTGTGGACCAATGTTTTTTCCTTTTATGGTCAAAATATACCCTCAGACATCGTTGAAGTGATTTCGTGCAGGATTGAGTGTCTGCAGTCGTATTGGGCGACGAGGATGGATGGAGACCGTTGATGCTCAGGGTGGGTGGAGCCTCAGTCAACCAGAGGTTCAATGAAGGAGGACCTAATTAATGCCACATTCACCACTGGGTCTATCGCTACCCTCAGGAGAAACATTGATTCGAAATAAATCATTCCTAGACAATCTCAATCACTCAATCAATCAACCCTGGAATATCTCTATCCAATCAATCAATCAGTAGATCGCTGCTCTACATCCTGTCAATCAAAATTTGGAATAATTCCTATTGATTTGGTAAAGTCGTTGGTGTTAATGATAAACATTTTAAAAGAGAGGGTCAGTTCAATCATTTAGATTATTCCGCTTTTTTGTAATTAATTAATTTGAAGTTCACTTGCAAGTCTATTGTTTCGTTCATTCATTCATTCAATGGTACACTTTTACTTATTCGATGTGTTATTGGATCACTTATGATCAGTGGACTTGGATAAATAGTCTGTCTATGCATAGACAGATCGAATCAAATGTGGCCTTCACATCGATGCACCAAACACGTCAACTATCAATTAGTTGTCATTGTTGTTGAAAGTGAGTCAGTCATTTGGGGTAGACCTCAAGGTTGTTCAAAGCTTTGTCATGGTTTCGTTTCACTTTATTCGTCAAGTCCTGTACATGTTCTAATGTCTTAGAGTACTGGATAACCTCCAACGAATCCTCTGATGAAGCAATTGTCATTACTATTGGTCAGTCTAAAGTATCCATTCTCTCCCCAGCCAGGTCCCCAACTATTCTTGATGATCTATGTTGTAATGAATGAATGATCATCAATGTTAGTGAGGGCCATGCTCCAACGATGCGACCAATAGCATAACATACCCAATAGTTTCCATCAGCATTATATCCTACTAATAGTATGGCATGATTCTGTACTCTGTTCACTTGTGGACAGGAGTAGACTCCTCCGCGGTATGCCTTGAGATTGCCATCGGTCCACATACCAATTGATATAGGTCCTTTTTGTAGTGCGTTGATAATAGTCTGTACATTGGTATCTGGTAACAAGTTGTATCCACTCCATTTGAAGTAGGTACCTTGTGGTTTGGAGCATTGTTGAACATATGCTTGATAGGGCATCGAGCTACCCATGGGCACGCCTGATGATTGTAGTTGCTGCCACACTGTAGCGAACCATCCACCAACACATCCATTGGATATACAGTTGACACAGTACTGCTCTGAGAGATCCAGCGAGTTCTTGTCGTAGCCCTTTTGAATGACAGCCATTGCCTCCAAGTTGGCCAAAGCTGTGAATGCAAAGCATGATCCACAATTGCCTTGATCACGTACAGGTGTCATCATACTGGACCAATCAATGCTACCGCCTTGTCCACGACTTGGTGTATTTGATGCTCTTGGCTGTTGTGTCGGTGGTACTGGTGTCTGTTGTGTTGGTGTTGACACTCCCTTGGCAACAGAGTATGGTTGTTGACCAGAGTATCCACCATAAGGATAATAATCGCAATAGAAGTTATTGGTCTGGCCTGCACATTGTGACACTACACAAGCAAACTGTGTACTCTTTGCCCACACCGACACAGTATACGGACATACACTGCCCGACGCACAAGTCGATGTCTTCCAATTGAGTTGCCAGCAGTCTGAAGTACACTGTTCAGTATCTATATCGCTCACGAGCATAAGTAAGTGCATGATCATATCATACTTAAGTATCAAGATACATACATCTAATAAGATAAAGTTACCTTTAGTTGTGTAACGCCATTCACTGTTGATTGAATAGAGTGCAGCGGGACTTTGACCACCTGAACATTTGTTTGCGAATGTTTGAAGTGCTGCCTCAATCGTCTTGTTCCATTTAAGTTGTGGCAATGCATTTTGAGGTGGAGGATTGACATATAATCTCCATTGATTCTGTATAGAAGTAATCATACTTATCTCACTATTTGTAAGAGCTGCACCTACACCTCCATCATTCCAACATATCAAAATTATAATTATTAATAAATATTTATTCTTCATCTTATTTATATATGTGTTATTAATTATGTAAATCTAGAGATAATAAGACGAAGATGAATCTCTGACTACATTAAAGGGTAGTACTTTGACGACCTTTTGGAGACTCAAGGTGGAGTCCCAAACGACACACCAAAAAAGGAAATAATCCCTTTGACCAACCACCTTCCGACAAAAAAACTACTTCCAAGATCTCCCCTTTCCTTCAAGTCTAGTCTAGACTACAAGTCTCGTCTCAATCTCAAAGACCTGACAAAAGAGATAAAGTTAACAAATAATATTAGAATAATAGAAATGAATAAGAACAAAAGAATGATATGTTTATTATTGATGATAATGGTGTTACCGAATTTGATGACAGGAGTAAAATCATTGGATGTACCTTCAGATGATATATTATATCAATCATTTTTAAATTGGATGGATCAATTCAATGTAGCATATACATCACAAAGTATATTAGAATCAAAGTTTATTACATGGAAGGAGAATATAATATTCATTGCTAATAACAATGAACAAATAACAACTCCTGATGTTGAAATAGAGTATAATAATCAACAAACCAATATGAGGTCATTGTTGTCAATGACTCCAGTAGAGACTTATCCAACTTTAAATTCACTTCAAAGTATGTACATCACATCAATCTATCTATCACCTTTTAACATGACTATCGTGATACGTCCTAGTGTCTGCCAATTCATTCAGTGACCTATCAAATACAGAGTTCTTGGCAACTCATACTGGACATATTCCTGGAGGCTCACCAGTTGCTGTGGCAGCTGCAGGTGGTCCGACATTATCAACTGGTGTCATAGTTGGAGTGGCATTGAGTGGAACAGCCTTTGTTTCATTCTTAACCGCAATGGCTATATATGCAAGCAAGAGAATGAGTGGATCAAATTCTAAACTAAAATCAGATCCAACCAAGACAAGATCAGTTCCAATCATTACAGATCCTTCATCTCCAGTGGTGTTCAGTGTACATGCATCAACTCCAACAACTACTACTACTCCTCCTACTCCTTCAGCTTTAGGATCAAATCAACCTCAAGTAGAAGATATGGAAGAGATTGATTTGAAAGATGATAAATCACCTGTTAGAGGAGGTATCAACGTCTTTGACTTCTCAAGGAATCCAAGACATTCAATCACAGCAAGGCACATAACATTTGATAACATATCCAATAATGCCAATCAACAACCTCAATCACCAGTTATATAATAATATTAAAAATAATAATAATAATAATAATAATAATAATAATAACTTTATTCTCCTCAACGTACACATAATTACCATTTGATCAAATCCTCATCAGTTGATGGTGTTGGCTTAGTGGGAGTGTGATCGACAAAGGTAAGAGTGTCATCCAATAGACTGAACCTGGCGGTGGTCGTGCCATCTGGTGACACGAACATATTTGTGTTGCCTGGCGCTATCTTCATGCCTTGTGGACGCTTCCTGAATGATGATGTCTTTGATGGAAGTGGTTCAAACTGCGAGTCAACTTCATTGTCGTTGGTATCTGTTGGCTGTTGTTGTTGTTGTTGTTGCTGTTGTTGTTGCTGTTGTTGTTGCTGCTGTTGTTGCTTCTGTTGTAGTTGTGATTGAAGTTGTGCTTGAAGTGCGGTTCGAGAGGAGGGTAGCAATGGAGCCATGGTTGTTGGCGCAGGTGGGAGTTGAAGTGCTCCCGTGCCAAGATACATGCTTCTTCGGTTAACTGATCTCGCCATGTTTGTTGGTATGTGTACAACCTCTTCCTCATTGGCTAATGGAGGTGGCTGTCCATTTACATCCTGTTGCTGCTGTTGTGTCTGCGGTTGTGGCTGTGGTTGTGGCTGTGGCTGAGGCTGAGGCTGTTGCTCTCTACGCGATAGTACTGGTGATTGATTTGGTGATGTAGATGTTGTTGTTTGGCTGGTGTTGTTGGGAGTTGTAGTGGATACTGGTGTGACTAGGGATGACTTGCTTGGAGGTGGCTTCGAAGGCAATGCCGCTGCCCTCTTTTGCATCTCGGATATAAGTGCTGATTGTTTAGTGTTCATGGTCGATGGTGTTGATGATGGTGTTGATGATGGTGTTGATGTGGAGGTGGAGGGTGTTGGCGGTGTCATGGTCATGGGCATGATAGTTGGTTGTAATATTACATTGTTGTTGGTTGTTGATGATGATGGAGCTGGATTCTGTGGCTGTGTTGCTGGTGCGCCAGCTGTGTCCTTGTAAACGAGGTTATAATGTCTGATGATAAACTCGATTGTGGCATTGGCACTGGTCACAGACTCAATGTCCAGTTGCTGTGGATATAGTATGTTGGGCGCCAGTACCACCGCCAGGTTGCTGGTCGTCATCCTGTTGGACTTGGACTGTGCGGTGATCTTTGTCGCCATTGACATCAACATCTTGAACAACGCCTTGTTGCATGGTGGCAGTTGTTGCAGTGTGCCAGCCAGTTGACTGGCGATGACTGTATGCTCGGCCAGTGACAGTGGACCCTTGAACCTCTCCTGCGCCACACACTCGACCACAGGCTGCACCAACGGGCGGAACAAGTCAAAGGTCAGCAGGGGCGTGGGAAGCTCGCGAAGGAATGCCTTGAGGAAGCCAGTGACGAGATGGGGCTCGTCACACGAGTCAAAGTTGGTCATTGATCCTTTGTGAATGGCTGTCTTCATCTCTGTCAGGTGCAGCTGGTTGGCGGACACTCTGAACAGTCCCTCCGTGCCCAGTATATCCGGTCGCTCAAGATATTGAATGGCCTTTGTAATGATCGCGGGCACTACATTGCCTGTCTTGCTCTGCATGTTCTCCAAAGGTATTCCAAACAATCCTGATGCGCGAGTTGATGATGCAGCGTGTGAGTGAGCAGCATGCTTGTTGTTGCTGTTGTTGTTGCTGCCATGCTGTTGTTGCTGTGGCAATGGTTTGGCGGTGGCCGAGGCCACACCATCACTGTTGGCAAATGTGCTGGCCAAGGGTGTACCCGACAACTCGTTCGCATAGCTTCGCTGACTCTTCTTATCGACCACAGACTGTCTTAGCTTGGCAGTGTTTTGCTTCTGTCGCTCGATGTTTGGTAGGATCTCGCGGACTATCTCCAAGTTCTTAATGAAGTAGGCTTCGTACACCTTGATGTAGTCGTAGACAGAGTCGACACTCTCCACTGTTATCCTATCGATTATCTCCTCAAAGATTGACAATGAATCTATTGCCACCTCTGAGAACTGTTGACTTGTTATGCCAACCTCTTGCTCAGCCTCTGTCAATCTCTCATTCGGTACATTCTTCCTCTTCAATATCTGATAGTTCTCATTGGCAGCGTCAAAAGATACACGGAACTTGTCATACCTTGCTTTGGCAATCTGTCCAGTTTCATTGATCATGTGATTGGAATAGTTCCAGGGGTGGTGATTGATATTGATGGAGTGATTGGAATAGTTCCAGTGATGGTGATTGAGTGTGTTAGTAACTGTTTGAGGCATCGATTAATCAATCAAGATGACCATCACATCTACTCACCAATGCATCTTTGAGCTCATTCTTGAGATACTCTTGCCATTGATTCAAGAGGGTGTTGCCAATGCCAATGTCTAGCTTGGAACGACTCACTTCGAATTGGTTGTGCATGTCGCCGATGATGGTCATGGTGGGACCGAGGATGGCCGCAGAGGACGTGGTATGACCCTCCTCCTGTAATAATTGATTGCCACACTCTGTGAAGCAATCGGCCAACGTAGTATTATCATTGATCAACACTTGATGTGCCTTTGACTGTCTCTGTAATCTAGCTGTTATATCCTTTATATTATTCCTAATAGTATCCAATGACTTTGTCTTTATTCGATAGTCTGGCAACTCTGTCGACTCCCTTTTACTCATCTTATCCCTTACGGATACGATGGCTTCGCCATAAGCTCTATTTATCTTCTTCATTCTATCTATGTTTGTTATTGATTGATTGATTGAATGATAGATTGAATGAATTGTATTACTTACTTTTTTGCATTGGATGTATCTCCCAACAATGTGGGCTCGTCATCAAACTTGTAAAAATCTTTGCACCTTGGGTCCAGTGATCAGATGACATCATGGGGCGATTGGGAGTGGGGGTGACCACACACACGACTCATCCTAATCACATCAACCCATCAATCTGATCACTGAAATAGATCCATCCTTTATTACTTTGTTTGTACATACACAAAGAATGATTGAATGATCAGGAACGTCTTATAATGTGTACATCAAAGTCTGTTGGAGTTGCGATCACTCCAAATAACATGGACTCATCAAACTCTATGGAGGAAGATGAGGTTGGTGGTGGCTTGCTGAATCGATATCTTCGGAAGAGAGTGGCAACAAGAAGGTAGAGCTCTTGCTCTGCTAGTGCCATGCCTAGACAATTGCGTGGCCCAGAGCCAAAGGTACATTTGACTCGATTGACATTGGCCGCATTGTTGATGAATCGCTCTGGATGGAATTCAAGTGGTTTAAGCCACACTGACTCGGTCAACATTGATCCATGTATGTTTTGAAGAATGAGTGTGTTCGCCTTGATGGTGTAGCCGCGGAACTGGCCATCGTAGGCCGCAACGTGGTACATGCCAAAGGGCGCCACGACAAATCTCCGCATGGCCTCCTTGATCGCTGCCACAGTATACTCTGTGTCGGAACGCTGTTTGTAAGTCGGTACGATTCTGTCGCCCATCACAGTTCTGAGCTCTTCATGCATGAATGCCTGTTGATCCGGTCGGTTCGCCATTGCCTTGATCAGCGCTGAGATGGTGTTGGCTGATGTGTCTGTGCCCGCGACCAGCAGGTCACCTACAGCGCCACACACACCTCTCATGTCCAGCCGGCCCTCGGCATGCTCCTTCAAGAACGTGTCGAGGATGTCCTGGCCGGGCCGATCGTTTGAGTATATGACCTGGCGTCTCTTGACCAGCTGCTCGACATACTTGGACATGGCAATGTTGGTCTGGTAGTACTCGCGTCCTTTGGCTGATCGCGCATACCACCCCTTGAGGAAGAGCAGGTAGTCAGAGGGCTTGATCGCGCCGCCCACCTTGAACACGCTGTCGATCAAGTCGATCACGTCGGTGGCCTCTCTGTCGCTGCCATCGTAGGGGAATGTCACCGAGAAGATCAGACGCATCATAATGTTGAGCGTGCATATCTTGAGCAGAGGGATCGGGTTAACGGGTTCGCCCGTCTCAGCGAAGCGATCGATGTGTTGACACAGTTTGTTGATCTCGTCCATCACGTGCGACTCGTGCTTCTTGATCACAGTGGGCCCAATGCCAGAGAGGGCTAGTGTGCGCAGCATCCTGTTGTAGTCGCCGTTTGAGTAGGTGATGTTGGCGACTGCGCTCACTGCCGATGCGCTTGGCTTCTGGAAGCGATTGGCAAGCCAGTTGGGATCGTCTATGAAGGCGGTGCGTAGTGCGTCGGGGTCTGAGAATACGACTGCCTCCACTGCACCAAGTTTGAGTCTCATCACAGGGCCGTGCTCGAGGCTAAGTTCATTGATGACATGGTGTGGTGATGATCCACTGACCAAGTGTAAGTTACCAATTATTGGCCAAGGAGTAGGTCCAGGTGGAAGATGTCTAATGTATCTATTCACAATCTATTCAAGGACCGTGGTTGGTCCAGTATGATCGATCAGTATCCCGTTTGATTGATCGTTTCAGTGGGGATGTGTTGCGCGTGACTATGGACATACCTTCTCATTTATAATCCATGCCAAAGATAACAAGATTAGACTACAACATATCCATATGATCTCGACATAAGTCATTGTGATTGATTGTGTGTGTGTGTGTGTGAGTGTGTGGAGGCTAATTTGTGGATTGATGATACTGGACCCACTTTGAACTTGATCAATTGATTAATTTAAACTTTCCATGGAAACAAATACACAACAAGTACAATCATCACCAGTATTAACACAAATGTTAATAAATCATATTATAACATTGGTTTGGAATGATGCTGCCAGACCAAAGTGGCAGAGTACTGATTCAAGAAAATGGAGATTATCATTAACATTGATTAGTTGGAGAATACATCACTTTATCTCTACAACTCTCATTAAGGATGAGGGAACTCAAACATAATACCAAGTCAATATCAATATCTACAAACTTTGCTCAACTTATGTTGGTACAGAACAAAGCTTTGTGTAAATGGATTGGAACCAATACCAATATCCAATACATACGCAATAAGACATCAAACTACAAAAGAGATACAAAGGACCTTAATGATGAATCCAATGCCATCGAGTTTGTAGCATTCCAGCAGGCCATTGACGACCATCCATCACTAATCAACAAAAAAACATGGTATTGGATGTAGGCATGGTGGAATGGTCCCAGTCCAACTTGGATGTTCACTCAATCAATCAATCAAACTTAAAAGTCAAATAAAGTATAAGAGTTTGGGTCCAGAATGGGACACCATTCATTTATTAACATGTACAAGTGCACTTAGAGTGCAGCCTTGGCCTTTGCGAGGAAGATGTCGTACTTGTCGCCCATTGAAGCGCCAGTCAGTTGTGACTTGACCCATCGCTGTGCCTTGATCACCAGCTTGTCCCATTGAGCCTTCTTGTCAGCAAATGACTTCTCCAGCTTGCAGATGACCAGAAGAGTTGTCCACACATCAGGGAAGCTCTTTAGATCGTCAATGATTGAACCGCTAACTGTGAGTGAATGTGGCAATGCGCTCCAGCTGCCATTGGCCTTTTGAGTGCGAATAACATCCATTAGTGGATCACCGGTAGTTGGCTTGGGTGTTGGTGCGCCAGATGGTCTGATAGAAGATGTTGGCTTTGATGGCGACTCACAACGCATCTTCTTATCCTTCTGGCCTGAGGCGTCGAAGCTTTTCTTCCTGGGCGCCTGCTTCTCCTTCATTAACTTGATTGACCTCATTTTAGGGGCTGGGGCCATGCAGTCGTCAGCAGACTGTACCTGCTGCACACCGCTCTCCAGGAAGTCCATCTGCTCGTTGACCTCATCCATCTCCTCCTCCTCGCACTCATCATCATCGTCATCATCGCTACCAGATGAGTTTCCATCGTTTAAGTCATCGTCAAAGTCTCCCTGGGACATTGGCTGTGCGAGCGATCTCGAAATGGATGAGCTGCGTACCGATGAGGACTTGGTCATGGCCATGGCATTGCCAAGTCTGGAGCCGCCTCTGCCACCGCCGCCGCCTCCGCCTGGGGCACCGCGGTACATAGAATTATTGGCGGTTGATGTTGGCTTGACGTCGACGACAACCATGGTGTCCTCAGTGGGTGTGGACGACTCTGAGACCACAACGAATGATGTGTGCTTGGAAATGAGGTGATACTTCTTGCCGAGTGCGACTATCTGATCCTTGCACTCTTGCTTGGTCTTTGGTTGCTTGCGCTCCTTCTCCTCGAGATCACGAATGGCCAGGGCGGCAGAGAGAGTGTGGAGCGAGTCAGAGCTACGTTGAGCCTGGGCAAAGTCCACGGCGACCTCATAGGAGAGGGTCTGTCCGGTGGGACCATCGGCAGTGATCTTGATCGACTTGTTCAAGGTGGTTGGCTCCGACTTGACCAGGGCATAGATCATCATTCTCTCGTTGTTGAACAGTGGTCTGATGTTGGCTGGTGCCTGTACGACTTCCAAGCCATCCCAGTCCACCTGGATGTTGGAGATGGTTGGCTCCATGGCAATGCTCATCAACTTCATCACCTGTGTCTCCATCTGGGCGTTGTCATTAATGAACTCAAAGTAACCCTTGCAGGCCATCGACAGTCCAGTGACCAGCTGACGATCAACTCCGCCTCCAATGCCCAGTGTAAAGATCCTAGTAGTGTTGGCCTCCTTGGCTACATAGTCAACCAACTCGTCTCTCTGTGAAACCTCTCCATCGGTGACTATATTGAATGAGTGGGCACGTTAGTATTTATGATCATGGGGCTGGAGACAAGTTGAGCATATACATACGAATAAACACTTGTCTTGGGTATTGCGAGTCGTTGGGGTTGCGCAGGATGGCCTGGATTGGTGGCAGCAGCTCAGTGCCACCTAGATTGGCATCGATGTGAGTGATGAACTCACTGGCTCTCTCAAGACTGGAATCGTCGTATAGACGCGACTCTGGGAACAGAGAGTTGTAGGATGATCCAAACAGCCAAATGTTGAACTTTGACTTCTCAGTGAGTGATCTCATCAGGATCTCAAGTGCGCGCTTTGCCTTGGCAATGGCACCTCCACTCATCGAGCCAGAACAATCGAGCAGGAAGATGAACTCTGACTTCTGATCGACGTCCTCTGGTGCGACCGACATGTGTGGGTAGTAGTTGATGCCCAGCGCGTAGGTCGAGTCTGAGACGGACTTCTCCAAGAAGTATGTTGGACGCTGAGTGTTGTCCTTCTGATTGATCACGACGATGATGTTCTTGTCGATCTTGCCTTCGTGGCGAAGTGTGAGCTTGGCCTTGTTGCCATCTACCTTGGTATCAGCATGGTTGTAGTTGAGTACCTTGACCGATTGGATGGCCGATGACAGTTGGACGTCCATGTTGAGCGTCAGGTTGAAGCCCTTTGTTGGGAACATGTAGCGATGCAGGCCGTAGTAGTACTCGTCCAAGTAGGTGCCAATCTCAGAGACGATGGTCAGTGTGACAGTGACCTCCTTGGTGGGAGGCAGGTTGCCAATCATTGTGGTGAATGAGCCATTGTCGTTCTTCTCGACCATGAATGCCTGGTGGCCACTGGCAATGGCGTCCGAGTACTTGTTCTGAGCTGCCTCCTTCTCCTTGATCTTGGCAATCAGCACCTTGTCGTCGTAGGTGACCACGAAGCTAGACACGGCAGCCTGTGGCGCCAGGGGCATCTGGTACTTGGCCTCGACTGGCGAGGTGTTGCCGTTCTTGTATCGCTGTGTCCAGACAGAGACCACTGCGGCGTCCGACACGGTTGTATCAATGTTAAAGTCTGTCAACTCGAATGTGTTTGATGCGGGCGCTGACTTGGCCGCCAGTCCAACGAATGGTTGAATGGCATTCCTTTCCAAACGATCAAAGAACAAACTCGAGTACTTTGTCTTCTCACTATACTCATCAGCTGTCTTTGCTCCACTTCCGCTTCCACTTCCAGTCTTTGAAAAGAATGATTTCAGCGCTTGCATATTTATCTGTATATCTATGTATCTGTTTGAATGAATGAATAAATGAAACAAGTTCAACTTAATATTTATAAATTGTCAGTTCAATTTTAATTTAATTTGGTTTGTTCATTCCGGATTTTTTTTATTTCAGATGAGGGCTTATCGTTGGTGCAACCCCCTAACCATCACTTTTTGATCCAAAACACTTCAACGAATGAATCCAATTCTTCTTTTTTTACAACTTTTTGCAGCGATCTTTACAAATATCGGTCGGTCCGACCATGATGTCCATTGGAAGGTTACTAGTGCCATAACAAATTATCTGTATCTTCATCGTTGTCGTCAGCGTCCACCATGTCCTGTTCCAAACATTTGATGATTGACTGGATATTGACAAACCCACCAGACATGCATTCGTTCGCAACTACTCCTCCCTTAAGTCTGAGGAGAATGGTATCATTGACTCGAATGAATGTCTGTGCTGGCACCTCAGCCAAAGGTATCTGGATCAATCTGATTGATGGCGGTAACCCCTTCATGATTGCAAGAGCGTGCTCAGGTTTGGCACGATGATAGTATAGTTCCCTGATCGATGGGGGCAGTTCACTGGGTTCAATGTAGTAGGACTTGTTGACCAACTTCAAACGAGTGAGCGATGAGGGCAGGCCTTGAACATTGAATGCGGCCACCTTATCGAATGTGAGATAAGAGCGATCGATTGTAAGACTGGTGATTCCATTGGGATAGATTAGATGTGGCTCTTGTGGTATATATGGCTCAACATTCAGCCTCCTCAATGACGCAGGCAGTGTTGTCAGGTCAGAGGTCGATGTGATCATTGGCAGGCAAAGCTTGTCCAGGTTTGGAAAGTAGGTCGATGTGATGGCGTCCAAATCAATCAAAGTTGATGACATCAATTTCAATACGCGAAGATACCTCAGCTCAACCATGGCAATGTGAATAGCATGATTTGAGTGAAGTACCAGGTGCTGCAATGGCAGATGATCGATGCGATTGGTATAACGCACGCCAAGTGTGAGAGTGATGATTGATGCAGGGAAGTCTGTCACTGGTTGGTTGAACTGTGATCCATCCAGACAGAGCTCAGTGAGTGAGCATGGTAGATTGGTGCGGTCAAGAGGCTGGTTGAACTTGGCCGCGATGTGTAGTATCCGCAGTGATGAGGGCAGTGTGCCAGGGAGCAGGGGTGCTGAGAAGTCGCCATAAAGATAGAGCTCCTCCAGTGGCATGGTCAGATCGCCAGGTGCAATATGCATTGGATCATAAGATGATTGAAGATGAAGAGATCTTATGGTGTCTGGCAAATAAACCAGAGGCATGCCCTCCAATGCCATCTCGATCGATTTGAATGGTATGTCCAGCAGTGATCCCCTGTTAAAAGATGGATTGGGCTTTCCAAACAATGTATAATACATTATATATGATATGCCAATGACTCTATGCTCCAACTCTTTCAAACATACACCAACCTTATCCCAGAATGTTTGATCGAACTGATACAGATCAATCTCTCTAAATGTCACCTGACCAATATTCACAACATCCATCAACCTCCTAATCATCTGATCAATGTCAAGTTGACCCATGTCTGTGTCGTTCGTCGTTAATGATTGATTGATTGTGATTGATTGATTGATTGATCAGTTGATCAACAACATACCAAGAAGTATATCATAATCATCAGATTCTTGATGATCTGTCGGACCGAAATCAGAACAGTATATAAGTATATCCATTGGTTTGTTTGTAATATCATTATGTACTTGTTGTTGATATGATCTAAGACATATCTTGTTGTTATTGTTGATGTTACTCCATTGATTATATCTTATAAGTTGTTTATAATTAAAGTTGAGATAGGAGTGTCTAGAATCAAACAGACGTCTACACACCAATGACAACATCAATCTATCAACATTACTATCTAAACATGATACTATATCTCTAAGTATTATAAATGGTAATGATTCCATCATTTACTTATTTGATTGATTCAATGAATGATCCAAAATCGATCATTGACCTTTGACATGCTCATCGACGTCAACGTTTTTGAGATTGTCTTGGTAGACCATAGTGTCATCAATCAGTATTTGATCGATTTGTTCTCGTTGGACAGGGTCAAATACCTCTGGAAATTCATGATTGGGATTGATATGATCGTAAATCCTTTCCATTGAGTCTGGATATTGACAATTGACTCCAACTTTGATGTTTTCTATTATCTTTATATTTAACTTTGCCCATCTAATTAAATTAATATAATCATTTATAATGGATTGTTTACATTCCTATGTACAATCCTTTGTTAATATATAATTGTAAACTCTAATTGTCTGTGTAGTATCATATGAAACTAAGTGATATGGGTCACCATCTGTTCCTATCTTTCTATGACATTTGTCATTGGTTAATTATTATTATTAAGTTAGTTAGTTTTGTTGATTGATTGATTGATGTTCACTACAATAGTTGAAGTGGAAGAACGATGGTATTGAGTGATTGATGAGAGTCCAGACTACAACTCGATCGATTAACCCCACAAGCAAACCCACAATATCTTCATGTCAATCAAGTATTTTATGGGTCATTCCAGGACAATCAATTTTCTTTCTCATCCTTGTTTGTTGTTGGTGACGGTGCTCCTGTTGTTGTTGATATATTGTTGTTGGCATCAGTAGGTATTGTCGAGGGCGATGGAGTCTTTGTTGTTGTGGTTGTTGTTGGTATTTGTATTGAAGCTGTTGATGTTGAAGTTGTTGAAGTTGTTGTTGGAGAGGTTGCATTGTGCAGCTGTTGCTGATGCAGCTGTTGTGATCGCCTATCGGATATAACCAACTTATCATATAGTGCAATGTCCACCTGTTGAACATCCTCATCATTGAACTCTTCACCTAGACTGTTCTCATCATCGTATGTGTCGTCATAGTGGCTGTCGGAATGAATCGATGACTGATATTGTAGTTGAATAGATTGGAGGAGAGTTAGATAGGATGCAAAGAGGGTTCACCAACAAACAAATACATACCAGTGATCCAAGATCTATATCGTTGTCCTTGCTACTGTCCACGGCTGCTGTTGCTCCTGGTTGGTGCTTGGCCAAAGCTGCCTGCTTCTGCTGTTGCAAGGTGAGTTGTTGAAGGAACTGCTGCTGTTGTTGCAGTCGCTTCTGATGCTGGAGCAACAGTTGACGCTGTTGGTACAGCTTCTTGTACATTCCCTCGACTCTGTTGATGTTGATTCCATTCGGGCCTACTCCACTAATGTTGTTGTTGTTGCTGTTGCTGCTACTGATGATGCTGCCAGCCATTGAGGATGTAGGAGGGATGGATTCGCTGGTCTGATTAAAGTCCGAAGCGTACGAGTCGGTGCTGGTCTCGTGTGGCACATAGGGCTTGCCCTTGCGCACCTGCGTGTACTGTGCTCCATCTCTGGCAGGTGACTGCACGTACTTGACTGGTGTCTTGTGATCGGCTGCATAGCCATACGGCTGAGGTTGCTCTGTGTACGCAGGATAGCTCTGCTGCTGAGGTGCCTGTTGAGGGGTGTGTGGAGGGTACCTCTGCTGCTGCAGTGGTGTCTGATGGTGCTGCTGCTGCTGATGAGGATGAGGCTGCTGTTGCTGCGGTGTATTGTACAATGATGGATGATGTTGTTGAGGAGCGTATTGAGCTTGATTGTTGTATTGTGTTGGATAATACTGCTGCTGTTGCTGCTGCTGTGGTGATGGATGTTGCTGTTGTTGTTGCTGCTGTAGTTGTCTATGTTGTTGTCGTCTTTGTTGCAGGATCTGTAACTTGCGCAGTATCTCTTGTTGTTGTTGCATCTTCAATTGTTGATGGAACTGCTGTTGAACCTGTTGTTGTTGTTGATGAAGATGCTGTTGATGTTGATGTTGTTGCTGATAGTGCTGAGGAGTGGTGTGATGTTGTTGGATTGGATTGACACCAGTCGAGGAGGAGAGGCTGGGCTGGTGATGGGTCGTAGCCGAAAGCATCTGAACCGTGTTGCACACAGTGTCATAGAGCTTCACCCATTGGAACTGAGTGGATAGAGTCTTGAGTTGATCCATGATCATACATAGATAGGCAATGTCAAATGATGAGTGCTCCTCAATGAACTTGAATGTGTCCACAACAAGCTTCTTGCTCTCCACATGCCAGTTCGTAGCGATCTCCTATTGTTGATCGTGTCAGTTAACTGATCAATCAATCACACGATGCACTTAAACTATACTTACTGGTTGATGTTGTGGCATCTGTGGTTGATGCTGTTGCTGCTGATGGAGATGTTGCTGCTGCTGCTGTGGTTGTGGATAATGGAATGCCGATGGACTGTCATCAATGATGTGGGACGTTGGCGATGGGGATATATGATGATGGACGGGAGTGTTGCGCTTGGGAGTCCTCTGAGTATTGACCTGCTGTACAGTGGATGGTGTGGCAGCAACAAACGATGGCGAGACACGCTTCTGGAGATGCTGGCTATTGACCAAGTTGTTGATGTAGCTGCTCTTGCTGTTTGTTGAAGAGGGGTAGTCTTCGTCGTCGGTGATCTCCTCGAGCTGATCAATATCGTCATTATTGGCGACATAGCTGTTTGGGACAACGAGCTGAGGATTGGAGGGTGCCACTACGCCGACACCGCTGCTGGTCTTCTTGGGTCTGCCTGGCGTCACTGGATTGTTGGGGAAGTGACCTTTCCACACTTGGAAGCTGTCATCATCCTCGCTGTCACTATAGTTGACCAGTGATCTTGCATGTTGCTTGTTTGTCATCAATGTTGATGTCGTTGATGTCGAAGGAATGATTCCAGTTGGTAGCGCGCTCTTGGGTGGCTTCTTGCTCGAGCTACCAGGGGCTGTGATTGATCATGATCATGATCGTGTGAGTGAATGATTGAAAGTTCGTTCGATCATTCAAATTAGTAACTTACCTTTGTTTGGCTTTGTCTTTGGAAGCCAGTAAATGCCTTCTCTAAGATCATCTTCATCGTTGGTCTTGTTGTAGGACTCCATATGTTCGTTGTATGTTACGTCATCCAGCGGCTGGCCATACTCGTCCAGGTAGAGGTTGTATCCCTCCTCATCGTCAATGCCATCAGGACCATAGTCAATCACAGGCCGAGGGCGTTTACCAGACTTGTGGTTGGCGTAGAATCTCGCGTCATCTTCGTAGAGGTCATCGTCTTGTTCCTCGTCCTCGTCATCGGTGCCCTCTTCGTCGTCATCTTCGCCATCGACCTCTTCCTCATCCTCGTCATCCTCATCTTCGATCTCCTCTTCCTCTTCATCGTCTCCATCCTCCTCATCCTCATCAAAGGCCTCATTGCTTGCTGCGTCCTCATCCTCCTCCTCTTCATCACCCTCCTGTTGATCCTCCCACTTGCGGGAAGTCATAACATTCTTGATCAACGTTGATATCTTATCGAGGTTCTTCTTTGAACTGTGTGATCGTGTTGTAGTTAGTATGTTTGATTGATTGATTGAATGAGTGATCAACGACAAACATACGTTCTAAGATGTAGTAACTCATGTTGTATATTGCTCATTGCCATCTCAAGTTGAATCTTTTGTTCATCTTGTTGTGAATCAACTTGTTGAAGTTGTTGTTGTATATTGTTATTGTTATTATTGTTGTTTGATGTATCATCAGCCTCTTGACCACCGTTTGTTGTATTGTCCTCTTTGTTTGATGTCGTGTCCAATACAACAGTGCTCTCACTTGTCTTTGCAACATCTTGTTGTTCCTTGGTAGTCTCTGTAACACTAACTACATCTCTCTCCTCAACAACACCTGTTGTTGTTGTGTTTGTTGGTGACTGTTGTCCAACATCATTCTGTTGTTGTTCATTCCCTTGCATTTCTCCTGTGCAATATATATATATAAATGATGTACTTGTTTGTTATTGTTGTTGGCAAGATAATGAGAATGATCAACAAAATGACACTTTGTTGAGTGTTCACCAGCAGATCACAAACAACAAGTTCCTTTTCAAAAAGTATCAAATCAACACTTTCTTTGAAATGATCAATTATTAGTTATAACCTTAGCTCGCTCGTTGGGTGTGTGTATCTAACACTGGAGGTGGACACGAGGATTGTTTATTAAGTTGATCCATACAAGATGGATGTTAAACACTTTACTTAGAGATGGTTGGTGAACTTGGGAGACTCGTTGGAGTTGTCCTCGAGACCATTGGCAAAGGCAAAGGGGATTGCCGAGAACTCCTGTTGGGTCAATCCTTCAATACAGTTGATGCTGACATAGGCGAATGCTGGTGATCCTGGATACTCGCCACGCATATACATCTGGGTGCCACACGACTTGCAGAAATAGTGTCCAGTGCACTTGGCGCCATAGTGGTATACGGCCAGGTTGGACTCTGGCGTGGTCAACTTGAGTGAGTTGATGTTGGAAACAGGATGTACCCACATCCTAGTCTTGAAACAACTTGAACAGTTGCAACGGCCACTCTGACTAAGATCAGATTCCATATCACATGTCAATCTGACCTTTCCACAATGGCATGATAATACGAAGTTTCTTAACTTTGAAGCGATTGACATTATTATTTGTTTGATAATTGATTAGTTTGATTATTTGATTTGGAGTATTAGATGTTTGTAAGTTGATGGATCTTAATAAGGACTGGATCCAGGTTTATATAGTTATCCAGTCTGGAAATTATTGATCCAGTTTGATCATATTGTTTGATCCAGGTTTGACCAAAAAATACTTGGAAATGATGATCAAAGTAATCCACTGTTGGGCGCAGGCGATGATCATCTGACCCCGCCCATACCCCCTGTATTGTACATTGGCTTAAGAACTAAGAATCATATTCTTATCGATGTAACCGATCCAATAGACATGCCCTTAATCATCCAAATATTTGAATTTAAGTCCAAATCAAACTGGATAACATTATCTGTTGTCAACAACAAAGTTGAGAATTGTCCAAGTACAGACACTACACATTGACTCTTCTGGAACATGTAGGATGTCAGATTATCTTAGACCCCCTTATTTTGCTCACATTATTCTTAATCTTTATTTACATTCCAATCACTCAGTGACTCACTAAGATTACTTGCCAATGGGTTGAGTATGATGACGCGCCACAGCCGAAGCCAAGGCCAGAGCCAGGGCAAAAGATACTTAGGCCACACGTGAGAATAGGTCGATGGCTTCGGATGGAGCACTCTTTCTTATGGTGATTTCGAATCGACAGTGGAGGGTTGTCTCGTTACCAGTTGCTCCAACTATGATTGGCCACTTGCTACGTGCAGCCAATAATGGTTCATTGCCAGGCATGTATCTGCTCTCAGTCTTGATCACCTCCATTATATCAAAACACTTGTCGTAGGCCGTCATGTTGAACTTCTCAGCCATCCTCTTTATAACATCACGCACGGTCTCATTGGCATTGATCCTCACACTCTTGAAATTGCCATGTCTATAAAAGAACTTGATCACTTCTGTCGTGTCTGTGACTGGTGTTATCTCGCGAATTGATGGTTTGTTGATGATTGGTGTCTGGCCGCGCTCAACTAGATCCTCCGACAGCACTGGCTTGCCCTCGGCTGCCGCCACCATCTCTCGCTGGAACCAGGAGTGCGCCATGTCGTACGATGAGTAGCCATTGGTGTCCTGCATGTGGATGTTGGCGCCGTGACGTATGAGCCATAATGCCATTACATCATATCTATTGGTAACCAATGAGTGCAGTGGAGTGATGCCACGATTGTCCTGTGCATTGACATCTGCGCCACGGAACACTAGCAGCTCCATCGCCTGTCTATGTCCTCTTGCCGCTGCAATATGTAAAGGTGTTGTACCCTTTCCATACTCGCACAGGTTGACGTCCACACCTGTATCAATCATCTCTCGCAACTTCTTAATATCATTATTTCCAACTGATCGCAACAAATCATAATCATACTTTTCCAGAACCATTATTATTATTATTATTATTATAATTATTATTACAAGTTATTATTTGTTTGGATGATAGAATGATTGATTGATTGATTGATTGACTTGGTTGTTGTCGATTAAGGTGTTATAGGTACCTTTAAACAATAGATGGCTTGGGGCTGGTGTGTGGAGGGGGATCACATGATGACCATAGGGGTGTAGTTATCTGATTGGCGTGTGTGTGTGTGTGTGTGTTTGATTGTGTGTGTTATAAATAGTCGATCAATCATTGAAACATGATGTGTAGTATGCGAAGGACACTGTGGACCTTAGATGAATGATGGTATTGGATATATTGGTACTTGTGGGGATGGACATGGATTGGAGGCACCGCCATTGTACTCACTATACCATTTGCCACAGGCCAATGATGCACAGGTGTTTGGATTTTGTCCATCATTGCGCGGACATCCGCTCTTGATGAAGCAATTCTGAAAGTCTCGCAATATCTGAGGGATGGTCGATATGTTGAACTTTGAGTGGCAGCGTCCATTGACATTCAGTGACAACTCGTCGGACAGCAGGTCTTTGGTCTGGCACACGCACACACTGCCAAAGCGACATCGGTTCAGAGGTCGACGGACATCGTTGCAGTCCTCCTCAGTGTTGGTAGGACGGAAGATCCTGTTGCACTTGTAGTCCGTGCACTCCAAGTCCTGCGAGACATCGCAACTGTACCAATCCTTAATGTCGCACACGTCGCCATATTTGAGGGAGAAGGGTGGCACGCACACGCCGGGCTTGTCCGTGTTGCGCAGACATGTGCTCATCCACATGCACTGCTGGGTCTTGTTGCAAGGACTGCCATTGGGCAGGCTGGCCCTGCAGAGCTGATCAACGCATCGTTCGTTGCCACGGCAATCATAGTCATTGCCACATCCTGGATACTTTCGTCTGGCACTTATACACACATTCTTGAATAGATCGCATTCTTGACGATATCCACATTGATAGGTGAAGTTACACCTCTCTCCAAATCCCAAATAATGTGCTGTAACACATGTATCATTGACACATCTAAGATATTGATCTCGACTACACTCCTGATCCCTCTTGCATTTAGCACCTGCCATTTTAGGATAAGTACATCTCGATACTGATCCACCTGTTCCTGGACATCTGTTATTGAGTTGAGTGATTGAGTGAGTGAGTGATCTGATCAATCTATCGATCGATCAAACTAAACTTACATAGTTCCACTTGGACATATTCCATTCTTGATACCTATGGGCTGTGCCAAGAGTTGATAACATGGATCTCCCCAATCCAAACATTTATAACATTGTCCATTGACCATGATAAGTGGAATGTAATCAAATATTTGGATTGAATGGCATAGTATCAAGAGACCAATGCAACGTAGAAGAAACCATATAGTCGTCGTATTCGTCGTATTCGTTGTTGTTGTTGTCAACCTAGATACCATTTATCTATATAATGAATGACTCTACTTGAAAGAGAGAGAGTTGTCTCTTTCTGTCTGTCTGACTTTATGTCTATTTGATTATTAATTGGTGTTCTTACGAATGAATCACGAATGTACTGGATTCATCACACTTCTTGTAGAGACACATCAAAGTATGTCTGTCTCACATGTCTCATGTGATTGATTGATTGGGATGAGTAAGTCAGTGAGTGAGAGTGTGCTGAATGGTCAGTCGCCAATCATTCCATCGATCACACACACACACACTCACAGACTGATCAGTCACGTGAAGTGTCGACACTTCACACGTAAAGATGGGATGACATAGATATATACTTCACATTGAATGAATGAATGAATGAGTGAATGAATGAATGAACAAGAAGTGATCTTCAATTAATTTCCTGGAGATGGAAAGCGAAAGGACACAAAGAAGTTGTGTCCCTCACTTTCAACACTTCAAAGTGTTATTACCTTCTTCTTCTTTCTAATCATCATTGTTGTTGTTATAATAGGTAGATAGATATATAGACATGTCAAACAATCATAATAGAAAGTTAGTTATATTAGCTGGAAATGCTCATCCTATATTGGCTGAGGAGATAGCGTCACATCTGGATCAGAATGTTGGCAAGGCATTGGTTGCCAAGTTTGCCAACAGTGAGACACAAGTCATCATCAATGAATCAGTCAGAGACGTTGACCTTTATATCATACAAGTATGCTTATTATGCAATTCTAAAGGGATGGGTTCGGTTCGGTTCATTCGTTAACATCAATCATCCCATCCCATCAACTACTACAACTACAACTCAAGCCAACATGTAATCCATGTGTCAATGATTATCTTATGGAACTGTTGGTATTGGTCGATGGAGCAAAGCGTGCTTCAGCACATCGAGTTACTGCCGTTGTGCCATTCTTTGGTTACTCGCGTCAATCAAAGAAGGACAAGTCCAGGGCACCAATCACATGCAAGCTAGTCGCCAACATGATGGAGATGTCAGGAATAGACAGAGTGATTACAATTGATCTCCAGTACGTCATCATTCAATCATTCAATCAGATCAATCAACTAACATAACATGTAAATGTAGCTCGAGTCAGATTCAAGGATTCTTCAATATACCTGTGGAGAATGTATACACTGAACATCTGTTCACCAAGTATATCAAGAATCATATCGAACATCTTGGTCCATTCGTGATTGTGGCGCCAGGTGTAGGAGGAGTGAAGCGTGCCAAGACTATATCGGACAGATTGGAAGCGGACATTGCAATCATTCACAAGGCCAACATCAATTCATCCGACTCTGAGACCGTTCTGGTGGGCGAGGTCCAAGACAAGGTGGCCATCATCATCGATGATATTGCTGATACCTGTACAACACTGAACTCGGCCGCCGTTACACTGATTCGTCGCGGCGCCACCAAGGTCTTTGCGCTGGTGACACACGGAGTCTTTTCCAACAACGCCATCGACATCATCAATGAATGTCCAATCAGCGAGCTGGTCATCACTGATTCCATACCCAACCAGCACAACAAGTTCAAGTGTCCCAAGCTGAAGATCATCTCCATCGCCTCTGTGATGGCCGAGACAATCAGACGTGTACATAACGGTGAGTCTGTTACGCACGTCTCTAGACATGTACATGAATGATTGATTGATTGATGACCATTCATACGTCACCTGACTATCAGCTGACATCTACTGTATAATATATATCTATCTCTATCTAGCAACTTGTGTGTAGTAGTTTATTATTAATATCGCATGGTTTGTCGTTGGGTAGATTGATTGATTGAATGAATGAGTTGATCGATCGATCGCACTTTAGAATCTAGTCCTAATGCTTGTGATTGGCCTGTTGTATGCAGAGATAATGTCGACCTCTGTCATCTCACTCTCTGGTGAACGGTCGAGCTTGTTACCAATCAAACACAACTCCTTCAGCTTCTCCTCAACCTGTTGCTCCGACATATTTGTGACTACTCTATTCTCCTCCTGTCCCCAGTCTATGTATATATGATTGATTGATTGATTGATTGTTAGTCTCTGCTTCTTGATGTATATATATGAATCATCGATGACCTACCATATCTAGCATAGATCACTGGCTCGATGCCATGAGTCTCGCGGATCATCAATGGGAGTCTTGGGTTCAGTCTCTTCAAGTCTGCGTAGTTCTTGGTGATGAAGTTTCTGTTTATGCGTGTACATTGTATGTTAACAACCTGATTGATTGTTTGATTGACATCGCCAAGCTAATAAACGTTCATCATCATCATCATAGTCGTCATCATTATAGTCTTCGAATGAATGATCATTACCTAAGTCCATCACTGCTTTGATTAGTCTGACAGAAGCAGATTCTAACCTCTTGAAGATTATGTGACAGCAATGCCCTCCACGACATGTTATATATAAATTATATCTGTATGTTATTAATGACAATGACAAACTTATCACATTCGGGTCCAAAAGAGGACTCAGGCGGTCACTCTCACTTCGATTCTCTTTTTTGCTGAACACCCCCTGACACGACCCATCATTCATTCGTCAATCAATCACAAGTCAATCACTGATTACAACAATGGTTTATTATAACTTTAAAGTAGTCTTGGCTTGAGATGTCCAGTGCTGATCAAGTACTCGACTGTCTCCTTGAGTGTAACATCTAGATCAATGTAGAGTCTGCCAATGCTGATTGGTGTGATCGACTTGACTTCGTAGTTGAATAGTGCAGAGTTGGGAGTGATTGGCTTATGCTCAGTGGTATGATCATGGAAGTCGTACTGAGGGAACAGTTGCTTGGCACGCTCAGCAAGGTCAACAACAGACATCACTCGGTTGCTAACAAGTTTACGTTGACGATTGTGATTCTCGGTCGATGTGAGCACAACCATGTGAGTGTCGACAACATCGCGCAGGTCGACTACACCCATGTATCCATTGCCAATGTCGCCACGAAGTGCATTGGCAAACAACTCGACACTGGAGTTGAGGTGGCTGGCGAGACCGGCGCCAAGGACAAATGAAGGGCTGACGATGATCATCTGGAAGTGGCTCGGTCTGAACTCGACGGCAGCCTTCTCAGCCAGGTACTTGGAGTATGGGTATGGGTTGGAGATGTTGGTCGACTCGTTCCAGTCGTCCTCGGTGTAGACCGCCTTCTTCTTGGCCAGGTCGACAACGGCCACCACGGACGAGGTGATGATAACTTTCTTGATGGAGGGCACCTTGTCAGCAGCCTCGAGTACGCGGAGGTTTCCATTGATGGCGGCGTCAACAATGGTCTTTTGTGGATCGGGTGCAGTGTAGAGGAATGGCGAGGCAACATGAAGTACATGGTCGGCACCCTGGAAGATGGTGGCATAGTCAGCGGTCTCCAAGTCACCATCCTCGAATGAAAGATGTTCATTGGCACCCTTCAACTCTGTCAAATGTCTCAACTTGTCCTTATTTGACTTATCTCTAACTATTGCCACAACCTTATAAGTACCCTTAAGTAACAACTGTTGAATGATGGCACTTGCAATGTATCCAGTTGCTCCTGTCACTACGACCTTTTCAATTTGTTGTGTAGATATCATTTTTCTATTTAATATGTTTAATTGTATCTGAAGTATATATGTTGATGTATTAATTAATAATACAGATAGATAGACACTGTCTATCTATTTATATTCATCCCTTACTCTCTATCTCAAGATGGAGAGATATTTATGAAACAAAGAGGGAACCACATTCCCCTGTGTTCTCCTTGTTCTCGACGGCGAGTTGTGGGTTGATCTTCTGAAAGTTGGTCGTGGGGGAATCAATCGATTGATTCGAACAGAATGAAAGGGTGTTTAGGGGGTGACATGTCATATGAGTATGTTCAATCAATTATTGTTGCTAATACAACAAGACAAGAGGACTCTTCTAGTACGCCTCATAACTATTACATCTCTAGAGCACTTATCATCATCATCATTAAAGTTTGCTCAACGAACATACACTTTATTCATTGATCTGTACTTGTAGATTCAAGCTCTAGAAATATTTATCAGCCAGGCATTGAGCATGGAAAGGATGAATGAGATACTTAAGAGATCAATCAATGTTACATTAAAATGAGTAACGTTCAACTTTATGATCATCTGTTTGTAGTTTGACCATTCATGGATGATGTTGTCTTCCCAATAATATTAAATGGTTCCACGCAAAGTTGGTCCGAACGAGTAACTTGGCAATGACGCATATCGTTAAGGTAATTAATTACCCAAGCTATCCACTCTGTTGTTGGTTCTAAATAATCATAACAATCAGTCTATCAACCATTCAATCAATCAAAATATATATATATAATAAGAAAATAGGACAATGAATCAGAAATCTGAACATAATAATCATATCAATTATACTTGTTCTCAGTGTAGTCAATGCACAGGATGATAATGTTGGAGACTATTGTATGATCTGTGTCAAGGATAGGCAGAGAACATGCTGTGGAATGAAAATGGCCTGTGAAGATGGAAAGATTATCATGCTGAACAATGTCAAGCGCTGCAAGACCGACAAGAAGGAAATCAACTGTGGCGAATGTGACAAGAGTGACAGCAAGAATGGTTACTTCAAAACTGTACACTGCGGCTGCCAGAACTCCTGGGGTTGCAGCCAACTATCTTTCTGTAACTGATCAATCAATCAATCTTTTCAAGTCAATCAAACACATCAACAATTAGGTTATAATAAAAGTAGTTGTTTGTAGACATGGCATGCTAGCAATCAACATTTATTGGATTAGGATCAGAGGTCAAACAGTATGGCGGCAGTCTAGATGGAGACATAGGTTCGTGGTAACATAGTCAAACACCATGGCGGCAACAGGTCAACATCACGGCGGCAGAGGTCAGCATCACGGCGGCAACAGGTCAACATCACGGCGGCAAATGTCGGCATTGTGGCAGTCTAGCTGGTGCAGAGGTTCGTGGCAGGATGAGAGACAAAGGCTCTTGGAGACAGAGGTCAGAGACAGCTCGGCGGCACGACAGCAGAGGTCAGCATGGCGGCAGAGGTCAAGACGGCGGCAGCGGTCTGACAGCATGGCGGCAGAGGTCAACACGGCGTCGCGGTCAGACAGCTCGGCGGCACGACAGCAGAGGTCAGCATGGCGGCAGAGGTCATCTTGGCGGCAGAGGTCAGACAGCATGGCGGCAGAGGTTCGCGGTCAGTCAGCGTGGCGGCAGAGATCAGCAGCAATGCGGGAGTGGTTAGACAGCAAGGCGACAGGACCGCAGAGGTCAACAGCACGGCGCACTTCTGTGAGCTCAAGGTAACAAAGGTTCAGGACATGAGTATGTATGTGTATAAGTATAAGTAAGAGAGAGATAAGAATGAATGAATCAATGAGAGTGCTTCGTATTTATAGCTGTCTATGTCGCACCAGGAGTGTCACACGCACCATTCAACCAACCATCATTGACGGATTTTGAAACCCAGCCGTTGTCCATTCTGGTTACCTCGACAATTTCAAATTCAAATCCCCAATAACAGACGCCACCACACACTCAAAGATGAAGTTCAAATGATCAAGCATGCAATGGAAGTTCATTCCAAACAGTGGGGGAAGATATTTATGTTGATCTTGAGAAACACAACTAACTACATTGCTTCATTCATTCATTGGTTCATTCGTACAACAACATCAGCATTTATAATATATATATATATATAATTAAACATTCAATAGCATTGTTGTGTTATGTAATGTAATGTAATGCAATGGGTACCCAAACAATGACATGACCGAATTGGACTGTATCCCAGAAGGTCATCCCATCCATCTATCACACTTTTAATGTCAAGATGACAGAAGACGTTACCGCTCAACTAATCAAGTCTGCTATGCTGGTCTTCTCTGTGCTGTCTGATCTCGTTCTTCTTTGATGCAGGAGTAGCACTGACCCGTGACTATCGACAAATCGCCCAACCCATCATGCATGTGATCKGACCGACCAGATGGCTCTTTGGATCCAGTGACAATCTCGGTCACCATTCTCGACCAAGATACACGCAGCATGGCGAGGTCCCATCACCGAGGAGGTTTTCCACAATTCAGCGCCTAGTCCCACCTCAAAGGGCAAGAAGGCTGCCACATCCCCATGAACAGCAGCGTCCAAACATATGGCAGATCACAGTGGTCAACGAGTTGGATAGTGGGATGGGTATGGTCACTCTGTGCCATTCATACAGACAGCTCGATGGTGGTCGAGAGTCCTTCACCATCAATGAAACCTTAGGGCTTAAGGAGTCTGAACAACATTGTCAGGTTTGACAGCACCCACGACGGAGAGGAGGAGTCCGCCAACTTCCATAACCAATCAGTTGCAAGCATCAGGAATGTAAAGACAATCAATGGCGAGACATCGATTGGGAAAGCAACTCATCACCAACATTGTTTCACACAGCTCATCTTGGACACTCTCATCTCATCACTCAACACCTTTGCGTCTCACCTCCCACATCAGCCCATTCACGATACTCTCGCTGTTGCCCGCCAAGCCCTTGGCACCACCAACCTCAAGATGCACAATCATCGTGGTGAGGACGCCATCGCAAAGGAGATAATCTCATGGCAGAATTGAACGCCCAGTGAAGTCACAGCAAGATCGAGCACATTCATCCTCATTGAGCCCAAAGACAGCGGCAGTCTGGCTATAACACAGATGCACGCCGCAGAGGCTTGCTGGAGCAGCGCATCACCAGCATCGGTGCACGAGTCCCAATCGACGTTCCTGAGAACAACCTCGACAAGTCTCAAACTCATTCGATAATCATCTCAACTCGATCACCATACTCGACTCAATGATCACGTTATTGGGGCCATCACCTCTCGATGATGGTGTTTAGTCTAAACTGATTGATGCAACCCTTTCAGCAAGGAGCCATTCACTGCAGCTTCTACAACAGACTCATCATTCATTCATTCATTTATCAGAGTATTCTAGTTGGAACGATCGTTGGGCTCACTCAGCCTCATTCAAGGCTCATCAACGTGAACTTCATTGGTGATGACACTGAGATGATACAAATTCAAATGGACCGTTAAATGGTCAATCTGTTAATTAAATATATTTAAATATTTAATTCAAAATGTGTGTTTATAAGTGTGTGTGAGTGTGTGTGAGTGTGTGCCTCTTCTCACCCACTCACACACACTCTGTCATTGAGGTGAATGTCCTTGGACAAGTGGGCATTGACATCACTCATTACCTTATCACCTAATTMCATGTATGTACACATATATAACATTATTAYAATGTTACTATTATACTATCATCATTCAAATTCATAATACTAACCTTGATTCTTTCTCTCACTCTCTCCAACGATCTTATTCATCAATCAATCAATCAATATCAATCAATCAATTATTATTATTATTTATAGACTCTCTACTTCGGCTTTTGCCAAACTATTATCTCACAACAATAATATCACTTTAAACAGTGTTTTCCAACACTACTACGACTTCTTCAACTCGATTTATTATTATTCTTACAATGCAATTTAATTATATTCAATCACTCTATCCACCAGCCAAGCCCCTTAGACTGTTGTTTGACCCGACAGTTCCCAAGACCTTGCTTCTGGCCACCGAAAAAGGCACGATCATCAGGAAGTTCAAGGTCTTCATTGACATTGGCGCGACACTTCTCATACTCCCATATGTCAAACCAATCAGACCACTGTTCGACAACAGGCGACCAAAGATTTTATTTGGAAAGGATCAAGATGGAGTCAATTTCTCACGCAGGGTTCCTCTTGATGTCGCATTTGTCATTGCGAATACTGTCCCATACGCTCCTCTCAACCAGGAGAATAGTAATGTCCAACTCATTCACTGTAACTGTCTCAGGATATTACGATCGTTACCTGTCTACCCCAGAAGGCAACCAGTATCCACCCCAAATCAAATGGGACCAAATCGTATGTTTACATCAAATGAACTCATTCATTCAATGATTGAGTGATGTCTTCCAGTCTGCTGTAAAACCAAGTACTAACCATCCTCGTCCATGTCCTTTTCACCCAAGACAATGAAATCAATCAACAACATTCCGACCTCGGACCCAGACCTGGAGACCAACTTTATCCAACATTACCATCCAGTCATCCAGTCACCCAAGCAGACATTGGCCACCACCAACTACCTAGATACCAATATCCACCATCACCAGATTATGAGGTGGATGAGCCTGTGTTCTCTCCTCCGGTCCCTCTCCTTTTCAATTAGTTATTCACCTATTTATATCTTGCCGTCGATCAAGCAGATGAGTGATGGGTAAAACCCAAATATCTCTCGGCTGGCGATTGAAACCAATCAACCACCAACAACCAACAACAACAACAACAACAATATCAAAGTCGAGTTACCAACCCACCAATCAGTGGTCCTACATCCATCACCTGAACCCAGATGACACAGTGGAGACGTTGTGATTCATTCACACGATGACCTGTCGTTGCGAGGTCCATTCCCTCCAAGTCATCCAGTGCCGTGCCAGTGCCGTGCCAGACCGAGTGCCATTCCGCCGAGCCAAGCCAGGCCAAACCGAGGTGGACCTTTCCAGGACCGAATACTACTAACATTTCCTCCCATCACCATTTGGCCATCTCCGCAAGGAGGTGGCCGTGGCCCATCATGCAAGAGGGATGGGTCGGCCTGTCATGCAAGAGGGACGGGTGGGCCCATCATGTAAGAGGGGTGGGCACGGCCTGGGGACTACACCTGTCGCTATTAGACTTTAGGCACGTCGAGACAGGTATGGCAGCAACTTTGTTGACTTTGAGAGTTTCTTCTCATTGTCACAAGTGCTGCCTTTATTTTTTTTTAAAGCCGTTGGGCAGCAACCGTGCCCAGGCGACATCATTGAGTTGTACTTTTCCAATTGTTGTTATACTCCTTCCAAGTCACACTTGTACAACTCCTGTCTTCATCGTTTATTAATGCTTTGATTATGATCATTCCAGTTGGAAACACTCGTCAACTTGGCAGGATGGCTGTGGTCTGTCAATGATCTGATGGCAACATTGCGGTGCGCTTGTCAGCGTGGCGTCTTTCTAGTTGGAGACAGAGGTTCTGGACTGTGGTCAACTCGAGATGGACAACTTGGCAGCATGGCGGCGCACTTGTCATCGCGGCTGTCTGTCTGGTTGGAGTCAGAGGTTGTCGACGATGGCATGGAGGCGGGTCAACGTGGCAGTCTAGTTGGAGTCAGAGGTTCTGGGCTGTGGTCAACGTGGCTGGCAACACGGCGACGGACCACAGAGGATCATGGACTCGGTGCAGAATGGGAGGCCGTGGTCATTCAGGACATCATCAGTCTAGCAGAGACAGAGGTTCTGGACAACTTGGCAACATGGTGGACGACTGTACAGATGGAGATAGAGGTTCGTGGCTGTGGTCAACGTGGGAGCACGCCGGCAGTCAGTCAAGTTGGAGACATTGGTTCATGATCAACGTGTCTGGCAACACGGCGGACGTCTGTCCTGTTGGAGACAGTGGTTCTGGACTGTGGTCAACATGGCCGTGGTCAACATGGATGGCAACACGGCGACCGTCAGTCAAGATTGAGGAGGTCTCGTCGCAGAGGAAGGGCACCGACAGGGTCATGGCTGTGGTCAACGTGGAAGCGGCGGCAGTCAAGTTGGAGACAGAGGTTCTAGGCTGTCAAATACATGGCAGCACGATGGACGTAGAGGTTGGGTAGGGTGGGCTCTGACTTGGACAAAGGCTGTGGACAGCTGGCATGGACAACTTGGCAGCATGGCGGCGCGCTTGTCAGCGTGGAAGTCCATCAGGTTGGAGACAGAGGTTCAGGGCTCAGGATACTCAAGGAAGCATGGCGGAGTCAAAATGGCGGCGTTTGTCTAGTTGGAGACAGAGGTTCATGGCTGTGGACAGCTCGCAGCGGTCAGCATGGCCTAGTCACAATGGCGGTGTCTGTCTAGTTGGAGACAGAGGTTAATGGACTCAGGGCAGCATGATCAGGCAACATTGCGACCAGGGTCAGACAGCATGGCGGCAGAGGTCCACTCAGGGCATCAGCGGCAGTGGTTCATGGCTGTGGTCAACGTGGAAGCGGCGGCAGTCAAGTTGGAGACAGAGGTTCTAGGCTGTGGTCACTCAGGGCACATGGCGGCCGTCTATCTAGTTGGCGACAGAGGTTCATGGCTGTGGCAGCACGGCGGACGTCTGTCAAGATGGTGACAAAGGTTCATGGCTGTGGTCAACGTGGCAGCACGGCGGCAGTCTATCAAGATGGTGACAGAGATTCTCATTACAACGTGGCATCACGACTGACGTGATGGAGACACAGGTGGTGAACTCTGACTTGGACAAGGACCACACAGCGGGCTTCAATGCACAAGGTCAAGGAGAAGGCAGAAGAGAAGAGAAGAGAAGAGGATAGTGTAAGTAAGCAGCAGATGGTGATGCAATTAGAAGTGTATTGGTACTCACTCATTGATTGATATCATAACTCAAACTCATCAGCAGTAGTGAGACAACAAGGCAGAACAAAGTGGTGAGTGATACATGTCAATGTGTTGTTTATTATTGATGTATTTGTATATGTATAAGCAAGAGTAAGTATATATGTGTATGTGTACAAGTAGGAGAGAGTGAGTGCAATGCCAATGAGATGAGTAGTGGCCCAGTCTCACAGTGACATGTGGACCACATCTAACCAACCACCATTTTGAACTCAACCGTTTTTCGATTCGATTGGGCGCTAATTTCAAATTCAAATTTCATAACCCCTCGAAGTTCATTTATTTTATTGGTAAGAGGTGTAATTTTTAAACCTAAACAGTGGGGGAACATTCCCAAGATATTTATTTTAATGACTCAGTCATGAACACACGTCATTCATTCAACAGCCATCAGTACTTATAATATATCTATTTGCATTTGTATATGTAATGTGATCGTTTCCACACAAATGATCAATACGATACGATTGATTGGGTCGACCAGCCCAGAGCGGTGATGGTCCGTGTCTTCTCGTTTGGTGTCGTCTTGACCCGACCAATCAATCAACTAGTATGGGCAAGATCAACTGTACTATGATGCTGAGGACAGTCGGTCCACCAGATTGCTCTCCAAGTATCACTCCCAAAGGCCGTCGCAGGATCAGCCAGTAGATCAATGACAATCTCAGTACCAACTCGACCAAGATACAAGCAGCGTGGTCCCCATCACTGAGGACGTCTTCCACAAAACAGTGACTGCTCACCTCTGAGAACTCCTCCTCAAGTCATCATTGTGTCGCGTTGCTCTCGTTTCCGCGCGGGCACGCGATTCAAAATTAGAAACATCGACGACGATGGCAATGTTGCTAACTTTGTTGAGACAAAGCAGATGATCTGGGAAGCACCACTATGCACCATAAGAAGATGGAACGCGTTAGCCATCTAACCGATGGAGTAGGTACTGTTGATCTAACAAAGTACTTGAAGCTTTCTAGTCATGGTGGCCAAGATGTACCTGTCATACGCAACAACTGTGACCATCATGTGGATGTTGAAATGGTCGGGCCATCTGGAGATGTGGTCAATGCTTGCTCTGAGGTGCTGGATCATTGATCAGTCGACTTGCCCTTTGTCCAGTGTCGCCCTGGGTGATGCGCCAAGAACTTTGGCACTCTCTCCTTAATGCAGCTACGCGGCAGTGTGCCGTCTTTTGGAACCAGTCATCGCCACACAGTTCTCGGACTCTATGATCAGCATGTCCAAGCAAGGTCAGGAAGGAGATCACTGTGCTCAGGACGACGCCCGCCTTCCAAGCACACATCAAGGTAATGCTTCTAACATTAACCTGAGCAAGCTGAAGCAGGGCGAGGCCGAGCTTGTCAGTGCGTACGAGGAAGACATTCTGAACGCCGACACCGTGACCTACATTGCAACCTACAACCTCAACGATCAGCTCAAGAGCAATCGCATAGACTCACTCGATTGTGTGATCGACGACACAGTGACCTACATTGCAACCTACAACCTCAACGATCAGCTCAAGGGCAATCGCATAGACTCGCTCGATCATGACGAACCAGCGCGTGGTCACCAGAACGGCACCGTGCCCACCAACTGCAAGGATTGTCAAGACAGGACCAACGTCGTGCAGGAGTGAGTCGCCTTGAAGTTGTTGGAGCATCATCCGTAGAACCTCAAAGCAATGGACCAGCATCACAGTCTCTCAAACTGCACATACATTGAACAGCACCTAAAGACGATATGGGCAGACAATGGCTTTTTAGATGGTACCCGTCCATGAATCATTGTTTCACGCAGCGTTAACAACATTAGAACAGACTGTCCAATATGTACAACTGTCGAATGATTCAATGAACATCGATGTGGCATTGAACTTGAGCACCATCATCAGATCACTGGAGTGTCACAACAACAGACTCATCATTCATTCATTCATTCAGAGTATCCAGTTGGAACGATTGTTCCTCAATCAAGGCTCATCAACGTGAACTTCATTGATGATGACACTGAGATGATGGTATTGAGTGATACAAATTCAAATGGACCGTTAATTGATCAATCTGTTAATTAAATATATTTAAATATTTAATTCAAATTGTGTGTTTATAAGTGTGTGTGAGTGTGTGAGAGAGTGTGTGTGTGTGTGTGAGAGAGTGTGTGTGTGTGTCTCTGCTCACTCACCCACACACTCTGTCATTGCTGTGAATGTCCTTGGACAAGTGCCCATTGACATCACTCATTACCTTATCACTTAATTACATGTATGTACACTTATATTACATTTTTACAATGTTACTATAATACTATCATCATTCTAATTCATAATACTAACATTGATTCTCTCTCTCTAACTCACCATCCATCTAATTCATGCAATCAATCAATCAATCTATCAATCACATCAATCAATCTTATATTATTAATAATTATATATAGACTCTACTTCGGCTAATGCCACAATTATCTACACCTCTATAATATGTCTCATAACAGTGTTTTCCAACACTACTTACTTTATTACTTATACAACTCGACTTATTATATAATCCAATTTATCACAATGCAATATAATCTCATTGAATCTCTTTATCCACCAGCCAAGCCCCTTCGGCTCTTGTTGCAAGACCTTGTTTGGGCCCACCCAAAAAGGAAAGATCAGGAAGTACATGGTCCTCATGGACATTGGTGTTTCTTATATTATATACCCCTACGCCAAACCAATCAGACAACTGTTCGACAACAGGCTTCCAAAGATAATATTTGGAAAGGATCAAGATGGAGTCAGGTTCTCACGCTGGGTTCCTCTTGCTGTACACATATTCCATTACCCACCATCACCAGATAATGAGGTGGATGAGCCTGTCGCGTTATCACCGGTTCCTCCTCGCTTGTTCAATCAGCAGCCACCTGACCCCTGGAGACCAACTATATCCAACAACACCATCCAGTCTTCCAGTTCCTCAAGCGACACTGGTGATGGTAGGTATTGGTATCTGAGTTGGTGGTGGAAGAACAGATGATGAGGTGGATGAGCAAGTCTATTCTACGGTCCCTCCTCCCCTTTTCAACAATCATTAATTCATATATATATTGCCGTCAATCAAGGAGATGAGTGATGGGTATATCATTTAAACTCTCTTTCGTCCCAACACGGCATGTAAACCATTCTGATCTTTGCTAGTTCAAGGGACAGTGATTGAATTGTACTCTTGGAGAAGCAAAGATCAGAATGACTTCCTAACTTTGCTCGCTTGTTGGGGTTGACAAGATTAAATACTCCTTTTGGTAAGTCCTTGACGATTTAGTTAGCGGAAAGGTTAATTATTATTAATATTAATACCTCCAATCAATAAATAATAATTTAAGGTTAATGATAATAAAATAAATTTATATCTATTTATGGAGTCTACTACTTTAACGTACTACAATCAGTCTCTAACTAATTAAAGTGATCACCATGGATCTACATATTTAAATTTGAATTTTGTGTTTAGTGGAATTTTAACGGACAATTTTAAACTGTCATTTGATTTGGGTTAGATGATTATCTTGAAGGCGATTAGATTGATTGTTTAGTTTATTGATTGATTATAACAACAACAAACATAGAACAATGTCAAAGAAAAGGAACTCAACATCAATGTCATCATTGACATCTTCTAGGCGGCTTGATGGTGGCCTTCCATCAGTGTCGTCGTTCAAGATCAGACAGGAGGACTTTAAGCTCGACTTTGATGATGATCCACTCACATCCAATCCTATCGTAAGTATGCTCACTACACACAATCACTCTATCTGTCAATTCAACTGACCAATCAATCAATCAAATCAATCAATCAATCAGATGACACCCAAGAAGCTTTTGATCCAAGGGTTTAAAGGATGTGATGAGAATGAGAATGATGAAACACTCGATACATCATACATGATGATGCGTCAACACAGCCACAACCAGTTAACAAAGAAGATAAAGAGTGATAGATCGACACCATCATCACCCTTGTCCAACATTAGCAACATCAATCAGAACTCTCCGTCATCCATCTCCATTTGTTCCGACAATGCTGATGGTCCAATAGCATTCGCAATGCCATCCGAGCCAACAAACAGACGCAAACGAAGTGAGATGTTACTTAAATCTCTGTCCAGCATTCAATCACCCAAGACCAATCCTGCGTGCCCCTCTCCAGCCAAGCCCTCCTTGGCCGGCACCACCAACAACACCATCACCACTCCAGTGAAGCGACCAATCTCATCAACCTCTTCCATGTCAGTCGCCACACCATCCAAGTTAAAGACTCCTCTCAAGACCTTGTCTTCATTCGCAGTATGTACACATATCACGTTGACCAAGGTGGACTCCACACTTGCTAACCCAATCAATCAATCACACCAACAGTCGCCAATTCCAAAGAAGAGGACATCGATATGCCCACCCAACTCACCTCCAACATTCAAGTCGATTGAGATTATAAGCTCACCCGAGATGTCATATGCCACATCAACATCATTGACATCGTCACCATCAGCAGCGATGGACGCACTCTCATTGTCCTCACCATTCTCATCACCATTGGCCTCGCACACGGACACCCTCTCGCCACTGTCCCCACCCTCGCCAATGTCCTCTCCACCAACTGGCCGTAGTACCCAGCAACGCGCGGTATTCAGCGGTCTGAGTAAGAAATCTGGACAGTTCCCAAACAAGCGTATTCAAGACATCAAGCACGTCGAGACTGACTTGATGAAGAGTATCAAGACAGAGGTGCATCCATCATCGTTGGAAAAGTGTGACACACAGCAGCTGGACAAGGTAAAGGACAAGGCAAACAAGACAACATCAACATCCAGGTCAACATCAGGTCTCAAGACATCGACCACCCCTGTACATAATACCGCGGCCAAGCCCACATCTGTTGCCACCAGCAAGCCAATTCCAATGTCGTTAACGACGAAGCCAACACCAACGAATGCGACAGTCACATCCAAGAAGAGGGAGGCCTCCGAGACTGGCATCAAGACAGCAGCACAGGCAACAACACCAACACCAACGCCAACAAAGAAGATCAGACAGGATACCAACCCAACCCACACGACACCTCTCGTCAACACAAAGCGTTTGCCCGCGACGACACCAACATCAACATCCCGTCCTTCGCTCTCCAACAGGACAGCGACAACAACAACGCCAACACCATTGTCTACATCTAAGCCAAGAAGGGAAGTCACACTGTCATCCTCGAAGAAGTCTGCACCAAGGTTGTCAACGATGCCAAAGGATGACGACGACTTTGAGGCCAGGATAGAGTCGGCTCTTCTCGCAGCTGCACAAGGCAATGTGCTCCAAGGTAGTCTTCTCATGACCTCACCAGAGAAGGAGCAACAAGAGCAATCCAGAAGTCAATGGTCTCCCATCAACAAACGACGTTGATCGCTCGATCCATAGACTTAAGTGAGTGAGCGAGTCATTGAGTGATGCTCATCACATGAACTCAATGGAGTTGAACATAATAGCAACCAACTCTCATTGAATGAATGAATGAATGAATGAGTGAACAAGTAAACAATAAATATCACTTTGTTTGAACGATGTCTGGTCTGCTGGGACTGGGACTGGACACGAGTCCCGATATTTATTGTCAGATTGAAATTGTCGTTTGAATGAATCTCCGATGACAATGACATTATTACATACTTCAAGTAAGAGATAGATACATTCATATATTGACACCAGAAGATGGACGACACAACAAAGGAGCTGGCAGAGACACTAGAGAAGAGAATACATATAGAAGAGGAGCAATGTGACTGTGTTGACGATGATGAAGATGATGTGGTGGAAGACGAAGGTGAAGAGTCAATGGAGTGTGATGTCAACTCTACTACATCATCAACATCAGATACATCAACAACACAGACAACAAAGACAACAAAGACAATTAGAGTTAGAGCAGAGGTCATTTGCAAGAAGTGCAATAGATGTAAACTGGTACCATTGAAGATACCGTTTTATGGACCTTACACAGTGCGTGGCTTGAAGAAGGGAGTGCGCTACGAGTACTGCACATGTGGACTGAGCAAGAATCAACCATTCTGTGACAAAGCACATGTTGGCACGCCTTTCCGACCGATACCATTCACACTGCCACACGACCAATCAATGTGGCTACTATGCGGCTGTCGCTACTCAAAGAACATACCATACTGCGATGCCGAGCATACACGACTACCATTTAATCCTCAAGATCCTCCATGTGCCTGTGACAAAGCCAAGGAACTCACCGACTGGTGAGGTGTTGGGTGTGGGGTGGCGGGCTGSCCATTCCTTCTAACTTCCGCTGTATATTAAAGTGTGGGACTTCCACGAATAGACGTCTTTTTCTGCACGCCACACACGACCAAAGTATCGATACTTTGGCGGGCTGGCACAAGATTCTTCAGATGTCTCATTCTTTCAATCATTCATACTATCTTATACTTTGTAGTTATATATAACAATCTAATAATAATAATAATGAGTGGCCAGAAGCAGATAACAGACTTCTTTCAATCAAAGAATAGTCCAAAGAAAGCCGCAACAACGACGACGACTACAACTACAACATCTACTCCAACTAAAACAAATAAGAGAAAGAAAGTTGAAGAGGAGGATGAGGTAGAGGAAGAGAAGGCAACAGAAGTGTCCAAACCAGAGGATGAGGTTGTGCCTGAGGCTGAGGGTGATGCCGAGGGCGAGAAGGTGACCAAGGATGATGCCAATGCTGATGGCGAACAACAAGATGATGACGATGAGGAAGATGTCAAGGTTGTGAAGAAGAGAAGACAAGAAGAGGCTGATAGTACACCAAATGGAGCATCTTCAACATCAGATGAGGGATACAACAATATATTGGATCATCTGACAGAGAAGGGATGGAAGGATGCACTCGCACCAGAGTTCAAGAAAGCATACTTCAAGAAGATCATCACTCAGCTGAACGACGAGCTGAAGAAGCCTAAGGTCGGCCCCATCTATCCACCTAAGAACGAGATATTCACCGCGCTGAACCTGACGCCATTGGACAGTGTCCGTGTGGTTATTGTTGGACAGGACCCATACCACGGCGCCGGCCAGGCACATGGCCTCTCATTCTCAGTCAAGAAGGGCATCAAAGCTCCACCCAGTCTTGCCAACATCTACAAAGAGCTGATCAGTGACATCCCAGGCTTCAAGGTGCCCAACCACGGCTTCCTCGAGAAGTGGGCCAAGCAGGGTGTGCTGATGCTCAACGCTGTGCTCACTGTCGAGCAGGCCAAGCCCAACTCACACAAGAAGTTTGGATGGGCCGAGTTCACCGACGCCATCATGAACCTTCTCAACACCAAGGAGAAGATCGTCTTTATACTCTGGGGTGGCGACGCCAAGAAGAAGGGATCCAAGATCGACGGCAAGCGTCACCACATCATCACGAGTGCACATCCATCGCCCCTCTCGGTCACCAAGTTCCTCGGATCAAAGCCATTCTCCAAGACCAACGAGTACCTAGAGTCCATCGGGTCAACAGCCCATCGATTGGACACTTGACGCCAACATCTAAGTTGATCAATGAAGAWTTGATTGATTGATTGATTGGATGTATGTACAGTACAACGAATGTAATGGTTTACTACTCATAAATATATTGGTGATCCTCCTCCGTCTCCTCAACGATTTGTTGCTGGTCTTCCAGGTCAACAGCAGAGTACTGAGAGTATTGTGAGCTACGCGAATGTCGAACTGATGTTGATGGGCTGCTGCTACTGTGATCGTATGTTGATTGATCGGAGGAGCAATGTTGTTGCTCACCATCCGAGATTGATTGATTCTGCATCATCACCTCGATGTGTACTGATATCTCCTCGAAGCATCCTTTACACAGTCGCACCTTCCTACCTGGCAGATACTGCGACAGATCAGTTATTGGACAACATTCAGTGCAATATATCTTTCCACACTTCCTACAATGATGCTATATGATGATGGTCATGATGATGTTAGGATCATGCCAGATCATCAGTCTTCTTCTCCCTTTATACATACCCTTCTCCGACGCATTGTGAAGCTGGCCGAGCATGTCATGCAATCCTTGACGAGTTGATCTTTGAGCCAAGTTGGATTGGGACCCTCTTGGTCCTTGGGCAGTGCCTCCAACTCCTGGAGTACCTCTCTTGGTGTGGTTGATCCTCTCTTCTCGTAGAGACTCTGACGCTGTTCTTGGTAGTTGATCTGGATCACATACTTGTTGATGACATCATTCAACTTCCTCATCCATGTCTGCTTCTCCGACTCTGATGGTGCGTTCAAGAAGTATGTCTTGGTGGGCTCGATGATCTGGAAGAGATGTCCAAACCTTGCCGTGCTTGGTATGTCCTTGACCCAACATTTCTCCAGGGGCAGCGTCTGCTTGTAACGATATTGGTTCTTACCCTCGCGTTGGCAATATATCAGGAGGTCGTTGAAGAGGAAGAAGTGGCGAGTGTTCACTACGCGGTTCGATATCTTCTTCAAGTCGCCCTCCATGCAGAACACTCTTGAAGGTTTGATAAACTCTCCTTCAAAGCCTATTAGGTTGTTCTGGATGTCCAACACCTTGTTCTTGATTTGGAATTGCTCCATTCGTTCCTCCAGCTTGACTGCCACTGCATTGATGTCCTTCAACGACTCTGTCAAATCATTATAATCAACATGATCTGAAGATGTCTCTGTCAACAATCTCTCCAACATCAATCTATATCTTGGTATTCTCTGTATTGGCATGATCAAATATCCAGACAAGTTGAGTCCCTTAGATGATGGCTTGGCAAGGCATTTCTGGAATAAGGATATAAGTTAGTATGGTTGATTGATGGGGGAGTGGATGGATGTATACATACCGCCAGGAATGATTTAAAGACAGAGTTTGACTTCTGTAGGCTATTGAGTAATACAATTGATTGATTGAATGAGTTGGCGTATATAGTATATGCATTTAAACATGGTGCCTGATCAAGATATGTTAGAATATGAGGATAAATATTGTTTGAAGGATTATGTGATACTTACAATTCCACGGAAGATATCTCCGATTCTTTGGGTATCAGACCAGTTATCAGCTATCCTAGATTGGAAGTCCACCAAGAATGTTTTGTGAAGGTTGAATATAAAGTCAATGTTTGAGAAGATCTGATTGATCTCATCAATAGATATAATCTTGTCCTTTGTAGTTGCCTTGTCTCGGAGTGGCAACAAATATATCTATATTAGTTTGTTTGATTGGTCAGTTTGATGAATGAGAATCACTAACACAACTTCCATTAGTGACAGTACATACAGTCATTATTCGGTTTAGGTTGTTGATGTACTTCTTCTCACTGGCCAATATCTCTTGTACTTGATAGTTTCGTTGTGACATTCCTTCCTCATGTGGATGTGATGTTGTGTTGGTAGACTCTGGTGCTGTGAATATATCTGGTTGGATACTTGGTGGAGCTGATATAATGATCTCTTCATCATCCTCGTCACTGCTGTCATCAGCATCCTTTAGTACATGTTTCAGGAATCTCTTTGCATTCATCGTTGAGCTTGCTGTCATAGACTTTGGTTTTGACAGTCCAATGAATCCTGCCCTTGGTATTGGTGATGACAAAGACCTCGTTATCTTCTCATTGATTGGACTAGTACAAGGACTACCTGCGGACTGTCCACTATCCTTCCTTGCAGGTACAAGTGGTCTCTTCTTGGGTTCAACGGTTGGTTGACCATCAATTGTTGTTCTTGGTGAGTTTGAATAGTTAGCCGAAGTCCTTGGCGATGACTCTGTTGAAGTGGTTGATGATCTTGGTGTATTGTTCATTGTCCTTGGTGTAGTTGTTACACTTGATGATAATGGTGTTGTTGATGATAGTAGTGATGGTGATGTTGAAGTGAGACTCGATGTGCTAGAGTTAAGTGGGGACCTGGCTGGAACTGGAGGTGGACTGACTGGAGGTGGTGTTGACATGTATCCAGATCTTGATAAAACACCACCTCCATTATTACTAGCTTTCCTTGGTGGAGGTGATAATGTCAGGTTGAATGGTATATCTGTCTGCTGTTGATGGATATAGGTTGGCTTTGCTGATTGTGGTGGAGGTGTTGGAGGACTTTTGCCACCTCCTGAGGCATTCAACTTTTGTTTCCTAATGTTTGCTGCGAAAGAACCTGCTGCGGCCAAATGATCCATTGGTGACATAGTCACTTCCTCATCCTCCAAGTTAAAGTTATCATTCTGAGTCACATCCTCTGTCGACGCTGTTAATAATGGTGATGATTTCCAATCCATCCTGTTACTAACTAACTATATAATACAATTAATAATAAATAATATATATAATTAATACAAATAAAAATAAATTTTATATGATGATAAGGTAGATTTAGAGTTGAGATTTGAGGAGGAGTCTAGGGTATCTATCTATCTATCTCTCTGTAATTGAACGAGGGTAAAGAGGTAGTTGTTAATTAATGTATTTAATTCGTCGTTAGTCATAGACAAAAGGGGGGATTGGGCCTTGAAGCCCCGCAAATTTAGGCCATGGTTGATTGGGGTCCATCCAATTGTTGTTGGTCTCCAAATTTGCAACCCCTTCTCACACACATTGGTGGGTACTTTGTAGACCTGACCTGTCATATGACGGGCTCGTCTATCATCAATTCAAATAAATCAATATGAATGATTGTGTTTGATCTCTATGTTTTATCTCTATTTATGTGTTTGTGTTGTGTGTTTATGTGTGTGTTTGATCAAATAATTACACACACTCACTCACAGATTGGATGATGATTGATTGTGATACATACTTGATCGAGTGTTGGTAAGTTAGTTCTAAAATAAGAGAATTAGTTAGATGATAAGACACTAATAAATTCATAATATAAACTAGTTTTACTAGTGCTCGCTAATGTGAGAGGACAGGAATTGAGAATCAATCATAATCAATCCAATCCATTCTATCCATCCATCCGAAATGTGGAGAATGTTATCGGTTTGAGTGTGTGTGTGTGTGTGTGTGTTGTCTAAAGAGTGAGTGAGTTGTTTGAAGTTGATTGATTGGTGGACTGATACTTGTCGACAGATGGAATTGATTGAATGTGGATTGATTGATTGATTGATTGATGTGGGGAGGTGGAGGGGAAGGGACTGATTGATTGAGTTATTGCCAGTGAGCAAAGGTCTCAAGAATGTACACCAACAGGATGGAGAGTGGATAGAGTGATAGGACCAAAGGTGCCAACATGAACCCTGTTTGATTGAAAGTAGATTGATTGAGATAATTAGTTAGTTAGTAAATGGGCTTATACTCGCGAGACGAGATATCGCCAACATACTCATGGTCTTGTTAAGGGCACCAATAGTTCCAACAACCATCGTGACGAATAGAATTGTGACAGTCTCTGCTGAGAACTCCCATGTCAAGTTCCTGAAGTACACAAGGGCAAAGAAGATCTAAGGTAGTGTGTAGAGAGGGTGTGTAAGACAGGTAAACTTGATCACATGGATTGATGGATGAGTGGATGAGTAACTTACACCAAGACACATTGTGTTGTTCATGGTTGCTGAACCGTAGAGAGCAGAGTAGGTGAGGGATGTGTTGGTCTTCTTCTTCTTGGAGGAGAAGATCAGCGAGGAGATGAGCTCAGAGGCATTGGAGCAGAAGGGTGTCACGATGAATGAAATGAAGAACAGCTTGATGTTGAGCTTGTTGCCAAAGTCTGTGATGACTCCAACCATGGGGTCACTGAACACTGACACCATCACACTGCCGACAGCCAGCCAGAAGGTGGCGCGAAGTGCAATCTTCTTTCTCTCGGCAGGTGTCAATGGTCCACTGCTCTCCTCTTCCTCGTCGTCGTCGTCCTTAGCAGCCGGCTTTTGAGACTTGTCATCGACCTGAATCGAAGCCTCATCGCGCTCGGTTGACTTGGCGTGTGCCTTGGACTTCCACTTCAAACCAATACCCTTGACATCGACGGGCAGGTGCTGGTGCTCTGGGGTCAGCAGGGCAGCTGTCTCTGAAATAGTGTGTGGGGCGGCGCTCGAGGATGACTGGCCAGCCTCGCTACCGGCACCGGTCGATGGGGATGATGCAGAGAAGGGACCACCGCGGCGCTTCATCAAGTTGTGGAGGAAGTGATGCATTGTCTGCTCGAGCATGTATCTCTTCTTGGCCTCAGCCATCTTCTTCTCTTGCAGCTTGGGCTGAACGACCTGGTAGACACTGTAGGAAACGAGCAGGATGATGCACACGATGAATCCAGTGAGAGCGAACCATTTCTCGACGCTCTGGCCCGATGCTGGGTCCTTGAGATAGGCAAAAGCCACACCCTGGACGATCAAGTAGCTGATGCTGGTGACCATCATGATCTTGGCGTTGAGGGGAGTGTCATCGTCGACTGAGGCACCAGTCTCGGTGAGCGACCATGAGGTGCAGACGCCGTCCACTGAGTGTCCATTGCGAATATCTGTGCGCGCCAGCAAGAGACTGGCAGACCAGGGGATGGTTAGCAACATGATTGTTGAGCCGGCTAGGGTTCCAATGCCCACACCCAGCTGGGTCTGTGGGTCGTTGCCAAAGGCACCACTGACAACGATGATCATGGCGTCGGGGAAGGCCGACAGGAAGGGCAGCAGCAGACCACCGATCAGACCAGGGTCGAGGATCTCGAGCAGCAGCTCAGAGCCATCCGAGATGAACTTGGCGCCAAAAGCCAAGATGACGCCGTAGAATGCCATGAGGATGATCATGCCCATCACGGTGCCACTGCAGGGCCAGATGGAGTTCATGCAAGAGGACTCGCAGCGACATGATTCGCCACTGCAGTAGCCATCAGAGCATTGTGGTAGATCGGCGATCGTAGTGTTGGTCAACAGACCAGTCAGACATAATGATTTGTCTGAACACCAGTATGATTGATCGATTGAAGCGCATGTATCACAATCAGTTGCATTGCTAACTATTATATAAGGTGCGTCTACATTTCCAATTGAATGATAAAGTGTTGTTGTTGCTGTTGCAGATGTTGCAATCAATAAAATGCTCATAATGAGCAATATTGATTTAATCATCATCGTCATATTTAATTATTAATAATTATATATATCTCTTATGTATGTGTGTAGGGTTGACGATAAATGATGAATGCTTGTAGGTGGTGTTCATGTCAACAACAACATGACCAATGGGTTGGCGCTTCATTAATGTGTTGGGTTAATGATTTTTTCAAAGGTTTGACAGTTGAGATCACAATAACACCATCAAAAAAAGGATATTATTGTGAAAGGGTTTCGCCCATTGTGGGTTTTTCAAGGTGGGCGACACAATTTGGTGATCGACCTCCAGATCAAACTTTCACTCTTGAACTACGTATTTTATTAATAATATAAAAGACAATGATCTATAAAGTTTTTAGATCTTGGAGGTATTTATATTCATTAATTCAAAAATCCATATCCAAGTTGAAAAATAATACAATACTAATAATATTAATAATAATGTATTTGTTGAATCAAGAGATTAATACTCAATTAAATGGACATCCAGTTCCAAAGGCTTTAGAACTTATATTAGAAAATGAATGGTCTCAAAATGTATCATCCTATAAATCATACTTTATGTTATTATCATTTCAACTACAATCAATAGGATCTTATTTTCATTATTTCTTTCATCATGACATTACAAATATTCAAACATTAATTGAAATGATAAAAGAATATTCTACTCAATTATTAAGTTTTAATCTTAAAATAATAGAATATCATAATATAATAGAGGAATATATTTTAAATCAATCAAATGAAAGACAAGATAAATTAAGATATTTATTACCTTTATTGTTGGTGGAATTCAACATGATTGATTTATTTAGAGATTTGATTGATTCTTCAAAGGAAGATGATGAAGACAAGATCAAAGAAGTCATGTCCAACTTGGACGAGATATATACAAATTATCAAGATGATGTTTTATACAATTTAGATGAAAGTTCAAAGTTACATAAGATACCAATACAACCTGAACTCAAAGAAAATAAGGGAGTTGTGTCGTATATTAGAGTTATGTCTCAAATAGTCATCAAAAGACTTCAAGATTTCATTAAATATATTGATTAGTTGGAAGAACTAACTGGATCTCAATCAACTTCAAGTGGACCCTCACAATAAATTATTATGACATTGTTTGTTTGAATTAAAAGTCAATCAACATGTGCACATGTCAATTATTGGGGCTTTTTGATCGAGTCTTTTTTGACATTCTCTTGTTTTTTTTTTGATGTTCAAAGTGTGGGTGAAGCCTCCTCATGAGCCCTTGAGGCCTTAATAAGATGGTGTGAAGAACAAAGACTTACTTAACTTAATACAACAAATAAGAATATGTCACAACAACAACAACTACAACAACAACAGTATGACTACAACATTGGACATGTGATTGTATATCTACCTCATGTACTATTAAGAGCAATCATTGATAGTCTTGAAGACAATATAGATAGGATATGCTTCAGTTTAGTATGTCGTAGATGGTATTTAGAACGCAATGGTTACTTGTTGTTCGATCCACGCTATATACCCTACTCCTACTATGTTGGCAACACATCAAATACAAAGATACGCAACATTATGCCATCCTACAGGGAGATTGTCATCAACTCACTACTACACAAGACCAAATGCAATTTGATGTATTGTACCACTCCCTCGGAGATTGGTACTTACAGTTGGTTGCCCTATGACTATCTTCAAACATTAGGTATAGTAATGATGGGAAGGACTTCCACTCAAGCTCACTCACTCACTCACATACTCACATTACAATCACACTCTGATCAGACCTACCTGTACCCGACAATGTACACCAGGTCCAGTTCACAGAATCATTCAATCAACCGTTGGAATCATTACCAAGTTTGGCCAAACCTAATGTTAAATGGATAAGGACATCAAGGGACTTTAATCAACCTATTAGGCCAGGATCAATCCCACCCAATATTGAGAAGTTGGAGTTTGGCGTCACTTTTAGTCAACCAATACAGCCAGGCGATCTACCCAGCACTCTAAAGGACCTCTGGTTGGGCATGGAGTTTGACAAGAACTTCTCAGGGCCTGGGGCTTTGCCGCCATCTCTCACAAAGCTGGCACTATCATTCCATCACTACCAGAACTTCCAGCCTGGTGTGCTTCCACAGTCGCTCACCAAGTTGGAGAACCTGGCCGTCACATCCATCCACTTGCTGCCCCCAACCGTCACACATCTTCGATTGCTGTTTGGCTATGGCATGCACTTGATCCCTGGATCTATCCCACACACAGTCACAACATTGGACTTGGACAACTTTAACGAGAGGCTGGTCGGTGGGATGATCCCACCAAGCGTCACCAACCTCAAGTTCAGTCGATACAATCAACCGATCGATGTCGGTGTCATCCCAGAGTCGGTAGTCACCCTCGATCTGGGCGGCAACTACAATCAACTGGTCGAGCGATACTGTCTGCCAGAGTCGCTCACCAACCTTCGTCTGAGCACATGTTTCGACAAGAAGATACAGCCGGGTTCATTCCCGGATGGTCTCAAGAAGTTGCAGTTTGGCACACTATTCGATCAAGACCTAGAGCCAGGCGTGCTGCCGGAGGGTCTCGAAGAACTACGTCTGGGCGACATGATGAACAGATTACCAAAGCCTGGCGCGTGGCCTACTGGGCTCACCACACTATACATTGGCAATCAGTTCACTGTGCGCATATTGGAGTTGTTACCGCCATCATTAAGATATCTTGAATGTTACAGTTTTCAATTCTTCAAGAATAATCCATTCAATGAGCTACCAATGTCGATCACGAGCATCACCAAGTCGGACTTGTACCAACTACACTGTAGGCGTGTGGGTCTCGATCACTGGCTGGTCGTCAACTCAAAGATGGTATCATCATTTATAACATCGGATAACATGCTTGAGAGATTGACCAGATTGAGTAAGCTTTAAAGATGGGAAATGGGCATCATAATAATAAATATTTATTTATTTGGAATTGAGCCCATGATCGATCGATCGTGGACAATCCTCAACAACCCCACCTTCACCCGAGTCAAGTACATTTAGCTTCACTCATTCACTCATTCAATTATCTCTTTGTACTACTTATACATAACTATGTCCTCATCAACAGAGTCTACAGTTACACCTGTCGGTGCAGAACAGCCACAACAGCAACAGCAACAGCAACAGCAACAACCACAACAAGAACAACAACAGAATGTAGTATTGTCTTCAGTGATATATGGAGTTGGAAGAGTGTATGCTGGCGCTGTATATGTTGGTGAGACTTTAGCAGACCTATTCGGATTGACAGAGTCAAAGTATCAATTCCATTTAGATGAACATAACATGAAGCAAGAAGAGGTAATCAATCATCACGATCATTCACTCACTCAGCCAACTCTCAATGTTCATCATCTAACTCTCATACAATCAATCAATGATTTATAGAAAAAGAAGAAGATGGAGAGAGAAGGTATAGAGATAAGTAAACTAGAGTCTGGCGAAAGTACTAGCAAAGGCAACGATAACAACAGTCATGTCGAAGGTTGATCGAACAATCTGTCAATCACTCAAACATTGTACATTCATTCTTAATAATAATATAAACATCACAGGGATGGCTTGCAGTTAATGGCCATCCACATTGTTAATGATATCTGGAATGTCAATGCTTTAATGGAAGAAGTATTTACTCTCTCGCACCTTGCTCAGGTCCAACTGACCGCGCTTAGGCAGTGGAGGGATCTTGACGGTTGGATAACGATGGATGAACCACTCGCGCAGACGCTCCAGAAGTGGCTGGGAATGCAGCTCGACAAACTGGTGACGAAGCAGAGCGTTCATTTGATCGATGGTACAGGCGTGCGTCCAGAAAGAGTCATGTACAGAGGCAAAGGTAATGTTGCGCTTGTCGCATTGAATCGCAGTGAGGAACATGTGAGTCGAATCGAGTGAATGGATAAAGTTGGGAGGGAAAGCTGAACGCTGCTTGCGCGAGTCCACTGGCAAACTGTCGTCATCGTCAGTCATCTGGAAGTCGAGCACCAGCGTACGCACACGCTGCTTGCCACCCTTGCGGTAGGGCTGCACGACTGGCAGGCCCAGTGGGGTGTACCATGAGACGCACTCTCCAGTATCACGCGAGATGGTTCCGGCGCACTGTGCCAGCCATGACATAATGGAACGAGCACCAAGGAACATTTGGTCCAGTGATTTGAATGTCAGCTTGGCAATGTAGGATGATGCGGCGAAGGCGACGTCATCGGTCAGATTGTACTTGTCCGCAAGTGCATTCTCGATCTGTTGTCTGGCGCCAACGTATGTGACACCGTACACACTGGTCATGACAGTCTGCTTGATGATCTTACGCTCGATCTTGCCATCGAGAATCAGTGCCAACTTGTTTCCAGTCAGCGCGTCGTCATGTACAAGTTTGGATACCATCACAGCCACACCACTGTATACATCCTGGGGCTTGGGCGACGGCAGCAGGTTCACCTTTAGACCACCCATCTCGTCTCCACCGAGTGCAGCATAATGCTGAAGGCCATTGCAAGTGCCATCCTGATGGATGGGCAGCGAGCTCAGGAACTCCTCGGGCTTGGGGCTACGCAAGGCGTCGGTCAGTTCGATACACGCGGCAAGTGTCTGCCATGGACTGTCGGCCTTGAGCCACCATTTGCGACCCTTTAGAGGGTTGTCGGCAGAGTCGAATATGTCGTCCATGTGCTCCTCGGTGAAGGCAATACGGTCCTCAAACGACACCTTGTCTACACCGTACACATTGGCTACCTGAACGCGGAGCCACTGCAGACCACGCGCGCCCAGCGGCTTGGCTTCGGCGAAGCGCAGCATCGAACGACAGAGGTCTGAACCCATATGATTGAGATGTGGAGGGATGGGGTAGGAACGACCACGGAAGTCGATGTTGTGGGGGAAGTAGAACTTGTAGTCATGCAACTGCTTTGCCACGTTGAGTTTGTACACGGTGTCGCAACGCAGTGAGTGGAGGTTGGCATTGAGCGTCTTGATCTTCTTGACATTCTTGCTGTGCTGTTTCTTCATCTCGAGGTCTGTTGTAAGCTTCTCTGGGTCGGCCGCCACTGGCTGCTCAAAGTTGAAACGACTTGGCAACTCGGCGATTCCGCCGCCTGCCTCCCATGCCTCGACAATCACGTCCACAACCTTCTTGTTGGTCTTCCATGGCAATGATCCAAGAATATTCAATCCTTCATATATGTTTGAAATGTCCACTTGGTATAATGATGTTCTTTGTGTCTGTGATCTGTTGTTGAGTGGCGACAACGTGTGGCGTCAGGAGAATGATCATGTCATGGTAGTGATTGGGAAATGGATACTTACATGGCTCTCATGATGAAGTTTGGATAGGACATGTAACAACCTTCGTGGGGATTCACCCATGGCTGTGGTCTGGTGACCATTGGCAGTAGACGTGCGTTCATAGCCTCGCGCAGGAAGTGACCCTCGTCAATCATCTCGAATATGCTCTCGTGGCACTTGACCACGTACACCTTGCGACCATTCTCATAAGTCTGATCGCGGTAGAATGCCGGCACGAGATCGCCCTTCACATCGCTGTCGCTGTACTTGTTGACCTGACATGTGTCCATGACGATCTTGAGCATGAAGTTGCCAAGCTGTGTGACGATCTTGGTCTCGCTGGCCAGATTGTGATAGCGCTTGCGCATCTCGTTCTGCACGCGGTTCACCGACAGCACCAGTCCGTTGTATGGTTTGGTGATGTGCTTGTAGAGCTTGCGGTCGTGCTCCTTGATCACGGCCAATTGGTACTCGGCCAGCAATGCCTCGCCAATCGACTCGATCACTGCGTTGAATGTGGCGCCCTTCATGGGGTCGATTAGCAGCGCCGACATGAGCTGGTTGAGCGAGATCAGCGCCACCTTGTTGTGGGGCAGCGAGTCGAGCACGAGACGCGCCGAGGGCAGCACCTCGAATATCTTGTCCAGGTTGTCGTCGCGGGTCTTCATGTCGATGAGCAACTCCTCGGACTCGCTCTTGCGCATTCTGTCCAGCTCTATCTTGGTCTTGTCAATCAGAGGCGTGTAGAACTGGTACATCACGTCCTTGATGGGTTTCATGCCAGACGCGCGATTGATCAGCGACGTGTCGTTGACCAGCGAGCGGTAGTTGTTGCGTGCTGTCTCTGTGGCCTGCAGCTCAAACTCGGTCTGCACCTTGACGAGGTCGGCCAAGTTCTCGGCGGACTCCTCAGAGACAGAGGCATCGGCGCGCATGATCTCCTCTAGACGCGACAACTCTTCGGTCAGGTCGAACATTGGCTCGAGCTCATCAACGCGTTCCAATTCGGTGGGGTCATTGAATGGGTCGAGATCGGCGAATCGCGAAGTAGTCTCTTCCTCCTCGCCCGACATTGTCTTTATCAACTTGCGCATACTATCCAACAACTCTTTGTCCTCATCTGTCTGCTTGTAATTCTTTAACTCGTCCATTGTTAAAGATGGTTGTTGTTCTTCATCTTCAATGTTGTTGATGTTGGCTATATTGTTGTCATTGAAGTTGGCAATGTCGTCTATATTACTTGATGTTGTGGCAGTTGATGTTGTGCGACTCGCGTCTACACTTTGTTGTTTTGGTCCTCTTCTACGTCTTGTCTTTGTTGGTGCGATGTTGGTGGGGGTATCATCAGTCGTAGTCGTCGTCACATCATTAGCGGTCGAGGAGGTATAATATCTAATGAATGTTGATGATGTTGTATTTATATTATTATTACTACTAATACTTGTTATCTTGTTAACAAGTGATGATGATGAATGTTGTAACGGAGTATGATTGAGTGATTGTTTGATTGACTGTGTGAAAGTGAATGGTGAATGAGGAGTCTTTAACGATGTACACAATGTTCTAATGCACTGTCTAGAGTGCGCTTGTAACATAGATGCCATATCTATGTGTGTACCTCTATATATATATCTATCTATCAATACTGCAATGAATGAATGAATGAAAGAGTACACGTAATAACACTCTATGCACTTTAGTAAAATGACGAGTTTTTGTCGTTCGTTTTTTTGTTTGTTTTGCAATCTTTTAAGTTATTTTGCAAAATAAGATGTGGGTATCTATCTATCCTAAATGATTGTGTGGGACTATCCCTATCACAACCATTCATCTCTGCCATCACAACAACAACTACAACATATCTTTATCCGTCTGTTTCAACACACACTTACACATAAACATTAATATATCTACAGATGTTCAATGAATGATCAGCGAGTGATCCCAAATCAATCTGTGATTTAGTCTGATCGGATCACCCCCTCATTCTCAACCAAACCATCACTACCAAAACACACACTTACATGTGTTAAGTGTTAATTAATTAATTCAACACATCAAAAGGGTGTTGGTTAAGTTGATTGAGTAGGGGTATTCTATCACACATTCACACAGAGTACGAGGCTAAAGAGGGCTCTTATTACCATGGCACACCAATCTATCTCCTTCATCCATGACACACACACACTGTTTAACAATGGAAGGTGGAGTGTGTGTTGATGACATGACTGGGTGATTGATTAGAGTCAACGAATCAATCAACACTTACACACACATCCCTCAACATAAATAACAACCAGGTGATGTGTAATAATGGGGTTTGTGTGCCTGCCTCCTATCGATGAACCATGATTGTGGTCTCCAACATACATCATACATTGGATTGATTGATTGATTGATAGATTGATCAACGTCATCTTACTACAAAACTCCACTTACAAATATTACTACTACATTCCTATAACTTATAACTCTCCATCCACAAGGATATTCCAACTTTTTCCATCTTCCTCCAACTTCCAACTTTTGCAAAACATGATTGAAGACAGTCTTCATAATCACCAACATCATCAATCAGCAGGAGATGTACAAATATTGAATCCAATAACAACAACAACAACAACAACATGTGATCTAAGGACAATAGAGTCGCGACAACACTATCAAGTCGATGATGCTTCCAGATATGCCAACAATGAACAAGATACCGTTCAAACTATTTTGGTCAACTTGAAGTCCTTCTTGACCTCTCTGGAATCACTATCCAATCAGCTTACAATGGCACGTCCAATCGATATCCGACACACAACAACCTTGCCAATACCACTACCAACACAAGCATCACAACCAGCATCATCAGATTGCTCAACATATGCATCGATACAATCATGTCTCGACAGGGCATTCATCGTATTCACACAACTCTCAAATGAGCTAAACACTCAACTATCTTCACGCAACCGGATCATCAACAACACATTCATATCACCAGATCCAGTGGCCTCAACATCCAGGTCATCAAACAGTACCGGCCAATCCAACACCATCAACTTCACATCAAACATCGACAGGCTACTCACCACACTCAAGATGCCAACAAAGGCCGATGCACTCCTTCCAGACCTCCCAGTCCCAGCCCCTTTCCTCGCCCCAGTCCCAGTCCCACTCCAAGATATAACAATGCCAGCACTGAAGCCACAGTCCATCGGACAACAACGCAGTAGACTGAAGATTCCAGCACAGCTATCTGGCGCATCATCACTCATACTTACAGAGTCTGACATGTCTGAGGGACCATCACCGATCACACCACTAATGGCTGGGCTGTCCACATCGCGTTTGTCTAACAACAACAACACCGGGTTACGCTCTTGGCTAGAGGATGAGAAAACCCCTGCAGCAGCCGCAGCCGCCCAGCCACCAAAGAAGGAGATGTCAATCATGCCCTCGTTGAATGAAGAGGAGGAGGAGGAGGGATTGGAGAGCGAGTCAGGCTTGATGCCATCAATCATCATTGAACCGAACGATTCATCGTCCAATGCATTCATGCCCTCGTCTCCACCCATGTCTCCATCACCCATGCAAGCACTGGCAACGAGTGAGCGTCAATGTCACTTGGACCCTGACCTCATGGATATTGGCTGCGGCGACGACGACGACTTTGAAAAGATAAGCTTCTCACGGCTCGAGAGGTCGATGACCGAGATCGCCGTCACTCGAATCCGCACAAACATGACAGACGATGCACTGCAACGACGAACTCAAAAGAGTGCTGCCATGCTATCGTTCATCCTCCAGGATCAGGCTGGAGGCCATACTCACACGGGTGCCCAGTCCCAATGTGCTGGCGATGCTCAGCATCCTGCCTCACCCATTGAGACCTACCTGCCTATTGAAGAGGAGGACCTGTCTCATATGTATAGTGTGTACAAGGTGTCAACACAGAGCCGTGACAACAACAATAACAATGCCACGGCCACAGGAGGAGGAGGAGGTGGTAGTGCTGCGGCCAACCCATTGGGATCATCGGCGACAGGTGCACGATTACAACGCGCGCCATCATCTGGAAACGCACCCGCCAAGCAGACACAAGCAGGAGGCGGAGGTCTTGCCAACAATAATTTGCCCAGATTGGTGACCTTTGCCAAGCCCGACCCTCTGGCGCTGCCAACCACCCAGTTCCAATTCGTCAAGGAGCGTGTCCCACGTCGCTGGCCAATGCTTGATGACCTTGATCTCACTGACTTGGATGACCTGGACGAGACCAGCACGTCCGACCCAGATACAGACACAATGTTCGAAGTGGACGCAGCTGTGGCCGCCATCCTGGACAATCCACCACCAGTGCCACCCACGACCACCACCCCGTCCACAATCGTCAACAAGAACATTCACAATCTATCTATCAACACTGACCTGCTCAAGTCACCCGTGGCGTCCAAGCAGGTATCACCACGTTACTCTACCAACTCCCCGCGCATGTTCACACCAGTACGCTCATCACAACGACGCGCGCAGTCCATGAGCGGTCACTACAACTCTCTGCCATGGGTCGGCGCCAAACAGATACAACTGTGCGTGTTTGTGCCCACTCAACCACAGTCCATGGTTGAGCTGGCCGTGGACGAGGATGCCACCGTAGACAAAGTGGTCACCGATGTGCTCGAGCTATGCCATCGCGAGAAACGCAAGATCCTATCGTACAGCACAGAGATGTTGTCTCCCGTGTCTCCAGCGCCAGTCTCGTTCAGCAGCGGCGGTGGCTCAAGTGGCGGCAACTCGCGAAGTGGTCCACACTGCAACAACAACAACAACAATGTAGCCACCACTGCCACACCAGTCATGACGCCATCTGCAGAGACTGTACCACAAAGCCCAAGTCTCAACAATGACAACGAGCTATCCTTTGGCTTCCTTACCGTACTCAATGCCAAGTACTACTCGCTACGCCAGTGTAACGACTATGGCGAGATTGACAACGACATTGCCACACTTGATCGGACCACCGAGATGCGCAAGATCAAATGCTCAACCTTTGCCCTCACTCAGAACCTCAACTACACAAACATTGGTAAGTTCATGGCAACAAGCCCATTGAGTGATTGGAATCATTCCACTAACACACATACAGATCAATCAATGCCCCCGACTATATTTAGAGTACACATTGTGGCCTCGGGACCACTGACACATATTGGGGAGAAGAAGACACCTAACAGCAAGCCAGGTGGCAAGGACTCGATTGCAGTGCCTTACAATCCAAAGGCATCACTTACATCGATCAAGTCATTGGTGTGTCGCAAGGAGAAGGTGTCTGAAGATCTCTGTGTATTCATGTTGATGAACAATGAGATTGTTAATGACGAATCCATCACACTTGAGGAGTTGGGTGTAGGAGACATCAAACTGATACACAACCAAGTTAGTAAAGTTATCCTGATTGGTCAATCATTCACTCGCTCAATCACTCACTCAATCAATCAATCACTAGAATCAAGTATACCAAAGTCAGCATCAGTGGTGGCAGAGTCTGGAAATGCCCCAAGGGCCATCACCAAGTTACTTGGACCAATGTTCTTCTTCACGCCAGACACTGCTGGTGAGTTCAAGGTATGTATATCCAACGATCAGATATATGATCAAGATATACACTCACACCACACACTCGACCAATCAATCAATGTAGCAATATCATGTTGTCAAAGTTAACAAGTTTGGAATATCAACGAATAGGATTATGGGCATTGATCAGGATAGGATAATACATTCGATTGTTTCTGAGCCCAGTGGTAATGGTGGACAATCTGGTAATAGTAGTAGTCTTACACCAAAGAAGACATTGAGACGAAGGACATTCAGTTCATCACGACTCAAGACTCCTATACAACCGATGAAGGATATTATACAGGTTGGAACCAACTCGAACAAACCCAATAGTTTCTACATCAAGTTTAAGGATGGCAAGATGTCCGAGTTCTACTCACATGACTCTGAGGAGATAGTGGCCAAGATACAATTCATCATCAAGGAGAACCGTAACAAGATCAAGAATGAAGAGTACTAATTTGGAATGGAAAGTCGCGCGCCAATCCATTCAAACTTTTTGTTCAAATAATATAATATATAAAAAATAATTTACACAACAATGATGATGATGATGATCATTGGGCTGCTCCACAAAACTACAATCTCCCAATGCATCTCAGTTCCAGGCCCAAGTCGACATGATGCCAGGTGATCTTGGAAATAGGTACATGAGTGTTGGCAATCAATCTCAACCAATTATTGCATTGTAATTACATACTACACAGCCCGATCACAGGATATTGGGGTTAACCATTCAGTCTTGAAAAGGCTGTTTAGAACAACACGTTTGAACCAACATGGCACCTCACTTCTGATCACTCACTCACTATTACTGACAATCACACACACTGGAAACAAACACACTCACTCTACATCACATGATCATAAGACAAAAATAGAGGCACTACCACTAATTCGGCCTTGTGGATGTGTGACAATGACAATAGCCTGTTGATGGATGAGATAGGCCTAAGATGGTGGTCAACAATGTAATATCATTCGTTAAGATGTAACGGTAACCGTCAATTTGAACAAGGTGGAGGTTGTGTAGCGCATCATTGAATTAGTGATTGAGCAAGTGATTGAGTGATGAGTTACAAACGACTGATCAGGTACTTAAGTCAATACATGTAGTTGTTGACTATTCAGATCAATCAATCAATCAATTATCTGTATTACTATTATTAATATTATTTATTATTTATTTATTTGTTGTTGTATTTGTAAATACATTCATTAAAAAATGAAGCAACCAATCAATCAATCAAACATTATCAATATACTACTTTGTATCATATTGTTACAACATGTCGCCAATGCCTTTGCCCCATGCTCCAAGAACGATGATAAAGACCCCCAACAGAACTGTGACATAACATATTATGACACACCAGATGCCGGTGCCTGTAATTATGGTCCATTATTTGGTGATACTGGACCCAAGACCAACAATATAGTTGCCATAAATACCGCCTACTTCAAAGATGCCCAAGCCTGTGGATCATGTTATAAAGTGACCGGCCCATCAGGCACCATCACAGTGATAGCTACAGATGAGTGCCCAGCCAAGGACAACGTACAATGGTGCTCTGGACCCAACATCCACTTTGATCTCAACAAACCAGCTTTTGATGAGATTGGTGAGATTGTCAAGGGTTTCTACCTTGGACTGAACTTTACGATGGTACCTTGTGACTTTGGTGGCAACCTCAAGATCAAGGTCAAAGCTGGATCAATGCCAGGATGGGCTCAATACCTAGTTTATAATCATCGTGTTCCTGTCAAGTCTTTGGCAATCAAGGTTGGAGGCAGTATGGGATATGTTGATCTACCACGTGAGCGTTACAACTACTTCACATCAACAATCAATACTCCAGGCAACTTCACATTACGTATAACATCAATCTTTGACGAGGTCATTGAGTATCCAATCAACAAGGTATCTGGTGGATCCTCCTATGACACCAACGATCAATTCAATGTCTGGGGTGATATTGGATGTGTCCTGCCATCATCTGCACCATCTATCTTTGCAACACCCACTTTGGCTACCCTTATGATACTCCTGTTAATCAATCAATTAATAATATTAATAATATAATTTCATCTAACTAATTTATTTAAATAAAACTAAACTTTGAACCAAGCAACAATGTCCTAAGATTGATCAAGGATACATAAAGAATATGAATAATAATAATAATGATATGAATGATACTATTGAGAATACTACTGTTAAGATGAATCCGATTGCAGTTTGTTTAAAGTCGTCTAATGCCACAGTCTCAGGATGCCTAGTTCTGTAATAACATGTGATCGAAGTCCTACTCTGACATATCTCCTCTCCTAATGTTGGATCTGTTGCCCAATATGAATTATCTATCTGTGAATTTGTGTAATTCTTTCCTTCATACTCGAGATCAAAGGTGAACAGACACATGTAGCACTCGAAATATACTCTAATTGGTCTACTATCACTGAATATGGGGAAGCGTGATGATTGGCGAGGACCTGGTCCTCCACATACACTTTCAACTACTTTGTAATTTGCAATTAAACATTTAGTTGTCACTGTTTCATTCTCTTCATTACAATATAGAACTATTCCAGTGATCAGTATACCTAATGAAATAATAGTAAATACCAAAATAATATTAAATATTGTTTTAGACCTTGTCATTATTATTTGTTGTGATTGTTTGAATTAAATATATACAGTTATTATTTTTTATTATTAATTCTACTTTAGAAGTAAGGACCAATCCAATCAAATCCAATCCAATCCAATCAAACTGATATTCAAATTAAGGAATGTTGTTTTTTGTTTATTTTTAATTTAATTTTAATTTCACACAACAATTGAAACGAACGACACAAACTTTGAAAGACGTGTCGTTTTTTGATCTCTCAATGAACGTTCTTTATTGTCTCTATCACATATCACAGAAGTAATTTATAACTTTATTACTTAAACATACACTCACCTCACTACATACACCACATATACACAATGGTCGGAACAACAGTCACTACTACTCCAGCAACCATCGAGCAATGCATCCCATTTGTAAGTATCAAGCGAATGATCGAATGATTGAAAGAAAGAATGATTGAATGACCATTGATTGATACTGACATGTTACGTGCTTACTTTATTGAATGAAATAGATGGTCAAGGCATTGACTGAGCTCAAGAAGTTCTCACAGAAGAAGAATGATACAGCACTGTTTGATAGCGATGTCAGCTCTGTTCAGTTGAGCTTCCTCCCAGCCAAAGCATACCACCTCGACTCCACTAAGCCTTTGGTCGTGTATGTCATCAATGAATGAACGAATGAGTGATTGAACATCATTGCTAACATCATGATACCATAACATATCTAGCACTCTTCCACATGCATCAGAGTCAAAGGTTGACATCTGTGTCTTTGTCCCAGTTGCAAACAAGGAGGCCATCGAGCAGAAGCTCGCCGCCGCCAACATCACCGCCAAGGTGTTGACCATCAACGAGATCTTCTCAGAGTACCGTCAGTTTGTTGACAAGCGCAAGCTCAGAGACTCATACGACCTCTTTGTTGCACACAGCTCACTCTACAACGTCCTCCACAAGGGACTTGGCAAAGTATTCTTTGGATCTAGAGCAAAGTATGTTAATCCATTCGAAGGCGATTATTCATGGAATCATAACTAATCATTCAATCAATCATTCAATCACCAATCATCCATCTGGTCACTCAATCAATCAATTCMAATCAATCCAGGACACCTTTGGTTATGGATCTCACCATGGACTCGACTATTGCAAAGTTAAAGAATGCCAACAGGATCTCTCAGATCAAGTTGCTCGGCAAAGAGGGCTTCACTGCTCACGTCGGTGATATCTCACTGAGCCCAGCTAATCTCAAGGCCAACGCTGAGTTTGTTCTCAAGACCGTCGTATCACACTACGCCGACAACATCAACAGTTTCAGATCGATTGGTGTCAAGACCCAAGAGTCACCCAACTTGCCAATCTTTAGCCAATTGAAGGCTGACCAGACAATGAAGGAGGCTAGCGAGGAGGAGGTCGAGGAGGAGGGGGAGGTTGAGGAACCAATCATCACAGAGGAGCAGCCAAAGAAGAAGCTGAAGGCTACCACCCCAGTCAAGGGCAAGAAGGCTGTTGAGGAGCCAGCTGCTGTTGAGCCACCAAAGCCAACTACCCCAATCATCAAGAAGAAGGCTGCTGCTACTGCCGCTGCTGTTTCCACCCCAAAGGAGACTACCCCAAAGGCTGTCGAGGCTCCAAAGGAAGCCACACCAAAGAAGTCTGCTCAGACTCCAAAGAAGGGTGCTGCTCCAGTTGAGGAGAAGGTCGTTGAGGCTCCAAAGGAAGCCACCCCAAAGAAGGGTGCTAAGAAGGCTGCTGCCGCTGCTGCCCCAGTTGAGGAGAAGGTTGAGGCTCCAAAGGAAGCCATCACAAAGAAGGCTGCTCAGACACCAAAGAAGGGTGCTGCTGCTGCTGAGAAGGTTGTTGAGGCCCCAAAGGAGGCTTCACCAAAGAAGCCTGCTGCTGCCAAGAAGGCTGCCCCAGTAGCTGCTGTTGTTGCCCCAGTCGTGGAGGCACCAGCACCAGCCAAGAAGGCTGCTGCCGGAAAGAAGGTTGCCACCGCTGCTGTTGAGACTGCTGAGCAAGTCGCCTCCCCAGCTGCCCCAGCCAAGAAGGCTGTTGTTAAGAAGGCTGTCGCTCCAGCTGCCGCCGAGACCACCACCACCACCGTTACATCCACCAAGAAATCAACTCCAACCACCACTACTACCGATTCAAAGGCAGCTCCAAAGAAGGCTTCTGTCGCCGCTGCTCCAGCCAAAGCTGCCGGAGGTGTCAAGAGAAAGCTCTAAATAATAATAATAATTATAAACATTGCGTAACTTAATCATTTGTTTGTTTCGTTGACTGGTTGCCTTACTGCGGGAGGGTCGTCAACATTGATACCATTTATTGTCGCTTTGATGAACCATCACCAATGCCAAGCATGACTTGTTGTTGTGTTGGCTGCCACAGCCAGTGTGTGATTGATATATAAATTGAATGAATGGAGGATGAGAAGGGGAGGGGACTGATTGGAAGCGGAGCAGAACTGAACTGTCAATCGATGTCAAAGTCGAGGTGATAATACTGAGGAGATACTGAATACTGAATGAATGAATGGACCTGGAGGAGAAAGAAGAGAAAGAGACGATGAAAGGAGGGAGGAGGGTATGGTGGATTAATGAAGAGTAGGGGGAGGAGGAGCTGAGAAGAAGAGCCAAGGAGGGAAGATGTAGGTAGGATATGAAGAGGGGAATAGGGGAGAAGAAGACAGAAGACAAGGCACACCATGGTTTGATTGATTGATTGAGCTAGACAAGACAAGATACATAAATAACTTACCATTTATACTATACAATGTGCTGGCGATGTGAGTGTCCATCAGCGGTAGTCCATCCATCCAAACATGAATCCAACGATCGTGCAATTGTTAACCAGTGATGATGATGATGATGATTAATAGAGTGGATCTCTTCTCTTGCTTGAACCATATCTACTGCTGTTGCTGCCACTGCTGCTGTTGTCGTCATCCCAATCGCGTGAATGCTTATCTCGTCCAGATGGTCTGGCCTCGCGTCGCTTGTACTCTGGACTGTTCTCCACACTGGATCGCGACGTTGGATACTTGGAGCGTGGGTCTCCATAGTTGCCACTGCCACCGCCATAGTGATCGGTATCGCTGCTCTTTGGCATAGCGCCACTAGAGTGCTTTCTATCATATGGCGTCTCCTTGTATCTCTCTAGTCGGCGTCGGGACAGTTGCTCGCCCATGTGCGGACCAAAGCCGCTCTTGGAGAAGTACTCATAGTCGTCCCAGCGCGCAGACATCATGTGGTAGGGCGGCAGGTCATACTCGGCCAGCGACGGCATGGGGTAGGGCAGCAGGCCGTCAGGACGATGCATAGATGCGGGCACGGGTCGTCGGGGTGCGCCGTAGCCAATCGTGAAGGGGTCAGAGTAGGGTGGATAGAACATGGGTGGCGGCACATCCTCCATGTAGTGTTGTGGCGGCATCTTGTACATGTGAGGTGGTGGCGCTTGATGCTGCTGCTTGCGTGACAGGAGCTCCTCTGGATGGCAACCCTTGCAGCGACACAGTTTACATCCTCCCTCGGGCAGAACACCCATCCTCACCGAAGACGGCACCTGACATAGACACGACTTGCCAGTCTCGCTGAACGCCTTCATACATGGTTTGCAGCATCCATTCTTCAATTGAGCATCCTCCTCCTCCTTCTTTGACAAGCTGGTCGTGCTGCTGTTGAGACTGCTGGCGCCACTGTGCTGTTGCAACTTGTTCTCCAGGTCCTGTGGGTGGCAGCCGGTGCAGCCACAAGCGACACAGCCGTTCTCGCCAAGCTTGCCACGGCGCTGGTTCTGGGGCACCTGACACAAACATGCTCTGCCATTGTTCCTGCCCTCCTTGCAGCAATTTGAGCAACAGGTCTTTGGTGTCGATCCAATATTGTTAGCCAACTGTGATGATAATGATGCTGATGGTGGTGGCGTTGACGATGTGGACGAGGCTACGCTCCTGCTGCTCTTTGCAAGTTCATTGAGTATGTCTGGCGATCTACCCTTATTATCTCTATATCTCTCTCTTTCCAAATCCGAGTCCGAGTCTCTGTCCCTGCTTCTATCTCTACTTCTATCTCTATCTCTAACTCTGTCTCTTGCTCTGTCTCTGTCTCGACTACTCCTGTCTCTGCTCCTGCTCCTGTCCCTACTCCTGCTCCTATCTCTACTTCTATCTCTATCTCTACTCCTATCTCTGCTTCTATCTCTCTCCCTATCCCTTCTGTCTCTATCTCTGTCTCTACTTCTATCTCTATCTCTATCTCTTCTATCTCTTCTGTCTCTATCTCTATCTCTACTCCTGTCTCTACTTCTACTTCTATCTCTATCTCTTGATCCACCCTGTGTATAAGCTTGCTTTGCTGGACAATTACACTCTGGTCCACAACACCATTTTGCTTTTGTCGTCTCTGTCGATACTGATGAGCAACAACCTCCTACTTTAACTTCTTCCTCCATTCTTTATATCTTATATATATTAATTAACTAGTCTTCAATCTTCAATATAACAATTAATAATATCTATCACTCTGATTCACACTCTCTATCTCTATCACTGACTGCCTCTATTATCTGTTTTAAATATATGTATGTTTGAATATATAAGTGTGGTGACCTAAGTCTTGTCTGTCCGTCTTGGTCTACACCATGGTCGGTTGAGCTGGCTACACCCCGAAGCACAAACAACACAAACCACACACCTGTCTGCAAATCTTTGGATAAAAACCCAAGTCGACTTCCACTTATAACCTTTGCGCTCTCCACACAAACGAACAAATAAAATGAATGGATAATATTATGACAGTAGTTATTTAATTAATTAATGAATGAATGATGATGTTTAATTGTCTTCATCATCGGAAGCATCATCTTCAACTGGTAGGATATCAAGGAATGGATTGCGCATTGATTGCCATTCGTTTGGACCCAACTCCAATTCGGCCTCGGTCAGCAGACATGATGTCAGCTTATCAATGAAGACCTGCTCGGTGAATGGCTTCTCCTCAATGCCCACGATCGATATCTCTGTCTTCCTATCCTGATACTTAAACAGTTTGATGTCCCTCTCGATGCTCTCTTTGATTGCTGGATCATCTGGCCATTCTAAAGATGTTCACGTTCGGAACAATGTCAGTCATCGCTCAAACATTCAATCAATCAATCAATCAATTAATGAAGTAATACATACGACTCTGGCTTATTGTTGAATAGAATGGATAACCGACGGTGAAGAGGTCAAAGCCTGGACTGACTTCGAATGAATAGTTGTTGGCCATGTCGGAGGCGAGCCAGAGACGTCCGTTCAAAAAGACGATCTTTCTGAACATCTTGCGGTTGAGACGCTTGGCATCGGCGTCCTCGTAGAAGAAGTGGAACAGACGCTCGGGGTGGAATGGAACGCGTTGGTAAAAGTGTGTAATGAAGACGCTGGACATCTTCTGTTTGATCGGCTGGTAGTTCTTGACCACGGCCGTTGGCTCCACAAACAAATCGGCAGCCTTCACATTGGACAGCTCTGTCTTGATCGTTCTGACATTGCTGTTGACCAAATGTACGAGACTGTCCAAGAACTGTACCTCCTCCTCCTCGACCAAGTCGCTCTTGTTCAGAAGGACGATGGATGCGCATGTCAGCTGAGGTGAGGAAGGTGTTAGGTCATGGGCACGTGCGTGTATTCATCACAATCAAACAATCAATCAATCAATCAATCAAACATACCTGCTCCATCACTAGAGTGCACACTGGCTTGTCACCCTTCTTGACGAGGTTCTCGAGATCGGCGCTTGCAGTGATCTGCTCTGAGCGCTTCTGTTGCTCTTCCTCTTTCTTCTTGTTTTGGCAACAGTTTGGCTCGCCTTGATATGGACAGCATACTGTCTTCTTGCGTGAACCGCTCAGACCCATCGAGCCCGAGAGACCGCCGGCACCCGCGCTAGCGGCCAACTGTGCCTGTGTGAGTGGCACGACCAATGACTGAGCCATCTGAGGTGGTGGCATATGGACGACCTTATCTGTTGGGTCCTGTGTGACGACGACGCTGACCTCCTCAAACTCCTTGGTGAACCTGTCCTTGAGCAGTTGTGTCGACTTCAAGTTCACAATAGTCGATGCGCAGTCCAACAAACAAACGATGTTTAACAAGTTGATTTTCTGTTGATTGCGCGCATGCTGTTGTTAGTTCACGTCACTGACGAGTTGCCAGTGAGTCAGTCGGGCACTTACACAAGCCAATTTAGACAGTGCACCTTCGTCAATGCATGATAGCAACTCGGCCAAGAAGCTTGACTCGAATGAGTTGCTGACAAAGACCATGTTGTCAAAGGGTAGTGCGCCAGTGATCTTGTCGGCACGACTGAGGATGGCAGACTCGATGTTCTCCTCGTCCAATGTGCAGCAGATGCTCTGTTCTCCATTCACAGCGACAGACACGTCCTTTCTAAGTAGCTTTCCCTCGGGGAATCCCAACAATATATTATCTGGCAATACATCATGATCGAATACAAATGCGTATCTCCTACTTTTATCCTGTAACAATTGATGAACCAATGTTGACTTTCCTGTCGAGATGAAGCCAGTCACAACTATTGCTGGTATCATATGATTGGCTTCCATCCTATCCAACTATATCTATATCTTATCTATCTATCAATATATATGTATATATAACTATAACTATATATATATAAATGTCGTTTAATATTGTGTTTGTATGTGTATAAGTACTCTGAGTGTTGTTGTGTTCTTGTCGTGTATTTGAATGAGTGCGGGAGGAGTGGAGAGGGTGTTGGCTTGAATCACACACACTTCAAAAGACGGGTTGACAAGAGGAGCACGTGAGGGGTGGGTTCTGTTCCAAGGTAAATTGGATCTGAAATTGGAAGGCTGTCGAATCTGAACCCGAAGAACTAAGCTTATTTGTTAGGTTATTCCTAGATACACACCCTTATGCTGAATGAAGAGGTATTATCCCAAAACCACACTAACAACTTAATGAATCTTAATAATGTTCCTCTCTATCCACTTCTTACTTCTTATTTCTTAAAGAGGACTAAGAATGTTAAAACATCATCTTGATCTCATTGTTGTTGTTATTGCAGTTTTAATGTAATTATTATTATTGTCAGAATGATGTGAGATGATGAATGAAGCAGATTGTTGGGTTGAGCATACTTTGTTTTGTGGGTGGGTTGTTGGCTTTGGGAAAAAGACGAATGATGAGCTCATCTTTCTGCATTTGGTGTATACTTATAATAGATATATATAGATAGATAGATAATGGAGGTTGATAGTAAGACTAATACAACAAGTCAGCAGACACCTGATGATGACACTATTGTAGAGTCACAACAACAAAAACAACAGACTACTGATGTCGACAACCAATCACAACAACAACAACAAAAGACACTTACTACAACTGTTAAGAACAGAATCAAGCAAGGTGACACTGTCATCTTGAACATAAACAATGGCGAGACCTACAGAATCATCAAGTTGGACAATGATATGTATGTTTGAGTGTGATTGTATGTGTGATCACGAACAATGACTGACTGAATGAATGAATGACGATTGAACAGGAAACAAACATTTGGTAAACTTAAGAATATAGACTTGACACCAGCGATTGGACTGCCTTATTATACAACGTTCTCGGTTGGCAAGGATAGGGTGCTCGAGCAGGTCAACCCAAAGGCACTGGACGAGGAGTTGCTGCGCATCACAGAGATCAGTAACAATCAGGACGCCAACAACAGTACGCTCACAAGCTATAACACGTCACAGAAGCTCACGGGCGATGACATCAAGGGCATGAAGGCAAAGGGCGGCGACTACAAGGAGGTCATTTCGGCACTCATCGACAACAGCTCATCGTTCCACACCAAGACTGCCTACAGTCAGATCAAGTATCTCAAAAAGAAGATGGCCAAGCACTCCACAATGATTCGCTTCCTCAGGCCAACTCTAAAGACACTATGTGAGTGCTATTACTCCAAGGATCCAAGGAAGATAAGGTAAGGGCGAGGCGAGCGAGTGATTGATTAAATGAATGATTGAGCGAGCGAGTGATATTAACACGCTGCACAGCTATCTAAGGTTCGATACATTTGGTCAACTGTTGACGTTGGCAAACATACGCGCAGGATTGAAGGTGCTGGTTGTCGAGACTACAATGGGCCTGTTGACTGGTGCGATCGCAGAGAGAATGAATGGCGACGGCAAGGTATTGTCGGCTTTCGTTGGTAAGGGCCCTTCGTTGTCCATCGCCCAGAACTTTGGCTTTGCTTCCAATGTCGAACAGATGATCGTACCCTTTAGCATTGAGGTGCTGCATCAGCTCAACGCAGAAAACCCTGCCGACATCAAGACAACAGTGCCCGGCACAACGTCTGGCGGCATCTTCAATCAGAACCAGGTGGAGGTCGCTACGCCCTTGCTCAAGGAGGGTGTGGACAGCTTGATCATCGTCACCAAGTATCATCCACTGAACATCGTACTCGCATGTCTGCCATTCCTCAACCCGAGCGGTAACATCGTCGTCGTGTCTCAGTTCCAACAGCAATTGATTGAATGCTATCAATTCTTGAACAAGGGTCCACTCGCACTAAACTTGGCCATCAGTGAGATCTGGATGAGAGAGCAACAGGTGCTACCCAAGCGTACACATCCAACAATGAACATGGATGGATCATCTGGCTATCTATTGTCATGTATCAAGGTCAAGACCAGTACCAACACTACCACTACTACCCCAACAACTTCAACATCCTCGACATCTACGACAACCTCCACAGATACCAACAACAACGACAATAACAATAATAACAATAACAACACAGAGGAGACAGTAACTACTGCTGATGCTGAAGAAGGCGATCAACATGCAATGAAGAAGAGAAAGAGAGACGGAGAGAATGGCGAGCAAGACGAAGAAATGGACAACTAAAGGACTAATCGATCAAATAAACTTTAAGTGCGACATCATTCATCACAGGCTCATAAAGACCTTCATCAAAGTAATTGCCAATTGGGCTTTGGTGATCTCAAGAACAGTTACTTTGAAATTTGAATTCAAACTTTGATCAGTTGGGGCACGCAGTTCACAGCACTTAATCAATCTTTGAAGATCATTAACTTCATTTACAAATAGATATTTATACACACAAGAGAGAAATAGGATGACATCAACCAATACAGCAGGCACAAGTGCCTCGATGTCTGGTGCACAGTACTTCAACTATGTAGAGGAGGATGAGGAGGCAGGCTGGGATGCTTTGTTTGCAAACAATGAGGATGGCGAGGAGAATGATCGTGAGGACAGAGGCGCAGCCTACCAATCAATGCGTGACTGTATCATCTTTCTAATCGATGCCTCGCCTCCCATGTTTGAGCGTGATCCCATCACCAAAGAGCGAGCCTTTGACAATGCCATCAAGTGTCTCATTCAAACAATCACAGACAAGATCATCACAAGTGACAGTGACCTCATTGGTCTATGTCTCTATGGTACTGTAAGTATAAGTTAAGTGACATCTGGGATGATTCCACTCACTCACTCAATTAATCAATCAATCAATACTGTGAATAGGACAAGAACAAGAACTTGAATGACTTTGAGAATATATATGTTATGTTCGATCTTGATATACCTGATCCAAAGACTATATTGCTGTTGGAAGATATACTGGAAGCAGACTACTCATCATTTGGAGGCAGCACAACAAAGGAGTTTGCATTCTGTGATGCACTCTGGACATGCTCATCAATGTTCTCAAACTGGTATGTTTGATCGATTGATTGAGTGGACATTACAATCATACTTACCTCCCTACCCTCCTTCATGGACCATCACGATCACAGCAACGTCAAGGTATCACACAAACGTATATTCTTGTTCACGAATGAGGACAACCCGAATGAGGACAATGACAACTTGCGCAATATTGCATTCCAGAGAGCCAAGGACTTGTCAGACTTGGGCATCGAGATTGAGTTGTTCTCAATGAACAAGCCTTTGAGTGACGATCCATTCGACTTTAATCGATTCTTCCAACGCATAATATTCTTTAGCGATGACATGGCCATCGACCAGGACTTCTCGGCCGTGACCAAGTTCGAAGCGCTTCGTTCCAAGCTGAAACGCAAGGAGTTCAAGAAGCGCTCTCTCGGTCGCATCCCACTCTATATCAAGGACAGCGTTATCGCTACTCAACTCTACAACCTGGTCAGCACGACTAGCAAGTCGTCGCCCACCTTGCTCGACCCGGCCACCAACCTGCCTGTCAAGACGCTCACCAAGAATGTCTGTCTCGACACGGGCCAGGCGCTGCTGCCCTCGCAGATATCCTACAGCTACTACTACGGTGGCGAGCCCATCGTCTTTGACAAGGACGAGGTGGAGTCGATCCGCGCCATCGACCGCCAGGGCATCGTTCTGATGGGCTTCAAACCGCGCAGCGCAGCACTCAAGCGACACAGGAATATCAAACACGCGTCGTTCATCTTCCCCGACGAGCGAGCAATTGCAGGTAGCACAGTGGCCATCAATGCACTGATCACAGAGATGATGGCACGCGACAAGGTGGCCATTGCCAAGTTCTTGCCGCGTGTCAACACGTCGCCACGCATGGTGGCCCTGCTGCCCCAGGAGGAGGTGCTCGACGATCAGGGCTTCCAGGTGGTGCCGCGCGGTCTCCACATCATCTATCTGCCATACGCTGATGACATACGCAACTTCCAGTTCGAGGTGACCAACCGCGCCACCAACGATCAGACTGACGCGGCCAAGCGAATGGTCAAGGCGCTCAAGATACAATACAACGATCGATTCTTCCTTAATCCCGCACTGCAGAAACACTATGCCAACTTGCAGGCACTGGCACTGGAGCGCGACAAGGTCGAGCCCACCAAGGACCTGATTGCGATGCCTGATATCCAGGCGGATCAGCAGGACGAGCTAGACTCCTGGGCCTCGGCCGTCTACCCCGCCGACTATGTCGACGAGCTAGCCAGCTCCAAGAAGAGGGATCGCGAAACAAAGAACACATTGGCATTGATGAACTGGGAACAGATGGCCAACGAAGGCACGATCGCCAAGCTCAAGGTCGTGGAGCTGTCCACATTCCTCAAGAACCAGGGACAAAAGACGCCGAGCAAGTTCAAGAAGGCTGACCTTGTGGAGGCGGCCACAAACCTGATCCTCGAGGGCAAGTTCGACCCGATAAAGCTTGCCGAGATGAAGGATGGTGATGCTCTCTATGATACGGCCAACCAAGACGACGACGAGAACGACAGACCCAAGAAAAAGGTTAGACAATCGTCATCACAAGACTCGACATTGTCTTCGTCGACGGCTTCATCAAAGAAGGCCGCCGCCAAGACTTCAACAACATCAACTACATCAACAACATCCACAACGGCAAAGGCTGCAGCCAAAACATCAAAGCCAGCTGCCCCAACTGTATCTGCATCCAAGAAGAAGCCTGCAACAACAGTGATAGTGGATGACGACGATGACATTATGATGCGTCCAGTTGACGATGACGATGACGATACCTACATGCCACAGCCAACCAAGACCAGCACGATCCAACGCACGCAGAGTGACCTGTCCAACATGAGTTCCAAGCCCATCTGCAAGTACGACGGCAAGTGCTATCGAAAGAACGCTGATCACTTTGAGCAGTACCGCCATCTCCAACAATAAACTTCATCGATCGCCTGATCGAGGTGTCATTGTGTATGTACGTTTGTATGTATCTCTCTTGCTTGTTGTATATATAATAAGTATGTATTGAATCGATTCGCGCGCATCTTCTGTGTTGTTTGTTTAGAACAGGTTGCCTGTGAGCAACTCCTCTGAACGCTTCTTGGGCTTCTCCTTCTTCTTGTACACGATCTTTGATTGAGGGTCTTTGGATGGAGGTGTCGTCGTCCAGAATGGTATCCAATCGGGTGCATCATCATGCGTATCGACCAACATCGCAGTCTTCCTCAGATCCTCTGGCAGTTCGGCAACTGCTTCCCATTGATAGTGTAGCTGATTGAGTGAATGGATGAATGAATGAACGAACGAGAATAAATGAGAATGAATATCCTACGTCCTGTGCATCACCTCGATGATCTTACCTTTTGCTTCTCCTCAGCATCCTTCTTGTCGAGCAACTTCTGACGGTATTGCTCGTAATGATACATTGAGAGACGCAGTGCCTCCTCCTCCTCGGTAGGTGGTGCCTGCTTGGTGATGTCTGGTCGCTTGAAGGCTGCTGTGAATCTCTGTTTGATCTTGTCCATTGATGCCTTTGAGATTGTCGTCTCTGGCTCGCCCTGATCGTCGTCGGCAAAGTCATCGTCCTTCTTCAAATAGTCTGGGATCTTGCTTGCTCTTGCTCTACCACTGATGTGAATCGATGTGATTGCGCCTTGATACAGCTGTGCTGGTGTTCTTCCGCCACCAATCAATAATGATCTTCTTAGCATCATCATTGTTTATTCTTATTATTATTTGTTTGTTATATGAAGAGAGTGAAATAAATGGACGACAGCAAAAAAGTGATCGTTTTTTGAAGTTTTCATTCTTTAGCCGACAGTGCAAGAGAGACCAGGTTTAGTATTCCTTTCCTACTGCAGGTTCAGACAACTTTGGATCTGTGGTTTAAAGTTGGATCTCGACCTTATAGGATATAAAATCCCTTATTTTAATAGTTTAAGAGAATGGAATTTATCTGAATTAACAAATTATTAATATTCATTCAGATAATATTTAAATTCCAAACTGATTATTTGAATATAATAATAAATCTATAGATTTCAATACTTTCTCAGATCGCTATTATATTGACAAGTTGTAATTAAATTATATATTTAAAGTCAAAGTTGAGTAAATTTCATTCTCTTCGATATAAAAAAATATTATTAACAAGTATTTTTATTTTAATAATGAACAATATTGTCACATGTCAGGATAACGTTAATTTGGAAGTCATATGCATTGATTGCCAAATGATTTTATGTACTCTCTGTTATGTCACTAATCACACAACTCTGATCATATTGATAAAATAAAGCAATCTATAACAGAGAAAACAATCAACGAGTCATTCAACAAGAGGTTGAGTGAATTATGGGATCTCAAACAGAGTGTGATGGCCACATACAAGTCACAAGACACTGCCATAGAGGAAATTGTCAATCATTTTCAAAATCAACACAATGAACTAGACCAGGAGGAAATGATTTTAAAGAAAGAATCCTGGAAGAGAAGGAAAAATCAGAGGACATGGTGGAAGGTATCGCTTGGATTTTAATCACATCGTTGATAATGGACATTGTACTGGAGATAGGGCTGAAGTTATTAGAGCAGCAAATCCCAGAAACTCAATCAACCAATTTGTCAAGTTGGTTCATGTCAGAGAAGATGAACCACCAGACAACCTTACAATTATTACAAAATTTCTTCAATGTCATAACAATATCAATTCCAATCAATATTTTCAGAGTCGTCCATTCACGACCAAGATAAAAGATTATATCGATAATTTCACTGGAAGAAACAAATCAATTATTGAAGTGATTGATTCAAAGAAATCTAGTTATTCTCATCAACTGTCAAATAATATATTCACTTTTAATGACCATGGAAATAAGTTCTTAGATCTAAAGACAGGAAAATTATTCTCTTTTGCAAACGATTATTCAAAGTTGGTGAGGAAGAGTGTTAGTACCTCAATAGTGTATGCCAGAGACAACATCTATGTGTTTGGTGGCGAAGGAGATATTATAGAGGATTCATTTGCCAAGTACTCAATGTCGGAAAAAAAATGGAGTAGTGGACACATTTCAGGACCATCAGTGGTTGGAGGTCACGGAATATCAGTTTGTTATGATGGATGCAAGAACATTTACTTGGTTGGAGGTTGTCACAGAGGAAGCATCCTGCATAGAATCGATTGTTTCAATTTGGATACTTATACATTCCGACATAAGTTCAAAGTATATATTGATCGTCTCCAAAGTCCATGGTGCGTCTGTAGCGAGGGTCCTTCTCGAAGGTGCATCCGACATCCTTGACTGCGGTGTACTTGCTCGATGTGACAGTCTGGTTTGTTGCAATTGGTGCTGTTTGTCATTGGTGTTGAAGGTTGCTCATTTGAAGTAGTGCCGCTGCTAGTCGTAGTCGTCTAACCATTGGGAAGTGGCCTAATTGCCCTTCAACTCTCACCTAAGCTCACATTGATAAGTCTGCCACCAGTTTAGTCATCAATCAAACTCAATCAATCAATAAATGAGTGAATGTATACATACTCTTCATGTACCAGATGTAGATGGAGCGCGAGTCTGCCACCAAACCGATGAAGTTGGTATTGTTGCTGAGATGTGGTCGATGCGTATGCTCGATCTTATGATGCGTCCAGTGTTTGTTTAAAAAGCATCATCATGCGTATCGACCAACATCGCAGTCTTCCTCAGATCCCCTGGAAGTTCGGCAACTGCTTCCCATTGATAGTGTAGCTAATTGAGTGAATGAATGAATGAATGAACGAACGAGAATAAATGAGAATGAATGTCCTACGTCCTGTGCATCACTCGATGATGATCTTACCTTTTGCTTCTCCTCAGCATCCTTCTTGTCGAGCAACTGATCGTCTCGGCAAAGTCATCGTCCTGCTTCAAATAGTCTGGTATCTTGCCCACTGATGTGATTGCGCCTTGATACAGCTGTGCTGGTGTTCTTCCTCACCAATCAATAATGATATTCTTAGCATCATCATTGTTTATTCTTATTATGTGTTTGTATATATATATGTATATTTCTCAATGTAAAGAAAGAGATAAATAGATGAATGCAACAAAGTGATGGTTTTTAAGTTTTCATTCTGGGTCTCAACAGTTAGAAGTTGCTCAAGGAGTAAGCGAATCAATCTAGGATTGCTATTGCTAGCATGAAACCAAGATAGGATACTCGGATTCGGAAGTTCTTTTTTCAATCTGGTAACTAACAGAATCTTGCTCTGTTAAGATTCAAAGGAACAAGCTAGTAACTTATCTAATCTCATAGTCAGATCTAGTATTAAATCTATACTATTTTATTATTTATACCTATCCTTTCAAAAAGGAACACCAAAGAAGATAAAACTCACTGTTAGTAATCATAAACCCACGAAGGCCTTTCCGGTTAGAAATCAAATAGAATCACAAGATTCAATCAAGAATAGAGGAACATTACTAACAATTGCCAAAAGAGTTGTCGACAATGGCCATCGTGATGGAGAATGGGCGGAAGCAATTAGAGCAGCAAATCCGAGAAACACAATCCACATATTGTCAAGTTGGTTCATGTCAGAGATGATGAACCTCCAGACAACTCGGACATCACAATGATCACAATGTATTACCATTCAATATTTTCAAAGTCGTCCAATCTCTAACAAGTTAATAACATATATTGACAATTTCACTGGACAAAATAGATCAATCATTCATGTCATCGAGAACAAGTTGTCTTCTTCTTTACAAACTCTCTTTGTCCCAACCCGGCAGGTAAACCATTCTGATCTTTGCAAGTTCAAGGGACAGTGATTGAATTGTACTCTTGGAGGAGCAAAGATCAGAATGACTTCCTAACTTTGCTCGCTTGTTGGGGCTGACAAGATAGTACTAATCTATACCTTTTTGGTAAGTCCTTGACGAAGTAGTTGATATGATTACGGACAGATTAATTATTATTAATATTAAACTCTTCAATTGTCAACAGGGTATATGATTGAATGGAGTTCGCCAGATTATCTTGATAGCCTGTGATCGATGACCCAGCGCCTTGTTGATCAGTCACCTTGGAGCGGGCCTTAATGCCATTTGAATGAGTGTAGCTCCTCATCATCTGTACAATGCATCACCCACTGGAAATTGAGAACCTATGTGCGACCTTCCTAGGCATGACTGACTGGCTGTCTGATAGAAAAGAGCCAAACGATGACTGAAAGCCAGTAGGGTCACCAATCCAATGACGATAATATGGTTGATCTTGTTCAAACTAGTTGATTAATTTGTCCAGCCATCATGATGTATATATACAATTCATTATATATTATAAGTACTGATGGCTGTTGTATGAATGAATGAATAAATGATTGATGTGTTGGATATATTTTGCTAATCATTGTATCTTGGGTATGTTCCCTCTCTGTTTTGGGTTATCAAAGTCTCTTGACCCTAAAACAAGTGAAGTTCAAAGTGTGGTGAAATTTGAATTTGAAATTCTCGCCCAACTGAATCGAAATAACGGTTGAGTTCAAAATGGTGGTTGGTTAGATGTGGTCCACATGTCACTGTGAGACTGGGCCACTACTCATCTCATTGGCATAGCACTCACTCTCCTACTAGTACTCATACACATATACATATATATCTACTTATGCTTATACATATACAAATACATCAATAATAAACAACACATTGACATGTATCACTCACCACGTTGTTCTGCCTTGTTGTCTCACTACTGATGATGAGTTACTATTGAGTGTGAGTTATGATATCAATCAATGAGTGAGTACCAATAGACTTCTAATTGCACCACCATCTGCTGCTTACTTACACTATCCTCTTCTTCTCTTCTCTCTTCTCTTCTGCCTTCCCCTTGACCTTGTGCCTGTGTGGTCCTTGTCCAAGTCAGTGTTCACCACCTGTATCTCCATCACGTCCGCCGTGCTTCCATGTTGACCACTGCCATGAACCACTGCCTTTGATGCCCAGAGTAGAGCTCTGCCAACAAGCTGCCTGACCACTGCCTCTGCCGCCATGCTGTCTGACCACTGCCTCTGTCTCCAACGAACAGACGGCCGCTATTGTGACACCGCCATGCTGCCTTGAGTGACCTTAGCCCTGAACCTCTGTCCCTCAATGAGTGAGTACTACTACACCATTGATCGCACAGCTGCTCACCTATACTCTGCTGCTTACTTACACCATTCCCTTCTTCTCTCTTCTCTTCTGCCTTCCTTAACCTTGTGCCTTGAAGACCGCTGTGTAGACCTTGTCAAGTCAGTGTCTCCAACTAGACAGACGGCCGCCTTTGCTCGACCATGCTACCAAGCTGTCCACAGCCCCGAACCTCTGTCTCCATCTAGAATGAGGTCGCCATGTGCCCTGACTGACCACAGCCCAGAACCTCTGTCTCCAACTTGACTGACTGCTGATCATGCTGCCAGTGTCATCATCCATGAACATCTGTACCCAACAAGACAGACTCCGCCACGCTGACCGCCCATGCTACCAAGTTGTCCATCTCGAGTTGGACACAGCCCTGAACCTCTGACTCCAACTAGACAGCCACTATACGTTGACCATAGTCCAGGACCTCTGTCTCCAACTTGACAAACTTCCACGTTGACTACCGCCCGCCTTGTTGCCTGCCTCCATGCTTCCAAGATGGCTACCGTCGACAACCTCTGACTCCAACCAGACAGACCGCCACGCTGACAAGTGCGACGCCATGCTGCAAAGTTGTCCATCTTGAGTTGACCACAGTCCAGAACCTCTGTCTCCAACTGGACAGATGCCACGCTGACAACCGCGGTGTTGCCATCATTGACTAACCGCCATCTTGCCAAGTTGACGAGTGTATCCAACTGGAGTGATCATAATCAAAGCATTAATAAACGATGAAGACAGGAGTTGTGCAAGTGTGACTTAAGGAGAATAACAGCAATTGGAAAAGTACAACTCAATGATGTCGCCTGGGCACGGTTGCTGCCCAACGGCTTTAAAAAAAAATAAAGGCAGCACTTGTGACAATGAGAAGAAACTCTCAAAGTCAACAAAGTTGCTGCCATACCTGTCTCGACGTGCCCAAAGTCTAATAGCGACAGGTGTAGTCCCCAGGCCGTGCCCACCCCTCTTACATGATGGGCCCACCCGTCCCTCTTGCATGACAGGCCGACCCATCCCTCTTGCATGATGGGCCACGGCCACCTCCTTGCGGAGATGGCCAAATGGTGATGGGAGGAAAATGTTAGTATACGGTCCTGGAAAGGTCCACCTCGGCTTGGCCTGGCTTGGCTCGGCGGTATGGCACACGGTCTGGCACGGCACTGGCACGGCACTGGATGACTTGGAGGGAATAGACCTCGCAACGACAGGTCATCGTGTGAATGAATCACAACGTCTCCACTGTGTCATCTGGGTTCGGGTGATGGATGTAGGACCACTGATTGGTGCGTTGGAAATCGAATTTGTTGTTGTTGTTGTTCGTTGTTGTTGTTGATGTTGGTGGTTGATTGGTTTCAATCGCCAGCCGAGAGATATTTGGGTTATACCCATCACTCATATGCTTGATCGAAGGCAATATAATATTAATAGAGGTGAATTACTGTTTGTTGAAAAGGTGAGGGACCAGAGGAGAGAATACAGGCTCATCCACCTCATAATCTGGTGATGGTGGATATTGGTATCTGATTCCTAGGTGGTGTTGGCCTGTGTCTGCTTGGACGGCTGGATGATTGAATGGTTTAGGTGGTTGTGGCATCATCACTTGGTCTCCAGGTATTGGTCCGAGGTCATGTGGCTGTTGTTGGATGCCAATGTCTTTGAGTGACATGGATGAGAAGCATCAAAGGTGATGATTGAATAGATGGTTAGTATTATTTTTTGAAAGTAGCATGCAAGTTCATTTGATATATACTTACCATTTGGAATTGGTTCCTGTTGACCATTGGGATGATCTGGCAACTGGTTGTTCTCTGGTAAGTTTGTCCTCCCAATGAATAGAGTTTAATGGATCTCATTGTGTGGTGTATATGTTATCCTAATTGGATCATGGACTCCATCAGTGCGCACAAGAAGTGTATAAATCACCTTTTTAGAAGATTGCTCGCCCAATAACAATGTCCTTGGTCGACTATCGAATAAACTTAGAATTGGGTACATTTTGATGACTGCTGTATAATGGTCAAAGTCTATCCTTATTAGGGTGATGACCCTGTGATTTAAGTCGGCCAGCAACAAGTTCTTGGGTATGTGCCTGTTGAACAAAGGTCGAATGAGTTTGGCTGGATTGTAAATATATTGATTATTATTATTATTAATATTATTATTCATTATTGATAGATTGATTGGTAGCGTTGGAAAACACTGTTGAGAAAGATATTCTTGTATAGCAGATAATGGTTTGGCAATAGCCGAAGTAAAGAGTCTATGATATTGAAGATATTGATAGATTGATATTGATTGATTGATTGATGAATCGTTGGTGAGTAGAGAGAGAATCAATGTTAGTATTATGAATTAGAATGATGATAGAATTATAATAACATAGTAATAATGTTATATATGTGTACATACATGTAATAGTGTGATATGGTAATGAGTGATGTCAATGCCCACTTGTCCAAGGACATTCACCGCAATGAGAGAGTGTCTGTGAGTGGGTGAGTAGAGGCCCACACACACTCACACTCACACACACTCACACACACTTATAAACACTCATTTTGAATTAAATATTTAAATATTTAATTAACAGATTGACCATTTAACGGTCCATTTGAATTTGTATCACTCAATACCATCTCAGTGTCATCTTCAATGAAGTTCACGTTGATGTGCCTTGATTGAGGCACGATCGTTCCAACTGGACACTCTGATGAATGAATGAATGAGCTTTGTTGTAAGAGACTGCTCTGATGTCCATTGTGATCTTGATGAGCTTGCATGTGATCGGTAGTGGACTATGCGCGTGTTGATGAGTGCAAAGGGGGCCATGATGACTGAACGAGTGTATCGCTTCACCCTCAATTGGATGTGATGCTCTATCTTGCTGTGACTGACTGATAGTCTGACTGACTGGGTGAGTGTTGGTTCGATGGTCAATAGTGATGCATGTCCCTATGAACAAGATGAGTTCAAGTTTGATTGGTTGTCCAGGTAATCGATTGAGTGTGCACTGTTGTTGTAGAAGCTGCAGTGAACGGCTCCTGAAGGTGTTGCAGGTTGGACTAGACATCATCATCTAGATGTGATGGCCCCAAAAACGGTGATCATTGAGTCGAGCATGGTGGTCGAGTTGTTGAGATGATTATCGAATGTTAAGACGAGAATCGAATGAGTTGGAGACGATGACAGCTTCTTGTCCAGGTCGTTCTAAGTAACGTCGACTGGGACTCGTGCACCGATATGATGCTGGAGATGCCCTGCTCCAGCGGCCCCTGCAGTGTGCGTCTGTGTTATAGCCGCTGCAGTTGGATGCAATGAGGATGAATATGCTCGATCTTGCTGTGACAGCATGACTGAGCGTTCAATTCTGCCATGAGATTATCTCCTTTACGATGGCGTCCTCACTACGATGATTGTGCATCTTGATGTTGGTGGTGCCAAGGGCTTGGCGGGCAACAGCGAGAGTATCGTGAATGGGCTGGTGTGGGAGGTGAGACACAAAGGTGTTGAGTGATGAGATGAGAGTGTCCCAAGATGAGCTGTGTTAAACAATGACTCTCGACCAACAACGAGCTGTCTGTATGAATTGCACAGAGTGACCATACCCATCCCACTATCCAACTCGTTGACCACTGTGATCTGCCATATGTTTGGACGCTGCTGTTCATGGGGATGTGGCAGCCTTCTTGCCCTTTGAGGTGGGACTAGGCGCTGAATTGTGGAAAACCTCCTCGGTGATGGGGACCTCGCCTTGCTGCGTGTATCTTGGTCGAGACTGGTGACCGAGATTGTCACTGGATCCAAAGAGCCATCTGGTCGGTCCGATCACATGCATGATGGGTTGGCGATTTGTCATAGCCCGGGTCAG